TATATCAAATATTCTGGAATGATACCAAAACGTGGCACGAGACAAGGATATGGACAATTTTAGTAAAGTTACAAAAACTGGTATTTGTCATGACGTCAGCGACTCGCTATATTGTGGCTTATCTCTATTTCTTTTGTATAAAAACCGTCATTGTTAAAGCTCCAAAAGCATTTGTGGAGCTGGCGCCATTACACTATTTTTCTTCATTTCTTTTTTAAACATGCTGACGCACACGTAATGATATTACGCACATCCGTTGCATCTTGGGATACAATGCAAGTGCATGGGGCAAATTAATAAGGTATTAATTCCGGAGAAAATTGTCCGCCTTGTATGGCTTAATTAAAAACCAAGAACGACGGTACAAAATGATTTTTATACAGACTCAAAAGTGTTCGCGATACATTGTAACTCGCAGTTACTTTATTTTTACTATTGGTTTGTTAAATACTTTTATTTATGTTTTGTAACAATATTGTTAATACCTACGAATTCATTTTACTATAGAGCAAAACTATAACATTTATATTCATTGTCAGTTGAAGTGAACTTATTGAACCTGTCATCTATACATATAATAAAATTGTAACTAAGCCGAATCTGTACATTAAATATTTTTTGGAAAATCTTATTGAAAAAACATTATTATCGATATAGAGGCCGAATCTATAGTTTTTAGAATTTTTGTCTATCTGTCTGTCTGTCTGTTACCGCATCACAGAAAAACCACTGGAGGGATTTTGATGAAATTTGGTATGGTGATAGCTGGTTATCCGGGTCAACATATAGGATATTTTTTACCTCGGAAAAATATCTCATTTCTGAGAAAAAATGCAAAAACTGCAATGTAAGAGTATACTAATCTGTAAAACCTAAAAATTTGGTTTTTGGTCATCTGAACGCAGGCGAAGCCGCGGGCAGTGCTAGTTTTAATATATTATCTAACTACCTACTTATCAATCAGTGCAGCGCATCGTGCGAACGCGTCATAATAAAGGATATTATAATAAACAGCCGGGTCCCCTTCGTCCTCCCTAATAAATATTAATGTATGAACTTGAGCCCCACTGTAGACCGATGCTGGTCCATTGACACTCAATTTACTCGTATTTTTTGCTCGATGCACTGATAGGTTCTCGAATTAACGTTGTTCTTGCATTATTCAAGCACTTTGTGATTAGCACCGCTTTGTAAATAGGTTCGTCTTCTTTAGTTAATTGTTCTCATATTATTTTGGCTGCACGTGTTGTTAATGTATAATAAGAAAATGTTTTATGACTTCGGGCGTACTAAACTATTTTAATTTTATTATCTATATGTTATTATTGGTGATAAAAATATATTTTTTCATATACATCAAAAAGTTCTCATGCCCGCAACTTACAAAAACAAAAGCTAGTTTTTAATTGAGATAGCTGTCTATTTATGTTGATTTTATGTCTTGGAAACACAAAAATATGAATATTTAAATGATGAAATCTCTAGAAAACATACCAACAATATATATATGACCATGATAAAGTTTAAAGAACAATATAAGTCGAGCCATACTTATTCAATTGTTAACTTTTTATTAAATTCATCGCAAACAATAGTCACATTTTATTTGTACCGGAAAGGTCACGTGTCCTAAAACAGGGAGGGTGGACGAGAACACTTTTCCTATAAGTTTCCCACGCCACCCCCTGCAATGGGCATGCTAGTATGGGAAACCATACTTGTTGATTTTGTTCCGTAATCGCCCCTCGCTGACATCGTTTCCGGGGAGCAATAACAATAAAATTAATTTCATCTAATATTCCGGATGTGCTAACATGTGTATGTGCCGCGGATCATTGGTATAATCATCATAATATTGTCTTATAAACAACTACTTGAAAGTACTAATTATTAAATTCAATTTCCTTGGTAATGGCTTAAAACAAGTTCTAATTAGTTTATCTATATATAGATAAAAAAAATTGCAGTGTCTATTTGTAATGTCAAAATAACAGCGTTTTACTTAATGCATAAGAAAATATTATCGGTATTTATAAGAAAAACACAATTTTTTAAGTTTTTGTCTGTCTGTTTGTTCCGGATAATCTCTGAAACAGCTGGACTGATTTTGACGGGACTTCCACTGGAAGATAGCTGATGTTATAGAGAGTAATATAGGCTACTTTTATGTTGGAAAAAGACTTAGGGTTCCTCTCAAAAAAATTAAAACGTAACGAATTTATAACAAATAAATTCGTTTACAAATGAACCTGAGAAAATGTTTAAATACATTAACAATATCAAATAAGAATAAAACTCAAATAATAGTTATTTTAAAACTTTCAAAAATTTTGAAGACCACATCGATTTAAAGCTAATTTTGCGCATGCAATCGAATAACACGTTGAAGTGGATGGATACCTATTAGGCAAATTGTCTGTTAGACGGTCTGCCTCGGGCTAAGATATAAATTCTTAATACCTAGTACCTATTCTCCTAACGAATGTTAATTCCACTTATAGTCCAATTTAACTTCATGTATTATATTATATAGAATTTTTATAATAAAAAAGACAATGAATATTAAGTGAAGAATCTTGAGTTGAAATAAAAACTTAACAGCTTTATATAATACTAGCAGAAAAAAAAACTTTGGCTATATAAGCTATTAGTAATAATTAAATTAAAAAAATAATGGTTGGAATGGTTTTCAACTGTGTAAGATTGTAAATGCCGCCGAATATTGTGTTGTTTTTACTCACATATTTACAGACAGAGAAAAAGAGAGACAGAAAAATTTTTTTTTTCTTTTTCCTATACATACTTTATTATTTGGAAAAATAAGTTCGGATTTCAAGTTCTTTCTTAAAGATATTGTGGAAAACAAATTTAATTTTAGTGATCGTATACTTAAAATATCCAATATCTGAAAACGTATACATATTCTGAAAATTAATATTCGTTTAAAATATTTAGCTCCATTACCTCTATTTTTGCACATTTTCTACTTCATCTTTTCAAAGTAGAAAGTTGTATTATTACAACTCGCATACAATGTTTACGACTTAAGATTTAAGAATCATATAACTCGGCTAATATGGGCTTTTAACTAACATACTAACAGGTTAACATTTATGCTATTTTTAAAGACCCAATGCTATGTAGACCTGAAACTTACAGTCAGCAAAAAAGGATCTCTCTTTCCCTCTTAGTGCCATTCTTATTTTGTTAAGCTTTATACCCGCAGCTACGCTCGAGTTGACTAAAGATTTAATTTTCATTGAATTATTTTTAAGGATCAGTGTAGCACGTTCACAAAGCCAAGCCAAGACTTCGTTTGTATATTAGAAACATCAGAATACACTCTACCTAGATTCTCTCTGTCGTCTGTTATAGTCACTGCTGTGACCAGCCGAGTTACAAAATTTTCCTTTTAATTTGAAATAATATTTGTTCTCTATTCTATATCTCACACAGCAAGTGTGCACTTTTGAAGAACTTGAGGTGTATTACTCTATTTAAATATATTTCAAATCGGTTGAGCGGGAGTTTAAGCGCAGCGTAAGCCGTTTTACCACCTTCTAAAAATGTAGTAACACTTCCACATGAGGCCACAGTTAACGCAATACCTCGATTACTTTTTAATTTGGCCAAAATCAATTTTTATTCAAAAAAAAAGCATTTTAAGTACCTATTTAACTTTTTTGTTACTTAAGCCTTAATGCCGGTTTTTAAGTCAACATAAAATAAATATTTATCCCTAAATATTACAATCTTTTACCCTTTTAAGAGATGAATTTAATAAAAATCAGATATACGTATAGTTTTTTTTTGTTTTAAAGGTAAGGTAAGTATATTATTCAACGTCTATTTTACCCCATTATAAATATTTTTTGGGTTGTATTATAAGTTTTAACCGTGTTTCCCCCGGGTATGAGATAATCTCACGCGGGAAAAAGTAGCCAGACTCCAGCCCTCTAACTATCTCCACACAAAAATAATTACGCCAATCCGTCACTCTGTTTCAAGAAGGTTGTGTCAAGAAGATCAAACAAATAAACAAACAAACAAACAAACAAACAAAGAGGTAGTTTGTGAGCTTGTGACGTTGTAGGGGGTAATCTATGGATTTACTGAACTGATTTAGATGAAATTTGGTAAGAAGATAGTTTAAGACCCTGGGAAGCACAAAGGATACTTTTTATCCCGGAAACCATCCCTTAAAGGGATGAAAATGGGGATGAAAGTTTGTATAGGAAATCTAGCTAGGGACGAACCCGAGCGAAGCGAGGGTGAATCCCTAGTAATACATATTAGTAAGGACTACAATTTGTACTTATATATTTGAATATAGTGTAGAGATCAAAGATATAGGTATATATTTAATAGTGAAAAAAATTTATCGTACTCTTAAAATATGCTTTAACAATGCATACCTATGCTTAAACTTAATCGAATATATTTAAGCTTAAATTATTTTTTGCTCAAAGCTTCGAAACATGCTTAACGTATGTGGTTGACATTCTCGCTATCATAAACTTTTATAGATACTAATACCTTGACGATTAAAATGTGATTTACATATAAATCTTACAAAAAATGAATACTGAATAACAGACCAGTTTATCTGGTACGACCAACTAATCTGCATTATGAATATCATAAGTATTATTTTTCTAAATAGATTTATAAAGACGAATTATATTTCCTATTTAATCAATATATTATTGAATGATTTACTACGTTAAATAAAAATGAAACATTTAAAAATTAGAACACCGTAACAACAAAGAAAGAATCAAATTAAATAGAATGAATTAAATTATAGGGTAAAGACACTATAATATACAAATGAGAAATGAATAATACTTATAATTGCAAGAATTGACAATATAAAAATATTTTTATTTAAGAATTAAATTAATGTAATAGCTTTAGAAAACTTTTAAATGACATAGTACTTATATGTATTTATAATATCCAATTACCGATATGTAAATAAATAAAAGTAAAGGACCTACCTGCCAGTCCAGTCGCACTGATCACCAACAGTTCCCGCCTCCGCAACGCAGATCAGACCAAAAACAGTCCAAAACACTGCTCTTATAGCCATTATTGTAAGAATATTAAGTCTTATTTACCCCTTTAGCTAATAAATCACAACATTATTAAAGTTCTAATTTTTTAAATTTCATATTTTTGACCGCGTTTTGAATCCTGACATAAATAAACAATACGTAATTAAAATCGGCGCGAACAACGAGTCCACTCTATCGTCAAAACTACACTAATTTAACTTTCGTCGCTACTCTCGTTCGTTTTAAATCCGACAGAGACAGAAAATTTCACTTTAGTGCAGCTTCTCACTTACAAGCAACAAGAGTAAGCGAAATAGCAATAATAATATACAAGAAGTAAATCAGATATATATAGCCATCGCTGTTTATTATTGCATAGAATTTTACACCTTATGTTTAAGGAATAAGGTTTGAAAATAAAATTGCGCGTAAATTGATTTATCGCAGCTTTTTAAAATGGCGGGAAAGATTGTAGGCTTTTACAATCGTCAACATGAACAATCTTATAAGCTCTGGAGTCTGGGCGATTGGAGACCCGTTTTTTATTTATAATTATAAAACTTGCTTTTTGCAAAACCGCACTGTTATTAAAAAATTTCGCGCGTTATTTTTTAATTATATCTACAGAGATACAATCACCTTTAAATATTTAATGTATTTATTAATAAAACTAAGTATCCATATACTATATGAAATATGTATTAATATTTATAATTATTATAAAAGTTATTGTATTAATTAAGTTTATTATTTTAAATAGAATAACCGATTCTAAAAGCCATCTTATATTATCTAGATAATGTATAGTAAATAATATAAAATTATGAATGATATATTGCTCCGCAAAAATAGTGCAATATTCTTACCAATAATTTATTTATGGTTCCGTTAGTATTTTAGAATAAAGTTTTTAACGATTCTATCCCCTATTACCTATGTATTACAAGCTCTATTCGCAAGCTCTTACTTCGGTTAAAGCTACACTATATCATCCCTTATTTTTTCAAATATGACTTAGCAAATTGTTATTTTTTTTGTGCAGATAACCTTTAAGATGATGCCTACCCTTAATATTAGTAATTATAGGTTGAAAATAGGAGTTTTTGTTGCCAACAAATGATTCGTTTAGTGTTATGTGATTTTCGATTTAACTTTCAACAGCGCTAACACAATTTAATTTTCTCTTGTATTTTATATATTGAAATAACTGTTTATATATGTAGCCTATTGTTATTGTTTAAAACATATATATAAAACTACTGCATGTTATATTTTTGGAGCTAATATTCTTCATTTTTGTATTTTTTTAATTGTGCTGAGTGTAAATACATATATAGAAGATTGTCTCTGTTTAACCGAATTATGTATTTATTAGATGTAACTGCCTCGGTGGTGTAGTGGCTAGCATGTACGGCTGCACACCCGGAGGTCCTGGGTTCGAGTCCCGGGTCGGGCGAAGTTTAGTTATTGAGTTTTTCTGTATATTAAGCCTCAGTAACAGCCCGGAGTTGCGAAGTTGGCGGTGTTTCACCCCCGTGCCTCGGAAAGCACGTAAAGCCGTCGGTCCTGCGCCTTAACTCTCACCGGTCGTGTCGAGCAGTCGTCCCACCGGAGTATGAGAGTGACAGGAATAGAGAGTGCACTTGTATCTGCGCGTAAACTTGTGTACTACAATATCTCCTGCGCAGTTGGCTAGTCTGGCAGTGGAGAGAATCGAGAGAAGAGAAAAGAATCGGCCAGGAGAACATCATCATCATCATTATTACGTGTGATACGCATAAGAGTATAGTATTATATATGATAAGTACTTAAAAACACAAAACTATGTAATCAAATCTTAAAAGACTATCTCATACTATTTATTTACTTCAAAATTTGATGATAGAGTTAAGAGGCACACAATTAAGTGGGCAAATACCCTAACCTACGAATTTAAACACATCCAATTTGTTTTGACAAATGCCTTACATTGCACTCAATAGTCAGCGTGTTTCTTTAGTTTTCTAAAATACATTTTTTGTATATTTGTTTGTTTGAACGCGCTAATCGCAGGAACTATTAATTCGATTTGAAAAATTATTTTTGCATTAGATAGCCGGGTTTATTGAGGAAGGCTATAGGCTATATATCATTCCGGAAAAATGTACTGTTCCCGTGGGATAAGTTTGTTTTTGCTGTTTGAAGCTAGGGTGAGTCTAGAGTGAGCTAGTCTTCCAATAAAATAAGTACCTAAGTATAATATTTGCTATAAATGAAGTTTATTGTGAATAGAAGCTTACAGCTTAATAATTAATTACCTACTTATAATATAAGGCAATAATCAAAATGCCATAAAGACGCAAAAATAAAATACAAAATCTTAACCATTGTAATATTCGTCAAGTTATCGTCACGCGTTAGCATAGGTATATTTGTATAAAGATAAACTAAATAAATAGGCCTTATTTGCTTGCAAGATAGCCGCTTTGTAACTGACTTACATTTCTCGAGTTTAAATATTATTCGCTTTAATAATAAAGAGTTAATTCACGGTTCTATATGTGCATTTGATACCGAGAAATTCTTTTACATCTACTCAAAAACTACCGAACGGATTTTTCTTAGATTATTGACATATATTTGCTGATTGATTGATTGATGAAGCTTTCTTGTGCTGGCGTACGCCGCGTAAACCAATTGAGTACGTAATATGAAAACAATATATGTATCTATTACCGAATTATTCTAGAGACGCATACGAACGAAGCGAGAATAAGTATTTTGTTATAATTTGATGATATGACTAATTAATTGTAAATAGTAAAATATTTATCTAAAGTCAACAATTCAAAACTTAGCTTAATGGTTTTTTTTTTAATTTACAGGTTTGGGTTTGTGTTTATGAGATACAGTACCAAAATAGGTAGGTATATGTATTTAACTGCCTCGGTAGTGTAGTGGCTAACATGTACGGCTGCAAATCTGGAGGTCCTGCGTTCGAGTTCTGGGTCGAACTAAGTTTAGTTATTGAGTCTTTTATGTTCAGTAAACCTCAGTAACAGCCCGAAGTTGGGAAGAAGGTCATAAGAATGAATATGAACTACTTAACACATGAGTGCTCAATAGTTAAATAATACAAGTATATCAATAGTCAAAATGTTCCCAAGGAGGGTTGATGTCAGGCAGGCGGCCGGTACTAAAACTTTTGCCAAATCCTATCAGCTGTACGGAAGATGTACTGCGCCGACCCCAAGTGATTGAGTGATGACGGAATGAAAATGAAATCTACGACCAGCGGTTGAGGCTGTGTGTTGATACATCAGCCAGTCAGGTCTCCACAGGATGCACCTCAATTTTTCAATTCTTCCTTCGGCTGGTCTAATTTCCAGGTAAGTACCTACAATACATTGCACGGCACAAATTCAGAATTGGGGACTTGGCCCCTAGCGGAGTGGGTGGTATTTCTGGATAAGGGACGTGATAGGGAGTCGAAATGTTAAATAAATTTTTTAATACAACAAAAGATTCAAAAGTTATTGAGACTTAAAGTTACAACATTTCCATACATTTTCATATATTTCTTTACCACCATTCGGAGTGGGTGGTATTTTTAGATAGGGGAGGTGACAGAGAGTCAAAATATATTAAAAATATTTGGAGGAAACGTACGACTAAAAAGTTATTGAGACTTAAAGTTATAACATATCTAACACATTTCCATACATTTCTTTACCTAAATAAGTGATTACAACAGATAAACATACCTTTAACGAATAGTACGCATCCTTTTTTATGTACATTACACATTTTCACAACAATTAATGCTTTATTGTATTTAATATTTTAATAATTTCACAACACAAACAAGATGATCTTACATTTTGACAAAAGCAAAACTGACACTTTGTTTTATAATTTATATTACCGCTTAAATGACAACAGATTATATTTGATTATTTTTGCTTTTTCTGTTGGTAAAATATTAATATTAATAAATAAATAAATAAAAAGAAAAATATTATTTTCACTTTATAAATACATTTATAACTTTTTATTTGATTTATGTAAAATATATTGTTTTACAATTGTACATTTAGTAAAAAAAATCATTTTTTTATCTGTGAATATTTTTAATTATTTATTTATTATTCGTCATATCTGGGTTAGGTTAGGTTAGAACATTTAAGATTATTTATTTATTATTCCTCATATCTGGGTTAGGTTAGGTTAGAACATTTAAGATTATTTATTTATTATTCCTCATATCTGGGTTAGGTTAGGTTAGAACATTTAAGATTATTTATTAATTATTCGTCATATCTTGGTTAGGTTAGGTTAGAACAGTTGCCACAACGCACGAGCCGAGCGAGCGAAGCGAGCGTGCCGCGGTAGCGGCCGGCGAGTGCCATAAATGACTAGAAAACTAGAAAATTCGAATTTCACGCAAAGTACAAATAAAGACAATCATCTGGAGATCATTTTGACAATTGAAAGTGACGTTTTGACTCCAAGTGTCTAAATGGTAGTAATGTCAAAATAATGTATGGAAATGTTATAACTTTAAGTCTCAATAACTTTTGACTCTTTTGTTGTATTAAAAAATTTATTTAACATTTCGACTCCCTATCACGTCCCTTATCCAGAAATACCACCCACTCCGCTAGGGGCCAAGTCCCCAATTCTAAACGGCCGCCCATTGCACAGGTAAGATCAAAGATGAGAACACAATAAAAGAAAAAGCCCAGGTACAAAAGAGATATCATAATAAATTGCTTAACCACACACTGAATGTAAATAGTCCATAAGTGTGGCGCTCAGCTTTCGAGTAATATTCCCTCTTGGTGGTTCTTTGTGTTTTTTGACAGAACCTAACATGACGTCTGTCATCTGTGATCTGAAGCAATTGACAGCAGTGCTGCCATTTGGCCGGTAAATTACCCGAAAAGCGGGTAATTTTAGGCGATTTTTAATGGCGGGTAATTTTGACGGGTAATTGCATTGTCCATTGAGCGGGGTCAAAGCAGATATTTTAGGTTACCTAATTAATTTGATATATTAAGTTTTCTTTTTTGTTTGATTTAATAATTTAAAGCTGTTTAATTGAGAAGTGATTACAATGACTTCTTTTTCTAACACTAAATTAATTAAATTACTTAAAAAAAACTATTTTTTGGTATTCTGCTCATGATTGGCGCCGGCGGGATAAACCCGGTATTTTCAGGTTTATTGGTCGGGTAAATCAACGACTGTTATCTGGCAGCCCTGATTGACAGTGTCAAAGAGCCTAGAAAGTAGAAACTAATATGTCATAATAAGTACATAACCTATAAAATAATTTATAATACCAAATACATTGTTAATTGTAATTAAAAATGTTTCGTATTTGTCAACATAATATATATTTACAAAACAAATCTATCATAAGTCCTGCATTATTGAAAAATGTAGTTTCAAACATTAAATGTTCCAGTGCTTTTCAAAATTATACATTACGACATTTTGCAAGTAAGGAAAAGGAAAGTAATAAATTAGAACGAATATATTATGGGACTCTTACCCCACAAATAAGAGCTGTCAAATTGTTTTCTGTGGGCTCGAGTGCACTAGGATTAGCAGCACAACCTATAATTCTACGTGAAGCAAAGTCAATAGGCAGCACATCACTGATAATAGCTCTCTGCTCAGTTGTTGGATTCTTTACTTTTGTTACTCCAATACTATTACATATTATAACGAAAAAGTATGTGACGGAAATTCATTATGATCCTGAAACTTTAACATACAAAGCAACCACATTAAACTTCTTTCTAGCACCAGTAATAGTAAGTAAATTATCGTCTTAACCATATATATTTTAATTTTTATTATATAAGCAATCCTTATATTTAATATAGTAAGCTAATATTAATATAACTAAGCAAACCAGCACATAATAATATTTAAAAACTTTTATATAATATTTATTTAGACTAGATGACACATTTGGCTCAGTTCGTAGTGACCCTACTTGCTGTGCCAGAAGTCGCGGGTTCGAGTCCCGCTGGGGGCATTCGTTTGTGTGATGAGCACGAATGTTTGTACTCCAGTCATGGGTGTTTATAATATGTATGCATTTAAAGTTATATATGTGTAATGTATTATCTGGTATCCATAACACAAGTCTTGTTGCTTACCATGGAACTAGATGGTGCTGTGTGATAATGTCCTAACATAATAATAATAATTTAAGTATTCAATTAGTTATTATTAATGCTATTTTTTATTATTTATTGTCCATTTCCAGAAGTTGTTTGCAGTAAATAATCACTAAACCAAATAAAAACTTGTTTTGTGAATTTTTAGCTGGATTTCAAAGCAGAAGATGTAGTAGTACCAGATATCCCTGGAATGTTTACAACTATGCTTGCTAAAGGCAAACCTCTCTTTATAGAAGCAAGACATTTTTCAGACCCCCTTCATTATGCCAAAATTATGGGTTATGATAAACCTTTAGATTTTAAACTTGGAGAAACTCAAGATGATGCTAATAATAAGAATAGTTAAACTAGAATTATTTTTTAGTTATTAGTTGAAATAAATAAATAATTTAATATCTAGTCTTTTAAATTATATCTTATGAATGCAGCTTGTAATGTTTTTTTACTTTACAATATAATTATATAATCAAGAGCTATAATGGTATATGACGGTAGCTGTATATTATGTTTTTTTTAACAAACTATTCATTACATACCAATTGCAAAATATTTTCAGTTTTTCTTGATAAAAATGCTAATGGTTTTGACCATAGATACATTGCCTTAAAATAAAAATTATTTTTAAATGTTTAATACTATATTGTTTCTAAAGGAAAATTAAAACAAAGTCCATTTTAATATAATATATTATATACTTCATCATGTTATGTACAGAAAGAAATAAATTCACATTTATATAGAGCAATTTATAACAAAATTCTTTAAGAAAGCTTTGAGTAGCAAAAAGTATAATTTTGTGACTAGAGACAATATTGCATTATGTAATATGAATCAACTTATTCGTTAATAAAAAGTATTTTTTATTATACAATTCATAGTCCCTAAACTTTTAAAAAATATAATATTAGTATCTTTATGGCTGGAATGTTTTCAAAACAATTATACATATTTAAAAAGCATAGTTTAACTGTTATAATATACCTAACTAAAAGTAAATTTTTAAGTTAAAATACTAAACAATTAACATCTATACAAAACTTCATTAAAAAATAGTAAACTGTAAACTTACATCAAGTTCAATAACAATAAAAAGCTGCTGCTTGTTTTAATAAATAAAATTGTTATGAATATTTGCTGTTAATTTTTGTCTTATTCAATATTCATATTTTAATTTTAAAATAAAAGATGGTATAATACTAAAAAAAATCATTTCTTCCACACATCCTTCTCTGCACTTAGGCAATTTATTGGCCATTTGGGGAAATTTTTATTAATTTAGTCAATATACTCATTTGCACTGTGCGCTTTCGTTATTTACTATTCCATCATTAATATATTTCAAATAGTAGACATAAACCGAAGCTATATTAACAAAACAACACGAACATATTTTATCTAATTATCTTTATACTGTGAACAAGCATAAATCTGTGATACAACAAAATCAATGCAGTAGATTAAAAATTAACTAGTATATTGTAAACCTCATTCTAATGTTAGCATGAAGCAATGCTCATAAATTACATCAAAATATCTGTTAATTTTTTTGTACAAAATATACATGATTTTACTTACTTCGCGAGAATCCTTTGTTTTTAATGATACAAAATATGCAATTTGTTGAATTCGTTGAGTATTACAATAGAAAACCTTTTTGCAAAGTTATCTAAAGAATTTTAGTACCTTCATTTTTAGCCTCTATTTAGTCGAAACTCTTACCGGGATAAGAGTAACCTATGTCCAACACCCAACGTTTTTGTTCTAAATTTCAACAAAGTCAGTACAAGCAGACATATTCATACTTATCAAGTACTAAATACAATGAAAATCGATTTAAATGGAGAAACATTCTTTCGCGTTCATAATAAATATTTTTTATCCAAAGCAATTTCAAGTTTTTAATTTTTATTAAGGAATACTTTTACTTATTTAAACTATTTTTACACATAAAAAAAGCATTTGTTAGAATGATATAGCACTTCTGTTCTCTTTATAATCCACCCATTTTCCATCGCATTTTTCAAATGATTTGTAAATAAATATCATAAATAAAAGTGATTAATCAATACATTGGTCAGTAAAAGGTATAGACTCTTATAAAATCTAGGTCAATCATGAAGATTGAACTCCTTACATATTTATGTGTTAATTTTATTAAAATAAATGATACTAGGATTTAAATTTAATGGCATCATCTTTTCAAAAGATCATGATCATAATCATCTTTTCAAATGTGAGACACTAGAGCACCATATTTCCAATTTAGTTTATTAAAGTCTCCTCTATCCATAAATAGAATTTATTCTACCCATACATTTCTTTTTGCGGCCGCTTGTTTAATCAAAGCATTCTCAACTAACAAGTGCATGATCGGGGAGTTCCTGCAAACTCTAGAACGACGTCTCAAGCAAAGTACATAAAAACATATATAGACGGTTATTTAGTTTCGTTCAATTAAGCGAGTAGAAGCAATTTTTTACGTCAATATGCAATAAAATACAACTTCATTTAGTAACCACGCTCAGATACCAAGACATCAAGAGTCAGAAGGAATTTGATAGTAATATAAAGCCCTGTCGCTTAGCGAGTACATTATGTCCCTACACTCTAGAACAAAATCCCATTATATACATACATGTAAGTGCGATTGTTTATGCCAGTATGGACAATGGCATGACATGCCAACGCAGTATGAGTCGGGAAGAGTTCACTCGTAGTCTATAGCGCTGTCGGCTAGCGAATATGGCGGTGGAGTCCATGTCGTCTATAGGACTATAAGGCCGCGCGCACTTTGGACACGAATTTGTATAGTATGAATTAAGTGCGTACACTGAATACGTTTTTCTTCGTCAAATAGGTAGGTTCCATCCATTTTTAATTTTCAACGCACGAAAGTGTTTTAAAATCCCGACAAGTTTGGATTGTTTTCTGGCGTCGAAATTACACGTACGTATACACTATACATACGATTAACTCGCACCCAGTCTGCGCGCCCCCGTAGTACTTGAAAGTTTGGGATAATTCGTGCGACGAAAACGTATCCAAAGTGCGCGCGGCTTAAGAAGACCAAGCAACATACATATTATAAAATACACAAATCACGAGTTCATTTAAAGTTAAGTGAGTGCGATCGTTGAAGCCTCTATGGCGATCCAATCCAAAATGTTATACCTCAGGTACCAAGGCAACATGAGTAACGAGGAGTTCAAACATAGTGTAGACTCGTGGAGCTTTGTCAGGTAGCGAATGCATGGCGGTGTGTTCTTAATTCTTATCTATAGACTCTGACGACAGTCAAAGCACATACATATTATATATACAAATCACATAAGTTCATTCAAAGTTTTAATAAATCTAGATCGTTCATGCCTGTATGGCGATCCACTCCAAAATGTCTCAGGTACCAAGGCATCATGGGTAATGAGGAGTTCAATCGTAGTGTAGAGCGTTGTCGGCCAGCGAGTGCATGGCGGGGGAGTTCTTGTCGTCCATGGCCTCCAGCGCCTGCGCCCGCGCCCGCGCGCGCGCGCGCCACTCCACGCGGCAGAAGGCGGCCGTGCCCAGCGACGCCAGCACCGCGAGCACGCCCAGCTGCACTGAGAGCGGTGCACGAGACGAATAGAAGAAACACGCGGCCGCTGCTAGTGACTGTGGAATAAATATTGAATTATTATTTATAATGTCATGGTATGTTGTGGTTTTGTTAGAAAGCCTCATTCATGCATATTCATTATAACAAATTATTATCAAATAAGTCCTCACTGTATCGATTTCAAATCAAGGCTTATTAATGCGAACTCGTAATTTTTCATAATTAGTGAGCGGTGAAAACAAATTATAAAAGTTTGAACAACTAAACAGAATCCGTTGGCCGTGACCGCGCACTTACCTTTCAAAATCTATACTAATATTTTATAGAGAGAGTTTGGTTATTTGAACGCGCTAATCTCAGGAATTACTAATCTGATTTGAAAAATTCCGCCCGTTTATTGAAGAAGGATATATATATATATATATATATATATATATATATATATATATAGGCTTTATATTATCCCGGAAAAGTATACGGTTCTCATGAGATAGTTTGTTTTTGTCTAGGGACGAATCCGAAGAAGAGAAGCGAGGGTGAGTCGCTACTTGCTACCAATTTATATGAGAAAAATATCGTATATATATACCTATTTTGACCTTTTTTTTATACAGAGCGCAGGGTAGAAGCACTATAATTTTTAAATATATTGTGTAGTAACATAAGAACATCAAAATAAAATAAAAAAGGAAGTGCTTCTTATATGCCCTGCCTTTGGCCTACTATTGTAATATATCATTTTATCGTACCTGAGTAAACTTGAACAGAGCGAAGGCAGAAGTGCTGTTATCTGCGTATTTTCCTCCCAACATGGAGTATATCTGAGTGTTGTAACAGGCATCTCCAAATCCTAGTAAGAAACTGCAGAACATCGCTAAGTATGGTGAGGGGGTGATGTAGGAGGTGTCCATGGTGTCTCCGAATGGTGCTGCATTGGGTAAATTGATGAAGATAAGGAAGAAACTCGTCACGTGGATGAGATAACCCATGATGACCACGGGATCGCGACCCCATCTTGTGGTCTTGCTGCCAAGAATCCCGAACAAAGCGCCACCTGAAAAATATAAGAAACAAAGGTTAAAATTTGCAAGATATATATTTTTATTTCACTAAGTTCGGAAGCAAATTGATATACGTAATTTTACATAAGACACCTATGGCTTAGTCGGTACCTAGGAATAGCTTTCAATAGGATCTTATTGTTTTAAACACTAAACTGACATTTTCATAATGATATTTATACATTAATTAAAATAATAATGACTACGTTTACTTGTTTTGTGACATCAAGATTTATGTTCAGGCAAAGACACGAAGACAGAAGCATAGAGAAATTATTCTAGATGCTCTATCACAAATATTAAGCTATATAATAAAAAAACATTCTAATTAAACTGTTTTTTTTAATAATATCAAATGTCATGCAGATTGCTGGCGACAAAATAATGCGTATTAGCAGATGGCGATTTTTTAATATTCTTTATACACATTTAATTAAAAAAAAACCACTCTATAATTTATTGACATCACGATTGAATATAACAAACAAATGTTACACAAAAACACTTGAGACGACGAGTTATATATTTCAATGACATAACTCGAGTGCCTCTTCAAAATACATAATAAAATAAATAAAGAGGAAAATGATGACCTCATATACTCGTATAATATAACATCTGAAAGTACTTTAAAATGTGTTGTGACGTCACACGTAGCCTTTTGTGAGACAATGACCTACATATTGTAGGGGAAATCTTAATGATTTTGTTATCCATACTTTATATTACGATTTATTATTAGTTATTACGCAATTTTATATTTACGGAAACAGATAATTTAAAAATAGGCGATAATAAAGCTATTATCTTATTAGTCATATTTCCTTAATAATATTTTTAAATTATTGTAGTGTATATGGTTGTTGAGGCAGTGGTAGCCCAGTGGTAACGCGCTCGCTTGGGAAACGGGTTCAATTCCCGGGTCTCGCATATTTTCATGTGCGAATCATTTTCCCTTTGATTACCACTTATCTTACGGTGAAGAAAAACATCATGAGGAGACCTACATATCTGAGAGAATCTAGCAAGTAGCAAGTTTTCAAAAGACATGTGAACTCCGCCAACCCGCACTTCGAAAGCGTAGTGGATTATGGCCTGATCCCCATCATATTGAAGGGAGGCCCGTGCTCGGCAGTGGGACATTTAAAAAAAGGCTAAATACAATAAGGTTATTGAAAATAAAAATGATTTTATATAAATATACGTTACCTAAGACTTCTCCTAATCCTATGAAAACACCAGAGAGACCTACAAGTTGCTTAGCATTATCTCCCATAGCGAGTGTGAATCCTATACTTGGACTGTAAACACCACTGAAGAAAGATAGTTCCACACCTGTAAATAAAAATATAATTGACTAATTAGGTACATATTACTGATATAACTGCGAAAGTTTGTGTGCATGTTTGTTGTTTCTTAACGTTAAAACGACTAGACCTATTTGGATGAAATTTAGTAGATACACAATAAGACAGTGGTAGCCCAGTGGTTACTAAACCGAGAGAAGCGGGTTTAAATCCCGGGTCTCGCACCTCTGATATTTTCATTTGCGAATCATTTCCAACAAAATTACCACTTGCCTTACGGTGAAGAAAAACATCGTGAGGAAACCTGCATGTCTGAGAGAACCTAGCAAGTTTTCGAAAGACATGTGAAGTCCGCCAACCCGCACTTGTCCATCGTGGTGGACTATGGCCTGATCCCTCTCGTATTGAAAAATACACAATATGACTACGACCAGACATAACACATATCCTACTTTAAGGCACCCAGGGACGTAGATAGAGTAAGTCCCAGCAACTAATTTAAACTTAATTAATATAATCGAATTAATCTAATATAACTAAGTATAGCCTATAAACGAAAAAAAACACTAACTGCTATTTTGACTACTGGCAAGTTTTGGCTTATTTCCGGCTGATTCCTTAGTAACTCTTAACAACTATAAAATAACGTATAACTCTGACTTAACAAAAAAGCTAACTAATAAGTAACATTCTTGGCTAAAACATTACTAAAAATCAGATATTTTAATTATTTTTATTACTAGAATAAAAGTACTAATATTTGCTTTTTTTATTAGAATAAAAATAATAATTTGATTTCATAGTATAACTTACCGGTATAGATAAATGCGGCGCTCAATAGCATCATGTCGCTAGTACAGAACAAACGAATAGCTCCTCTAAACGCTTCCATTGGTCCTTCCGACTCGGATACCGCCATTTCACTCTGAAAAACAAGAGTTAATCGTGAAGTCATCGGTCACTTTTCCATTAACCCATTAAGCGCCAAAATGAAAACTAGCATACGCATGAACTAGCTAGATAGCAGCATATTCAACTCAAATCGTTTATTTAGTGACATAGTTAAACATAAAAGAGAGAAAAAAGAAATATTTTCCTATTTTGGAAAGTTTTATAGGGGTGTACTCGTATGAGTATATGAATGTCAATACACCCTGTCACCCTCTTTCTATGGACAGTGTTTTTAAGCAGGTTTTATATTGTCACCGCACTCTTGAAACTTTGGAATATGTAAAATTCGAATGACAATACAGCAATTTGTCTATCAGCGAGGTGATATGATGAGGGAGCCAGGAGGTATATAGTGGAATCCTTCAAGGGCTGGCAAGACCATCTGAATTTGGGTTATTTGTTAAATTTCGATGAGTTCCATACATAACAGTTTGTCAAAAGCGTGCTTTTCTAATATTATAAAAACAAAAATATTTAACGTTATTTCATTCTTACGCGTCTTTATCGGACCCGATTGATTACATCGTCGATTTGAGGTAAATATTTAAAAAGAGGCAGTTAATACTAATACAAGTACATATAAAAACTGATCGTTAAAACGCCTAAAGCTAGATAGGATGCAAAATTAATAAAATTGTTATCATATTCAAATATAAAATACTTATTCCAATAAAATGAATTATTTATTGATCTGTGACATTTAAACGGGTAAACTGGACAAAGTAAATATGCAAACGGGCACTCCATTATAAAATCAATTTTACGATCGACGTAATTGCAACATTTCAATGAAAACATACCCAGGTCCCCTTGACCGATTCATTTTAAGGTTTTATAATGAACAAGAGATTCATAATATGCTTATATAATTATTGGACAATGGGGTCATTTTTCAACCTTTACTTGACCTTTGAGTGACACTTTCGGTCTAAATTCACCAGGAAGATGCAACGTGATTATTTAAAAAAAAATCATTCGTGTCAGGAAAACACTGATTCAGCAGTTAAAGTGTCGGTCAACAGAAAAAAAATGTTGAACCTCTTTTGTATGTCTGCATGTCATTTTTTACTATAGCACTAGTTCTACAATTAGTTCGTTCCTTCAGAGCACTAGAATATCTATCTGCTTACAATTAGAGAAATGCAATAAGAGTTAGGAATGGTTATTTGTCAAAAATACCGGTTGGAATTTGCTATATAATATTTAAATTTTTAGATCGATTTTTAGGGGTTTGCTCAAAGTTTCAAACTAACCAATCAGATAATAATATTTTATAACCAGTAGTTACATACATCTTTCAATACATATAATTAACTACGCTTCATTATCGGAATTTCTTCATTCTCGACCATCATATCATAGCTATAATTAAACCGTTATATAATAAATAAGCGATATAAAGCACATATAATAGTACCTACAATTAACAACAACAAACTGAGAGACATGAGACATCATATTTACAAAGAGACAAACGTGTCACCTAAGCATAATACATAATTTGAATTTTATATAATTGAGAAATACAACATTAAGATTAAAAATAGGTAAAAACCTAACAATTCTCTATACAGTGTTACATAGTAGTAGGTAAGTACCTAAGCAAAGACGAGTGTCTTTGCTAAGAGTAAAATTACTTAGGAATATTTTTTTTATTATAATATCATTTGGTTAAAAAAGGGCTTGTGAATTTTGTTCACAACTTCCCAACCCTTCTAAAAAATAAAAAAGCAACACAGGTTAGTATGATTAATTAAAGCCTTTGCGGTTATTGAACAACGGATTTGCATGGCTAATAATATATTTCAGCGAAATAACATATAAACAAAGAGACCTTTACATCGTCAATGGCGGGGGCCCGTCTGGTCGGTCTGAGCAGTAGTAAGAAGACGATGCCGACAGCACACACAGCACTCAAAGCTCCGAACACAACATTCCTTGTTTCCAAATCGATGTGGGTCTTGCCTTGGAACTTGATGAACACGAACAGATTTCCAAAGAATAAGCTGCAATACAAAAAATACATTCGTAGGTGTTTAAAGTTTGTGTAATTTAATAAGAAAATATATAAATCCATGTCACGTATCTAATATTTAAGTATTTAATATAGGTATATCTAAAAAATTACATATGTAAAAAACATTATAATTTGTAATATCTACTAAATGTATTCAAAATCAATAAATTTAAGTAAAACAGGTCGTAATTTGATATAAAATTTGATTTTAACTACGTACTTTGCTTTCATTCACAACCGTCAAGTCGACTCGGCAAAAAAAAGTAACAAACATACACAAACATACATACTTTCGCATTTATTATTATAGAGCGATATTCGATATCAATATGCATATTTTAAAAGTTTGTTAATGATTTAATTATACTATAATACTCAAAAATAAATAAATTTATTCATACTTCTTTATATATACTTGTTTTAAGGTTTAGCCAACGTTAGCCATGTACTAAGGAGTAAGGACAACTCGATAGAACCACAATTATTGTGTTTTCCGGTGGCAACGAAAGATTTTCCTGTAGTAAAAGATATCCTAAATGTTGACCCCGAGTAATAAGTTATCACTACACAAAATTTAGTTAAAAGTCGTTCAGTACTTTTTGCGTGAAAGGCGTACAGATATACAGACAGAAAGACAAAAATTTCAATAAGTATTGTTTTGGGATCTGTGTTCTATACACAATACATAACAGTCATATTTTTTTTGAAATATTTAATGTACTGATTTCGCGTTGTTACTATTTTATTTATTTTATGTACGTATTGATATTGTTAATCATACAAAGTATCATTATGAAAATGTACACAACATATTACGTATACTTACTTAAGTAATAAGTACAATATTATAAGTATTAAACTCTCAGATATGAAATAAATAGCAAATTACGCGGATGCTATCGTGTTGTACTATCTAATACATTTGTAGAATTGTCAATTCCTTTGTATTCCATTGATATGTAAATTAAATGCTATTTTATGAACATACTCACTACTCATACCTATAGAATACCTAGATGCTAAAGTTGCAAATATATACGAGGAATTTCCCGCTAGAAATGCTCATAATTTAAAGTTACAACGTCATATATTACTATAAGACGTAAGTTATATACCCATACTAGCGACTTAACCTCGCTTCGCTCGGGTGCCCGGAACCCTAATGATTTTTCTTATGTAAAAGTAGCCTAAGTTACTCCTTATAACATCAGCTATCTGCCAGTGAAAGTCTCGGTAAAATCGGTCCAGCCGTTTCGGAGAGTAGACGGAACATACAGATAAACAAAAAAAATTAATTGTTTTTTTGTATTTAGTAAAAAGCTGTTATTTTCACATTACAAACAGACACTTTAAATTTATTCATCTGTATAGCTGATGACAATACTATACAAGTCTCAATCACATTGTTAATACTTTAATGTTTCCTAACATTAATTTTAAAAATAATAAACCTTTTCAATTTTCATTAACACATATACCTAACATTATATTATTATAGCAGTGAAAAAGAATTAAAAAATGAATATTCCCATATTTGTCAAAATGTGTAAAATTAATATTTTTAGTTGATTTCATAATTTACAGCTACTTCTATAATTACGAAAGTAAAAATAGTGTGGCCTACGGAAGTTTCAAAATGGCATTATTTATTCTTTATTCAAATAATTATCTGTCAAAATAAATAATTATATTACCTGCATTGTAACATGGCCCAGAATATTCCAGAATTTCTAGAAATGGTATCTGCATCACTGTTTAGTGTAAGGTAGTTTCCCTGCCCGGTCCATATAGCTGCTGCGCCCGCCCCGATCAACACGCTCGCTACGTAAAGCAGCCATGTCCGCGGGATTAAGAATGTTAGTATGAAAAATCTGTAATAAACAAAATATTTTAATAATTTAAAAAAAGGAGGATGGTTGGAATGGGATTTAATAGAAGCCATATCAACAGTTTTCGAATGGTAGGAAAAGTGTTAAGTGACAATGCGTGAGTTTACTTAGTTTGTGGAGTAAATTGCTATAAAGTTAATTATTTATGTAATATCGTACTGTTTGTTTCCCTAAAATAAATAAAATAAAAATAAATAAATAAATTTTTTTCTTAAAAAAAAACCCCTTATACTTAGTTTCGGCCTTAGCTCATATTCACTATGACTAGCCTGACTGGTAATGAGTATTATACACTATAGTCACATACGAATACATACAATTTTGCGTAAATACAAACATTTCTATTTAAACATCTAAATGTCCGTCTTTACGCACTCTTTGAGGTACAGGGATATAATACAGCCAAGTTTCTAGCTACGGACTAAGTACTACTCAGAATTTGTTTAACAACTCTTTTTGGTCAATGCAGAACGTGAGCTCATGACTTTATGGAGCCGTCAGCCCTACTAGCTAGCCATTAGACATAAGGAGATAATAGAAAACTGAAGCCTGCAATAGGATCAAATAGAATATTTCAAACTAAATCATTTAGTATGTGTATATTAAACTAATGTTTGACCGCGGCTCTGCTCGTGTGCTACGATATAAGCTATCTCCATTTTGACGGGTGTTAAAAAGTAAACAAAAACACTCATTCACAAAAATAAAAAATATATATAAACCAAGTTAAACGTGTTAAACGCTTGCTCCAAGTTTAACGCTTGAAATTGCATCAATTATAGGTAGCTAGGTACTAGGTAGGTAATTATACTACTAAGTATAAATCTGGCATAAGGAAGGAAAATTTTTATGATTACATAGAATGGGGATAATAGCAGTTTTGTAGTACTTCCTATAAAATGTAAAGCCGTGATGAAACAAAGTGCTGATGAAGCAACTTTTAAATGTACATCCTACTAATCCATGTTTGCAAAATGCATAAGTCAAATCCAGCAAAAATTACAAGCTGTTGGATAATGTCCGTATAAAACGTTCCTCTTCGTTATATTATCTAAGTTTATATTATGTTCTTACCCATTCTTTACATGCAAAAGTGTTATAGTGTTAGATATTATGCGCGTTATTAGTAAATAGTGTTTTATTTCCGCTTATTACATATATATTATATTTTCCGCATGATAGTATAATCAGTTATACTCATACAGGATTTATCTTATAATTAAACACGAAATACTTCATAATGGTTTAATTTTATATATTGAAATTTTTGTCTAACATTTTTGTACTTGCAATACTTATAAACATTACCGTTTTGTTACAAATAAGTAGATTTTGTTTTTAATTTACATGAGAGCTTATTAACTTATTTTTTTAAATAAATTAATAAACACAAATCGTAGTAGATATTTACTTGTACGGATAAGTACACACACGCCTTTATCATTCGACCAAGTATAAAAAGAATCAGCATTCATATGTTTATAAAAATATTTTTCACCCCTGATCTCAGTATATTTAAGTTACTTTATGCCCCTGATTGAGTATGCGAAACCTGTACCGCACGTTGGCAATAAAAAGCCACACCTACCTACCAAAGTAATATATCGGTAGCAAAGGACTATGTTGATACTTAAACTTATTCTTTTATATAAAATACAATTAACTGATTTAGAAAATATGTAAGTACCAAAATATACGACGAACATATGTAAAGTAATAATAATATTCTTTATTGCACACTGAAAACTAAAATACAAAAAAAAACACAAAGAAAAGATGCACAGCAGGCGACCTTATCGCTGGAAGCGATCTCTTCCAGGCAACCTTGAGGAGGAGTAAATTTTCATAAGACGGTAAAGCTTTCGCTATTATGTCTATAGCTTTTATTTTATATGTTTCGTAAACTGATTTATTATATTTATAGGTACGTATGTGTTTATCGACAATTCAAATATTTCAACATTCAAAAACAAGGTTGGTAAACGTTTCCTTAAATAACCATTAGAAAAAACTTTCTTTATTGTTCTTATAACCTTATTCTCTATAGTGAGAAATCGGCAATAAAATAAAATTTAAAAATTTTATCGCGGAGGTCACATAATTCGTGTGCAAAGCAATGAATGCTATATCATGACGTAAAGAATAAGGTGGGTGTGTCGAACTCGACAGCCTTGGATCGCATACTTGTACGAGTGAAGGTGCTACAACTAGATCAACATCTACATGTGCGTGCATTCTCCACTGTAATTAATACATTACCATATTAAACCTATATATAGTATCTCTAAATACTGGAGTAAGGCCAACGCTGTACAACTGTTTTACACATAAATACTCCTAAAACGACGAATCTACCTTAAAGAAAACACAATTTTAACATTTATGTACAACAACAACTGAGTTGTGACACGGACACGATATTATATTAGACATTTGAGTTTTAACTTATAAAATGCCAAATGAAAGATGTAGGAGAACTAATACATATATTCTAGGAGTTAGAACTTTTTTACACTAAACATAGTCTAAGCTTGATCTAAATAATATATTCAGGTGTAAACGTGATTTTAATAAGACAGATCTACATAATGAGCTGAATATAAACTTTATTCAAAAAATGTCAAATTCTTTTATTGTTCATTATCACTTCAATCCAATTTTTTTGAACTTATACTCCTATTGGCACGTTTGGAAAAAATTATGATAATAAAATTTTTACGATGCCAACGCACACCGACAGCCAAAAAACGACATGATGAAGTTAGCTACATTCATTTTACAAACAGTTTTGGTATACGGGATGAAATTTTTAGCTATTTTTGATCTGTTACGCCAAAGAAGTATAACTTCTTACGTGCGTACATAAGTACACACACACGTTTTTTTTGTAACTAAAATGATAATAGTAAATGATTTTGTAAATGTACATAAATTTTCTTCATAATTGGCGACTTAATATCGGATAACAAAAACTGTTAGTAAAGAACATATTATACTTATATGAATTGAATACCTCTTACATTTTGAAGTCGGTCAAAATCGACGCGCAACATTAATTAACATGCAAGCGACGACGCCATGTAACGGAACCCGTATCAGCCGTGCTCTATGGGCTGCTAACTCTACTAGCTAGTTTAGAATGTTTTTTTTTTAAATTACGTAAAACTATAAAATATTATTTATATAACAGATTTAACAAAAAGACGACGTAAAGCTATTGTAATAAAAAGTCACATTAAAATAAGGTCTTATTCAAATATTATAAGCTTAATATTCGGAAAATATCAGTTTTGATTATTATATAAATAATCTAAGCAGTTTTCATTTAAAAAAATATGACATGTAAGTAACATGCAGTAGCTATTCATGAACAATTTTACTAAAGCCGAGTACCTACTAATGATAGTGCTAAAACTTATTTAAAATATATAAATATACAAATACAATTTTAATATAAAAACTAAATATATATAACTGTAATATTACGCGTCTGTATCTACATCAATGTTACGCACAGGGTGCGAATAGGCCGAGAAAGTAAACGCTTTCTGTTGCGTTTGCGTTTAAAATGTCAGTAAACTTCTCAGATCAACAGCAAATATTGTCTTATAGATAACTGAATTACTATAATATACACACATAGAATTTAGATGCCAAAATGACGCAATAATAGTTTAATGATTAATTAAACGAACAAAGTGAAGACTAAAAGAGAAATAGCATCGAGTTCAGTAAAAATCAAATTAGTAATTTAATTTTATTTAATGGCTATCGATATCTATCTGAAAAAACGCTTTGAAATAAAGATAATCGCTTCATAATTGCTAAACCTGTTGTAATTGTAATAGAATATTACACAATAAGTTGTACTTGGGCGTACTTGCAACATTATCAGTCCACTATCCGGTTTCACTGGTCGATAAAATTGTTAGAAACCAACATAGTTTGTTAGTACTTGTATAAAATTTCTCTTTTCCTCAAACAATTTTGTAAACGAGAAATACCTTTAAAACCGTTTGTTTTAAAATTCCATTAGCGGCATGGACTTGAATAACAATGAAGATTTGGTCATTGCACTATTAAGACTAGATTATGAAGGTCAACTTACAGATTTTTGAATAGTTTATGTTATTACTAATGATTTTACAGATTGTGTGACAGTGTTCGGACATAAGTCTTTTTTGTCAAAATCAGAAAAAAATTATTATCAAATCCATACTAATAGGTATAATATTATAAATGTAAAAGTTTACAAGGATGGATGTTTGTAACTCTTTCACGCCAGAACTTTTTAAATCCCGGAAAAATGTACGGTTCCTCTGGTATCATTTGTTTTAGATTATCACAAACCAGGGGGTCGACTATCTATTCCATACTGACCGTTAAAACGTACCTAGGGAGGAATCCGAGCGAAGTAAGGGTGATTCGCTAGTATCAATATAAAAATTAACCCTATAATAACTGAACTAAACTATAATAACTGGCATTTGCCAGCAACAAAGTAAACTGAACCCTGGACCAGTCAAATAGGGTACTCCAATATTCGCAAACTTATTACATTATTTAATTAACAGCCAAGTACAGATGTCTGATGAGCTTAAAGCTCAAAATAAAAATTCAAATCTTTTTCAGTATTGAGTCCAAGCCCAATACCTGCAATTATAATCTCGAAATGCCTCGTTACTATTTGTATCAATTAGCGCTCGAGAAATTTCTCATTATCAAATTATGCGACCATATGGGAAACATTTAAAAAATCTTTAAATCAATAGCAATAATAGAAAATTTTAACATATAAAACAAATTATGGCATACGTACAAATATGTCAGTGCGCCAATGAGCATAGCGCCTCTGGGCCCCGTGAGGCTGATAACAGAGGGTGCCATCCAGTTGCAGATAGCCAGCGTGGCGTAGATGATTGCAAGTGACGTGTAGCCATCGCCGGTGAACTCTGGGTCATCTTGCCTTATACTATCGAGGATTGTTTTCTGTCAAAACACACAAAATATATTTATAATATGTGTATATATATATATATATATATATATATATATATATATATATATATAATAATTTAAAAAAACATTGCAACTTCCTTAAGTACTCATGTTGATGTTTATGTAGAGTATTGGGATTGAAAATGTAGAGCCCGAAACATGTGGCCATCTTTATGCACGTTAATAAACAATTAAATATTCAATCGCCAAAAGACATGTTTGAAAAATAAAATATACACGAATAAATTTTCTCTTTCTTTTGAAATATACAAAACAATACAAATAAAGTGTGTGATTTGTAAACTGTTTCTGTTGTAACATAAAAGTGTCATCCATGTCTGTATTAATTTTGTTGATTTGACCAATATAAAGGATACATCCCAAAATTGGAGACGAATAAGACCATAAAAGGATAAAGTATCACATAAATATTGCTGTATGCATGCCGAGGCTGTAACGCCAAAAGCTGTCATAATAATATTCTGATGCAACGACCTTACTTTTATTGTTTTGAAATCCAAAATTAAGTGTTATATACATAAAGTTAGCATTTCACAATAGTACATCCTTTTGTAGATATTATTTACAACTTGTTAATATCAGCGCTTTGGCGTATGTAAATTATAATAACAAAGTCAATCTCTTTTCGGAGACAATTTTTTCTTGAGATTTGAAATTTATCGTCAGGGTACCATTGCGTCGAAATAAATTGGTGACGATTGAAACTATTAAGCAATTATCGTTTTATACATTCATTTAGAGTACGTAATGCACATTTGCTGAATTATTTTTGATAATCGTTAATAATTATGTTAATAGTAACATCTAACAGTAGTACTAATCGTATGTTCCGATTGGCCAAATCTCATAAAAATCGATTAACAATAAAAAAATATGGTGTTTCTGTTTTGTTTTCGTAACTAATAACCTAATCATGAATTAAATTAATTACTACGGCAATTATTTTAAAATTATTGATGCGATCAAGAATTTACCACAATAATTGAAATAGTTTATACGTATTATTGAAGCATCTAAACTTATTAATGACTTACCCTCGCTTCGTTCGGGTTCGTCCCTAGGTTGCTTCACCATACAAACTTTCATACGCATTTTACCCCCTTAATGGATGATTTCCGGGATAAAACCTAATCTATGTCCTTCCCAGGATCTCAAACTACCTTCTCACCAAATTTCATCTAAATCAGTTCAGTAGTTTCGGAGCTCATTCTGTACAAACAAACAAACAAAATCTTTTCTCTTTATAATCTAATACATATATAAAAATCTCGTGTCACGGTGTTTGTAGTCGCACTCTTCCGAAACAGCTCGACCGATTTTAATGATTTTTTTATATTTGGTAGGTATGAGAATATTATTTTTAACCCATTTTTTAATCGGGATTTAGTATTTTTGTATGAACAATATTACATAAAATGTGAATATATACATCGCTGTATAACATAAAGCCTAAATTTTTTCTTTGTAGATTGAACACGGACGTAGCCACGGGATTTACTAGTATTAGTATAGATATTTTTGCATTTTAATCACTAATCAGTGCAGAAAATCCAATGTCGCGATTTAAATAAATGGCTCATTAGAGATGAACTTAGACGAATAAAATATTAATATTCTGATAACAATGTCAACATGACGTGACATGTTATTGACAACATACCCTTGAAAAATTGGTATCACACCAATAAATCGGGTTGACCTAAATTGGCGATCCTTGAGTTTATCGACTATAGACAAACAAAGATAATATCAATTGCGGATAATGCTGATTTATTTTGATAATAATTAAAACAGCATATATTCTATTATTTAGGTAAACATCATAATATTCTATCTACTACTGTGACAATAATCATTATGAAAAAACTTTTTAACAAAAAAATAAAAACCGACTTCAAACAAAAGCTCTAAAAAGTAAAAAATAACTGATTGGTAGTTTTCATTTACTATACATACCTAATCAAATATATTCGAAGTCGGTGTGCTTTGGCTAAGTAATTAAAGCCTACCTATTAAATACATACCTAATCAAATATTTTCGAAATCGGTGCCAGCCCATACAAAGCAAAGCACACCGACTTCGAAAATATTTGATTAGGTATGTATAGCAAATGAAAATTACCAATCAGTTATTTTTTACTTTTTACTGCTTTTGTTTGAAGTCGGTTATTATTTTTTGGTTTAAAAGTTTTTATTTTTCCCTTTTTAGTGTAGACAGTAGTAGCAAAGTAAGAATTCTAAAGTGTTAGGCTTATCAAATCAAACAAAATAAGCCTAAACTCAAAGTATCTACTATTAGTCCTTGAAGAGTTCCACCTATCCACCTTCTGGCCTTACCATCAGATCAGGTCAACAATACCGAACCACTGTACTATCAACGGAAATAGAAACACCTGCAAAGTTTCAAGTCAATATGACAATTAGAAGTAGGTTAAATCCATCATTAGCTATTTTTCCACCCTTAGGGGTGGTATTATTTTTGAAATTTCCATCTGGAAGTATACCCTTTCAAACAAAACAAAAATTGTCCAAATCGGTTATTAAATGACGAAGTTCTGAGGTAACAAACATAAAAAAAAAAATAACAAAAAAAATACAATCGAATTGAGAACCTCCTCCTTTTTGAAGTTGGTTGAAAATTAAGATCTTCATTAATTATATATACCTTATTTTATAACTAGCTACATCTATTCGGTAAGAGTCAACTATAAAGTTTATGTACGATTTTTGCCTCTTCGGCTTGTGGAAATCGGCATTCGGCAGATTATTGATTTGCACACTTTTCAGGATGTAATTAGCCCATCATACCTTAATCTGACGGTTTCAAGTATTTCCAACTTATCAAAATATTTTTTAAATACTTTGATCGGCTGCCCTAGACGCGCGCCCATATATAGAGGGCTTATATAGAAGTGGAGGTGCTCAACAGAATGCAAGGTATCCCCCTTATGTTAATCTGCCGCGCTTGAGTAAATCCAAAAATCCCCTCTTGGACTCCTCTACTATTTTTGTTTTATTTTATTTCATGAATCCTTTCATTTCCCTTACTTTCGGACCACTCTCTCTCATGTCAGATTTTGCGCAAGTACCAACAGCGACGTTACATAAATATCTATTTAATCGAATAATATTATGTATTTATTTTTGACATTTTTTACTATAGGTAGATGTACAGGTTAAAACTAGTAGCCCAAGAGCCGGTAGACATTTCGGAGCAGGTAATTGAAGCACTGTGAAAAATTATTTAATATGTCTTCTAGTGATACCTGAATACTGAAATACAGACCTAGCTGAAGAGTTCCGGGGCTTAAGCTACCCTTAAATTTTTAAAGGAGCTAAATTTTTTTTCCAAAAAATATTCATAGATTTTTTTTTTTGTAAAAAAAATGTTTAAAGAGTTTAAAAATGAAATCTGGCATAGACCCCGCTAATTGATATGATCCGATTCAAACTAAATTAAATTTCGTATTATAACTACTTATATTATTATTGTTACAATACCGTAAGTAAGGTAATGGTCACAATTTTTTCCACAAAAAATACTAATTATACATAGAAATAACTTAAAAGTACTTCTAACGCTAAGCAATCTGCGGTTAACGCAGCGTGAAATGCTTTGGTATTTTAATATTTGTCCATTCCATTATAGAAAGTATATTCGCGGTTCTTGGTGTAATACATTCGCAAAACGCTACTAGGTGAAGATTATTTATGGAATATACAATACTCATGAAAGCTAACATAACATATTGTGTATGCGTTTTATACAACTGTTTATACAATAATAATGTTTATAAAATTAAATAAAACTATCTTTTCGGATTTTGTCGCGGATTTATTTTAATGGCAACACTAAATATAGATTGCTAATTAATATTTTCCGAAAAGATAGTTTTATTTAAAATGTCAAATATTCGCGTAAATCTAAGAAAGTATTTATAAAATTAATTATATAATGGTAATAATAGTGATAGACATATATAAATTTAAGAAGTTTAAATATTATTAAGTACTTGTTAATATTATTCTAATTTTACAATAGGTATTAGTATTGACGTACCCACTAATGTTAAAATTAATGAATAAAAATAATTAATTATTATTATTTATGTATTCAGTCCTTTTTAACGTCCCACTGCTGCACTAGGCACGGACCATTTTCCATTTCGTTTTCACAAGGAAACATACAGATTCTGTCCTTTTTTTACATGGTTTAAGACTTTGAATAGGTCTCAAAAGGGCTTACAGAAAATACGCATTCGCAATTGCTATTTTTATTAACCGACTTCAAAAAGGAGGAGGTTCTCAATTCGATTGGTATTTTTTGTTATTTAAAATTAAAACGTACCGAGCGAAACGAGGATAAATCGCTAGTAGTCGAATAAATTATGAAATAGATATAAACTCCCCTATTAAGCTTTGTTTTTTCCGATTCTTTATAAAAAGAATTTGGTTTTCTTATAACAAAATATGTAGACAGATGTAAATATTTTTTTATCTCGAAAGACTTTTAAACAAAATTTTAAAATATTGTTTAACCTCCTAAAATTTGAAAAAGCGTTAAAATATCCCATTTTCTTGTGACTTTTACACGTGGTAAATAGGTAACTAAACAATCCAACAACAAAGTTACGCCATGGTCGTTACTCGTTACACAAGGAGCCATCGCGAATCTCGGACAATGATCTCAAATTCTCAATTCGTATTACATAACTAAAACTTATATGGCCATGTCAATAACTTGTTAGTCGGAAAGGATTTTATTGCAATAATAAATTGTACTTTCTCGACCCACTTCACATTCACAAATAGGTAGAAATGATAAATTAATGTGACCCCAGTGTGTAAATATGATTACTTTCTGAAGTAAACAAATGAAATAAAAATCATCATCGTTATTTTCTATCTATATTTCAACTATTGCTCCGAGCATAATTTGAAACTCAAATGTTAAATAACCGAGTCAATCAAAAATTTAATGTACACTATCATTAAAATGTAACTAATTAAATAAAATGTTTTCAATGTTTTGAAACAGTTTTAATATTTTTGTATGAAAGCTGAAGTACGTATATTTATTATTTCGATTTAATAATTAGAATTGTGATACGCCGCAAGTTTTAAAAAAAATCTAAAAATAGCATAAAAACTTAATTAAAAAAACCGTCTTCCAGCCACTAACGTCTAAAATGTAAAAAATAACTAAACGGGGGTTTTCATTTAGAAATAATCAAATATTTTCAAAGTCGGTGCCAGCCGATGCAAGGCAAATCTAGTATATTTCGATACGTAAAATATATATTTACCTATTAGGTGTTCATATCTTAACTTGACCGATTTCGATAAAATTTATATGGGACCACCTGGGAAGTGTACTCTTTGAAACAAAAAAAAATTCCAAATCGGTTCAAACGTCATCGAGTAATCGATAAACATACATAAAAAAAAAATAAAAAAAAAAGATTCCGACAAATTAATAACCTCCTCCTTTTTGGAAGTCAGTTAAAAATGTTGGCAATTTCACAAAGGTTCCTTCCGCTTTATTAATTAAACTACTTTATAGTAGCTTGTGAAGAAAATTTTACGTTTCGAATTTCAAAAAAAAATATTACTTACCACAGATTTTTTTTTACTTGCATTACCTACTTACTAAATTTTTTGCATTAAATTAATGGTTTAGAAAAAAGAAACTTGAAACGGTTCTAATATTTTTGTATGAAAGCTGAAGTATATTTATTAATCGATTTAAAAAATAGAATTGTGATACGCCGCAAGTTTAAAAAACAAAAACAAAAAATAGCAAAATGTTGGCAATTTCACAAAGGTTCCTTCCGCTTTGTTAATTAAACTACTTCATAGTAGCTTGTGAAGAAAATTTTACGTTTCGAATTTCACAAAAAAATATTACCATTACAGATTTTTTTCACTTTCATTACTTACTAAACATTTTTGGATTAAATTAATGGTTTAGAAAAAATATTACACTAGCATTGCCTGCGGCTCCGCCCGCGTTCAGATGACCAAAAACGAAATTCTTAGGTTTTACATATTAGTATACACTTACATTGCAGTTTTTGCATTTTTTCTCAGAAATGAGATATTTTGCCGCGGTAAAAAGTATCCTATATGTTGACCAGGATAACCAGCTATCACCATACCAAATTTCATCAATATTCCTCCAGTGGTTTTTCTGTGATGCGGTAACAGACAGACAAAAATTCTAAACACTATAGATTCAGTCTCTGTATCGATAATAATGTTTATTTCAATTAGATTTTCCGAAAAATATCTAATGTACAGATTCGGCTTAGTTACATTTTTATTATATGTATAGATTTGTAATAATCTTTAAAATGATCTAATACTGTAATTTATTCTTTTGCAATTTCTATGGTCGACAAAGATATCTGTGCTAATTACTGATCTTTACACAGTTTGATTTATTATTTATATTATTAGATTAAAAAAGTTTAATTAAGAATCTCAAGTTGTTTATTTAATTAATAACTTGTACTTGTCCCAAATATTTACCAAGCTATTTGTAAACTATTGACTAATTGAAAACAATGGCATAGGTTAACATTAATAAGAGAAGATTTTTTTAAATGCAACTAAATAAATTAGGACTGACAAAATTTGTATGGCAAACAATATTGTTCAGGGATCAAATAAAAAAAGAATAGAGAGGCAAATTAGATGAAGTCAGCTCTATAAAATGCTACTTTAGAGAAAGAATTCTCACAGATAATTTGATTAATTATCTTGTAATTAATTATTTTGTAAAAAAATGCAAGTCTAGCGAATGCAGTTCTTCTACAGCAAAAAGTTTTGAGATCTAATGTAAAACCAAGCTGGTTAATGTAGTCAGTGCCTATATGGAAGCATCCAAGCAATGACTTTGTCATAAATTGTTACCTAATTATTTAAATAACAACATTTTATAGTGAACATATCAATATTACATACCTTTATATCTTTAATAAAAAGAATGACTAGCAATCTGATTTTATATTCATTTAAAATATGTGCTAAACCAAATAAAAACTAGTAATTGTTAATTTAAGTTACAGTAAATATTATTGTTAATAACTAATTACTCAAAATATTATTAATAATAATTTTTATACAGAAAATATTGCAAGTCTTTTGGAATAATCTCACAAAATATTATAAAATTACATTTATCTATTAATTAATAAATTATTTCTATTAATTTTTTAATGAACAAATGGATCACTAAATAACAACCAAGTTCGAGTTTGATGTGAAGGCTGTGTGAAAGTAATGCAGACCAATGTAGAAGTGTTGTATAATTTTTGTAATCATTTACTCCTTATATTTATAATCTCTACTACATTTAATAAAAAAAAAATATTTTTGCTATGTAGAATATTTAGTTTTAATCAATAAAAAAAAGAATCTTTAGTTTGTAATTTGTATCGTGAAATTGAAAAAATATATTTAAATAAGTACTTTAGGTACAATCAAATTTATAAGATTTTTCGATTGACTTACCTCTATATTGCCCATCGTTTGGAAAGCTGTAAACACAAACATGAATCCAAAACCGAGTAATATTACATTTACAAATTTGCGCTCCATTTTTTAATTATTCTTTAATACAACTTCTTGATATGAAAAATATAACCAGCACGATAATATTATTTTAATATATAAAAACTAAAATTTTAAAAAGCACTCCGTATCAATGGATGTTTCTTTTAATAATGGTTAATAACAAACTCTAGGGACTAGGACCATTCTCCAAGTATGCAATATCTAAACTCCCTCCACTGTTTGTAATCGACGTTATATTAAGCTGATTGCTAACAAATATTCACTCTTATTTCTATAGACGTAATATCTACAATACATTCCTACATTTCCAAAAACAAGCAAAAACGTCATCAAGATTAGTAAATATAAATAAATACTTGTCAAATGAGCTGTCAAACCGAAGACGAAAGAGGTATAGACAAAGAAATTCATCTTTTATAAATTATTTAAAAAAAATGACTTCTTTAAAATTAAATTTTAAGACTTTTACATGTTTCATTAAATTATAAAACATGTTTTTATTGTATCATATTTATATAATAATATAATTAAAACACATTTATAAAATTTTGGAAACTGGCTACACTGTACATTTATCCGGGAATCCCGATAGCACTGTACCTTGCTATAGGAAAAGCACTTTTATTGTAAAGACTTAAAGACATTTTAGCTTTAACCTAACAGACGGCATATCTATAAGCACTTGAGAGTTGAGTATAAAACCACGGTAATGTTATTAAAGTTCTTTGGTTATCCTTATCTTTGATTTTTCCTGATATTCATTGTCGTATTACTTAATATTAGTTTTTAACGAGTAGGCACAAGTTTTCTTTACTGTTCGTTTCTGTTAACGTTTTGTTTATTAAATACACCAATTCATCTAAGTATTGTATCTATTAAATAACTGTAAAGTATAGTCTGATAATAACGAAATAGGTATTTTACTGCGGAGTGCGGCCTGCACCGTGCACGGAGAGAGTTACGAACATTTTACGTAGCAAAATGGCGAAGGCTAAAGTAAATAAAAAGTAAGTAAAGTAGTACCTAAGACTTTAAATATGAAGATCCCACGAATAATAATTTTATCTTAAGCTTTGATATAAATCTATACATTAAATATTTTTTGAAAAATCTTAATGAAATAAACATTATTATCGATACAGAGGCCGAACCTATCGTTTTTAGAATTTTTGTCTGTCTGTCTGTTACCGCATCACAGAAAAACCACTGGAGGGATTTTGATGAAATTTGGTTTATCCGGGTCAACATATAGGTTACTTTTTACCGCGGGAAAATGTCTCATTTCTGAGAAAAAATACAAAAACTGCAATGTAAGAGTATACTAATATGTATGTAAAACTTAAGAATTTGGTTTTTGGTCTTCTGAACGCGGATGGAGCCGCGGGCAATGCTAGTAAGAAATATGTTTTTGAATAATTTTTGAGAATATAGAATGTTTTATAATATTGACAATCTTTGACAAATTTCTCAATCTATTTTTTTGACTCCTATTTAGGTTGGGAGTAGTAGGAGTAGAGCTACCTGAATGTCCTGTTTGCATGGAGGTTATGTCAGCACCAATATTTCAATGTCAGTCGGGACACAGTCTTTGTAATTCCTGTACTAGGAACTTGTGTCCTCCTAACTGCCCTATTTGCCGCCAGGCAATGACTCAAATGAGAAACTGGCAGCTAGAAGACCTAATCTCAAAGGTTTGCATATATTTCTTTATATATATATATATATATATATATATATATATTTATATATATATATATATATAATTTTTTTACAATATATAAATATAGGAGGCCGTATGCATACAATAATCCATGATTTTTTATATTATTGAAGTTACATTTGGTTAAACATATTTCAAATTTTAGCCCTCTAAATTTATTTACAAATATATGCTGGGAAATATATTAGAAATGAAAAACTTAATAATGTTTTCCTATTGAAACATGATCTCAAGAACCTATTTATAATCTTGTACAGATTTCTCTAAATAAAATATTTAATCAAGTTTTACTAATCAATAGCAGTTTATGAACTAAAATGTTTTAGTTACTTAAATGTTTCATTTTTATGTATACAATAACAATTACAATTTTTAAAATACTAGAATATTCTAATACATATTGATCTTGTATAAACAAGGAAGTTCAGTGTAATTAAACATTTTTATAGAAGATATAATGAATGCTAACTATTTAACAATCCTTTTATTATTGTACATTTTAGAATTGGAAATATTTAAATTATAATAATTACAAATTATTAGAAATAGGCACTAAGTATTTCTATCTTATACCAGGCTACTGTTCCTTGTCCTAATAAAGATGTTGGCTGTACTTACACTATGGTTGCTATGAATGTCGAAGATCATCTTAAGGAATGTATATACCGTGAAATGCAATGCCCACTGGGCATTATTTTTGGCAGATGCTCGTGGTCAGGTAATAAAAATTTTAGGTAAAGTTTATTTTTCTACATTCTATTATTACAGATAATAATTATATTAAATGCATGTCAATAATTAATTATATATTACTATTGTACTAGTGACTCGCTTGCGCTAATGCTTAACAGTAACTTATTTGTCAGTCAAAGAAACTTATAAAATAAAATAAAATAGCCTTTATTACAGGAGTCAGAGTTACAGAGTTATTCAGATAAAGTTGTTTTAGGGTTTACAAAATATCTCTGATTTCTGTGTGCCTTTTGGCAAAGGCCTCCTCCATCTGTCTCCATTGGACTCTATCTAGCGCCACTCGTGTCCACAGTGGCCCTAGAGTTTGGCAGATTTCATCCTCCCATCTCCTTATCTGGCGCCCTCTTTTGCGTTTACCGTCTCTGGGGTACCAGACCGTTACGCGTTTGCTCCACTTCTCCAGGCTACTTCTTAGTAGGTGCCCAGTCCACCTCCATTTTAATTGGTCAACTCGCGTGAGTATGTTGGTAACTTTTGTTTTAGATCTGATATCATCGTTGCGGATCTTGTCTTTTAATTTCACTCCCAACATACTCCGCTCCATTGCACGCTGACACTTTGTAAGTTTTTCCCTATGGGACTTTGTTAGCGACCAGGTCTCGCATCCGTAGGTCAAGCATGGTAAGATACATATGTCAAAGGTCTTCCTTTTAAGATGGATTCCCAGCACTTTGCTCTTCATTACTTCCTTCAAAGACCAATATTTCTTCCAACCATATGCAATCCTCTTGTTGATCTCCTTAGTCATTTGGTCGCTTGGAGAAATTATTTGTCCTAAATAAACATATTCGGTAACATAATCGAAAAGATCACCATTGATTGTTATGTCCACATGTTTTGAGTTGGTCATTATTTTAGTTTTGTTCTTGTTCATTTCTAGCCCTACTTCCTTGCTTTTCGCAGCCAGATCTTTGATCATAAGTTCTAGTTTCTTGGGATTCTCTTCGAACAAAACAATATCATCAGCGAATCGCAGGTGGTTAAGACGACAGCCGTTTATATTTAGACCTAAACCAGCCCAGTCTATACTCCTAAATATACTTTCTAAAACAGCTGAGAAGAGCTTTGGGGATAGTGGGTCCCCTTGTCTAACTCCTCTGTTAATAGGGAATGGGTGACCAGTTTCTTCCAGTTTTATGCTACTTTTACTTATACTATAGATGTTTTTAATTATATTTATATAGACTTCGTTAACACCCTGCTGTCTTAAGCTTGACCATATGTGGTTGTGGTTGAGCGTATCAAATGCCTTAGAGTAATCAATGAAAGCCACGTATAGGGGTTTCTGGTATTCGTTGTATTTCTGGATAATCTGTTTCACAGTATGGATATGGTCAATAGTGCTGAAATTCTTTCTAAACCCTGCTTGCTCCACCGGTTGATTCTCGTCCAGCGTTTTTGATATTCTCTCCTGTAATACTTTGGCAAACACCTTATATATATTGGACATTAGGCTTATAGGCCGGTAGTTACCCATCTCATCTTTAGCGCCTTTCTTGTGTATGAGGATTATGTGGGATTCGCCCCATTGATTTGGAATGAGCTTTGTGCGCAGGATGTCGTTGAATACCACTGCTAGTATTGGGCTTAATTCCTCAATTGATCCTCTCATTAGCTCATTCGGGATTTTATCAGGTCCCGGTGCTTTTTCTAGTTTTTGGGAATTTATGGCCTTCTCGACCTCTCCTGCAAGTATAGATGGTATTGGGTCTTCTTTGAGTTGAGGATCAGCTTTGTCTTGCTGATTTACGTCGTTAGCATGGTCTTTGGAGTACAATGTGCGGAAATAGTCTGTCGCTAATCTCTGTATATCTTTTCGTTTAGTAATGCTAGTTTGATTCTTTTTCATTTTGGGTATCCATTCTTTCTCTTTCTCTCTTAACTCTTTTAGTGCTTTCTTTATGCCTCCTGTTTTCGCTATGTGTTTTTCTAAAGTTTGAAGTCTTCTTGTTTTTCTATCTTTTTTCATACTTTCCCTAATTATTTTACTAAGCGCAGAGATTTTGTTTACGTTGTCTTTTTCCGAAAACAACTTCTTCTTTCTTTTAGGAGATTTAAGGTTTTTTCGCTGTGTTTTGGTTTTCTTGTGTTTGTTATGCTGGTTTTTGTTAATTTGGTGAGTTTGTTTTCTACCTTGTTGTATTTTTCTAGTACATCTATTTCGGACTGAACAATTTCCAGAAGAGGTTTGGTATCTAATTTATTCAATTTAGTGAGTTCTTGTTCTGAAGGTAGGAGGTTTCGATTGATTATAAATTTTCTAGATATTTTAGGTGGTGCAGAGTTTAGACAACTTCGTACCATGCGGTGGTTTGTGTTGAAGTTTAGGTTCTGAATTATGTGTGTGTCCTTAAATAGTTTGGGTTTGTTCGTTAATATAAAATCAATTTCGTTTTTAGTCCGCCCATCCGGGGATATCCAGGTCCATTTGTTCTTAATTTTTTTCTTAAAAATCGAGTTTAACAGTGTCAAATTGTTTTCGAGCAAGAATTCGACCAGCTTGTGACCATTGGTGCTTCTCTTTCCGTGACCAAACTTTCCCATGATTAAATCCTCTCCCACTTGTCTCGTGCCTATTTGAGCATTAAAATCTCCCATCACTATAAGGTGATTGTTGGAGTATTTTTCCACGATTTCTGATAGACATTCGTAAAAGTGGACCGTGTCATTCTCATTAGCTTGCTCTGTAGGCGCATATACCTGGATAATAGACCAGTCTTTTTTGTGGTTGGAGATATTGATGTGGAGGATTGCTATTCGGTCCGATATCCCTTCGAATTCTTTTATCGAGTTTTTGTGATTAGACTTAACTAAGAAGCCTACTCCACGGTGACCAGCAGTACCGCCTTTATTGTACATGATGTATTCCTTTCTTTCTACTATTCCCTCATCTTCTCTTCTCATTTCGCTGATACCTAGTATGTCCCAGTTTAGGTCTCGTAGGGCAAGTTCTAGTTCTTCAAGGCTTTCTTCTGTTCTCAGTGTTCGAGTATTCAGTGTACTGATATACATGAGGTTTTGTTTGTGAATTTGTTTTCCTGTATAATTTATTTCAGTTGGAGGGTGTTGGTCGTACTTTCCCACGGTGACCAGCCGGCTTGGGAAAGAGTTTTTTTCAGTTGTGGTTGTGTGCGTTTGGTTGTTTAGAGTGTTTGTCTCCCGGTCCTGTCGTTTCAGTAGTTGCTATTTCTTGCTTGCTGTGGTTAGTGAAAGTGAGTTCGATCTAACTCTGTGCACTTGTTCTAACTTGTTTGTTTTGTTTATTTTAGTTGGGGCAGTAGTTGGTTGTTCTTCAGCAGCTGCTGCAATTTTAGGTGACTTTGACGGCGATCGTTTCCGCTTTTCTGTTGATTTCTCATTTATGATCAGTTTATCATAGCGGATATAAGCTCGATTTCCTTTCTTGATTTCTTCTTGTTGCTGTATCTTCAACTCTTTCCTTTTGTTTAGGATGTCTTTTGAGAAATCTTCACTAATGTAGACCTTTTGTGGGAAGAATCTTTTATTCTTTAACATTTCCATTTTACGCCATTCGAGGGTAACAGAAACAAGGATGGGTCTTGTTTTGTTTTGCATTGGCATCCCAAGTCTACGAACGTTGCTGATCTCCCATTTGTCCCAATTGTCCAATCCAGCTTTTTCGCCAGCCGTGTTAAAGATTTCTAATACCAGATTTAGAAGGTCCGCGTGATTTTTTTCAGTTTCCTGAACTCCATGTAGTATCAAGTTGTTCTTCCTTATATCCCTTTCCATGTTTTGTACTTTTGTTTTTAAAGCATTAATCTCCTTTTTCAATTCTTGGTTTTCTTCCAGAACTGGTCGCAGTTTTTCATCTATAGTGGCAGATAGGGTTTTTGTCACATTTTCGGTTATTCTTATTGTTTGTTTTTCAAATTGTTCCTCCATTTTAGAAAGTAAAATTGTTAGGTCCGTCATGTTTCAATTTCTACTAAATGGTAGTTTTTCCTTTATGTGGCAACACTTTTTAGACTCTGGTAACTTTGGTATTCTATGTTTATGGTCGGAACTGAAGTTGTCAATGTCAAACTCCACTGAGTGATTACGCTGTTATTTACCAATTTTGAATTTAGTATAGCATTTATAGTTATGTTTATTTTCTAAAACGATATTGTGTTTCACTGTTTCTCGCGATAATCACTGTTGTTTTTCATCTAATTGTATTGTTCACACTACTGGAATATACGTCCTTGTTTTTGTGCACTATTTGCGTCGGAACTTTTGGGTTTTACAACACTTTTTCGAAATTATTTTGGAGACACGAAAATACACGTAGTTTACTCGACAGGTCGAAACCGGAAGTCCTAAGAAACTTACATTTATTAAAAACTTAAAAAATAATTAAAAACCGACTTCCAAGTACTAAAATGTAAGAAATAACTAAACTTCTGAATGAAACCCCCAAGTGATTTTTTACATTTTAGTGCCTGGGAGTCGGTTTTTTTTTAAGTTTTTAATTTTCATTTTTAGTGTAGACATAATGAGCAGGTAATTGTATGAAGATAATTTTTAATAACATATAAGATTAAGCAATATATTTAAAAAAATGATTGTTGATTTTTTTTTAACCGCTCGACCAATTTCGATAAAATTTAAATGGGACCACCTGGGAAGTATACCCTTCGAAACAAAAAAAAATTCTAAATCGGTTCAGGCGTCTTCGAGTAATCGGTGAACATACATAAAAAAAAGATTCTGATGAATTGAGAACCTCCTCCTATTTGGATGTCGGTTAATAATAGTTATTATATAAATAGAATTCAAAACATAATCTCATTTACAGGAAAACTAAGAGAGATGCTGGAGCACTTTAAGGAACGTCATCCTCAAAATTGCAATATTAGCGTGAACACTGATATTCATCTAAATAACATCTCTGTATCGGTAGATGATCGTTACATGTACCTTGTGAATCTACAAAAGTTCTTATTTATTTTATCAATAAAAATGGATACTTGTCAAAAAATGGCATATTGGGCAATACAACATATTGGTAACAAAAAAACCGCCCAGCAGCATACATATGAGATTAATATTACAAGCACACAAGATGAACGGCGTAAAGTTATATTTTCTGATACATGTTATAATGATGCTTTTGATACTAATGAAATTTTCCGTCAAGGAAAATGTGGTGTTATGCCACTCAATATGTTGTCTCATTTTATAAAAGATGGAAAACTAATGTTTCAATTTAACATAATCAGAAATCAATCTAACTTTAAAAACAGATATAAGAGTAATGACCCTAACACGGGAAACAATCAAACACATAAAGGACCAAAAGGCCAGCCACAAAATAGGCCTGGACCACACCCTGGAAACAATATCAGATCAAAAAGTCCATCTGCATTTAAGAATCAACAAAAAGGTCCTGGAGGTTTTCAATATGGAAATAAAGGCATGACAACTAATCAAAAAAAATATAAACAATAATTACTTTATAATTTACTACTATTGTACACACCTTTGGCTCTGTTGTTGTGCATTGGCAGTGAGGGTAGAGCCATCTTTTAATCTGTTCAGAACTAAGAGAATATTAAAGTTGAACTATTATCCTAATATCCAATGTAATAACTCAGGGTGTGGTCAATTTGTGCATACCGTGCGCAATCTAACCGCAGCAAACCTACTCGCGAGCTATATTGAAAGCTAAACATACATCCCCTCAACTCACACTGAGATTTAGGGTATTTTTTAATAAAGTTATTTTCCTAATCATCTGCATGGTACATTTTCGGCTTTCCATTGCCTATTGGGATGGATTTATTATTATATACTTATTATTCTTCATCAATACCCATTGTTCGTTATATATCATTAAAAATATTATAAAACAACATATAAACAACAAAAATATTATTAAACATTCTAAGAAATAAGAGAAGGTATAATCGTAGATCCATAATAGTAACTTTTCTATGAAATTTATTCTAATAAATATAATTGTAAAAATTGTTTTTTGTCATAAAAAAACTGTATAGAAAAGGTTATGTGTTTAATCTGTATATGTATGTTCGATCCTATGTTTTATCGTAACTCCTAAACTAGGTTAACTATAAATATTTTTATGCTTATTCAAGACGTACGCAGTAAAATTTTTCATTTTTATTTTTTTTGTGCGTCCATTAGAATACAAGATAATGATTTGAAATTTTTACTAGATCATAAATTAATTTGTATTGTAATATTAAATATGTACTTTTAAACGCATTAATTAAAATGATAAAAAATACGTTAATTTACTTGTGTTTAAATGATTTATTACACAATGTTTACTAAACTGCTATAAGTAGTTACTTATTTCACCTATTATATATAAACTAATGTTTATGTATTTAAGTATAGTAGAGTTCGATACAAACTTAATGGTGGCTCGGACATAAGGCTGCCAGCTTGGGTAAGCGCAGTGTCTCGTCTCTTGAGTTTGAGCCCCGCTTTTTTTCTTCATAAATTTAGGAAGAAAAATTTACACTGGAAGATTTTAGTGGGTAAATATTTTGGGAATGTTTTTAGATATTAAATTTTATTTAAGTTTATAAACAAACTATACCAGACTACCTTACATCAAGCCAAATATGAATCAAAGAGCCTAGCCGTACTTCCATGGCGATATATCTGTATCATCCTCCTTTCGAGAAATCTTCCCCATTTTTAAGATCAGATGGCTTCGAGTTCTGAATCATCGAGTTTTACTCGATTTGGTAAGATTAACGTTTATAAAAGATTTGTTAAGATAAATCTCTTACTAAGATAAAGCAGTGAAAATTATAAGTTTATTGTTTTAGTTTAATACCAGTCCTCCATGCTTGTTATTGCTCGAAGTTGAAAATAGGTATGCGGGTTATATGAATTTTCAAATGCTGCCGTTAATATTGCGTTATGTTTGTTCGTTTTTTAAAGATATTTTTTTATTTTTACCTGTCTTGTGATTTTTCAAAAGTTACTTAAAATTATATAACTAAAAATTGTATTTTTACATACATGTTACATGAACTGATCAAAAGTTATGTAAAAAATGTAACCTTCTGGCAACACTGGTATAGAGTTTTAACTTTTAGGATCAATCTAATGTCAAATTTGACGTTAGCAAAAAAAGTACCTTTTTTGGACGGAGTGTGGATATTTATCTATTTAGATAACAATTTTTTTATTTATAGGGCTCGCCCGCGATTTTTTTAATGTTATTGACGAATCAAACCAAGTGAAGATATATGTAAAGGATGACACCCAAAAGCACTGTTCTGCTAGATATGTACTAGAACGTGCAATTGGAAGCTATTTAAATTCACAGACATATTATGCTGACACTATGCATTTTATGCCTTTAAATAATAATTTATGCAACAGACCATTATCCTATAAGAAGAAAGAAATAAGCAGTTACGTAAAGGCCGAGTCTATTAATACGGTTACCGTACGAAAAATTTATAATTATTAATACGGGTACTGGACAAACAATTTATTATTATTCGTACATAAGTCGGACGAATAATTTTATTTTATCAAGTAGAGTGGAAATTTAAAAAAAAAATAATTTTGCGTTTCTATTTGTTTTTAATTTAAACCAAAAAAAGGTAAATGTTTGCCGATTTTAATACTATTAAATACTACTAACCTAACCTAACCAAATCGATTAAACAAAAAAAAACCCTAACCTAACCAAATCGATTAAAAAAAAACCTTACCTAACCAAATCGATTAAAAAAAAAACCTAACCTAACCAAATCGATTAAAAAAAAAGTATAAGTATTAGTAATAAATTTTATAATAAAAAAAAAATATCCGTATGAATATACTCATTCTTAAAAAACAAGCTAATCAGCTAAAATAAATGTACGAATAAATATATTTTACTCGTCCAGTACCCGTACAAATAGTCACTTCGTTACGTAAATAGATAGATAAAAGTTACACCAAGTGACAACATCTTTTTCAAATATTGAGATGCAATAAGACATTAGTTTTTGAATTAATGTTTCATTTACGTGGTAATAAAATACGCATTTGTAATAAACATTTTTATTTTACACTTGATACAACCAATTTGTTGTGTTAGACAAATTTTATTAATTGCTTTTGCTATTTTGTACCCATCCAGTAGAGTGGATTTGTTAATCTTCCCTTCTTTTCTCTTGAATCTGTAACCATATTATAACTGCTAAGGAATTGTACCCAATATCCAAAATTAGTGTACGGACTTCACATAGGTGTAACGCATATTTGTTTTAATATACACAAATAATATACTTACGTCTTACACTTACCAAAGAATAACTTTTAATTTTATACACCAAGACATTTATGAACATATTGTCATCGCTTATTATTTTTTCTTTTCTTTAGTGGCTTAAAAAATAACATTACTTTTTATTTTATTACATAAACACCAATATGTACAAACTTTTGAAATGTGCGCCACACCTCGTTGCCATAGTAATAAGTAATAAATAGTTTTAAGGTACAGAATAAATATCAAAGGCATCATTATTGTGTGTGGTTTAATCATGAAATAAATATTAGAAAATCTAATCTTTAAAATTGTTATTAAAACACTAGGAAGTCATCTTAAACGAAAAAAGCGTATTATATAACGTTTTTTATTCATTAAAAAGAATTTGACCATAGATTCATAGCAGCCGGATACAGATAACGGCGCTAATAGCACTCGAACATAAGACGATCTCGGTTTTGTTTCGATTTGGTTCGAGAGTAAGACAGCCGAATCGAGTTCGAATCAAATATAAAGTCGAATTCGAATCAGTTTCAAGAGTAAACCCACTGTTTCAACTATTTGTCTGTTTTGTCTATTACCTATCTGTTGTTTGATGTCAACACAAACAATTGGTTTTAGTGTCTGTGGATGTCAAATAATCTCAGAGTAGCCAACCAGGGGTTTTCCCCAAATTTAGGAGGAAAAAATGCTTAGGGGTTTTATAGGGGAAAAAAATGTAAAGGGGTTTTTTGGGGTTTTTTATTTAATAGCATGACTAAATATAAAGAACTTTAACGATTCTTTTTATTTGTAAATAAAGGTATTTTTTTTAAATAATTAACTTTACAAATAGGTTATCTGTAATTAGTAAATTTATGTTAAACAACTAAGCATTAACTTTGACATTTGTAAATGATGGAACTTTTTGAAGAGATATTTTTATTTTTGAACTATTTTATATTTAAAAGATGGGCACCGGGGATTTTTTAAGAGAGAAAAATATTTAGGAGCTTTTTTAGGGGTTTATAAAGTTTCGATTAGACTTCGAAAAATTATATTCTTTTTTTATTATTTTCTAAGTTATCTATGGAATTTATTATTATTTTCAAATGGTTATATGCAATTATTTTTATAATAACCATAAATGAGTTTTTTATGCTATTTGTAATTATTTAAAATAAAAAAAAATATTAGATAAAAACCTATATTTTTCAAATTGACACTTAGGGGGTTTTTGAAATAACTTTTGGGGGGATAAAATTTCAAGTGTTGGCAGCACTGAATATTCTCCATCTGTGGTTCAGTTTTCTGATTTGCATATCTGTGGATTTTTATTTTTTCTGATTCATAAAATTTTATCTAAATTTATGTTTAATTATAAATAAAATAATTATGAATACAATAAATAAATTTTGAAATGTAGTGCCTTATCGTAATTTGTTTCTGTCTGATGAATCGCGGTGTTATCATAAATAGTGTGTGAAGATGATCTCATTGACTTGCTGACATTAGATACGTTCTTTTCGGCGAGTGATCTTGATCGTTTTATTGTTATTGACTAAGTCCAATGACCTTGTAACATTAAATAAACTAATAAAAAATAGTTAAAATGAAGAAACAATTCTACAGGGTGAAACAGCTAGCCGATCAAACTTTTTCAAGGTACCTATTATCAAATCAGATAAGATTTTGACTGCTTAGTGCTTTGTGAGCGAAGTTTACTTACTTACGTCAATATTTTGTATATATCTACATCGTATGATCTTTAATATTATGAAAGAAAAAAGTTATTAAACATTTTGTCACATTTTTTTAAAGGCTAGAATATATTTCATATAACACACTTGTTAACGTATTTTTTTTATTTAAATTTTGATGTACATGTCATATTCGTATTTCATTGTAGAGCTGGCAAAGGTGAAGCTTTGACTGATGAGCTACAAACAGCAGATAGGAAGGTAGAGCATATCCGTAATGCTCTTCAACTTGTTAGTAAGAAGTTAGCTACGGCTGCTGGTAATACACAAGGCCAGGATCCTGCTGCCCGGGAGAAAAGACTAAAGAAATTACCTGAATATCTTTTAGGGTTGTCAATGTGTGAGGCAAGCAATTTTGATGATGATGATAGCATTTTAAAATATATTTTGTATGAGTGTGGTAAGTAACTGTAGTACATATTTAAATAAACAAAATCATTGAACCTTCTATGAAAAATTTAAGGTAAATAACATTATAAATATTTTAGGCAAAACTGAAAAATTTCTTGCAAATGAGATTGCAGAACATGAATTAAAAGTTGAACAATTAGTATGTGCCCCTCTTACAACTATCAGTGACATTGACCTACCAGCAATAATGAAGGCAAAAAAGCATTTGAGTAGGCTTATAAGTGAAAAAGAGTCTGCGGCCAGCCGATATCATGTGAGTATTATATCAATATGCATTATCTTTCATCAATATAACTATAGTGTCAAGTGAGTCATAATCAATAGACACAACCAACCAAACTAATGTTATCTAAATAAACTGATTTAAACATAAAAATATGTTGCAGGTTTGTCAAAAAAATTTAGTAATATAATATTTTTAAAATTAAAAACATATGATTTATCAAATACAATATTTTTCAAAATAAGTACAAGTAATAGATACATACATATATCTACAGACTATATAGATAGGTGTGAAAGACAAGCCTGGTTAGTATAGACTTCTCTGAGATGAAATATTTTCTTACAGTAAATATCCTATATTATGTTGAACCGCATTACCAGCTATCACCATACCTAATTTCAACAAAATCTGTCCAGTGGTTTTCTCGTGATGTGTTCCCAGACGGACAAAATTTTAAAAACTGTAGATTCAGCATCTATATCGATAATAATGACTATTTCAATAAAATTTTCCTTTAATTGACTATTTCAAAGATTCAACTCAGAATTTTATTACAAATGTTCATCATAATACATATGATGAACATTTGAATTCAGTTGACTATTTAAAATAAATAAAAAAATGGATATGATAATATAATTTTATTATATTACCATAAAATCCATATTATTATAGTATTTTATGTCCATTGTTAAGAAACACCTAGTTAATATTTTTATTTAATTTATATATATAAAAATATAAATACAAAATAGCACTCACTAGATAAATCATGAAATCTCAATAAGTAAATATTAGAAATTTCAGATTTGGTATGTAGATTTCTTATAGGGAGTAGATATCCTTTTACAAAGAATTTATGGAAATTCAATCGCAAAAGGTGTAAAAAATGTGTACAAAGTTGTGTGAAAACCTATTATAAAATATTTTTTTATACCAAAAAAAAAAATATTTACCTCTTCCAGATTAAAAATGATTACTATTCTAATTTAAATGTTTACATCATCAGGGGATGAGAAGCTAATGAGTGGGGTAATTACATAAATCTAATCTAATACATATATTTAAACAAGCAATTCTTATATATTTATTTATACTGACGATCTCGGAAATGGCTCTAACGATTTTGCGGAAATTTGGTATATGGGGTTTTTCGGAGGCGAAAAATCGATTTATATTAAGCCTTACATATGGGAAAACGCGTGTTTTCGAGTTTTCATGCGGTTTCTTTCGCATTATTCCACGTAAAATATGGTCGCTAATTACGCACGCACGGACATAAGCACCGTAGTTAAGCGACCAAGGCGCAAGATTGACAATCACAGATGTCCGGGTTCGATACCTGGTCGGATACAAGTTTTACTTTCGTTTTTTTTTTTAATTTATTTAAGTTTTTAGTTTGTTTTCAATCTAAAGAATACGATATAACGAAAAAGAACTCCGAGCAAAGCTTGGTCGCCCAGGTGTTAAATTACTTAAGGAAAATATTTGACTTAAAGTTTTTCGTGATTTTAGCATTTGGAGAGGCAAAAAGAGGAGAATCCGACGAAATTGAGTGCGGCCAAGGAGGAGTTAGAGGATGCGGGCAACAAAGTGGAGGCGGCCCGAGACGCGCTGGCGGCAGACATGTACGCGTTGGTGGCCAAGGAAGCCCAGCTCGCGCACACCCTGCTGCAGTACCTCAAGCTGCAGCGCGCCTACCATGAGTCCGCCTGGCACTCCATAGCGGACACCTTACCCGAGTTGGAACGGTTTATAAGTGAGTATATACATGTTTTTCTGTCTCTGTGTCTGGGGGTAAAGTTATGTTTTTACTTTTTATCGCCGGAAAAGTGTGGATTCGCTTGCATTATTTTGAAATGCAGATATTAATATATGGCGTATTTTAGATAAAATTATCTTTTCGGATTTATTTTCGCTTGTGTTCATCCCTAGTAAAAAACAAAATCAAATTAATTCCACGGGAAACGTAATTTTTTGCGGACTAAAAGTAGGCTATGTGCTATTCCAGACTATAATCTATCTCTGTGACAAATTTCATCCAGATTCGTTCCGCCGTTCTAATGTGATTGAATATCAAACATTCATCCATCCATTCAACTTGCATTTATATTGTAGTAAGTTGTCAAATATTCTAGTAAGTCTAAGAAAGTATTGATATAAGACGTAGGTATATCTGGAACCATAAGTATAGAAATAAACTTTGAGATAATATTTAAATTAATATATAATTTTTAAAGATATACCGACTAGTGGCCGACTAGTCGGGAAAGCCGACTATCCGGCCATATTTATAGTCGGCCAGAAGCACCGACTAGTCGGCCTGTTACTTTATTCATATTATTACTGTTCTTAAAAAAGAGGGATTATTATTCATGAAAAACGTAATTCTCATTATATTTCATTTAGTAACTTTGTGGGTACTGGGTATATATTATTTATCATTTATACTTTCTATTATACCATTACGAAAGTTTATATATTAGATTGTAGAGTCTGTCTGTGTGTAAATGTCTTACATTTAGTTAAATTGAATACATATACGTAAGCTCTAATCAAGATCTCGTGCACTAATTGCTCTAGAAGTTTAGAAGCTAAACTACTTATTTCATAATATTTTTTAGAGGAAATACTTATTGCGGTAATATATTTTCATGTAATTATACGGTGTATAATATTGTTCATGAGAATAGTAAAAAATGACAAGGATGATTTAAATAAAAAAAAAATGTTTATATGTATTTCTAAAGAGATATACCCTTATAATATGTGAACACGTCCTACAAATTACAAATCAATATCGACGTTTACCTATATTGGTACATAAGAGTTATTTTTTATCTAATATAAACAATGTTCTATCTCGGTTTGTTTTAGTTTAGATGATTCTCGGCTATTTTAATTGTTTCCTAGACAGAAGCGTCTCGATAAATTAACGAGGGCCATTAATAGCTGCACTTAATTAAACAAATAACGTTTCTTTGCTCGAGACACAACACGAGTTTCCTTTGTTATAGTAAATCGGCCTACATTGAAATATTTTGTATGACTTATGTACCTAAATCTATACTCTATAGATACATAATAAATAAATTACTTAATTCGACTGTATGACCTGAACTTTTTTTAATTAGATATAGATGTCTAAAATATAGGAAAAGCTCGTTTAAGATGTAAAAAAATAAAATTGCATCAATAGAATTTTTTGAAAGTTTGCCGTTATCGTTTATTTATTGGTTTAATTGTGATAGGAAATCTTAAAGATTATTTATTACACATTTTGTAATTAAATATACCGGAAAGTATATTGTCTTATCTTTTTCGTTTGTGACAAAGTCAAAGAGAACAGGGACTTATATATCGCCTTTATCAAACCGATGAGTGAATCGTTAGCGTGTAAGCAAATTATCGTATTAGCGATTAGACTGCAACAAATATCAATATGCACTTAATAAGTATAATCTCTAATAGCAATGGCCCTTGACTTCCGAAGTCGTAAGCGGTTCCTTATGACTTCGGAGAGGTCAAGTTCAATACCATACATAATAATATGGTACACGTCATTGTAACTGTTGTTACTGCCTCATCGATCGCGTGGGCTTACCGTCCAATCATACTGTGAATGTGAGGAAATAGAATGTATCTGACTTAATTTGTGCACTATAATATTTCCCGCATAAATCTATACATATAATAAAATTGTAACTAAGCCCAATGTGTACATTAAATATTTTTTGTAAAATCTTATTGAAATAAACATTATTATCGATACAGAGGCCGAATCTATAGTAGTGTAGAATTTTTGTCTGTCTGTCTGTTACCGCATCACAGAAAAACCACTGGAGGGATTTTGATGAAATTTGGCATGGTGATAGCTAGTTATCCGGGTCAACATATAGGATACATTTTACCACGGGAAAAATGTCTCATTTCTGAGAAAAAATACAAAACTGCAATGTAAGAGTATGCTAATATGTAAAACCTAAGAATTTGGTTTTTGGTCATTTGAACGCGGGTAGAGCCGCGGGCAATGCCAGTTATCTATACATATTAATATTATATATGTGAAAGTTTGTGAGTATGCATCTATGTTTGTTACTCTTTCACGCCAGAACGGCTGAACGGATCTAGATGAAATTTGCCACATAGATAGATTATAAGTTTTGAACAATACATAGGCTACTTTTTATTCGGGAAAAATGACAGTTACCGTGAGATAGGTTTGTTTTTGTTTTCGTAGAGGCGAACGCAAGCTAAGATTTATTTAATTTAATTTGCCGGTATCTACTGGCAGCCAGCTAATCTACTCTGGCCTACTAGAAATGTAGATAAAAACCAGTCTATGTCGTAATCTAAGATATAACTTATCTAACCATTACTAATTTCACTCAAATCCGTTGAGCCGTTACAGCGAGAAAAAGCAACACACGCTAACACATTTGTAACAGTGCAAAATAATAATTTTATTCTCAAAGTAACAATTTTATAATATGCCTTGCCCGCGGCTGCGTCTTTCTATTTGTTTTTCGTGTGTCTTTATCTAGCAGCAAAAACATGAGAATTCGAAATAAACTTACGATAGCCCTCGCACCCTCTTTATTCGGCCTTGTCACAAAATCAGCTATTAGTTGACGTCTCTTAGTTATAAACACCTACATGCATGCCACAGCTTTACATAGCAAGTAATTTTTGAGATATCATGATTATTCAAGAAGCGAGAGTTAATGACCTTTCGCTTCGACAACATGTTTGGCTCAGTTTGTAGTGACCCTACTTGCTGTGTCAGCGGTCGCGGATTCGAGTCCCACTGAGGGCATTAATTTGTGTGATGAGCACGAATGTTTGTACTGCAATCATGTATGTTTATATTTATAATATATATGTATTTAAAGTTATATATGTGTAATGTATCAACTATCTGGTATGCATAACACAAGACTCGTAGCTTACAATGAAACTAGTTGGTGATGTGTATTGATATCCCAACATATAAAAAAAATTATATACATATGTATATAAAACAAATATGTAATGTAAGTATATACAACATTATTTTAATATTACAGGCGATAGTTCAGTCAAACCAGTCTTCGGATACCCGCTAGAGGAACACTTACGAGTGACCGGGAGGCGCATCGCGTTCCCTCTAGAGCTGTGCGTGTGCACTCTGCACGAGCTCGCCTTGAACGAGGAGGGATTGTTCAGGATCGCTGGCAGTATGTTGACTAATTATTTTATTTTTATTTGACATTTGGCTTAGTTATGTATATTCATTATTACAATTTAATGCAGTGGTAGCCCAGTGGTTACGTGCTCACTTGGGAAACCGAGTGAAGTGGGTTCAAATCCCGGGTCTCGCACCTCTGATATTTTCACGGGCGAATCATTACCAACATAATTATCACTTGTCTTAATGGTGAAGGAAAACATCATGAGGAAACCTGCATGTCTTAGTGGACCTAGCAAGTTTTCAAAAGGCATGTGAAGTCCGCCAAACCGCACTTGGCCAGGGTAGTGGCCTATGGTTTGATCCCCATAAGGGAAACCCGTGCCCAGCAGTGGGACTGTATAGTACAATACATAAAATACAAATAATTATTACGACAGTAAATTAGACCTTTAGAGTAAAAAACGTAATTAACAAAATAATATTTTGAGGTTTATAAACACCAAAATATATATAATAATGTAACAACAAAATCTTATTGTAGATATTTAAATATGTGACATAATGGATAAAAATTAATGCAAATAAAAAAAAGAATTGTTTATTTCAAACTAGGTTCATCGAAAGTGCGAAGAATGAAACTATCGCTAGACGCCGGCCTGTTCAACGTGCCGTTGTCCGGCGACTACCGAGACGTGCACGTCGTCGCGTCAGTGCTCAAGTCGTACCTCCGGGAGCTCCCCGAGCCATTGCTGACTAACCGGCTCTACGAAAACTTCATTCTGGCCTCACGACAGCCTTCCGAGCAGGCTCGACTTAATGCATTATGGGAAGCCATACATTTATTGCCCGAGGCGAATTTTAACAATCTTAGATATCTAATAAAATTTTTGTCCGCTTTGACGCAGAATCAAAGCAAAAACAAAATGACGTCATCAAATTTAGCCATCGTAATCGCGCCCAACTTACTTTGGGCCGCGGACGAGAGCACCTTCGATATGACGCTCACGACGGCTGCCAACTGCGGCGTCGAGCTACTGATAAAGCACGCTGACTGGTTTTTCAAAGATTCCTTTAATTTTTTCATCTCCTTCTCCAAAGAAGACCTCCTCCCTGAACAATGCGACTATGGCTTCACTTCCAACTTCGGACAAGGTTATAATCAAACTGTGGCGCTGGCTCAGGAACAGTCCAACGGGGAGTACGGCAGCATGAGTAAGTCCATGTGCGATTACAACAACCAGAACGTCCAGAAGTCCGTGGTGGACGGGCCCGGTCGCCACTCCAGGAGCAACAGTCACGACACGAGCCTCATTTTAATAGATAACGATATAAAAAAAGCTCAATCGAACAGCTCATTGTCCGATCAATCTAGTCCACCTCACGGCAGTCCGAAGCCTATACTGCGTAGAAAAAACAAACCGATTGCGCCGGTGCCGCCCAACTTCACGCCGGATAAGAACAAAAAAGTAGAAACACAAACGCAAGTTCCGGAGCCCAAAGAGCAGAATTCCACGGTTAAAGATGCAGAGAAGCCGACGAAGCCCCCGCGGCCGGTCGTGTCCGACACCGGGAAGGTGATCACGGGCGTGCAGACCATCAACCGATCCACCTACCGACAAAACAAGGCCATGAAAGAGGAAGCGGCAAGAAGCGGGAGTAGAGAGAACTTGACGGACACGCGACGTCAGAGCCTAGAATTCGAAAAAGATAAGTTCGAAAGCTTAAAAGCCTTAGAAGATAAAGAGTCCACTCTAGTCGTAAAAAATATAAGTGCGCAATCTGGCGTAGTGGCCAGGATGAAGGTGGTGGGCGAGCCGGCGAGCGGGCCCGCGTCACTGGGCGCCGAGCGGCCCGCCCGCCAGCCGCCGCCGCGCCCCGTGGCCGCGCCGCGCACCGTGCCGCCCGCCGCGCCCGCCGAGCCCGACGCGGCCGACGTCACGCTGCGCCACAAGCCCGCCGTGCCCGAGCGGCCCGCCACGCTGCGCCCGCAGAGCTTCCGCGGGCAGCGCGCCTCGCTCGGCGACGGGCCCGCGCCCACCGTGCTCGAGCGCACGCACATGTACACCGTGGACAAGCACCAGGCGACCGTCATACAGGTGGCGCCCCCCGCCGGCCACGGTGCAGCGCACGCACAGCTCCGGCTCGGGCGGCAAGGAGGAGGCGGACGAGCCGCGCGCGCTGAGCGCCAGCCGGCAGCTGTCGCAGTCCGAGGGCGACATCGCGGAGAGCGCGCGCTCGCCGCGGCCGCAGCCGCGCCCGCCGCGCCCGCTGGTGCCGGCGCCGCCGCCCCCCGCGCCCTCCGCGCCGCACAGCGAGAGCACCGACCTCTAGTCCCCGCCCGCGCCGCCCGCGAGGGACGCACGAACAGAATATTAGAAACTATTGTCTCTTCCGATACGATCGACCTGGTTGCGTAACTAGAGCAAGACTGAAGCCCTCTATTTAAACTATGCTAGGTAATAAAGAGTAGATCGCTTACTACGTTGTAATATGTAGAATATTGTGGCATTTCTTTGCAGATTATTTATTTTTGTAATATGGTGACTTTTGTCATAAATAAATTATATATATATATAATATGAAAAAATCGTGACACGATCGAGCAAGCAAAGTATATAATTATCGCCGATATTTGTTTGTCAGCAGCGTCGGTTCTTACATTAGTAGCCGCCTCACAATTGACCGTGTGAATGTGAACAATACTTCACATACTCTCCTATTCCTATCAAAAAACAAGACCATTTCTGTTCCTGGGATTTTATATATGTGTTAGACTACATTTATAATTGAATTTTTGTTATATTAAATAATAATAATTTATATTTGATATACAAATGATGAATATACGCCATGAATGTATAAATGTAACAAAATATGACCTTACAACTGGCCGCGAAGAGGTTGCGGCCAAGTGCGCAACGGCAGCTATCACTTTTCAAGATCTACTCGTATATTTCTGTGAAGTGGAGTATAATTCATTTTAATAACAATTGCATCGATTTTGTTCCAAAAAGTCAATTATTATTTATTTAATTAAACATACTAACACCCTGGTCAAAACAAATTGTCCCTTTTATTATTGTATATAAAAACTGATATTGATTAAATACGCTATGAACGTAGCAATCTTGCAGCGTGATCTTAGTCTATAAGCTGACATAAATTTAAATGCATCTTAGATATAAACTTTATTACGCAAAATTTTACGTCCATTTTCATGTAACTTTCATCCTACGACAAAATAGATTTTTTTTGATATGTATCATTCATCACCCGGCTAATTAATGTTTGTAATGGCTTCGGATTCGTGCAAAGCTGCTGAACGCTTAACGTAAGGCAGTTGATTTGGAATCGCATTTCACATTTTAATGTTGTTTATATATAATTATAGATTCCATGCAGACATATCAGATCGAGTCAATTTAGCTTTTTACTCATTGGAATATATAATATATTCTGTGCTTTGTATTGTTTTGTACAATTTAGAATATATATTGCAGTAAATCCTTGTGATATTAGGAGATTTACGATGAAGCCGGTTTCGCCGGCGGGTGCACAAACATATGACTAGTAGCCATATTTTATGATATTTATAAACAACAGTGCATAAGTAGTATCTTTTATCGGCCACGCTGTTTCACAAATGGCGAATATTAATATAGGCTAACGTATGTTATGTAGTATTTACGATGTTTTATGTGATATGCATTTTATTAATCATATACTGCAAGTATACAAGCTTCTGTTGTAAGTAATTATAATAAAATACAAAAATAATTTACCTTTTTTATTTACACATACACATTATAATTGACTAGGATATTATTTACGTCTGCCATTTGACTATGTAGTGATTGCGCTTTCCAACTCTCAGCAATGAAATTAAATTTGGCAATATATGCGCAGATTCAGTGATGACTTCATCAACTTTCTTAATTTTTTGATGGTTTATATAAAAGCCACCAGCCTGTATAATCCTCATGGCGTCACCTATAACAATAAGCACGTGTATAAATAAAAATACTCCAATTAATACTTTTGATCAATATATTTTTAGTGTATGATTTGAAGTCAGTCTGTTCTTCAAATCAACTGCTCAGTGCTCACCACACTTTAAATATTACACAATGTATAAATGTAACTCCAAGGCATTGCATATACTAAATAATGTCTGCCTTAATATGCTTAAAAATGAACTTCTTTACAAAATATATTGATTGAAAGTGTAACATATTAGGAATACACAGAAGTCAGGAATCTTGCACTAGCAGGGTAAAGACTTGCACATACTATTCGGTTTGGCAGAATAAAACGTACTGACTGTTAATCTTATATTTTAAAACTACAGTACTTAAATTATTACAATTCATACAAAATATTTCATCCGTTAAAGCAGATGGGTGGGTGTAGGCTCTACGTTGGATCTTAGACTATAAATATATTACTTACTTTCTGTTGGAAAACATTTCGCCTTCATGCCAAGCTCTAACACAGTAATACCAGGGGACAATAATAAATTAACTACAGGAGCACCTTCGAACGCCAGCTCCATTTCCGTCGGAGTCAGTGTCACTAGAGATTTCACATCTTTGCTATAAATTGCTTCTGTTGCTTTTCTAGCTCTAGATAGACCTTCTTCTGAAAAATTTATTTCAATTAACTTTTTAGTATCAATGTACTAGACAAAAATTTGTTTGTAAATGTTTAAAATTCAAATATAATGAATTGATCAATTTATTATTAGATGTTCCCGTTGGTCTGTTTGTGCATTTCACTAGTCTACTGGGAATATACTTATATAGAAAGTAAAACAGCATCTTAGATCTGTTCAATTAAAAAATATGAAACTTGGCCATGGTAAAACCATTATCATCATCCAAATAATTTCTGTATAAACACGCCAAAGAATTATTATAATACCTCCATGAACCAATGTTGTTAATTGTTCAGCCAGACATTGCTGTGGGTATCTTTGCTCAGGATGCTGTTGATGTTTAAACATTATATCTTTAATCTCGCCTAAGCTATAAAAAGTAAATAACTTCAACAATTTTTCCACTTCTGAATCCTTTGTTCTTATAAAGAATTGGTATAAACTATATGGACTAGTTTTTAAACCATCCAACCATATAGCGTTTCCAGCAGATTTCCCAAATTTATCTCCCTCTTCAGTAGTTACTAATGGCAATGTTAATCCTATAATAAAAAAGTTTACTATTAAATATTTTGTGAAATTTTAGTAGTTACTTATTTTGAAGTGAAATGGCATGACCTTACCATACACATTTTTTTTTGCAGTTCTACTAATTAATTCATGTCCTGCACTTATATTACCCATCTGATCACTTCCACCGATCTGAAAAACACACGACCATTAAAAAAGATATTTTTTTGTAATGAATAACAACTATGTACTGCTTGCATTGCAGCTATACATTTGGATGTAACTAATTGTAATATAACATAACTATTTCCTAATAATCCAAAGAAAAATCTCTTCATATGTAGTCAGAGTGGGAATACTTGATCCTGGGGATTCTTATAAGCATTTTAAATAAAAATCAAACAGTTATCATTGCAGCCTCGAATTAAGGAGACATGAACATTTCAGCTATTGTTACTTTTTCTTTTAAATCTTTCATTCTAATAGATGCATTTAAAAAAGACAAAGCGCATTGATAGGCTAAAACAATTTTATAACATTAGATCATTTAGTTTCCATTCATTTCAGTAAAAGTTACAGGCTCTAACAAAAAAGGGAATCAATGAACATACACACTATACATTAGAATAATTTCTCTTACAATTAATTTAAACTTTGTTTAGTTATAATGTGATAAAAGTAAATTAAACATTTACCTAAAAAAATTGATAAATTTGAATGAATACTATATGCATTTAAGCATTAAAATATATTCGTATTTTAATAATATTAATAAAATAATTGTAATCACCTGAAATCTACAATCATACTTCTTCAATAAATGCAGCCAGTCATAAGACTGAAATATTTGATAAGCAAATTCTGTAAAACTCATTCCAACTTCGGAGTTGATTCTGTTTTGGACACTTTGCTTCAACAACATTGTACCCATTCTAAAGTTTCTTCCAATTTCACTCACAAACTCTATTGAGTCAATATTTCTATACCATGTCTCATTATTTACAATCCTGAAAATGCATTAGTATTATAATTTTTTATTTTTTAATATTTTACTTAACCTACCTTAGTCATACTACATACTTTATAGGCTTTAATTTGCTTTCATCTTCTGACCAAATGTACTTTTTGTGGTTTTCAAATACAGTTTCAAGATTATTTCTTATACAATTAATATTTCCTATAATGATATCTTGTGGTAGTGCTACTCTATCTGAGCTTCTTCCACTTGGATCTCCAATATAACCAGTAGCTCCTCCTAACTATAAATAATAACTATATAATTTAAATAAAAATAATATATTTCAAATAATATATGTAAGAACATTAAAATCTTACCAATGCTATAACATTATGTCCTGCTCTTTGCCAGTGGATTAAATTTATTATAACAAGTAGATTTCCAACATGTAGACTGTTTGCAGTAGGATCGAATCCTGCATATACACACTGTGGGCTCTTATTTAACAAATTTATTATTTCATTCCTAAAAAAATAACAAATTTTATTTTAAGCCTTATTTTACAAACGATAATAGTAAAGAAAGTTTTATAGTCATAACTTACGCAGATGTATTTGGAAACAAGTCTTGGTACATGCCTCTTTCGCTGAGTTTTAGTATGTTTCTACTATAGTTACTATTAAATCTCTTGTAAGCTTTCCATAAATATATCTTAGGAAACCGACAAATATTTTTAAAATTTGCCATCATATTATGATAAAAATACAATATATTATTATATAAGTGTAGGATATTTAAGGATAAACTTAAAATGTTCAAGAATAACCTCTTCGAAAATAATACTTATTTTTATAAATGGTGTAAGTATACAATTATTAAAAAAATATATTTAAATATCAGGCAATAATTCGACTTAAACTACAAATAAGAAATGTACTAATTTAGGAGTAAGTTAACAGAATTCTTCTTAAAAGAAATTAATTCCTCTTATTTGATATTTGACAATTTTGAATTCGATGATAGACTATAATGTTTGTCTATTAATTTGACAGTTTAAATAAAATATAGATAACATATTAGTATAATATCTATCTCAGTACCATAGATGAATATTACGTAAAGCTCAGTGTACACGAGCCCAGCCCATAGACGTAGCATTTCTATTTTATCTACTTTGTGCCGGTATCAATCGTTTAACCTTCTAAAAACTAAATTTTGTGTTGCTAGCGTTTAAGTGATTTAATCTATTCGTGTTTACACTATCACAGATTTGGTCCGCATTATATCTTGTCTTGCCAGGTTCAATAAAATACTCTTATACGGTTTTAGTTTTCACATTACTATATTGTTATCAAAAGTTCTTGCTTTGCACATATATTTGTCAGAGAGTGTGATTAGGATTACATTGTTTTTGTCCACCGGAAAATGAGTGTCGTATATTTGGCGTAGATGTATGATTGTATAATATGTAACCATTTGTTCACTCGATAAATACTAAACCTTTTAACCTTAATAACTAGGCTTAACCGATTTCGATGAATTATACGTTGCGTCGTAACATTCGTCGTGCTTACTCGAATATAAAATATACATATATTATAATTTTAATTATAAAAATCAAAATGGCGCAATATTTAAAAATTCACGAAATTTATTTCCATCTAGTTTAAGGATCATAACGTATTCTGTGCACTAATTAACTAATAGTAAGTAGCAGTATTAAATAGAAACGCAAAATTGTTAAAGATTAAAACAAATTATGCCACAAAAATATTTAATGAATAATTATACATATCAATAACAATACATTATATATTATACAAGTTATTTACGACTAATTTATACAATAACTAACTTAAGCTATAGTACATGATTTTATTTTTAAAAGCTTTAGGATTTTAACAATCATTTAATAATTTTTAATAATAATTTTAATAATTTTTAGATTCACAAAATTACAAAATACATAATCACAGTAGTTTTTAATGTTTGTCTATGTCAATCAGATCAGAATTACAATCACAAGAACCAAACTTGAGCAGAAATAATGTATAACAATTACATATACATGGTAGAAAAGCAAACACGTAAAAATAGCTAAAAACAGTAAAAGTGACTTAAAACTAAAATACAAACTTTATTTATAATTGTATGTATAATTAAATAATCACTAAATTAAATCAATAACTAAATTAGCCTAATCTATTCATGGTTGACTTATTTGTTCTTTAAGACAATTTTGCTTTACAAGAACATAAAATATTATAACTTTCATAATAAAATTAGTTACTAATTTTTTATACTGACTTCTGTATAGATTCCTTGAAAATAAGATAAAGAGTTGTCAAGGTGTAATTTCTAAGACATTGACATTTTCATTATAATTTTTCATATGGTACACAAATTTTTGTAAGTTTACGTCACAATTATATTCTAATCTTCTAGTGTGACGTTTTTGAAGAGATATGACATAGATTCTTTATTGTGAATGCGCCTGATAGCTTCACTTAGGAGTACTGATATGTCAATTGTTTTTATTTTGTTGCATTGCATCTTTTGTAATTCATGAGGCACTGTATTTGTGACAACCACTTCATCAATAGGTGAATCTTCAATTAGCCGAGGTGCATCTGATGATAGCAGGCCGTGTGTTGCTAGTACATAAATTTTATATGCTCCACATTCTTTAAGCACTTCTGCTGCAGCCACAAATGATTGAACGTCATCAATTAAATCATCCTAAAAAATTAAAAATATTTATTTTCAATAATGACCACACAGTTCTTATTATCCTATACGATATTTCTTACATCTACAAGTAAAAAAATCTAATACAGTAACAGCAGCCACAGCATGCTTTGTGTAACAAGGCCACAAAAGATCTTTAAAATAATAATAACTAATAAGATAATAATAACAACATTAGAATATGACATGTAAGAGGGAAAAATATTAATGCATATAATGGAAATAAAATGTTTGTGATTTTTAATACTTAAGTATATCATGTATTTTAAATAAACAAAGAGAGTCTCCCCTGTGACCACAATTCCTGTAACAGTGTAAAGCATTCGAAATGCCTGGAACCAAAAATCACAATAAATCCGAAAAAGAATCAAAAAAGATAGTTTTATTTAAAATGTCAAATATTCACATAAATTTATTAAATATATAAGAAAATATTATGTTTTTCATTGTCCTCCCATATTTTTCTACTTATATTTAATATACTTTTATCATTTTATAATACAAAAAAAACATATGTACGCATGTAAGAAGTTATACTTCTTTGGCTTAACAGAACAAAAATATTAATAATAATAATAATAGCTAAAGATTTCACCCTGTATGTCACAACTCTCTGTATGTAAAAGGAATGATAAATTAATAAAATAATTAAATAAAGCATATTACAATCATATATTTATAGAATATCATTTAAGGAAAGAATATAATATTATATATCATTTGTCAGACAATAGTAACAGTTACCATGGCAATACCCAGTTATCAACTAACTTCATAATGTCGCTTTTTGGCTGTCGGTGTGCACACGCATCGTAAATATTTTACTCTTATATTTTTTTCCAAATGTCACAGAGGAAGTATAACTTCAAAAAATTATACATACCACCATAATAGCAATTCTGCCTCCAACATCTCCAACCACATTGATCGGTGGCTTTTCTTTAGCTGGATGTACTGGTACTCCAACAGACACATCCATAGTGCGTGATCTGTCCACACTAGAATGTAAAGGTTAATATTACAAGTTTAACTACATGATATATTTGTATAAATACAAGCTTAAATGATTTTCTCATACTTTGCACTTAAGATTATTATTTTGAAATAAATGTATTGTTCTATAACAAAGTAGTGAGTATAATTAAATATTAAATCAGTGCCATGAGAATATTAAAAAAATGTACATAAAACAAAGATGTGGTGCATCACAGTGCTACAGAGGCATGTCAGTTTACATAGTTTAACAGTTTTATTAAAAAGTTTTTCCAGTACAGTTTATAATTCAAAACATTGAGTAGTAGGATCCCAAGTTACCCATTTAATTTCCAAATTATATTGAATTAATCACTTAGTACATACGGGTCAAACTGCAAGCAGTATCCATTCTATATTATAATTAAAGTAAAATATTATTATTAGATTTCACACCTTGGCATGCAAGGGGGTGAATATCTGCCATCAACTTCATCACTTTCTGCTTCTTTCTGTTCACCATGTATAACAGCAATGGCAAGTCTCAGCCTCTCTGCGTAAGATGTCGCTTTTTTAGCTGAACCTGGATTTCGTGCCACTATTACAGAATTGCGATAGTCTGGAATCTGCACATAAAATATTTAAAAATGTCACTTTTTGATACAAGGCAAAGTATAGAGATGATTAGAACACAATACAAAACTTAAATATGTTGAGACATTAACGCACAGAACCATCTAGTTCCATGGTAAGCTAAGAGGCTTGTGTTATGGATACCAGATAGTTGATACACTACATATATATAACTTTAAATACATACATATTATAAATAAAAACACCCATGACTGGAGTACAAACATTCGTGTTTATCACACACAAGAATCCCTCCCAGCGGGACTTGAACCCGCAACCGCTGGCACAACAAGTAGGGCCGCTACAAACTGAGCCACATATCATCACTTACTTATTTAAAATGTTTAAAAATAACACACTTATTCTATCATTAAATACTTACAAGAGAGACAATAAAATACTAGGAATAAAAAATATTAACAATATGAACATTAGAATAATTGTGCTAGTATTAAATAAAAATAATTATTTAGAAAAAATATTGTATCTAATGTGGGTAAAAAACAACTTACACTTTCTTGAATGTATTGCAATAAAAAGGGTGATGCCCTCAAATTATCAACTGGACAATCAAAGAAGCCTTGTATTTCTTTCTGATGTAAATCCATGGTTATAATATGTGAAAGACCTGATTTGCACATCATTTTTGCTAACAGTTTTGTGACAATGCATCCACGCTTCCTCATTTTGCACTGCTTGCTATATGGCAAATATGGAATGACCCCTACAATGGAGTGAGCCGATGAAGTCTTACAAGCATAAGCCATAATCAAAAGTTCCATGATATTGTTGTTAACATCCCTGTAAGTATGTGAAATTCAGCTGGCAAATATAAATGTGAAAAAGAAAAATGTCATACATTTAATGAACCCCTCAATCCCTTTGATTTTATTTTATATATAAACTAGAAGCTCACCCTCGCTTCACTTAGGTTCACCTCTAGCACCTCGCGGTTAATTTCAAGAAATTAATTGTTAACCGAGCCACAGGTGGCGTCGTTGGCAGGTTAAACAAACAAAAACAGATCTATCCTATGGGAAACATACATTTTTCCAGGATAAAAAGTACCCTTTTTGTTTATATTATTGTAGTTTCATTAAAATCCAATCAGTAGTTTTTGTATACTTAGCTGTATAAGTTACTGTAGTTTTTTAACTATCCCATGATAACTCTTTCATTTTCCGGGATGAAAAGTATCTAAAATGTTGACCGGGAATATAACCACCATGCAAAATTGCAGTTTTCAGTATTTTTTTTATGTACAGACATTCAATCTCTTCAGTTTTATTATATGTATAGATATATAATTCTTATATTTCAAATTATATTTAAAGGTATCCAAACAAACAGAATTCAACAGTAAATCATCTTTTATTGTCTTTTTTTGTTATTTTCTCCTTATCATGCAGCGTGGATGTTTATATCATGCAAGAATATGAATAAACATACATGAAACATAGCTCCAAGAACAATAAAAATTGGCCATAATGAATATATATTTAAATAATTCCCTGACTAAACTAAATGCTTGACTTACTTTGTGCCTGTTTGTACAATGTAGATATTTTTGCCACGAATTGAATCTGCTATTTCAACCATGGTTTCTCGATTAGTTTTATGATATACTGAACACCCTCCTTTACGTACACCCAAGCGACTACAACAAAGTATTATTTATGTATAAACATATATTTATAATGCAGTGGAGTTTAAAATAAAATCAAATTTGTAATAAAGAATGATTACTTCGCAATTAGGTCGGCCAATTCGGGATGTGAATTACCACTTAAAATTACGACGTCTGACGTGGAATTACTCTCCATATTGCACTTGCTCGAGCGATTCGGAAATCCCACCAGTCTGTTTAAGTAGAAAAGTTATTGAAATCATATTTTCTCATGTAGTTATTAAATAAATTGTACAGTAAGAGAAGGCACGTTGGTTCAACAAGAAAAACAATAAACCTGGTTTTGTTGAGTAACATAATAACCTGATGGCTTTCTTGATTAGCGGCTGATCAAAAATATAAAGAATGACAAATATTTCCTAGATGTTCAACAGCAGATATATAAAAACTTCTGTGTTATTACTTTTAACGTAAACAAGTGACCCTCTGTCGATTCATAAAATTAATTAAAGTAGGTATTGAAAAACGCACTGTACGAGATCATGAGCCGGATAATCATAAACCACAGATGATAGTAAATAGATAGTAGTCTAATAAAAAAAGTAAAAACATCAATGTAAAGTTCGATATCGATATTTTGAAGAACGGCGTAGTTCATTTTTATGTAGTTTGGCTACATTGGTTTAATCCAACAACGCGACTAGCCTAACTTCTTTAATTTCAAAAAAAGAAAGTAATATAATCGATTCATTAAAAATAGATTTTTAATATATAGAGAGTCGATTATTAAAAATCGATTATACGAAAAGTAATAATCGATTAACATAAAAATCGATTATTTTTTCACATCCCTGGCACCCAGCAATACAGCCGGGCGCAAAGTTATGAATAAAAGTAGTGGTTACATTCTCTTTGGTTATGAAGCGCACTCCGCACTGAGAGGCAGCCCACTTCGATGAGCGGTGTCCCAGTATATAACTATACTCTTTGGGTGTACCATGCGGGTTGCTCCTGGTACTTCTCTCATAGCAGAATGGACTGTGGAGCAATCCCATGGTTGTTGTGGTCTGCTCTGGCCGTCGGGGCGTCGTGGTTGAGTGCGTAAGCTAAGGGTTTTAAAAAAAAGTCTGGACTTATCACTAGTTAACACTGTCCAAGGATGATCATAAAAAATAAATGACTACCTACCTAGTATAAATTACAATGGGGAAAAATTTTGCCTTGTTCTCTCGCCAGATGTCGTGATCACTCTTGCCCTCAGTATATTGTAAAGCGTGAAATTTTCATTTTATTAAAAATTCAATTAAAATGACAAATTCTACAGTGCCAGAATGCAAAGAAAATGGATATCATTTGTTCCCAAAAGACAAAAACTGAAGAAATTGTAGGCTAAAGCCATAAAACGACCAAAATTGGCGAAATTACAATCTTTATATTTAAGGCTATGTGGACATCATTTTAAAGAAAGTGATTTTAAAATTTTTAAATCGTCTACGGGTGATTTTCTTTTATTTTTTACACTTTTTTACATATTAATTACAGAGTTTCATGCAAACTTTCATCACCCATTTTACTCTCTTATGAGATTGAATTTCGAAAAATGATAATACATGTATTTATTTAATTCTATTGAAGAGCATTAAAACAAAGTTTCAAGTGATTCTGATCATAAATAATTCTTTTCTTATATAAACTTTATTACCCCCTACTACCCCTTTGAGGGATGAATTTCGAAAAAATCAATTATTTTTCCATTTTTTTAGCTTAAAGCTAAACACCACTTTCTGTACATTTCACATTAAAAATGACAAAGTTTCATATAATATTTAATCCCCTGTTTTACTCACTTAGGGGACGAATTTAAAAAAAAAATCTTGCATATCGGATGCTCACATCATATGAGGAATCATCTTACAAATTTCACGTTTCTAAGACCAGCGGTTTAGGCTGTGTGTTGATCCATCAGTTAGTCAAGACCACCGCAGGATGCACCTCTCCTTCTCAATTCTTCCTTGAGCATCTGGTCTAACTTCCAGGTACAATACATTGCACAGGTAAGATGTTAACACAATAGAAGAAAAAAACCAGGTATAAAAGAGATATCACAATAAATTGCTTAACCTCAGACTGAATGTAAATAGGCCATACGCGTGGCGTCCTCATTTCGAGAAATTTTCCCCATTATACTCGATTTTTTGTAGTGTTCGAAAATATTATGATATGATTGTTAAAATATTACTTATCTGTCTTTAGTCTAGCAATTATGCTGTCAAATGTCAAGAAGTCTAAGCTCTAAAAGTCTAATGTCAAAATGCAAAAGTCGTAACAAAACAATGTGTCGCAAAGTTTTTGGTTATATAAAATAATAAACAAGACAAAACTTTAAATAAAATGGGCCTCACTAAGCAGTATTTAAGATACGTACCAAGTGGTACTTTTAACGTAATAGCTAGTCCTGATAGCAATAGTACTCACATAACATTAAATGGTGTTAGTGGTAGATATATTGCTGTTGGAGCATGTGAACATGTTATTATTTGGGACATGAGATTGGGAGAAAAGGTACGTGTTATATTAATCATGGTGGTATTTGATAAATAATGATGGTAATAAAGAAATATATTTAAATACCGTCAGTAAAATATTATTTGTGGTGTTATTTTATAGAATGGTTTACTATTCAGTACTATCTCAATTAATATTAAAATTTATTCTCATTGAGTGTATAACATTCTTTCTATTTATTTATAAAAGCCGTGATATGCACATCATTTCTTTTCAACATCCTTAATGCCATGAAATGCTGAGAATGAAGCACCTTTTTTACATTTTTACAAACGTGTCATAAAAATAAGGAATAGAGCTAAAAATCAACGTCTTACGTTTAAACAGAATTTACTTATTATTTTTGTATAATATTAATTATTTGACTTTAATACAAAAATGCCACACAAATCATACAGGGGACATATCAGGGAACTGTTTTTTAAGCACTTTTTAATATAATAAAATTAATTTATGTAGATAGCTACTGGGCACAGATAGTTTAAAGAATCCTTTTGTATAATGCATTATGAAGTATATAATATTATGAGTTGTATATGATATCTAACTGAGGCAGTGTGTTGCTCAGATTATATCATAGTATGATTAGTTTTTTCTCTTTTATATATCTTCTGGCACTTAATTGATTACTTAGCACTATTTCTCTTGTCTGTGGGTTGACTGAAAGAAAATTCTTTTAGGGATATGTCCATTTAATATGCAATGTCTGTATTATTTTTCATAAGTGTAATAAAGAATATATAAAGTCAATAAAATATATCATTAACATTACAGGCTCAAGTAATACCAGGAGAGAATGTAACAGTGTCTCAAATTGCTGCAAGTCCTACGGTAAATCACATGGCTGTTGGCTATGTTGATGGCAATATCAATGTGTTTGAGTTAGTTAACAATGAGATTGTTTGTGTATTTGCTGGGCACAAGTCAGCTATAACTTGCTTGCAGTATGATGAGCAAGGGCACAGAATTGTTTCAGGGTCTAAGGTAAGAAAAATTTAAATAATTCAATCATTATTACTAAAATATAATTTTTAATTCATAAAGTCAAGTAAATAATTATATAATTGTGCCAAGTAAAATGAATTATTCAAATCTATAAACAAATATATGTATTATCAAAGATTTTTTAATAAATTTCTTGCATGACATTCTAGGACACTGAAGTTATTCTATGGGATGTTGTCTCAGAAACTGGCATAGCTCGATTTAGTGGACATAAAGGTGTAGTGACTAGTGTGCTTTTCATTAATGGGCGAAACTGTGTAGTTAGTTCTTCTAAAGACACTTTTGTAAAATTTTGGGATATTGAAACAAAACACTGCTTCAAAACTCTTGGTGGACATCAAATGGAGGTAAGTTAATGTTAATCTACAAAAATACATACATATACATATATTATGTATAATGTAAATGTTATTTGAAAAATATATTTAAACTAATAAATTTTTATTTTATATTTATTTTTTAAAACTCAATTTTCTTTTTTTTTTACTTTGAATCTTGGATCCTTTCTTTTTGCCTCAAATCTTGCATCTGTCATATAATAGGTAAAAGTAAATATATTTTTTAAGGTATGGTCTGCAGTGCTATTGAAAGAAGAAAGATATTTGGTGACTGGAAGTTTAGACCAAGAATTACGAGTGTGGAAATTAAACTGGACAGATAAAATTAAAGAGGAAGACAAGATTACACAACAACTTGAAATTGTAAAGTTAGAAGATACAGACAACACAGAGGATACATCAGTAAGTAAAATTGTACTAAAAAATATGTACTATAGTCTAAAATACTATTTCATATAATATCTAGTTGAATGGATTTTTTTTTATTGCAACATTTCAATTTATATATCTTGAAATATATTTATGTATTTTCTTCTTTTTTTAGAAGTTACAATGTCACCAAGTTGGCACATTAGTGCGTGGTGGTAAAGGGAGAGTGGTAGGCCTTGCCACAGACCTTGGACAAAGTGTACTCGCCTGCTATGGTACAGATTCATTATTAGAGCTGTTTTATTTTTGCTCAGATGAAGAGGCTAAAGGAAGAATGAGTAAAAGAGTTAAAAAACAAAGGAAAAAATTATTGTAAGTATGTATTTCTACAATATTGTAAGATGACATATCTTACAATATTGTAGAAATTCTTTTTTTATTCAGCATAAGATTATCCTCTATTGAGGATGCACAATTTCATCTTTACTCCAATGGCATGTTTCATGGTCTTTTAATGCCTAGGGTATGTAGGACGTTATGGCTTAATGTCATTAAATCACCAATGCGCCTTTCTCTCACAACCTTGCTTGATGAATGGGATAACATATCCAACAATGTATCTATGCAATTTATTAAAAGTTATTGTATGTATTGAAATAACAGGAAGCAAAAAGAAAGTGGGGAAGTGGATGTAGAAGCAACAGAGGTGTCAGAAATTCTCACACTGTCAGACGAAGTGCGACGGTTGGCGTCTGTCAAGTTGTCGGCCAAGCTGAAGTCCGCGACCTTGCTGGTGGGAACCACGGGCGAGCTGCGCGTGGGCGTTACTCTGGCCACCAATACTGTGGAACTTCATAGTTTGACTATCGCTGAAGGCAATGAAGGTAACACATTATCTACACTAATTATATAAAAAGGTTGTATGTATGTTTGGATATAGAATCTCTAAATCTATTGATCTTCGATTCTGGAAACTCTTTCACTAAAAGGAAGCTGTCGTCAAGAATATTACCATCGAGTGCTAAATGCTATAAAAATTGTCATTTTTTATTCCCATAAAAATGTGTTTACTGTTAGAAATCATAATAACTTAACTGAAGTTGGGTAAAACTAGCCGGTGAGTCCTATAATAGCGTGTGTTGCTCAAACGGTATGAAATAGAGCAAGAAAATTGATGGCAAAAGAAAACTATGGATGTACCTGTACAAAGCTAAGTAAGTCGTTTGTATCGTTCAAATGTGAGTCTAACTTTCATAATACCTTTTATGGTATGAAATGGAATCATAAATATACAGTAAAAATTTGCAGATATAAAAAAAACAGAAATAAAATTAAATAGAAGTATAATTTAATAGAAGTGTTAGGAAATTGATTTCTTCATTTTTGGACTTGTAAGTTTAGATTGTTCCTTTAAATGTTTTTTTTTATCTTTATCCTTTATTCCTTTTTTACAACATACTTGTTTTTTGGAGAAATTGAAGAATTGTAAATTATTATTATATTATTATATTCTGTAGTGAGATGTCTGAAACAAATCACTCAGCCAGGGCATCAGAGGGAACCACGGTGTGTTGCCATCAGCTCCGACAACCTTGCTGTGCTCTCTGCATCAGCAGACTCTATTAAGCTCTGGAACAGGTACTCTTATCATAATTGTTATTTTATTTTGATCTTTTCAAGTAGTAGGTATATTAGTATATTTATTGCTGTAAATATTTGGAACTGATTTATATTTTAGTTTACCCTATTAAGTTTTTTGTGTTGTTTAAAATGTACACCCACATACCTCGGAAAACATGAAACCGTCGGTCTTTCGCTTGATTTTTCATTAATAAAAATGGAGAATTTTTTAAATAATAATTTATAGTTTAAAAAACAAAAAACACGCTTTTGACGAACTTTAATGTATTGGAAATATTAAAATTAACTATAATATAATACTTACTAGAAGCCATTGAAGTGTTCTACTATTCACCACTTGGCTCCCATCACATCATCACATCAGCTTCAAGATACCAATTTATAGTATTGTCGTTTGAACTACATAATGTATCGAATTTTGAAAAAAAAACATTAAATTGGCTCTCCTGTAAAGTTAAGAAAATGACGCTTAAACCAAATAGCCTTTCACCCGTCGATATGTATATGCACTGTTTCAATTCGATACGACAATTAGAAGTAGGTTAAAATTGACTTTCAAGGTAAATAAAAATGGATAACATTGTGACGCAAGCTGTAGTTTAAATAGCGGCGATCACAATAGACGAGAAATAGTCGAAGTGATTCATACTTTATAGCTGCAACAAAGAAATTAATATAATAGGCGCAAGTGAAGCTAATATAAGCGTATAAATTACATTAGCTAACTAGCGACTCACGGGTTCGTCCCTAGGTACGTTTTAATTTTTTTGAGCGGAACCCTTATTCTTTTTCTAAAATAAAAGTAGTGAAAGTCCCGTCAAAATTAGTCCAGTTGTTTCAGAGATTATCCGGAACAAACAGACAGACAGACAATTTTATAATTGCATTTAGTAAAACGATGTTATTTTGATATTACAAACAGATACTTCAATTTTCTTTATCTGTATAGATATAAGGTAATGTAAGTGTGTTACCGCCGCGTTGTCAGGACGAGCCAGGCGTGCCTGCGCACGGTGGCGGCGGGCGCGCGCGCGCAGGCCGTGTGCTTCGCGCCGGGCGACCGCCACGCGCTGGCGGGCTGCGCGGACGGCGCGCTGCTGCTGCTGGACGTGGCCGCCGCCGCCGTGCTGGAGCGCGTGCCGGCGCACCGCGACGCCTGCACTGCTGTCGGACTCACGCCGGACATGGTCGGTGTTATGCAACACATACCTACACATATGACACGTTGCTCACTGCTTGAGCCCGACGGACTTGGTTGGTGTTATGCACCACGTACCTACACACACGTAATATGACAAATGTTTAGTGCTTGACCCCGACAGACCTGGATGGTGTTATGCAACACATATATCTACATAGTACACATATTGGCAGTTCGTTTACAGCTTAAGCATAATATTAATAGCTATAAGTGTGCCAATTATATTATTACTACAAACAAAAATTTTATATTTAAATAAGAACATACAAACATAATCCTTACTTACAGGTTGATATTTTTATATACGATTATAATACTATTTTTTATATTTTATATAAATGTAAACCCAACAGTAAAACTTGAAAAAAAAAACTTATTTAAAATTAAAATTTTGTTATTTTAAACAACTATAACAAGCAAACATTCTTCTTCTTCTGGCACGGCTTTTTCCGCACTTAGGTATCTTTGCCCGTTGTACAAAGCAAACATTGTATTCGATTTTTAGCGCGGCTGCTATACTGGTGGAGCCGACAAGACTGTGAAGCTATGGACATTCGAGCTCATACCGGACCCGACAGGAGATTCTAAAGCCAAAGTAAGATAATTATAGAACACAAATCTCATATATACACATATGTATATTAGATTTTTGATGTTAAATTGTATATTTATTATTTAATGAAATGAACAATATAATTATTCAATATTATTATTCTTCTTAGTTCCATCTTCTGAGATATAATATTTTACTAGCGACTAACTCTCGCTTCGCTCGGGTTCGTCCCTAGCTTGCTTCCCAATACAATCTGTCATCCCCATTTTCACCTAGTTAAGGGTTGACTTCCGGGATAAAAAGTATCCTATGTCCTTCCCAGGGTCTCAAACTATCTTCTTACCAAATTTCATCTAAATCGGTTCAGTAGATCCAGAGATTACCCCCTACAACGTCACAAACTCACAATTCACAAACTTTACTTCTTTATAATATTAGTATAGATAATATATGAGAATTCTAAATCGCGATTCATTTACATAAACAAAATATTAACATATTTACAACAATTTAAAATATAATAATTTTTGTTTATAATAATCAGGTATTATCAGTTCTGCACACTCGAACGCTGGAGCTAGAGGAGGGTGTGACGGCGGTGAGCGTGAGCCCCAACAACAAATTTATTGCGGTGGCCCTCATGGACTCCACTGTCAAGATATTCTTCCTTGACACATTTAAAGTATGTTGCTATTAAATCCATATATTACACTATATATGTACGAGTATTATTCAGCATATTTCCCAACTCTGGGCTGTTACACAAAACACCTGACACAAATACTATACATATTTGGTCCGACCATGGACTTGAATCCAGGACCTCCAAATACACTCATACTCCGATTATACTCACCACTATTATGAAACTTAGGAAAGATATAATATAAGCAAACTCGTCCACTCTTTTAGGTTGGAGTGTGATCATATAGTATGTACGACTATATCCAATAATCGTCTTCCTCCATGAAATTTTGTCTTAAATGGAAGGAAATTACAGATCTATCGAACACATTTTAAGCTATTGCATAGCTTCTATCGCAGGCCTTGAGCGTGGGGACCGAATCAAAAAATTCCGTAACGAAAAAAACCTGACACCCCCCACTCCGACCGGCACAGCGGTGATACTTTTTAGTTTTTCCATCTATCGATAAATACCAGAACTTTTAATGACTTTTTGAAATATCACGCTTGTCTCTTTAGTTCAGCAACCCGCCTTTAGGTGCATTGGTTGTATTGGAAAACTACCGTAATCAGCTGTTTGTGAGAAAGTATATAGGTGTATAGGTATTTATCATCTATGTACAACAGTGAATATCTGTACTCGTATAATTTGTGTACAAAGTGTTTTAAATATGAATAAACAAAGTGCATTTATTAATGAAGAAAGTCAAGGAAAAAAAATACTGCATTAATAAAATAAATAAATAATTATAATTGCATAAGTTGATAAAAAATGCTATGCAATAGCTTTACCGCGGCAGTCTTCGTGTGCCACATTTAATTTTAATTTTATATATCTATTGAATCAATATCCCTCCGCCTATCTAACAATAAAAAAACGTGTGTGTATGTATTCATACGCACGTAAGAAGTTATATTTCTTTGGCGTAACAGAAAAAAAATAGCTAAAGATTTCATCCCGTGTGTCACAATTCTCTGTTTGTAAAAGGAATGATAAATTAATAAAATAAATAAATAACGCCAATTAGGCATATTAAAATCATATATTCATAGGATATTATTTAAGGAAAGAATATCATGCCAACAGCTAACTTCATCATGTCGTTTTTTGGCTGTCGGTGTGCGCGCGCATATCACAAAACTTTACTCTCATAATTTATTCCAAATATCCCAAAAAAAGTACTATATATAAGTTCAAGAAACAAACAATCCCCAGTTCTACCTGTCCCTGTACGGGCACAAGCTGCCGGTGCTGTGCATGGACATCAGCTCCGACTCGTGCGTGGTGGCGACGGGCGGCGCCGACCGCAACGTGAAGCTGTGGGGGCTGGACTTCGGCGACTGCCACCGCTCGCTGTTCGCGCACGACGACTCCGTGACGGCGCTGCGCTTCGTGCCCGCCACGCACTACTTCTTCACCGCCGGCAAGGACGGCAAGGTCAAGCAGTGGGACGGGGACACCTATGAGAATATTATTACGCTCAATGTGAGATGATTTTTTTTTACTATGTGGTTTCATTTGGAAGACTTTATAGTTGTATATGATTTATAGGGAAATCGAATTTTAGTAATAAAGTGTGTGGTTTGATTTATTAAAATATATATGAGTGAAATATATTCGAAAACGTGATAAGTTCTAAGAAAATAACGTATAGCATAAAATAGGAAATTTAGTAATAATTCGAAATTTTTAAATATAAAAAAATTAAAAATATATATCAAAATAAAGAAACAATGCAAATATAAAAGGTATATTGTAATTTGTAAGACATGTGTATTATGTTAGGGACATTTGGACATTATGTTTAGTGTTTTAAATAAATAAAAAGGCATAGATAACCAAGTGTATACATATATAAAAAATAGGCAAATATAAAAGATACAATTTGATGACACATTTGGTTCAGTTTATAGTTTTACCTATTTGCTGTGCCAGAGGTCGCGGATTCGAGTCGTGCATATCACAAATCTATGCACCCGTTGGGTGCGTACATTTGTGATATACGCGAATTTTGTACTCCAGTCATATGTGTGTTTATATTTATAATATATATGTATTTAAACTTATATAATATGTGTAGTGTATCAACTATCTGGTATCCATAACACAAGCCTCGTAGCTTACCATGGAACTAGAGGTAGCTGTGTGTTAATATACCAATATATTTATTTATTTAAATATACGTGTCAGGGCCACTCGGGCGGCTGCCACGCGCTGGCGGTGGGCGCGGGCGGGCTGCACGCGGCGTCGTGCGGCGCGGACGGCGCGCTGCGGCTGTACGCGCGCAGCGACGAGCCGCTCGTGCTCGGCGACCGCGCCGACGAGGAGGAGGGGCTCGCCACCGGGGAGCAGCGGGTTAGCCTTTTTCTTTTTTATATCCCATAAAAAATATAAGTCAAAAGTTGCGAGATCTAATGTAAGTCGGTTAATTTATTCAGTTCATTCTATCTACGGATGGTACGGCGGTGCCAAAATAAAAATGAAATTCTATCGTTTGTTAGTAATTAAAAAAACAACGACTGGATCGTTTTAGTCAATAAAGTATTTAGGTAAAAAATTGGAAAGATGCCCAGACAATTAATTGATTGAAGATTTGTGTAAGAACTTTGAAATATGAAATGCCCCGCAGTCATGTCTTTTGTCAAAAGCCACCTCTCATTCTCTCTTTTGTTCTCTTCAACTCTAGTCCAATATTTATGTTATACGGCGATCAAAATATATGTGTACGTATATAATTTTAATTTTTGTAACTCTGAAAGTTGATTAATTAAATAATATAATATTAATAATTATAACTTATTTTCTAATTTATTATCTTTTCTTTATTATAAATATGTTTTATTTCTTAGGCCCCAGTCCCCGGGTTGCCAGGTTTAAACATGCCAACCAAGAAAACCATTGGGGCTGAAAAAGCTGTAAGTACAAATCTTTATTTAAAAAAACTATGTATTGAGTTAGTTCTTATAAAAATTTTAGACGTGTGAGACCCATGTTTTTTATTATAAGCAAATACGGTGTTAATTCTGGTTGACTTTGTTCTTCAAGCAAGCGTTTCACCAATGGGCACTACTGCTTTATTATATAAACGCATTACAATTGTTTTTCGAATTTAAGAGAAAACTAATATTTTTTAGGCGGATTCCATCATGGAATGTTTACAAATAGGCCTCGAATATCAAAAGCAAGTGGAGGAAGCGCGCGGGCAGTTCGTGCAGCCGCCCGTACTCATGGCGGCCTACAACTGCACCACCCCTGAGGACTTCCTGCTGGAGACTATTAAGAAGATACGATCTAGGTAACTTTGAATTAGTTACATCTTTTCTAAAATTAATTAATGTATAACATAATAAATAAAATGATTTAGGACAAGTTTCATTTGAAACAGAATTCGTGATATATATATAAGTAACTCCACTAAGTTTTAAGCCTACGCCTGCAGTTCAATTTAATCTCATTCCATAGTTTTTCACGAATATTTGACACTCACGTCCAGCGGCTCAACCCGTGTAGTTTTTATTTATTTATTACTATGTTTATATCAATTCAAGCCTTTATGTTGCTTTGATGTACAAGCTATATTACTGTAAAGTTTCACCAAAATCTGTACACGTCGAAGCTTAAAAATGTCGAGTTATCGTCCCATCGGAATTTGAGAATGTAAGGAACAGAGAGTGCGCTGGTGACTGCACGCGCACACTTTGTAGTATATCTCCTGCGCAGTTGGCTAGTCTCAGTGAGATTTGCTGCCGTGGCGAAAGTGGGTTAGGAGAACTTTAAATTTAAAAACTTTTACGTTTTTTGTAATAAATGACTGTCTATTAATTCTAATGCTAAATTGTATTTTTTGTTTTATTGTATTGACAATTTTAATTTTATTATCTAATTTATTTTAATTATATTATGTCTGATTATGTAATTTTTTTTTCATAGTTTTAACTTTATAGTTTAAGTTCAATTTTATCTATTATCTTTTTATTATTTTTAAAAATTAAACATGCACCTTGTGATTAAATGTTACTGACGTGATACTGCAGTGTTGTGATGACCTATAATTATAAGAACATTTATGAAATTGTTAGCACATACATGAGCGTCATACCATTTTTAATATATATTAAATAATAAATAAATAAACTCGTACGTCGCGACACAGCGAGCTGGAGGAAGCGCTGTTGCTGCTGCCGTTCAGCGCGGCGTGTAGCGTCGTGCAGCAGCTGCCGGCGCTGCTGGAGCGCGGCGACGCGCGCGAGGCGGCGTGCCGCGCCGCGCTGTGCCTGCTGCGCGTGCACGGCGCGCCGCTGCGCAGCCACGCGCCGCTGCTCAAACACCTCATACAGATACAGGCCAAGGCCAACATGCGATTGAACGAGCTGAGGGTGCGTTGCTCATTATATCTATATATTAATACGTGAAGCAAAAACTTTGTACATATGTATAAAATTCTAATAAATATGAATTTTTAATATAAATTTTTGATCTGAACTTTACTATTAAATTAATTTACAATTTTCAAAATATAATTGATATTTTGTAAAAATACGATTGCCACATTTCGCTATCATTCTAAATAATTAATATTACTTACGAATATGTAAGTAATGTCTATTCTGTGTTTTCTATCTTGAACCCACAGTTTTTTACTTTTTACTTTTACTTTACCTTTTGAAGTCTGGAGTGTCCGCATCGGTATCGACGATACTTTTTTATAAATATCGGTATCGTATCGGCAGAAGTTTGTATCGATGCATTCCTAATTATTATATACTATAAAAATATATAAAACATTTGAGTACACAAGTGACCATTTCCAGGACATGGTCGGGTTCAACCTGCACGCGCTGCAGTGGCTGCGCCGCGACGCGGAGGCGCTCGCCGCCGAGCAGCTGTTCCGCGACGCCGCGCTCGCGCGCCGCCGCCACACGCGCCGCCGCGCACTCAAGCGGCCCATTGTTACTATCACTTAAATGTATTAGATAAAAACAAAATAAAATAAATTCTACTACGTTGTTTTGTTTTTTTATTTGCAACGCCATTTTATTTTATATCTATATTTTAACGCGTAAATGGGATTATATCAATCCATTCCACTGCGCACACTCCAGCGCGACATGCGCCCCGACTTATTGTTACTGTATATAACTTAAATATACCACAATTAATAAAATCTATTGTTTTTTATTTTTAAAAGTGCTATTTTATTTTTTGTATATGTATGTATTCAGCCCCTTTTAATGTCTCACTGCTGGGCACGGGCCTCCTTTCGATACGAGAGGATCAGGCCATAGTCCACCACGCTGGCCAAGTGCGAGAGCCAATCTAAGACTTCACATGTCTTTCGAAAACTTGCTAGGTTCTCTCAGATATGCAGGTTTCCTCACGATGTTTTCCTTCACTAAGGCAAGTAATCATGTTGGAAATGATTCGCACATGAAAATATCAAAGGTGCGAGACCCGGGATTTGAACCCGCTTCACTCGGTTTCCCAAGCGAGCGCGTTACTACTGGTCTAATACTGCCCTTATTTTTTATGTTTATGTAAATTATATCATAAAATGGGCTAACAGTGCCGAGCAGCTAGTCCGCTTACAGCGTGACACATGTTGCTTAACTACTTCGTTTGTTAACTAGTAGCTGGAATGTGGCTCGTAGATCCATCTGGAGGTCTTGGTTTTTAGACCGGATCAGGTCAAAATAGTTATTAGAAAAGAATAGTGCCTATAAACATACTGTACTAAAATATCCCAATAATGAAAAAATATATAATGAGATTGGCCGGACGTGATCGAAATCGGTCAGGCCATTATAATTTTTAGTGCATCATTGTTTCAAAAATATTAGATTTGTGACATCATTTATAATTCTAAATCAATATAAGAAAAATATTAAGGAACTAGCATTGCCCGCGGCTCCGCCCGCGTTCAGATGACCAAAAACCAAATTCTTTGGTTTTACATATTAGTATACTCTTAATTACAGTTTTTGTATTTTTTCTCAGAAATGAGATATTTTGCCGCGGTAAATAGTATCCTATATGTTGACCCGGATAATCAGCTATGACCATACCAAATTTCATCAAAATCCGTCCAGTACTTTTTCTGTGATGCGGTAATAGACAGATAGACAAAAATTCTAAAAACTATAGATTCGGCCTCTGTATCGATAATGATAATGTACAGATTTGACTCAGTTAGAATTTTATTATATGTATAGATAAACAACTACTCGACAAATGTTTTCCAAAAACAAAGGAACAATAAATAAGAACGACAACGTTATAGCTGCTATATTTTATTTGTAAAAAAATATTCTACTCACTACATAGCCAATATATCAGTTAAAATTTAATAATTTAAGTATCCATCCCTGCGTAAGTCACATTATTTATCATCTATACAACAATAATCAACGTTCCACAATGAGTATTCCGGCGACGCCTCGCAAACGTCACTAGCGGATAATTTATGCTGAAACTTACGTCGAAATGAGTATACATCATTTAGAGGAATAACAATCAACAGATTTAATGGTCCATAAGCTTAGTGAAGAGTCATTTAAACTATTCTATTACAAGAGACCGATTCGAACGAGATGTGTGAACAGTAATAAGTAATAAACGATATAAATTTAGCGCGATGTGTCTCGGGAGGGCTTAATAATTAAGCCTACACTTACATGGAAACTCGCATCGGTCCCATCCCACAATATCTAGATAGCCGTGGAAATCATTAGGTTTAGTGTTTGGCATATAGCTATTGTGAACGTGGTACCGTCGCGTTTATTACTTATAATTGACAATATCCACTTTACAATATGTAATGCAGAACAAGTTCAGAATAGTGCATACAACTGCTCATCACTACGTATCACAATATTATTGCTTTTCGGAAACACACACTTAATACATATCACATATCGATTAGAATACCCCATCGATAATACCGATCTCCATTTCGGAGGCATAAAAACGTTACGTACAAAATAAACACGAGACATTTTTAAAGTGACCGTCAGTCTTATTATCGCAATGTTTTTACATGTGGAATTTTACATTTAATCATACAAAGCCAATATTTCAGCATAAATTATAGGTAATATTACAAAATATAAATTCCTTGTAGATTTGAATGAGTTCTCGCAGCTAAAATCGTCGATTCAGTGCGTGTGTCTTATTTGTACATATAAATTGTAATTAGTGTAATATAATAATAATTATTAGAATTTTAGTCGTTAATTGATAATAATATAAGTGAAAAAAAATCGAAATAATGGTTATAAATGTTCAATTTTAAAAAGCATCATTCATAAGCACAGAATCAACGATTTTTGCGAGTTTAAATGAAAACAACGAGGTCCTGCAACAGACGGCACAGGCGAGAAATGAAATCACAAACACATGCTTTGTTAGACGTAAGCACACACAACACAACCGGTTTGTTAGTATCTTCATATACATTGTTCATCGTATCTTAATACCGTAATCCGTAAATAAACCTAACTCGTAATAAATAACCAAAATGTATGATTGAAATGCGATCGCATTCCACTTTCGGTATTCTCGGAGTGTTCCACCAAAGTCTGGCGTACAAAGGTACATATAAATACTAAATATCGCTATGAGGTGATTTTGTAAGAGATTCGACCAATTGCTAAAACCCAAGTTGAACATCAACTAGATAAAACTAAAAACGTAATACGACTAAGAAAATGTACAGAATAATAAAGAATAAAAAATAATACTGTATCACTACTGCGAGCAGCAATGTTAGTGGAGAATGTGAACTAAACGTGCGGCGATGACGTCACCGCCGCTAGCGCCCGCTCGGCTACTCGATTACGATAAATTCACTGAATTAATCTCCAAAATAATTATTCTAAGCATATAAAAAAATATTATATAATTTACAAAATAAAAATCAGTTTTTAATACTTGTTTTATAATGCCTTCCTTAATAACTTTACATTGATTAGAGAGAGAGAGAGAGAGAGCAAAAATAGATAAATTAGAGAGCAACATTTTTGAGATTATTAAAATATATATATAACTATAATAATTTACGCGCTAGAAGGTTTAAAATTTTATTGTCAAGGTAAACTGCTACTCACACTCGGAAATACAGTCGCCCAGTACGCGTGCAACAGCATCGTTAGCTATACAGTGGATCCCAATATTAAACGATAAATAATCTCAATTTTAAAGCTTTCAAATACAATAATAATATCGGCGCAAACGCGCAAATAAATAAATATATAGGTTAATGTTAGCTGCAACGGAAGTATCGTACAGTGTCCGCCCGCGCCGCGCGAATCTAAGCAAGGTTTAGCTAAAGATATCACAATGTCTCATAGACTGCTCTATTTTACTGGCCCGTGGGGATTCATATAATAAATAAATTAATACTAAATTAAGTAGAGACGTTAAGTAAAGGACGGTGATCGAATGATTCGAGACAGACGATTGGCGAGAACTGAACGGCCCCGCGTCGATGGCGAGTCACGTAAATGGTCAGTTTTAACCGCCGAGGTGAATGCTGTGGGCGTTGAAATGCCACGATTTGGTTACGCGGTTCCTTTCCAACACTAGCATTCCATTAAAGGTTGTGGCTCAATGTTACCATCTTTTAAATAATAAATAATAATACCGAAGATTATTAAGTATGAAGACATCGCGCAGATTAAACGTGTGCAATGCTACCTGTATTATATAATATAATATACTGAAACGTATCACGAGAAAATTTGACATTATTGCTCATTTATTAAATCGTATCCTACCTACATCTTATATTTTAAAATTGTCTGTAACGACGTCGCTCGCATTCCTATATATGAGACTCACTAATTATTGCTTGAATCGGATCGCATCGTATCCCTACAATTATTATCTGGCGAAGGATCGTCTGAATCGAAAAAAAAATACTTACATTTAAATACTGACCGAAATGGGAAATAAATAACTATAAATTTTACGAATCATTATTAAAACTAACAATAAGTATATAATTAAAAAAAATGTACAATATCCTATAACTGACCTAACTCTAAACGAATACTCGCTTCCTGCGATAGGTAACCGTTAGTATAATTTCATCAGTATGGAGAGAGCATTAAGGCAAGGGTCGACGCCGACGGCCGAAGTCGCGTCGGCGTTCATTTCATTCATTTCAGCATATAAAATAAACACTAAAAAAATCGAAACGTAAACGTATTCACATATTAGATTATTCACAACATTCATAATTCATCGCTCATATATCACAATGTAGGGAAAAATATTCGAATCTCTGTTTGATTGGTACCGACCTATCCTATAGGCACTGAACGACGAGCCGCTTCTACCGTACACTCATACAGTTAATGCCCTGCGTATAGTTTATAACATCTTATTATTAATTATACAATACAATATTGATTCAGATCTATAATGAAGATATTCAAATACAGGAATCTAAATTTAAACGTTTATAATATATTGTATCTAATATAAAGAGAAATTTGAAATATACATTGAAGTAGAAAAATATTTTAATTGCAACATTTATGTATTACTTATAACTATTTCTATTTTGCCGGAGTTGAAAATACTGTGGGCTTAAATTTAGATTCCGTTTTGGTGTTTCGTTTATCTTAATTTTTTATCCAAAGTTCTTATAGATTTTAATGGAGGTATTTTAACTTATTACAATTTATAAATCTTTAATACTTTAAAATTATAAATTCAGAATCATATTTAAAAGATCTGTCGTATAGAGTTATGGGGTTTCACGACGGGTGCTTCGGAAGAGTTTTGAGTTTTCGTCACTATTCTGTACTCTTTTGAAGCATCCGCCGTGTTACCGTTATTTGGAAGATAAATTGTCTATGGTACGTAACTGGCCGTCGTTAAAAACACGGTTTAGAATTGGAACAAGTTGCGCGAGACTCCTTGCGCTAAGGGCAGTCTTACGTAAGGTTCGTTAAAGGGAACTTGATATATTTTTTTTTTTGTGTCACGTTGAAGTAATTGTAGAAAGATATACTATTTATATATTTAAAAACTCTAGTATTTTTTAAATTGACTGTAAAATATTGTTTTTTAAATGTTAATACGTATTTGTAAGAGTTAATTCGTGTAGATTGAATATCTAATTTTAGGTAACCATCAAATTCCCTTGAACACCATATCGTAACAGAGTCATAACGCGGTTAGGCAGTGCCTAGCTTTGTATTATCAATTAAATTAATAACTTACTTCAATCAAAGAAAAAATCAAAACAGCAAAAATTATCATACGATTCGTCATGAAGTTTACGTTTGTTATATAAATCTTTATATATCTATTCTTGAATCTTGATATTGAAAATTTTCAGATAAATATGTTATTTTAACCGACTTCCAAAACGGAGGAAGTTCTTTGTATCTTATTTTGAAGTGACGTTATTAGTTTAAGTGATGTTGTGAAGCGACACGTGTACACTGCAGCGGTCGGTCAGTGCGTCTCCTCCGCGGCCACGTGGCTCGCCACCAGGTTGAGCGGCGCCTCGTCGTACTCGGGCATACTTCGACCCACCTGGAAACCAATTCATTTTATTTAATAATCACACTTGCATCACTTACTTACTTTTTTATATTTTTAAATACCCGACACATTGATTTTTCGCGATCGCGTGTATTTTAGATTAAATTTTATTAAACAAATACATACAAAACTTGACTCCTCCTTAAACAATTTTTTCATCATATTTTGTACTAGCGACTTGCAAATCGCTCAGGTGCGTCTCTAAGTATCCAGTATCCTGGGGAAATCTAGATCATAGTACAACTATGTACTAAACATCTAAAACCGTTCCACTGTCAGCGAGAGGAAATAACAAACAAAAACCCCCACTCATACACACATAAACTCTCGCATATACAATATTATAATTATCCGCTAATATCGCTACCTGCTGCCGGTGCGAGTGCGCGTGCGAGCGCGGCGCGTGCGCGTGCAGCGCGGCCAGCAGGTGCGGCTGCAGCTGCCGCCGCAGCGCCGCCAGCACCGCCTCCTCCGCGCCGTCGCCGCCCGCCGCCCCCGCCCCCGCCCCGCCGCCCACCGCGCCGCCCCGCCCGCCCTCCGCCGCCTCGCCGCCGGGGCCGCCCGCTGCCGCGACGCCCTCGTTGCCCCCGCTGCCGCTGCGACGGGTCTCTGGAATTATATTATAATCATTTACAGTTTATTTGTTTAGCAATAAAGTTAATACAAATCCAGAAATGAAAATACGTATCACTGAAAAAAACGATATCAATTCGCTTTTCTGTATGTGATCTAGTGTTTTAAAATATAATTACAAAAAAAGTACTATCCAATTGATAATTTAGTAAATCGGAAATTTTACATATAAGAAGTTACTATATTCTTTTTTATCTATCAAACTCTTTTCGCATTTAATATTTTATTTAAATTTTCTTTAGTATCCCACAAAACATTTTAATATTAAATTTTTAAGTTTTTAATATTTGAAACAAAATGATTTTCCGTTTCTCTTTCTGTTGATTAGAAATTATTACTTAAATCATAAATCAGTCTGTTTACGACATTTATCTAGTACCAAACAAATATAATCCAGTCTTTGACTCACTGTTCCGCGCGTGCTTGGCGTCGTGCCGCGGCCGCCGGCGGCGCGTGTGTATGGTGTCGCGGCGCATGGCGGTGGGGCGCGGCACGCCGTGCAGCTTGTAGTAGAGGCCGCACGCGTTGCACACCATCTCGCCGCGCGCGTCGCGCCGCCAGATGGTGGTGGTGTGCGTGCCGCAGTTGCTGCACGACAGCTCCACGCGCGGCGCCCCGCGCGCGCCCGCGCCCGCCGCGCCCGCCACGCCGCCCGCGCCCGCGCCCGCCGCGCCATCCGCCATTTCCTGCTGGTAAGGTAGGTACATCGATATAAACAATAACCGATCTCTATTACTTCTATAAAAAATATTATGATAGAAATCAGAGATTATTGAGAATGCGCGTGTGCAAACTAAGCCTCAGAAATCATTTATGTATAATTTATGAATCGATGAAAAACCAAAAACCTTCAAAATTTTGAGATATTCTATATACGAAGACATGTTATTTAATTGCTTCAATACATTTGAAATTATCCTTTTAAATTATACTTATCTAAACTATGTATGCCAACTTGTAAGCCTAAAGTATGAAACAAGAAGCTCGTCATCATCAAGACTATACCCAAGCACAAGTGTACATCCTCACCACAGCGATGTTGTCGTGCGAGGGCCACACGCCCGCCGCCTCGTGCAGCGGCTGCGCGCGCGCCGGGCAGCTCTGCTTCCTGCGTGCCGTGCCCCCCGCGCCGCCGCCCCCACCGCCTCCTGTGCCTCGACCGGAACTTGACCATTCTCCGTTCTGACAAAACATTATAATACATATCTTTAGTCCGGCCCAATCAATTAAAAAAATATAAACAAAGATTTGTTTGATAAAATATACACACTTTCCCCGAAAAATTTACAACTTTTAATACATTTGAAAGAGATCAAATGAGATATTTTCCTGCGGTAAAAAGTATCCTATATGTTGACCCGGATAACCAGCTATCACCATACCGAATTTCATGAAAATCCCTCCAGTGGTTTTTGTGTGATGCGGTAACACACAGACAGACAGACAGACAGACAGACAAAAATTCTAAAAACTATACATTCGGCCTCTGTATCGATAATAATATCTATTTCAATAACATTTTCCAAAAAATATTTAATGTACAGATTCGGCTTAGTTACAATTCTATTACATGTATAGATTATAAGATTTCGATTGCATGGGACATCTCATCACCCTACTATAAACTATTATTAATGGGAAAGATTGTATGTGTCTGTTTGTTACTTTTTGATGCTTACATAGCTGGACGAATTACGATTAAATGTAATACACATATAGAGTATGGCATCTCACATGGGTATCTGAAGGAAATCTTTGCATTGTGCAGCTTTTTAGTTTAAAAGTTAATTACTATGCAAGTGTCTATTCTAAAATAGCGTGAAACTAAATTCATATATTCCGGCCCAATCAATTAAAGAAACTTTATAAATACGAGTATTATCTGTGACAATTTATGATTGTATTATGTGATAATGGCGGAACTAGTGATGTTATTTCACTTATCAAAGTTAAACGACATGTTAAAGATAAACCCATTTATTCGATAATCGATGGGTTTATCATTTAATATTTTGATAAGTAACCAAATTAAAGTTAAATAATTGTGAATTTAAAAGATATAAAATTATTAATAGTAAAAAAATTACATTATAAGTTTATAATAATAATAATATTTGAGATTAATATATTTTTTGACAACCCTTGCACATTTACGACTGATAGCATAAGTACCTACACAGGCGACGATGTCATCCGATATTAAATTCGTTTCCCAACTGTATGGATTGTAAAACTGTGGTGATAGTATATGTGTATCTTCTAACACTGAGAATAAATATTTAAATCGTATCTACATAGGAGCGCACCTGAGCGAAACGGGGTTAAGTGTTCGTATGGATATAAACAACAATAGCGATAATATTGCATAGCTATAATAATAATTAATTAGAGGTGTAGCTAGCATGTGTGGTGCCCATGCTAGCCATAAGCAGCTTTATGGGTGTCTCCAACCCCATGGATGAAACCTTTTCTTTCAATCCTTATTCAAAATATTTTGAAAATAACAAATACACAATGCTTATCACAAGTCATGAAAAAGCGAAATGATAATTGCCATGATTGAATACGAATATGAAATCCATACATATGCATTAATGAAGAGGGTTTTATGAAGAGAACGTTGAATTTGAGCTAGGTACGAAAAAAAAATATTCAGGAAGTTGTTTTGGTCTAAGATAAATAAAAAATGTGTGCTTTAAAATTTCATGTGTCACATGTTAAATTAGCAAATAAAGTAATTCGAGAGGACTTTGTTACTTATACTTATTTACTTATTTCATTTCCGCAAAGACGTACGTTCTTTCAATGGAGTCACGATTCGACAATATTGAATAGTAAGCAAGGCAGCGGCTGACGCAGAATTATTATGTTAAAGGATAATATGGTTAAGCAGCCGTATGCATAATTACTAGGCCTCGAAAGTACTTGAAGGAAATACTATTCACCTCGACAGATGTGACCACAAATAATAGTATTTTTTTTTTAAAAACAAGCTTTTATTTAAATGCTTTAAAAAGAAAAAAAAACTTTAAATTAAATTAAGCTCATCAATTAATTACATAACATAATTTATATATAATATAAAATATTAACTTATTTTATATTATTAATAATTATACCTATTTTATAAAAAGCATATTATTTTTTTACATTTTGTTTCTTGTTTATCTACACGGGCAAATGTCGCGACAAGCTTTTATATTATAGAAATTGAGTAACATCATAAATTGATGGGTTTGATTTAATTAAACGTATATAAGTTCTTCTTTTTAGAGCATTTAAAAAAAGATTGTATTTCATTTTTCATTTTTTAGTAATTTGTATCTTCTCAGCAAACCCCTTTATTTGATATCCATAAAAACATAATCCGCCATATTGGATTTACAATGAAGTCACTTTGCTTATTGTGCTTCGCTCATCAAGCCCTTTTATTTGATGCCCATATCATATGGGTCACTATGGAAATGATAAATCGCCATTTTGGATTAAAAATGGCGGCATTAAGTAATCGTTTATTAAGGTGATCGTGAATTGTCACGAGAATCAAACGTGTATGCCGAATTTCAGCTCAATCGGACCATTCCATTCCATTTAGAATAAAAAGACATAGTATCTTAAAAGACATATAGGCTACAATTTAAGAACATTTTTCGAAAATAATCTATGTTGTTATTTGTGAATTGAGTCAGGAAAATGTTCTCTTGCGCCCCTGCGCGAGTGCGCACTCGAGCGAATTGAGAATAAGCCCCTAACTAATAACTAAGCTTCGGCTTGGAAGTTCTCATGTCAACTACTTATATATAACCGAAATTATAATATACTTCTAAACTTTACATAGCTATTTTAAGTATTTTAACACAAGACCACTGTGAAACTAGATAGCTTGTGATTTTTTAATTTTAAAAATTATAATATTCGTCTTCGTTAATTACATGTATCTCTACATTTAAAGCATTATTTTTGTATTCATAGTACTATATATTAGTCATTTATTATTTACAGAACTAAAGTCTTTTCATTCCAAAAAGCAAATATTGTAGATTTTTTTACAATGTTTGGAAGTAAAGTAGGTACTACTGAACATATATACAGTACGGTGTTATCATAACATCTTATCTGCAAATTTTGAAGGTAAATATTTTTAATGACTATGTTTTTGTCATTTTGTAGACATTTTCTAGTTTAAACACCGTATGTACTATACATTCAGTTAGAAAATAATGAGACCTAATTTTTAATGGTATTGTATTTTTAATAATACATTTTACATAACTATGTATTTATAAAATCAAAACTCGAAAACCAAGCGAAGCGTGTTCAAACTCGAATCTCAAACCTCCGATATTTTCATGTATCATATTATTTATCGATATGATTAGCACTAATTAGCTAGACTGCATGTCTAAGAGAACCTAACTAGTTTTCGAGAGACATGTGAAGTCCGCAAACCCGTACTTGGCCATAGTGTCGAATTTACACATTTTCCAACTAGTTTTTAAATATTTGCCGCTCTATAACTGTCCAGTGCCTTGATTATTTTTATAATCCAACAATTTGGTCGACATGGCACAAGAAATAGTTTTTGAGTATAATTTTGAGCTAATCAAAGCTCAAGCATGTTTCGAATTGTTACAGGAGTCTTTCTGATTTCTGCCAGACGCTTAAAAAGATTTCTGCCCTAAATTCGCCACCCCGAAAATTGCTTCGCCAGCGATCACGCTCGCTATTATCCATCAGATCATCGCATTGAAGAGAGATCCTCGCGTTGGAGTGGGACTTTAAAAGGGGCTGGTGAGATATACTTATTAAAACTAGTGATCGCCACGTGGTTAAAATGAACCATAATTCCTTAAGTTTGATAGTTATTGAGGTCTATTCTCAATTTTACCACAGACTTTAACAATAAACAAAAGTGTATTATATGCGTGTGTGTATCAAATACATGGTAGTGTGTGTAATGTTATTTTTATTGATTTCATGTATCGTTTATGCATCATTAAAAAAAATTATATAAGCATTCTGCACTCTTACTCTATATAAACTATAAGTGTGGGAAATTTCATATTCCTCCGTCCGCGCAATTTTCGTAAAAGGGGGTACAAAGTTTTTGCATCACGTATCAATATCTATATAAACATACCGGTGAAACAGCTCCATTGGGAGGTAGCAGCGGCGTCGGCAGCGGCGACGTCGTGCCCCGTAGCGGAGACACCGTCATGCCCAGATGTTTGCTGTTGATCAACCGCCTTAGCAGCTGCGTGGCTTCACCGCCGCGACCTGCACGTTCAAATTATATATTAACATGTAATTTCTATTGTACTTGTTTGTAGAAATAATACTTTCATAGATTTACGTGAACATTTTACATTTTAGCACTTCCAGGTAAATTTCTAAGAAATCTAATCAATTAGTAGCTGTAACGCCGGCATGTCCGCGGTCGTGGAAGTATTAAATGTAAATAATTGTTCGGATCCGAGAAGAAAGTTTTACTTAAATTGTTTATAGAAAATTCATAGTTAGTTCGACCTACGCCGATCAGTAACTGTTCGAGATTTTTGTTTTTATGTTGCACCAACTTTATTAAGAAATAAAAAGAAATTGCCGCCATATACTTTATTTTTCTTTATTAAGTTAAATTAAAGAGAAAAGAATATCGAAAGATACACAACATAGTAGGATTGCGCGTAATATTACAACTACTATAATTTAAGGAGTTGCAGCATAGTAACTAATTATATAACATGAAGCCCCTTGACCATATTTTATCACTGACAACCAATCCTCAATATATTTTTGATGATGAACATTAGATTCTCCTGACCGATTTCGGCCACGACGGCCAATCTCACTGAAACTAGCCAACTGAGCAGAAGATAACATAGTGCACTTTCTGCAGCTGTTACTCTCGTACTCCGGTAGAACGACAATTCGACACGAAAAGTGAGAGACCAGGCGCATGACCGCCGGCTTTAAAATGTGAAACACCACAAACTCCGGGGTACTACTGAGACTTTCTTTAAAAAAAATACTTTAATATCTAAACTTGGCCCGACCCGAAACTCGAACCCAGGACCTCGGCATGTGCAGCCGTACTTGCTAGCCACTAGACCTAAACTAATATTTATGCTATGAGTCATACAAAATACTTTTCCGACAAGCAGATGGGTATAGCACGACCTTCTAGAGTATAATAAAGTGATTGATAATAAGGAATATCTGTACGACCTATCTCTTGAACAGTCATTTATCGTGACCTCAAGCGTAAATACTGCCAGTCTTATAATTATGTGACACTGAGCCTCCAGCTTACATTGATCTTTGTTACGTAGATTTCGCTCATCCTCATACCATCACCGCCATCAACCTACCCATTTATAAGTGGATTACAATTAAAAATTACTTTTCAAACCCTAAGATTATACTATACGAAATTAAAACATGCGTTAAAATAGTGTATCTATGTAATTTAATGCCGATTTAGGTTTTTAACAGCGATCCACGAATATTACACAATTTAAATCATATGAATATGAAAAAATATTTATATAATTAATACAAATTAGAATTACTTATTCCTTCCCTTCAAATTAAATCCATTTTTTTTCTGTCGCTCTAATCTTGGAATCAAAACCTAATCTTACTAAAAAAATATAACTTTATTTATATCTTAGGAAGAAAATAAGTGGTATTCTTGTTTTAGAAAACTGAAGAACAGACTGTTACATATAATATAAATAAGGGTTCAACGAACTAATTAAAATTCATAGCTGATAAAAGACCATAACATACACATGTGAACGAAAAAAAAACCTTGTTTTAAAGTACATAACTGACCTTACATGATTTTTTAGGTGTTAATTAGAAAATATTAAGCTTAAAGTGCGGGATTAATAAAAAAACCTTCATAATAACGATTAAAAAGACTGTGAAGTACTGTACACCACTCTATAAATAAAATAAATAAATAAGTATGTTAGGACATTAACACACACCACCATCTAGTTCCATGGTAAGCTCCGAGGCTTGTGTTTATGGATACCAGATAATTGCTACACTACACATATATAACTTTAAATACATACATATTATAAATATACCACTCTATATGTACATAGTTTGTATAATAATTAATAAACTAATGATTAAAATTATGCAAAAGACCATACAAAAAATACTTAATAAAAAAGAAATGCCAATTCGTAAAAAAACTGCTCTTACAAATAATACAAAAAATACTTTTTTCAATTATTCTTAACAAATTACCTTTTTATATTTTTAGTATCACCTGCAACTAAGTATAAGTAATCATATCTTTGAAGCTGATTTTATCCTACTTCTAATAAATTATTTTCGTACCGATTTTGAAACTTCCTAAGTATGGTTTCTTCCGAGTCGTTTTGACGAGTGGAACTTGATTATGTTATATTTTTTTAATTATAAATATAATAATACTATCTTAAATTTACAACCAAAATGGACAATAATGACTATGTTTGTTGTAAAGCATTCGAATCGTCGGGAATAAAAATATAATACAGAACCGTGACAAAAATCAAAATCATAGTTACATTTAAAATTATAAATATTTACAAAAAAGTTTACCATTTTGTCTATGAAGGGCTTGCCACAGAGAATCCTTGTCCGGTTCGTTTTCGTGTGGTGGCTTAGGAGACGACTGAGCGGACGGCACGGACTGTGTTTCTTCAGGGTCGTCCTACAAACATGCAAACATTATTATTTTGTTATATATATTTTCTTCCCAAATTACAAAGAGTACTAAATACTAATTAGGTGCTTATAATCAACTAATTATTATTGTTACATTAACATTTTTATGCAATATTTTAATTTAACAAATAAAATCGAAGTGTAATCGCCAAGATGATTAATGCTAATATTATAAACTACTAGCGACTCACCCTTGCTTCGTTTCGGGTTCGTCCCTTGATAAAACAAATGTATCCCACGGGAACCTTGCATTTTTTCCGGGATAAAAAGTAGCCTATGTGCTATTCCAGATTATAATCTATCTCTGTGCCAATTGTCATCCAGATCCGTTTAGGCATTTTGACGTGAAAGAGTAACAAACATCCATACATTCTCACAAACTTTCACATATATAATATTAGTCATTAGTATGTATAATACTCAGGTGTCAGGTACAAAACAAACACAAATGTAGAAAAGCTTAAAGATATGTTTAATTGTTATATATTAGTTATTAGTAAATTACTATGATAATAACTTTTAATTATTTCTTTTAAATGTATCCTTAGTTTAATTATACAAAACACTTAAATGTCACAGCTTTATATATTGGAAAAGTCGTTGTGCTTTGATTTGTATCGGCTGGCACCGACTTCGAAAATATTTGATTAGATATGTAGTAAATGAAACCCACCAATCAGTTCTTTTTTTACTTCGTAGGGTTTTTTTTGAAGTCGGTTTTTTTAAGTTTTCATTTTTCAATAAAATAAGTAGAAATTATTTTTAAAATTCAGTAAGTGAAAAATCAATCATCCCCATTTTCTACACTTAGGGGTGGATTTTTTTTCTAATTTAAATATGACCATTTCGGAATAAGACCTCTTTCGAAAAAAAAAATATTTTTTCAATTGGAGTTACGCCCGAACATACGTATATATATATATATATATATATATATATATATATATATATATATATATGCACCTACTTACCTCAATGAATTTGTTAATTAATTGAATCACTTCCTACTTTAAAAAAAATAGTTAAAAATTATAAAATTATTTAGTTAATTTACCCGTATTCTTAAGTTATCCGTAATTTAGTTATTGAATTTTCGCAATATCTATCATGAAATTACATCGTTAAAGTTATTGAACGAGAAAACGATCCGCTGTTGAATAAAGACGTAAACTAAAATCTTTTATGAGTTATTCAAACAACACGTCATGTCAATATTATTATTTCCTATAGTGATAGATTCTATGAATGGTCATATTAATTTTTCGAAAAAAAAAACATTGTATTATAAATACAAAAGTGAGGCTGCTTGTTTTCTTTTTTTTTATTAATAAGTGCAGATGTAAGCTTTTAGCTTACATTTTTCCGTTGAGAAAAAAAACCAGTCAGACAAGACTATTACAATACATTTTAAAAGGAAAGAAATCTATCATCTGATAGAGTATAAAGTTACACTGAAGCTTCATGCATGTATGATAGACATAAAATGCGTACTTTACTCCTTTCGCTTATGTAATCGTTTTTACTATTAAGGGATGATTTTTTTTATTTCTATTTTGCGGATATTTCGTGTCACTGCGACCATTTCCGGTCTGATTTTGTGTATTAAACATAATAAATTAGCTTTCGCCAAACGCGTATATGACGCAATTGAAATCGCCAGATTTTGCTAGTAATCCATATAAAGGTGTTAATAAAAATAATCAATTTAACAGCTTACTGTCAGTCATGACCTTCGTTTTTTATGTATTTTTCAATTACATGGATTGTTACATAATGTTAATTTCGTGTTTCAACGATGGTGCTTTAAGTAAACGATTTACTCGGCCCGGAAGAAATTAGGCTTGAAATATATAATAACTTGTTGCGTAAACTTATGCTTAAATTACTTTTTTTATGACTTAAATTTTGTATATTGTAATTTTAAATATATCACCTAAAGTAAAAAATGTAGAGTGAGTAATAAAATAGTATTTATAAAATAATCACCTGCGACACTTCAGAAATATCCATTTGCAGCCTGTCCGGATCTGACCCGCTACTGCTCTGACTGCAGTCTTCATATACGGAGTTATCTTTACCCTGTTTTATTTTATTGCATGTTCGGCCAAAAACGTGTTGTTTGTACTCGTCCGCGAAGGTGGATGATTTGCTCGTTAAAGTTCTATGTAAGAAGGGCCCCGTGACTTCGCGATCAGTCTGTTCAATGTGTTCAACTGTTTCATTCTTAATAGTGCCATATAGTGAAAGGTCCATTTCTTTATTGTCATGATCATCGTTGCTTCCGGGGCTGGTGGCACTTTGGGGCGCGTTATACGCGATGTACTGGTCCTCGGGGTACTCCTGCGCGTAGGTTACATCGCTGACGCTCGGGGCATGAGTCCTGTCAATGACACTCGAGTAGGTAGGCGGGAAATTATGAGATTCTTCGTTTTCACGCTGCGCGACCGCGACAGCCTTGCTTATAATATCGATGACGGCATTACAATGCATAACCTCTCTCGCTCTGTCGGAAGGCGGTAAACTCGGGCCGCTGTTGAACATTATGTGAGGACTTTCCTCCCTCTTCACAGCGTATTTAGTTGGATCATAGTTTTTTATCTGAAGCAGTGTTACCGCCGCTTGCCGACTCTCCAAGTTCTTCATTTCCTCTGTGGAGTCAGGGGACCCGATTTCGGCATATTTGTGTTTATTGACATCGTCGTACTCGTTATCGTTCAGTGGCCTGATTATTTCTTCTAATTTGTCCGCCGTTATGTTCAGGATATCCTATAAATAAAATAACAATGTTTGAACAAAGGCTACTCAATATTAATACAGAGATAATAGGAACACGCATTAACCAATGAGGAGCTCGCTCATTTCATGACACTTCGTGATATCGCTTGCCGAGAGGCTGATAAGATAATATTGCATCTTTATCGGAAGGTGTTTGAGCAGTGTTCTTTCAAATTTTGGGAAAGATGTGCTTTCTACAAGATATTAGTGGTGTGAGTAGACAGAACAGTCCGATTAGTGTTGCAGGCACGAAGGGCGCCTGTATTCGTGCCTATCTTGTGATTATATAAGTAATGATGTCTTTTTGTTGTAGGTATTTGTGATATTATGTGTCCTAGTTTCCGCCAGTCACGCTCAGAGCGATGTGAAAAACGGGCAATGTAATATTCAAATTCATGATGCCAATCTTACATTAAACTGTTCAAGACGCAATATCGATATCATTCCCGCCTGGCCGGAGGAAATAAACAAAGTCACAGATAAAGGTAACACCAGTTTCGTACATTTAATTAATTTATCTCAATAAGAGCCCATTAAGAGGTTGACGCCGGAGTGAGCTACTCCGTGCGGCAACATAATTGAGTATATATTAACACAATTATAATAGTTTTTGTTTTTCTCTTCTAAAACAATGTTCGTACTTATTTCTTAAATATTATTCATTTTTTATGAATTTAGTCAATAATGTTCATAAATAAAATTATTTTGTTCATATAGTACGTTCAAAATTAATATTTCTAGTGTTAATTTTCTAAGTGAATCTATTAATAAAATTAAATATTTTTAAAATTTATTTTAAACAACTTTTTGTGAATAATAGTTATAATCCATAATTATTATTAATATTATAAATGTGAAAGTGCGTTTGTTTGTTTGTCCTTCTTTCACGTCGAAACGAAGAACGAATTGGCGTGATTTTTTGTGGAGATAGTTGGAGGGCTAGAGAATATTTTTTATCGCGGGAGATTATCTAATACCCATGGGAAAACACGTTATAATACAATCCAAAAAATATTTATGATCAGAATTACTTGAAATTTGGTATGAATGCACGTGTTTTAGCATTTTTCGAAATTCATTTCATAAAGGGTAAAATAGGGGATGAAAGTTCGTATGAAACTATCTTTTTAGATATTTTTTGTAGTATTAGAGCGAGCGAAGCCGCGGGTTCTGCTAGTATTAATAAACTTAAAACAAAAACAAATCTATCCCTCGGAAACCGTATATTTTTCAGGGATAAAAAGTAGCCTATGGTTATTCCAGACTATAATTTATCTCTGTAACTTTCATCCAGATCCGTTCAGCCGTTCTGGCGTGAAAGAGTAACAAACATCGATCCAATAAAACAAACTTTAACATTTATAGTATTAAAATAATACGGATGATATTTAACATTTTCTTTTGATAGTTTTTTTTACAAAAATGAACGCCTTTTTTACATTTAAAAAAAATATCATACCTACATTAAATGTTGATAGCTCGTTTGTTATTTACATATTTTATATTCAATAAAACAGGCTTTTATTTATTTTTTTCAATTTATTTCAGAGGCTAACGTACTGATAACTTTCTATAACAACAGTATAACGAATGTCACAGAATTAGCCAGTGTGCCAGGAAGTAAGGTCGCCGTCAGTTTCAAATCTAATAAGATTTCTCAAATAGAGGATGACGCCTTTAAAAATTTACAGTATTTATTTTACTTAGACCTGAGTAATAATCGATTATCAGGTAGGTTGCCTCTTCTACAATTAATCAATTACACATAGGTACGAATTGATAAGATTCGTGGAATGCAATGTTTGTTTACGTGTCCTATGCTTATAGTCCAATCGGAATCCGATTTAGGAACAAAATTATTCTTTATTAAAACATTATTCTAGAAATTAAAAATAAAAAACCAAGAAGAAAAAGTTAAAACCCGAGTTTTCTGCAAATATCTCGAAAACTTTGAGGTAATGGTAAAAAGTGTTATTTATAAGAGTTGTAGATTTTTACTGGACCTACAACTTTTGTAGAAAACATTTTTCGATAGAATGTCATAGTAAATTGAAAAAAACTATTTTTCAACGCTTTGCGTCCCCCCATTTCTCGGGGGTAGCTGGGCATCGGGGGCATTTTACGAATTCTTATTTCTTACATACCTGCTAACATTTCAAAATCATAAAACTGCACGTTTTCAAAAAAAAAACCCCTTAAAAATAAACGAATTCCGATTGGTCTAAAATACTATTTTAAGAAAATAATCTGGGAATATATAAATAACAAAAAGTAAATAAAATACCATCTTATTCATAAAATATCGTTTTCAGATATATTTTAAGGATAAGTAACTTCATGGCTATGTAAATTTGGCACCCGATCTTGGAAAAATTCTTCTTTTTAAGGTTTATTTGAAAGATTTCGGTTAGTAGTAGATAGTAGTGAAGCTAACATCGTTTGTAGTAGTGCCAAAAAATATACAGATAACAAAAAAAAGTGTCATCCCCGAAGTTAGTGAAAAAAAAAATTCCGCTTGATTCTTATACAAAAACGTTAGTAGTGGTTTCTAGTTTTTTCATTTGTGGTAAAACAAAAAAAAAATTTTTTTGAGTATTTTTGCAGAATGATTTTTACTACATACATTCGTTGTTTCGTTTGTAGTATCATTACTTCGTTTGTAGTGACGTTAATTTCGTTGTAGTAATTTTTTTTCATTTCTAGTGTGTTTGTTTGTAGTAATGTTAATTTCGTTATAGGTGCCAAGTTCACATAGCTTAACTTCATCGCAATGTGTTTGTTATTGGATTTTCCGTGGCGTATCTAAATCCTGATAAACTAAAAACTCGTATTGGGGCCACTTCAAAAATCTATTTCTTGGAACAAAAAAAAAATACATTTTACTTATCAGAATTATCTACATAAATTGCCATATAAAGATATATGTTAAGATTAACCTACTTGAAACTATGAATGAACACTCCATAGGTTAAATATAAATTTACTAATATTTTTTAATTACAAAATTTGATTATTTATTAACTTAGGTACCTGTATTTAATAACTAAATTTCAGGGGATGTGTTGCGGAGCGAAATTTTTCAAGGACCGTACAAAAATGGAACGTATAGTAACATTTCTCTAGACACGTTAAACTTAGGATATAATCAAATACATTCTCTCGACAAATACCTATTCCAGTATACACCGAATTTAACACGCCTCTATTTGAATAATAATCCAATCGAAATACTCGACCACGTGACAATCCTTGCCCTATCGAGTGCCACAAAATTAGAGGTAAATAATTCCAGTTACATAAATTCGTTAAGCATAATTTACCAAAATAATTAAATTAACATATTATATGATTTTTTTATTAATAACTAAATAAGTCTATTTTAACTTTTACAGGTTCTTGATTTGGCTAAAACTGACATCGATAATATTCCTCTGGACGCGTTTAGAGGATTGGTAAAACTAAAACAAATTGATCTCTCTGGGAACCGATTTGTCACAGTGCCAGAAAGTTTGAGCCTCGTAGGCAGTACACTACAGTACTTGACATTTAATAACAACCCTATCATAGAACTCAATGATGACAGTTTCTTAGGTACGCATAAGTATATATTCAGAATCTTATCTTGTTGATTATCGCACTGAGTGAGTATACCACGATATTTATTGTAGACTTGAAATTCTAACTATAATTTGTTGAGTTAAATAAGGGTGTCGATGACGAAGGAGAAGGTCTAAACATGCACTTGTAACTCCGTAAAGTATACCAGCGTGTAGTTCTTTTTTTTTCATTTATATCAAAACAGCTATTATCCTTAAAATAACAGAATTGTCTTGGTAAGATTAAATTACGAATTATTAACTGCTATAAGCGTTATATAAAACTTGTGTTTACCCGCATGTAACCGTAATAATATTAATTAATTATTCATATTATAATCACGTTCCGAAGCAGAAATCTTTTTGCCTGTGATAAGAAGTAACAGTTTATGTCGCTTTCGTTAGAATTCTCAATTCGTCAGTATGAGTATTGAGTACCGATAAAAAAAAACAGACGAATTTAGAACTACCTCCTTTTTAGAAGTCGGTTAAAAATCAGTTTAATGATACCGACAATTCGTAGATGCGGACAGCTGAGATTCGCGGATACAAATGAATATTAAAAAAAAATGTTTGTTAAGGCTTTGATACGTAACCTATACATACAAGCCAAATCTGTACTTAAATATTTATTGGAAAATCTTATTGAAATAGACATTATTATCGATACAGAGTCCGAATCTATAGTTTTTAGAATTTTCGTCTGTCTGTTACCGCATCACAGAAAAACTTTTTGAATTTTGATGAAATTTGGTATGGTGATAGCTGATTATCCGGGTCAACATATAGGATACTTTTTACCGCGAGAGAATGTTTCATTTCTGAGAAAAAATACAAAAACTACAATGTAAGAGTATACTAATATGTTAAATCTAAGAATTTGATTTTTGGTCATCTGAATATTCCCAATTTATTTGTAAGAACAAGTGCAGATACTAACAGTATATTATGTTACTTGATGCATTTATGTTTTCTGAGACAATAAGACCATATAGAGTTCACCAGGATCAAGTGTCATATCTCAGCTAGAATTGATCAAGGTCAATTAAATACGGAATTACTTTACCTACTTGGTGTTATCATGACTATGCGATAGCGATGTCTAAGTCATGGTGAAAGTACTAATGCCAAACAGTTTTCTAACATCTGAAGACAGACAGGCAGCGACGTAACAACTTGTTTAGGAATTTTGATACTCATTAGACATTACATAAATATATTGGATTTTCATATTAACGAATGCTTTCTATTTTCTCAACTAGAAGCTTGTAGTGAAGTTTTACCGGACTTTTCCATAAATAAATCTAAATATTTTATACGAGTAATAATGTATTATAATATATGGATTTTTATTAATTTTAGAAGAGCAACTTTCTTCTTATATAAAATTTAGACAAATTTTGAATGATGTAGTTTAATATATTGATACTGTTAAAGATTTGAGCCAGAAAATTTTGTTTGGTGATCAAGTAAAAGTAGAAATTATTTTGTTTACGTGATTTTTCGATTGATTAGAAGCAATGAATATATAATATAACCTACATTGTTATCTACGTATAAAAGAAAAAAATACTGCTAAATTAATGTTTATATTTAATCGTTAACGTCTTTTATTATTTAACATCTTATCTTATTAAAAATCAAGAAACACTTTTTTTTTACTTCATTTATTCACAATTCATACTATTCACCATTATTTTTCTGCTTTCTTTTTGGTTTGAGTTTATTAATTTGGTTATTATTATATATTTTTAGGTTTAAATAATCTTCTTCAATTGGAAGTGGGTGAAAATGATTACTTAGAAGAAATTAAACGTAGTACATTTACACCGTTAAAAAGCCTTCGAGTTTTACACCTGTGCCACAATCGCAATTTGAAATATATCAGCCATAATGCATTTCGAGAAATAAAGGATAAATGGACGTTGAAAGAGGTAAACAATCGTAAATATCTATATAAAACTTAATTATAAAAAATACTTGTTACTTTGTAGGTACTTAATTATTAACGATTATCGTGGCGTAGCGGATATTACATCTAGTTCTGCCTTTAGAATCGTAGATCGCAAGTTTGTTATTATATACAAAGTATATAGTTTTTTTTTCTTTATCAATATAGACACTATAATTACTGAACGAAACATTTTTTACTACAGGTTTATTCTATGGTAACAAAAATTTAATTCAACCTCTTCTCCTCTTTATATGTAATTTGCCGATTTAATCGGTATCGTTAGTCCCATTAATACTAGGGTCAAGTTCCTAAAATGAGATAGTGAGTTATTTGAAAATTTCTTCATCCATCGGGAGCGAAAATAGCCGTAAGTTTTTTCCTATTTCTCAAAGTTACAACAAGAATTTATATTAATTTATTTCATTTTTATGATTGGAATATTTTCTTTCAATTTATATGAGACCTATGACATATATTTTTTATTAAGTATTAGGTAATACCATGGACGAATTAGAGACTAATTCGTTCATGGGTAATACTTAATAAAAAAAATATAAAGATAATTTCACCGTTGAAAAAGATATTTTTTCCGATATTGTCTCTTCCTTATCTATACATATAATAAAATTGTAACTAAGTCGAATCTGTACATCAAATATTTTTTGGAAAATCTAATTGAAATAGACATTATTATCGATACAGAGTCCGAATTTATAGTTTTAAAAAATTTTGTCTGTCCGTCTGTTACCGCATCACGGAAAAACCACTGGAGGGATTTTGATGAAATTTGGTATGGTGATAGATGGGTTATCCGGGTCAACATATAGGATACTTTTAACCGCGGGAAAATATCTCATTTCTGAGAAAAAAAAACAAAAACGGCATTGTAAGAGTGAGAGTATACTAATATGTAAAACCTAAGAATTTGGTTTTTGGTCATCTGAACGCGGGCGGAGCCGCGGGCAATGCTAGTTCCTTAATATTATGCGAATATATCAGTTTTGACTTTTGTAGCTGTTTGTTCATTTCTCACGGCCGACAAAAAAATTAAGTACAAAGATATGTCATAGAGGCAGAACATTTAAATATAGCTCCTGCATTAAGGGAATAATAAAATTTGTACGACAAATTGGCTAGTAATAATATGTTTTTATAGGAAACCGTTTCCTGTATAAAGCTCATTTTAGCTAAATTAGAGATACTATTATGATAATTTAAAGAAATGTTAGGAGCATCGAAGTAAATTAAAAGATATTCTTAGAAGAAAAATAAGTTAGTCGGCATTGGCGAATTGCTTATGTACTTGTTTATTGCGAATTGTTTGTTTAGTACCAGTTATTAGGAAAGTAAATAGTAAACAGAGATATAGAAACGTGTTAAAGAAGAGACTGTAGGTTTTTTTTTATTCGGCCATATGTACTACCATGACTTATGATGTAGTAAAGTCACTACTAAGAATAATATACTAAGTTAATTTATTTTAGTTATTGTAATGTAATACACGTTTCGAATATTAAGATCAAAAATGTTTTTCTATGTTTTTAATAGGCGTTATGAGAAGCAATTTTAATCTAATATATTTAAACGAGCAATTCTTGTATATATATATCTATATAATCTGAATCTCGGAAACGGCTCCAACGATTTTAATGAAATTTAGCCCACGGGAGGTTTCGGGGGCGACAAATCGATCTAGATTAGTCATATGTCTGGGAAAACGCGGGTTTTTGAGTTTTCATGCTGTTTTCTGTCGCATTATTCCACTCAAATTATGTTCGATAATTTCGCACGCTCGAATATAAGCATCGTGGTCAAGCGGCTAAGTCGCAATATTGACACTAATAGGTTATTTTCAGTTGTCACCGGTCGGTTATTTTTACTTTTTTCTTTTTGTATTTATTCTAGATTTTTTTAAAGAAAATTGTACTTTCCGGCCAAAAACTCCGAGCGAAGCTCGGTAGCCCTGGTACTATTTTTAATGTGATACAACACACTATAATAAATAATTACTCTTTAAGAATATGCAGAATGCACGTTATAGTTTTGCGTTGTTCTCCTTACGGTGATCACGTGAAGAACAGAATGACACCTTATTCTGTTAATAATTTTCCTTCGCTCTCAAATATTTACGTACCACGTGACGTTTCCCAACACTTATTTAATCAGGTAAACAAACAACTGTATGGTAATTGGTAAACATCAACATTCACCCTATGCAAGTATCGTATCCGCAAACCACGGTTTAATAGGTCATTCTAGACACATAATAACACACTGCGTCGCGGCGATTGTAAAAAACACCATAAATTTCATATAACAACACGCGTAAACACTCACGTACGCGTGGGTGTGTAGAAGTGATTCTAACGTAAATTTGTCCTTGGAATATATACACGTAAATAAGCCCTTTCACCAAAATATAAATAACTGTTAACATTAAATCTTATTTTTACTCATTATTACACATACGGCGTATTTATATTGATCTTTGGCAAATTACATTTCATAAAATTTAAAATATTCTATTGAGTACAGATTAATCTCATGTTCAGCAATTTATAATTTCGTTTTCATTTAGTTTATGGCAGCCGTGGCCTCTCGCAAACCAGACAGTCGTGACCTTCCGAAAATCGGGACTTCAAATTCCGAAAGACTCTACTCGTATCTTTTAATTCCATCTACTTAAGAAAATAAATTGTATGTTACTAGATATAATAAAATTGTAACTAAGCCGAATCTGTACATTAAATATTTCTTGGGAAATCTTATTGAAATAGACATTATTATCGATACAGAGGTCGAATCTGTAGTTTTTAGAATTTTTGTCTGCCTGTCTGTTACCGCATCACGGAAAAACCACTGGAGGGATTTTGATGAAATTTGGTATGATGATAGCTGGTTATTCGGGTCAACATATAGGATACTTTTTACTGCGGGAAAATATCTCATTTTCCCGCACGCACAACGTAAAACATAAAATTCAGTGTTTTTATTTCACCGAAATTATTTAAACAAAATTGCATTGTGGACTTTTATCAATCTGAATTATATGTTTCTAACTCTTATATAATTTTGCGTTCAGAATCCTGGGGGCGAGCTTTCGATATCTCTTCATGATAGTTGTACCTTAAAATTATTTTCGTGCTCTGGTAAATACATTGTGTGATGTTTGCTAGCCATCAAACAGCATGATTTATTAAGTGCGAAAGTGTTCATAATAAGCGACTATAAGTGAAATATGAGCTACGTATTTATTATAAAAAATAAATAAATAAAACCTATATGCAAACTATATAAAAGATCGAAAATTCTTTAAGCTGCTAATTATTTTCATCATATATGGGAATTTTTTTATTTAATAGTTGAGATAAGAAATATTAACAACTGTATTTTAGGTAGGTTTATTATATAGTGGTTGAAAAAATGTTAACAAGTAAATATAATCAAACTATATGAAGATATTATTTATAGATGTAATTTTATTTTATTTATAATTTTTTTGTTAAGATATAATTTGTTTTTTAATTTAGCACATATGATATCAAAATTATTAAAGTCATAAATATGCATTCATTTGGCCCAGTTATATTTACTGACTTGACAAGAATACAACTGGGTCAGCTGATCAATCACTTTACATGTTATGATAACAGTGGATTGCACAATTTATCCCAAATCCTATTACTTTGATACATTTGAATAATAATGCTACAAATTAATTATAAAATTAAGTAAATTATTTACTAATTTAGCAAGCACAAAAGAATGTTATCTATACTAATATTATAAAGAAGTAAAGTTTGTGAGATTGTGAGTTTGTGATGTTGTAAGGGGTAATCTCTGGATCTACTAAACCGATTTAGATAAAATTTGGTAAGAAGATAGTTTGAGGACCTGGGAAGGACATAGGATAGTTTTTATCCCAGAAACCATTCCTTAAGGGGGTTAAAATGGGGAAGCACATTATTAAAATAAAATGTTCACATATACTGTAGATTATATTAACTTATTAAAATTAAATGTTAAATATATATTATGTAAATAATGACATTTATCAACAGGTATATCTTGATGATAACAACCTAAGTGAACTGCCAACTGATTTACTACCATGGGACAAAGTTGAAGTACTAGGAATGACTGGTAACAGTTGGCTGTGCAATTGTGATTTGGCCGATATTGTTACAAAGCAAGGAGCTGGCTCAAAGTTTAAGCCTGGAGAAATACCCTAGTAAGCCTTTTTTATTTACTTTGATATTTATTCTATTATTAGCATATTCAAAATTGAAATTCATATTTGTAAAAAATAAGGCTTATAAAATTTATTTTGCTAAGTAGATAAACACAAAAATGTGGCTTTATTAATGTTTGAATATTTTGTTATATCTTAAAAACATAATTTGTTCATTAAATGCATTTATAGTGAGTAACAATTTTATTTTTTCAGTTGTGCTGCCCCAATGAGACTAAGTGGTGCCCACATTACAAATATAACAATATCCTTCTGCCCAGCATTTGATACAACATTTGCAACAAAAAAAGGCTTTTCATTCTCAGATTTAAAACCAAAACATGTACTTTGGAGCATATTAGGTGTGGCTGCTGTGGTAGGAGTTGGAATGTTATGTGGACTTTTAACAAATGTTATGAAAGCTTTCTACAAGAAGAATATAAGAAGAGCTCAGCCAATACGCTATATTAACATTAATGATGATACCAATTTTGCTTAAAAATCAGTATTTGTTTATTGTGTTCATAAAATTTATACATTTTAGAAAGTTATTATAGTAAGTAATATACTAGTGTAGAACTGTTGTAACATGTTGATGTTCAAATATAAAATAAATAAATATTTTTATAATAAACCCACCTCTTTTGGACCTGATAGTGAATTGGCATACTGTACAAATTGTTCCAACAATCTTTCAGATTTATGTGATAGTTCTCTAAATGTATGAAATTCATCAAGCTTGTGTGCACAACTCCCACAAACCACCTGCGGCAGCATATCTTCAGGTGAAACCTAAAATTATTCACACCATAAAGTATGTTAATTTCACAATATCTCTGTCATTAAAAGATGATGTAGCAAGTGACCTTCTACTAGCACAATCATAGATGATGATTCATCAATAGGTAATCTGATAACAATTTATAAAAATCTGTATGACAAAAATCATGTATGTGCATCAAAACTAAGATATCATTAAAAGGGTGATTCAAGTTCTCCCTCAAACAAACTGCAGAGCTATATTTAGATAATATTGATACTCAAAATAGCAGAGATGTTAGATAAATTAAGAAAGTAGTCTTATAGAAAGGGATAGTGTTTGATGTAGATGTGAGGACTATATATGCTATGAAAGGTTGCCAAAACAGGCTTTGAAAGCATTTGTTGTCGAAATAATCTCGTGCGCTCCTTTGTTATCAGCACGCGCTGATACAGCCGCCAGCGTGCTGCCACCCGCCTCGCCTATCACTTCCACGAACGACATTAGTCATACGCTAAACCACTCAACGCGTGGGCCGTAATATGATATCACAATGCGAAAATACCCAACACCCGCGAGAAAGTTAATGGCGCTTATCAGTATCCACAATCTCTTACGCTTAAGCTAAACTTTCACACCAGAAAATAACATTGTTTCAACTGATTAATAGAAATAACAACTCGAATTAGTTACCATTATTGATAAATATGTCATTATCATCTCGGAAAGTCGTGATTTATCCTTATCACGGTCGAATATTGGAAGTTTAACATCACTGCAATTATCGCCACAGAATGATAAACAAAGGCGACACACTGAATGGAACTTCGGCGGCAAATTACACATATTTAGAAATAAAAACAGAGAAACGTGACCACAATGAAAGAAAACATTTAGAAATGAATGTTGGAACTAATATTAAAATTAAAACAATTTGTTTAAAATATAACTCAGCATGCGATGATGTAGGATACATCACATCGCGATTGTCAACCAAACGAACGAGCAAGCCACACACACATAGAAATACACCATTGTTTACGGTACGTTGATTATTGCGCGTGTATGCTCCAGGTTGTGGCGCTAGTAGTTGACATACTGATAAAATGATAACGTTGTCAAGTGATTTCTGATATCATTTATATCACCTAATCAAAATATGGATGAACTTATCTTATTAAGTTTATTATTACGTACATTAAGTTATTTTTTTAAATTTGTTCCTTTATTCATTATTCCATTTACTAGCGCTAGATTACTAATACAAAAATGTTTATTCAATACACTTTGTGCATTACACATTTTTAGTATTTCTAATATTTTAAAAATATTATTAATTATTAAATAATAACCAATTTAATACAATATGTATAATTAACCATATTTTTCCCCCATATTTCTTATAATATACTATAAGGCTTCATACCTCATTTTAAATAAATATAAAAAAAATCTATAAAAATAATATTCTCGTTATAAAAATAAATATATAAATATATTTGAGATGATATTATCTCTCATTGTAAATAATCACGGAAGAGAAAAAACGTTTTAATATTGTACAATGTTTGCTTAATGTTGCTAGATTCAACCAATTAACAAATACAAAATCGATATTCGGTGATATGACAGCTAGCTTATCTAGCTTTGTGCAACCTTCAATCACAACAAATAATAATTTTCATTGATCATCTGTTGTGCGTCTATAATCTATATCATAGTCATCTGTCATAGATGAATAAAAATATTAAATATGTCATTTAATTCATGTCATGGTTCATGTTGTCCTCTTCAATTTAATTGTAGTCTCCATTAATCTGTAAATTTAATCTTGATTGTTGAAATATATTGCTTTATATTACACTGTTTTGTCAGTTTCAAAATAAGCTATGGGAATTTGGAGTTATATTATATATGCAAAATAGCTTAAATTTTAATAATCTTTCTGTGTTTACTTTTAGAGCAATGCAAATAGTGCTTTGTTTCTTATAACAATTTTATAAAAATGATTAATTCATCCCAAGTTATTGATGATACTATTAGTGTAACGACATCCGATACAGCGCAACTAATTAGCAATGAGGAAGCAAGCACATCAAATTTTGCTCAACTCAATAAAAGTCCTGATCTTGAGGTAAAAAACAAAAATTATGAAATATTTTTACACTTATTTTTCTGATTTTATATTAAAATAGAATTGTATCTTAGAATTCTATAGAAGATGACTTACATGGAAGCCATGGTATCAGACGAAGGCAACCAATACAAAAAATTGAACCAGGTTCTATGAATATTTTATCTGCTAAGTATGAGGTAATGTTTTTATTATTATTATAATGACTAATCGTCTTTTATATATTATACATGTAATTTATATTAAAATATATCTTTCAGAGTTTAGATTATGATACATGTGAAAATCATTTACTCTTAGATGAAGAAAGGAAAAGAGGCTACCCATTTATTGTAAAGAAAGATACAGCTCGATGGCTAATTGTATTACTTATTGGAGTAATTACAGCGCTTATTGCTTTCACTATAGATATATGCATAGAAGAATTTTCAAACATTAAATATAAACAGCTAAAAAAATGTATCCTTTACCAAAGTGTTCCTCATTTTAACTAACTTTGTGTAAAATCAATGTATGTTTTTCAGAATCTTAAACTTTGAAATTTTGATACAGACACTAGTGTCACTTTTTTGTTTATTTTCTATTTCATAAGACTAACCCACAGCAACACGTTATCATCTTTTCTATCAGTAAATGTGATGATCTTAAAAAATATGTTTTATATTCGAAATAAAACTCTTCAGATTTTAACTCAGATTTATTTTGATATTTTAAATAAAAGTATTGTTTTCGTTTTTTTTGCTGATTTATTTAGATTTGTGGTTCCCGACGTTTAAAATGCTTTACAGCAATTACAGCATTCATGGTCACAAGAGAGACTAAGGTTGTAGACATCTCAAAAGTTACTTAGTCACAGACTGTCGGGAACCAAAAATTAAAATAAAATCACAAAACTCTATGAAAGTAATAAATTTTAAATAGTCTAGTAGTTTAAGTAGTCTCACCCTTAATTTACAATATTTCATAGTAGATGTACTTCTAGTACTCAAAGTATATTAGTATAAATTTTATAATTATATAATTGATGGAATGATTCCCTTAAACTAAACTAAACAGCTGTAGACAGGTATGTGGTTTTAGATAAACTTTACATCCCATACTTGCTTTGGGTGTTATCAAATATCAGTATTGTATTTATTGGATCCGTGCTCGTCGCATTTGTTGAGGTAAGATTGTTTGTCATATTTAAACTTATATATAATATGATACAAATTTTAATTATATTTATATTGCAACTTGTCTACTTCAAATTATAAATAATAACAATTACTTGTTACGTCCATTGACAGTCATCTATCAATAAGTCTAGTTCTGAAAAGTTTGTTATTAAAATGATATTTATATTTGAAATATTAATCCATGTATGTTGACTTTTGGGATAAAAAGTTATTATTTTTGTTTGATAATTTGTATGCATTTCAGGCTAAGTGAATAAAGTATATGTGCCAAGTTCATACAAGTCAGAAGAATTGTTAATACATGTATGCAAATTGCAAACACCTTCATGAACTGTTTTAGGGATAGGATATAATATTGATGTTTAAAGTAATAATAAATTTGCACTTACATCATAAAATCATAAAAAATAAAATGTTCTTATGTAATTACAGCCAGTTGCTGCTGGAAGTGGTATTCCTCAAGTTAAATGTTACCTGAATGGAGTTAAAGTTCCTAGAGTAGTAAGGATCAAGACACTAATTGTTAAAGCTTTTGGTGTCATTACTGCTGTCGTTGGAGGTTTAGCTGGTGGCAAGGTAAGAGTATTAAATCACGCAATTTCTCTTTTATTTTTGTATATTATTAGTACAATCATTTTTTTTTTAAATAGTCTAATCATTCTAATGTAACATCTATACTTCTATACTAATATTATACAGAGAAAAGATTTGATTTTTTGTTTGTTTATACTGAATAGGCTCCAAAACGAATAAACCAATTTATATGAAATTTGCTAAAAAAATAATTTGAGACCATAGGATAGTTTTTATCCTGGAAAACATCCCTTTAGGGGGTGAAAATGGGGATGAAAATTTGTATGGAGAATCAACCTAGGAACGAACCTGAGCAATGTGAGGGTGATTCGCTAGTATTTTTTATAAATATATCTTCACTATATAGTTAATGCTGCACAGTTATGCAAGTTTTATAATTATTGTCCTAATTACAAATTACATTCATATTGTAGTTTTTATGAACGGAATATATTATATGCCTAATGTTTCAAAATATATCAAATTTGTTAATTTTCTCAGGAAGGTCCTATGATTCACAGCGGTGCTGTGGTAGCAGCTGGCATATCACAGGGCAAAAGTACAACTTTCAATAAAGACTTTAAAATATTCCAATACTTTCGAGAAGATCACGAAAAACGTGACTTTGTATCGGGAGGAGCAGCTGCTGGAGTGTCAGCAGCTTTTGGAGCTCCTATCGGTAAACTTTAGACTTATAATATTATTTTTTTTTTTATTTTGATACTATATTTTTACATTCAAATACTTTTCTTTACATTGTGCTTAGCACCATTTAAGACATAACCTGAAATCAATCAGAAAATATATCAATTGATAAATGTATTAAAGTCATAATAACTATCACTGAAATACTAAAAACAATTAAATTATAGTTTTTAGTCTTTTTGGCCTGAAAGTATTTCCATATAACAGAGATATATTCGTCCAAAATTTTGATATCGAAAAATTTGTCCAAAATTTTGATATCGAAAAAAAAAGAAAAATAATAAAATTTAAATTTTAATCACGTATTCGTAGGTGGTGTACTATTTTCGTTAGAAGAAGGCACGAGTTTCTGGAATCAAGCTTTAACATGGAGAACATTTTTTGGAACAGTAGTTTGTACTTTTACTTTAAATTTCGCCTTATCAGCTTATCATGGACATCCAGGAGAATTAAGTTATCCAGGTAATACATATATAAGTAATGTAATAAAACTGGAATTGAGTGTCCATTTAAAATTATAGTACCTGGGCTACCGAGCTTCGCTTAGAGTTTTTGGCCTAAAGTACAATTTTCTTTTTTTTTTAACTAAAAACTTGAATAATTATTAAAAAAAACAAAAGTAAAAACTGTGTTTGCGGCTGAGATTCGAACCTGGACACCTGTGGTTGTTATTGCACCTTGGCCGCTTGACCATGATGCTTATGACCGAGCGTTTAAATTACCGACCTTATTGCGTGGAATAATGCAAAAGGAAACTGCATGAAAACTCGAAAACGCGTTTTCTCAGACATAAGACTAAACTAGATCAATTTATCGGCCCCGAAACGCTCTGTATACTAAATTTCATGAAAATCGTTGGAGCCATTTTAGACATTCAGATTATATATATATATATACACACACCTATCTTATTAATATATATATATATATATATATATATATATATATATATATATATATATGATAGATGATCCCTTATCAAATACCCTTTAAGATTTTTTTGAATAAATGCCGTTAACTCCAGCTACAAAGTAAATTCTTTAACAGAGTCTATAAGAAGAATTGTTTGTGTTAATTTCTACTTTATGGTTCGTCCTGTTGAATTATTATGTTTGAAATAAAACTAACTTTTCGATTTTTTTTCGCGGATTTATTTTATTTTTGTTTCTCGACTGTACAGCAATCATAGTCACGGGAGAGACTGAGGTCGTAGACATCTCAAAGGTCAATAAACAGTCTATACAAACAGCGCCTTCCCACAACATTACAAAATGATTTCAGTTCTCTGCCATGACCACGAATGCTTTAATGCATTCGGAATATCGGAAATCAAAAATCAAATTAAATCTATGAAAAAATCCGAAAAGATAGTTATATTTAAAATGTTAAATATTCTCGTAAATTTAAGAAAGTTTTATTATGTTTCCTTTAGGTTTATTGAATCTTGGGAAAATGGAGCCCTTTCCATTCCAATTTTATGAATTACCAGTCTTCATGTTGGTTGGAGTAATTGGAGGATGTTTGGGAGCTCTATGGAATTACATTAATTATAAATTGAGTGTTTTCCGTATAAGGTGAGTAATTATTTACACAAAAAATTATTTCACAACATCACAGTATTTTATTTTTATTTTAAAATTTCTTTATTTAATCCACATAAATTATTAAATTAAGTACATTTCTAGTGTAAATTTAATTCTAGAAGTACATATTAAATACTATTATATTTGTTTAACAAGTACACAGACTTATATAAAACTTACAGCAAAAGGTAATATGTGCATATAAATAATTTTTATTCATGATTGAACAGTATATCATTTAAAGTATGTAGGCTTTAGAAATGCGATTACATTTATATCATAATTTTATACAAGGAAAAATAAACCTTGGTCGGTAGATGTAAATAAAATACCAACTAAAAGCAGTCAGCAGTAAGCAATAAGAACGTAACATGTTATCTATCGCACACGCAGGCGAGCGAGCCCGCACCGAGCGCGCGCGCCATTTCCGATCTTATATCACACGGTAATACGAACGGGAATAGCACTCGCGGCAGCGGCAACAGTACACGCGCCTGTGTTGACGAACGTTCCTATACAAATGGTTCATAGTCTAGGAATAAGTGATGCGGCATTTTGTATCGATTATATTTATCGACATAAGGAAGATTATTTTTACGACTTTTACATATATGTATATCATTTATTAGTTTATTTTTGTGGTTAGTATTTTGATGGATATAGAACTTTTCGGATAATTTATAAATATAAACATCAATTGTTGGAAGACCTATTTGATAATGTAACTTGTGGAGATTAGTGCGAAAGGGAGTATTAAGGGCATATTTGATAGCTTTGTTTTGTAAAGTCTGTAGCTTTTTAATGTTCGTTTTGCAAATGCCGCTCCATTCGGGGCATGCGTATGTAATGCATGGACGTACCAGGGTGCAATAAATACGTAGCTTTGTGCTACTACTTAGACATGAGCGCCTATTTAAGATTGGATTTAGGGCATTTCATTTATCACAGTGTTATATTAATTAAGGTAGTTACAGTTTTTTGTCAACATTGTAACTCCTTTTACTAATGAACTACTGTCCCTAAATCCCTCGTAATTATAATAATACGGAAGTTTTCGAAAGGGTATTTTATTAGCTTCACGGTTCACCTGTCTATCTATCCATCCATCTAACCGTCTGTCCGTCCGTCTGTCTGTCGATCCCTCGGACGATCCATCGGTCGACCTGTAGGCCAGTCCGTCGGTCGACCCGTTGGTCGATCCATTTATATCTATTAATGAAACGGAATATTTGAACTCGATTTTTACCTACTTCAAAACGTCAGATTAACTTGAAATTTAACACACTTATCAAGGACCGATACAATAATCTATATATAAATAAAAATGAATGTTGGTAAGCGCATAACTCAAGAATGGACCGATTCAGCAATTTTTTTTTTTCGTTAAGTTCCTTAAGGTCCACGGAAGGTTTTAATAAAGAGAAAAAATTAAAAATTAACGAAAAACCATAATTAAAATTTATATTGTTAGCGCTGGCTAATAACTGTTTATATCTATGTGTATGCGTGTAATGTAAATAAAAGTGAAATATTTCTTTTTATAATCTTTATTGCTTTTAAATTAAGCCTATATCAATTTTTTTTAATGTAGTTTCTTTTTGATTAATAAAATAATATTATAAAAAAATGCAAATATAGGTGGGAAATTCAAAGTCGTTGAAACGCACGTCATTGGTCAGACCGGATATGACGTCAAAGTATTATCATAACAGAGCAATTAGCGATTTGGTCGCTACAAACTGAAGTCGTTATTTTTATATGTACGATACTTTGACGTCACGCCAAGCGGGCGATTTGGCTGGCGTTTAAAGTATGATATTTAAAAAAAAATACTAAATTTTGGTTTTTTGGAGCTATATTTTTCAATTAAATAACGATGTTAGCTATTGTATAAAAATAAAATTCGTATATTCCCTTTTATCTATCTCTCTATGTGTGTGTGCATGTGTCATGTGTGTGGTCTGGATGGTACAGGTACGTGAGCGCGCCGTGGCTGCGCGTGGTGGAGGCGTGCCTGGTGGCGGGCGTCACGGCCACCAGCGGCTTCCTCATGATGTTCCTGTTGGACGACTGCCGCCCGCTCGGGGAGGACCCCACTAAGGTGCCCTTGCAGGTAAACGTGCTGATCATAATTATTATCAACCGACTTCATCTTTCAATGGCACTACTATTATAATTGTGAATGATTATGTGTGGGTGTGTGTTGTATGTGTATGTGTGCGCGTTTGTGTGCGTGTATATTTATTATCCTTTGTTCGCTGAAACGACTTGACGGATTTGGATGAAATTTAGGCTTCTGTTTCTATTATTTGCCAAAATATCTCACATCAGTGGGCTTGATTTTTATATAGTAATATCCTAAGTTTAATTTCATATGGTTAATTAAAATTTTTATTTACAGTTGTTCTGCGCGGACGGAGAATACAACACGGTGGCCGCTATCTGGTTCCAGACCCCCGAGGCCTCGGTGCGCTCCTTCCTCCACGACCCCATGGGCTCGTACAAGCCCTGGTCCCTGTTGGTGTTCGTGGTGTGCTACTTCCTCCTCTCCACCTGGACCTTCGGCATTGCAGTGTCTAGTGGTCTCTTCATACCTAACCTACTGACTGGTGCGGGCTGGGGAAGACTGTTAGCAATACTGATTCAATATACGCTGCCTGACACTGTAAGTTTATGATTTAATATACAGTATGCTTCATATTATATCGCCTTTTTAGGATATGGCGATTATTAATTTAAATAACATAGTGTAAAGAGTGTTTTGAGTAGTACATATTACGTGAGACATAATACGTACGAGAAATAACAGAAATTAAATTAGCCAACTATTAATTTTATTATATAGATAATTCAATATTTACTCTTGTTATTTAAAAAAAATATTGAAGAAATATTAAAGTCAACATAAACTTTATAGTCGATTTTTGCCTCTTCGGCTTGAAATCGGCAGATTATTGAATTGCACACTTTTCAGGATGTAATTAGGCCACCATACTTTAATCTGACGATTTCCAGTATTTCTAACTTATCAAAATATTTTTTAAATATTTCGATCGGCTGCCCTAGACTCACGTCCTTTTATAGAGGACTTATATTATGGAGGTACTCAACAGAGTGCAAGGTTGCTCTTATTTTAATCTGCCGCGTTTGAGTAACTGCAAAATTTCCTTCTTAGGCTCCCCTACCATTACTTTTAAATGACAGTCGGGAAATGTCGTTATGGTTCACTAATATCGCTGTTAAATTACCTAAATTAATCGTCCTAAAAATTGGTGTTTGGTAATCCTTGTATTTGACAGCATCTATTAAAATCAAAGGTGATAGTTTGTGTGGATTTTTATACTATGACGTTACCGTGGCATTGGTAGCCCAGTGATAACGCGCTCGCTTGGGAAACTGAGTGAAGCGGTTTGAAATCCGGGTCTTGCACCTCTGATATTTTCATGTGCGGAATCATTTCCAACGTGATTACCACTTGTCTTACGGTGAATGAAAACATCGTGAGACAAACCTGCATGTCTGAGAGAACCTAGCAAGTTTTCGAAAGATATGTGCAGTCCGCCCGCACTTGGTGGACTATGGCCTGATCCCCCTCGTACTGAAGGCCCGTGCCCAGCAGTGGAACGTTAAAATGGGCTGAATACATATTACCGTACAGGAGATAAACCCAGCGAAGTACGCGCTGGTGGGCGCGGCGGCGCAGCTGGGCGGCGTCGTGCGCATGACCATCTCGCTGACCGTCATCCTCATCGAGACCACCGGCCAGATCTCCAACGCGCTGCCGCTCATCGTCACCCTCGTCGTTGCCAAGTGGACTGGCGACTTCTTCACGGAGGTACCGCTACATATAACTTTTATATTTCCTACTAATATATTAAACGCGAAAGTTTTTGAGGACGTATGGATGTTTGTTTGTTACTTTTTCACGCTACTGGACGGATTATGATGAAACTTTACATTGATGTAGCTTATACCGACATCACAGTAACAGATAACGCTTGTGGCTGACTTACATTCATCATAAAACATTAAATAAATTCACACACCTTACACACACCCTACATAATAGAAAAAAATAAATAAATAAAATACGCATAGAACTTGAGCCTTGAACTTGAGCCTCGCGGACAGCTGATCGAGGTGACGCAATGTCATATTTCCTCCCGCGCACCGCACCTCGGTGTTTACCATTAGCGGCGCCCGCGCATTAGCATCTACGATCTTTTCAAGTTAATTAAAAGTTAAAAAGTTTCAACTCCTTACTCCAGTCAGTCGCAATCCGCACGCCAGACGAGAGACACGTACCGCTCGCTTACTCGCCATTCCAAGCTTACGTACTTAATCATGTAAGCTTCGTAATTTTATGTATTTTATTTCTACTATCTTTGTGCTTTCGTTCTTTCTACCGTGTAAACTGTATAAACTATCTTTCCGCTTTGCTCTTTCTCCTTCTATCTTTTGTGGGTGTAAAAAATAGTGTATTAAAGGCTGTGAATTATACATAGACTTTTATTAAGTTCTCGCCAACTCAACAACAACACACTACCAAACCCCCCACAGTGGTGACCCCAATTGAACATTAAAATGAGCAGTGACGACGGTGCTACAGCAGAATCTGGACCCTCTGCGAAAAGTCCACGTGTTCGCCAACGTGTTAAGAAATGTGAGCGCGTTTCAACGGACCGAGATCTTTCGACGGAGTTATTTCGTGTCGGCGTGCGTATACCGCCATTTTGGATAGAAAAACCTAAGATTTGGTTTGCACAAATTGAAGCGCAATTTAACTTAGCACGGATAACAGATGACAACACTAAATTTTATTACGTTCTGGCGCATTTGGACGGGCAATATTCTGCAACGGTCGAGGATATAATTGAAAATCCACCCTCTACTGGCAAGTACGAAAAGCTTAAATCAGAGCTTATTAAGCGTGTTTCTATATCGAGACAGAAGAAGGTGAAACAATTATTACAATCTGAGGAATTAGGAGATCGCAAACCTTCTCAATTTTTGCGACACTTACAACAATTAGCAGGACCGAATATGCCTGACGATTTTATTATGGATGTGTGGACTAGTCGTTTACCAAATAATTTACAGACTATTATCGCTTCTCAACCTAATATGGCTCTTCAAGATTTAGCCGAATTAGCGGACAGGGTACATGATATAGCACCTAGCCAGCCTCAATTGGCAGTAGCATCTATTTCAAGGTTAGAATCGGCGATGGATGTCATGGCGCGTCAAATAACGGCATTGACGAAGCAAGTGAGTGAACTGACTACCCAGAACTTCGATCGTGCGCGTCCACGGCATAGAAAAAGGCCACGTCAGCGCAGTCATTCCAATTCTAGAAGATCACATTCCAACTTTAGGAAGTTTCCCATATGCTGGTATCACTACAAATTCGGCAATAAAGCGACTAGATGTACCTTACCATGTGATTATAAGTCGGGAAACGAGACGGGCAGTCGGTGATGGCGGCTGACGATTGCCCTCCGTCTTCTAATACTGGTCGCCTGTTTGTGACAGATCGCAGCTCGAAAGTGCAATTTTTAATCGATACAGGAAGTGATGTGAGTGTTTTTCCTCATGACGCGATTCAACAACGACGTGCAAAAACGGATTACCAGTTGTGTGCAGCAAATGGTAGTACGATCAACACGTATGGTTATGTACAACTTATTTTAAATTTAGGCTTACGTAGAGAATTTATGTGGCGTTTTGTAGTTGCAGATGTATCTAAAGCAATTATTGGCGTAGATTTTTTATCTTATTTTAATTTAGTTGTAGATATTCGCAATAAACGCTTAATAGATAATACAACTAATTTGTGTACTGTAGCCATGATTTCTAGTAGTGTAGATAGTCTAGTGTCTAGCGTTAAGATCATGACTTGTGATAATAAATATAATAATATACTTTCCGAATTTTCTGAGATCACTCGACCAGCTGGCCCAGTACGCATCATAAAACACAACATTACACACCACATTCGCACCACACCAGGCCCACCAGTAGCTTGTTCACCAAGACGTCTCGCTCCAGATAAGCTAAGGATAGCTAAGGCTGAGTTTGAAGCCATGTTGGCTAATGGCACAGCTCGACCTTCAGAAAGCTCCTGGTCCTCACCGCTTCATCTAGCCCCCAAAAAGGACAATAGCTGGCGTCCTTGTGGTGACTACAGGATGCTAAATGCTAGGACAATTCCTGACAAATATCCCATTAGGCATATCCAGGACTTTGCTCATAGCCTTTCTGGATGTAACATATTTTCTACGGTTGACTTAGTTAAAGCATATAACCAGTTACCAGTTTTTGAGCAGGATATTCCAAAAACTGCTATAACTACACCGTTCGGACTCTTCGAATTTCCATATATGACTTTTGGTCTACGGAACGCCGCTCAGACCTTCCAAAGGTTTATAGATGAAGTGACACGTGGTTTAGATTTTTGTTACCCGTATCTCGATGACATATTAGTATTTTCGAAGAATGAGTCACAACATCAGGACCATCTTTGTCAACTCTTCACGAGGTTAAGAGACTATGGCATTTTAATAAATACCTCTAAGTGTCAATTTGGAGTAACAGAAGTCACTTTTCTAGGCTACCATATTTCACAAGCCGGCACTAAACCTTTGGAGAGTAAAGTAGAGGCAATAAAAAATTACCCCGTACCTAAGACGGCTAAGCAGCTTAGGAGATTTTTGGGTATGGTTAATTTCTATAGGAGGTTTATACCTCAAGCAGCTCATATCCAAGCCCCTTTAAATGCCCTCTTAATTGGTCCCGTGAAAGCCTCTCAGACTGTAGACATATGTGGAGATACGTTGAAAGCATTCGAGAAATGTAAAGACAGTTTGTGCAATGCAGCTATGTTAGCACACCCTGATCCTGACTCAAAACTAAGCCTAGTAACTGACGCTTCAGATTTCGCCATTGGTAGCGTTTTGCAGCAGTTAAAGGATGGTAACTGGCAACCTCTAGCTTACTTTTCTCGTAAGTTGAGTCCATCGCAAAGGAAATACTCGCCCTACGATAGAGAACTTCTAGCAATTTACGAGAGTATTAAATACTTTAGACATTGGCTAGAGACAACAAGCTTTACTATTTATACTGACCACAAACCCTTATGTTATGCATTTAGTGAGCGTAAGAATAATTGCTCGCCGCGTCAATATAGATATCTGGACTAAATATCTCAATTTTCTACAGATATATGTCACATTTCTGGCAAGGACAACGTAGTCGCAGATACATTATCACGCATCGAAGAGTTACAGATCCCTGTAGATTTCAAAGTGCTAGCTCAGGCTCAAAACTCTGATAGCGAACTTAATAAATACCTAAAAGAAGATTCTTCTCTGCGTATTGAAAGGATGACAATCCCAGGTAGTCGCACTTATCTGTACTGCGATGTCAGTACAACGACACCTAGGCCTTTCATACCTCAATCATTACGCAAACAAGTTTTTAATAGCCTGCATTCATTAAGCCATCCTGGCGCTAATGCTAGTGCTAAACTCGTAGCACAACGCTACGTATGGCCGCAGATGAGGAAGCAGTGTCGCGAGTGGGCTAGGGCATGTTTGGATTGCCAACGCGCGAAGGTGAATCGACACGTGTCGTCTCCTCTGGGCACGCACGATATACCGAAGGCGGTTAAAATATGTGCATCTAGACCTCATCGGACCATTACCTCCATCTGCCGAGTATCGGTACTGCTTAACAGCCGTCGATCGTTTCACACGATGGGCCGAAGCTGTGCCTCTTACCGATATTACGGCGGAGTCTGTAGCCAAAGCATTTTTATCCGAATGGGTTGCACGTTATGGTTGCCCTACAGACATTGTCACTGATCGTGGTAGGCAGTTTGAGTCTACGCTATTTCAGCAGCTTTCGAAGTCTATTGGCTTCCGACATCGTAAAACAACTGCTTACCATCCTCAGTGCAATGGTCTAGTCGAGCGATTCCATCGACAATTAAAAGCAGCAATAATGTGCCATGCTGATTGTAGATGGTCGGAATCGCTACCATTTATACTCCTTGGAATACGAAGTTCCTTCAAGGAGGACTTACAATGTTCCTCAGCAGAGCTCGTTTATGGAGAACCTTTACGTCTTCCAGGCGATTTCTTTGACCAGAGCATTGACAAGTGTACAACTGATATAACAGATTTTTCTTCCCGTATCAGATCATTTGCCAATGACTTGAAACCAGTCCCTGTTAGACATCACACACATAATAATAAAATTTTTATATACAAAGACCTCTCATCATGTTCACACGTATTTTTACGCGAAGATTCTCTTCGAGGTGCACTTCAAGCAGCATATACTGGCCCGCATGAAGTAATCGAAAGAGATTCGAAAGTTTTTAAAATCCGTATAAAAGGTAAAGATGTCACAGTATCGATAGACCGTATAAAACCAGCCTACATACTGTCAGACCAAAACATTACACCTAAATCTTTCGATGATAAAAATGTTACCATCACTCCAATTTTAAAAACTACTCGATCGGGTCGTAAAGTTAGATTTCCAGACTACTTTCGCCCGTGAACGGTCTCTGGAGGGGAGTGATGTGGCTGACTTACATTAATCATAAAACATTAAATAATTATTATTTAACATAATTTATACACCTTACACACACCCTACATAATAGAAAAAAAAATATACGCATAGAACTTGAGCCTTGAACTTGAGCCTCGCGGACAGCTGATCGAGGTGACGCAATGTCATCTTTCCTCCCGCGCACCGCACCTCGGTGTTTACCATTAGCGGCGCCCGCGCATTAGCATCTACGATCTTTTCAAGTTAATTAAAAGTTAAAAAGTTTCAACTCCTTACTCCAGTCAGTCGCAATCCGCACGCTAGACGAGAGACACGTACCGCTCGCTTACTCGCCATTCCAAGCTTACGTACTTAATCATATAAGCTTCGTAATTTTATGTATTTTATTTCTACTATCTTTGTGCTTTCGTTCTTTCTACCGTGTAAACTGTATAAACTATCTTTCCGCTTTGCTCTTTCTCCTTCTATCTTTTGTGGGTGTAAAAAATAGTGTATTAAAGGCTGTGAATTATACATAGACTTTTATTAAGTTCTCGCCAACTCAACAACAACACACTACCAAACCCCCCACACGCTTATTTGTTATACTGATAGATTATAGAAAATTACAATTGAGAACAATAAGAGATAAAAATAAAGCGAACTTAGATTTTATGTTAGTCATAAAACTGATTAGAAAAATACTTTAACTTTATAATCTTCAAAGCATATTGTTTGAGTAAGACAACATTTTCTTTTATCTGACTTAATTTATCCTGATTGACCTGGCGCAAAAGTGAAAAAATATAAGTTTTGTCCAGACAGATTGATGGTCATAGGTATAAGTTAAGGAAAGGTATATGAAATCTCGTCGCTTAAGGAGTACAAAAGGAATAATAAAGATCATACCGGAAAGTCCACTGAAATCAAATGTACGAAAATCTGTGAGTTTGTTGTTTCCTCACGCTTATCGACTCATTGGAATTTGTGTGAAATTAGATATGCGTGTAGGTTGTAGGTATACCAACCAAGAATTAAAAAACTAGCAACGAATCCCCTCAGTTTATCACTCAAAGCGATAACGCCGCTATTTGTCCTATTTATTGTTGACAATACAGCTTATATTCATAACTACTTCGGTGGTCTAGTGGCTAGCATGTACAGCTGCAAATCCGGAAGTCCTGGGTTCGACTCCTCGGATTGAGCCAAGTTTAGTTATTAACTGTTTCTCTTATGAAAATCTCACTAACATCCCGGAGTTGGGAAGTGGACACTGTTTTTCCTTGCTTTGGAGAGCAAATAAAGCCGTCGGTCCATGTTAAATTGTCATCCTATCGGGATGAGTGACTGGAATATAAAGTGCACGTTGTGTGCGTACATTTGTGCACAATAATATCTCCTGTTGGCTAGTAATAGTGAGATTTACCGCCGTAGCTGAAATCGCCGAGCTAGCCAGAAAAATACCTTCATATTGATTCATTATTATATATTTGCAATTTAAGGATACGTTTGGTTCTGTTTGTAGTGATCTTACTCGCTTTGCCAGCGGTCGCGGGTTCGAGTTCCACTGGGGGCATTCATTTGTGTGATGAGCACGAATGTTTGTACTCCAGTCATGGGTGTTTATATTTATAATATGTATGTATTTAAAGTTATATATGTGTAATGTATCAACTATCTGGTATCCATAAAAGCTTCGTAGCTCACCATGGAACTAGATGGTGCTGTGTGAGTGTCCCAACATATTTCTTGATTCTCTCTTTAGGGTATCTACGACATCCACATCCAGCTGGCGGGCGTGCCGCTGCTGCCGTGGGAGCCGCCGCCGCTGGCGCACAACGTGTACGCGTCGGAGGTGATGTCGCACCCGGTGTTCGCGCTGCGCACCGTCGAGAACGTCGGACACATCGTGGAGATACTGCGCCTCGTGTCCTACAATGGCTTCCCGGTGGTCGACCCGCCGTTGGCTGATGATGTGAGAGTTTCTATATAATAAACTATACCGATAAGATCAAATTAATGCACGTTTTTAGCTTGCAAAGGTAAGGTTTGTCACATGTAAAATGTTAGAATCATCAAATTATCGAATATATTTCTTAAAGTTGAAGTTCAAATTCTTAATGGTTTTAAAATGAATACACGATTTTATACATAAATTGAAATTAATATTTCCCCGCGGCCTCGCTAGCGCTCAAACTTCCAATTAAACATCAGTTTTACAATAATGTATGGAAGTCTGTCCAATTTGTTGACATTTATGATTACTTCTCCGCTCCCTTGGTTATTAGCATGATGATACATAGCCTATAGCCTTCCTCAATAAACGGGCTATCTAATGCAAAAAGTTTTTTTAAATCGGATTAGTAGTCCCTGAGATTAGCGCCTCCAAACAAACTCAGTGTCTTTATAATATTATAGTATAGATGTCTGGTGTAGTCGAAGAGTAACTTTCTTAGTTCGTATTTTGCTCGAAACAAATATTAGTTATAGTTAGTAGCAGAAGTCTAGATGAAAATGAGCTACGTGCTTCTTTCTAAATAATAAATAAGAACTCAAGAATACAGGACAAGGTCATATTTCTATGATTTTTTAATAATTTGCTTGTAAATTTCTATCCTTACCATATTAAGAACCAAATATTTATTAATTGAACAAATTCTAAACGCGTTTTGGCAATTTTAAAGATTTTATTTTTAATTGTAGACTGAATCTCAATAAAAACATGTCTGTAGTGAAGGTACTTACATATATCTCAATCTTTTTAAGTTTAATGCATTCGAATCTATGATATAAGAAATGCTTTAGTATTCCTACATATATTTAAAAATATATATAATATGCAAATTTTAGGCAGAAGTAACCACATACAAACGACTGCGCGGACTCATCTTACGGTCACAACTGATTGTTCTATTACAAAACCAAATTTATAATGAGAACGCGAACACCACGTGGTCCAACTTCAATGTAGACATGGACATGTTCAGGAGGGAGTATCCGAGATACCCCTCTATAGATGAGGTATGTATATATAATAAAAAATAATATTGAAAATCATATATTTACAGAATTTTCACAGACAAGTTTCAAATTATTGGGATGTTATTTTATTTCTGTTTATTACCGTCTGTTTAGTGTTAAATTACATAAAATATTATTTTTAATTTATCTAGACAGTATAGACAGCCTATTTTTCCTTAGTATAATTCTTTATCATTAACATAGTACATATAGTACTTTGCTATTCCATTTTCTTATACTTATAATATACTACACATAATAATAAACAAACATACAGTTGGAAATTTCGGATTGGGAGAAAACATGCACGATAGACTTGAGGCCGTTCATGAACCCGTCGCCGTACACTCTCCCGCACCGCGCATCGCTGCCGCGCCTCTTCAGACTGTTCCGGGCACTCGGCCTTCGTCACTTGCCTATTGTTAATGATCATAATGAGGTAACTCTTTTAAATTTTGTTCCCTTTAATTTCGTATTTATACCTTTTTATGTCTAGCTGCTTGGTATGAGCCTTCCTTCAAAATTAGAGAGCAGGCCAATGGCCATACATACCACTACGTTGTACAAGTGCAAGTTAGTCGACTTTACATGAAATTCAAAATCTTGCTAAGTTTTCTTAGACGTTCATGTTTCAGTTCTTCATCGTAAGGTATCATGATGAAAAAAATTATGTATAATAAAAACTATCATAAATATTGTAAGTCATTTTCGCAAAATAAATTATAGCCTACTAGCAACTCACCCTCGTTCCGTACGAGTTCGTCCCTAAGTCCATTTTGACGGTTAGTATAGATTTCTAAGAGATGAGATATTTTCTCGCAGTAAATAGTATCCTATATGTTGACCTGGATAGCCAAGTAACATCATACCAAATTTCATCAAAATCTGACCAGTGGTTTTCTCGTGATGCATTCCAAGACAGACAAAAATTCTAAAAATTAGATTCAGCCTCTGTATTACACCTCTTTTTCTGTTTCTATTTCCGAAAATTTCATAAAATCCGTAAGTAGTTTGTGAGGTTAACCCGAGTAGGTACAAACTGCACAGCACTTTAATTTATTTAACAGTTTCCTACTTACAATATAAACAAGAATACTACTTTAATAAATTAAATTAACAATAGAACTAATTTACCTAAAGACATTATTATAGAACTTATGTATTAAACTTAATCAATTTTTAGGTTGTAGGAATGGTGACAAGAAAAGACATAGCCAGATATAGAGTATGGAGGCACCGAGGACATATGGGCATGGAGGAGCTACTTCTTTCTAGTGAAATTTAATTTAATTTTAATATTGGATCTTGTGCTTAATATTACACAATATATTGCAGTTACTTTGTATGATTCCTTGCAGATTTTTAATACATATATTATTATATGGTTTACTGTGAAAACCTGCTAAACTACATTTTTGGCAAAAACGAGTTAAATAAATGAAAATTCTTATCTTTTCGAACTGTATACTGGTAAAACCGGCTTATTGCTATGTTATATACTTTAGAAGATATAACAAAGTAAAAACTGTAATATACAACAAATCGTTCAATACTCTATTGCTAAAATATCATAAACTAACTGTACGACCTCATTCATGAGTTTCTTTATTTCATACACTTCTAAGACTACACAAAAATAAAAGCTTTATTATATATCCTTACTTGTGACTACTACAGTATTTAAGGCTTACTAAAATTATAGCATTTTTATTAGGTATAAACTTTCAAAACGCAATAACTCAAAACTAGCTTGACTGCACTTAGCTGGTTTTCGCAGTAAACCCTCGAATTATGTTAATATTTAATTGAGGCTAATCTGATGAAAATTGTATAAAATATTATGTATTATATGTTTTAGATAATATTTCAAGTGTATATTATACCATTTTATATCATACAGGGGAAAGCCATCATGAGTTGTCTGTTGACAATTATTAGGCAGGGGATTGTGAGACTTACTCACCGAATCTATACTATGCTGGGATATTGTTGGAACATGGATGTTGTAAGTGCACAAGACCCCTGCAAGAGTATATTACCTACATGCAGGTTAAGTCATTTTAATAACTAGGTAGGTTACTAAAAAAGGCATAGTAAATAAAAAATAAAAAGTTTTATTTTATGGTTAAATAATACTTTTTAGTTTTATAATCATTAGGATATTTTATATCAATAAATGAGTTACTGTTAGTTTAAACCAATGTACCATACAAGATTAAAAAGTATTTTAAGTAATTTAACCATAACATATACAAAATGACTTGATAAATTATGAAGAAAAATATATGAATGTAATTTATTGGTATTGTTAAGACAAATATTAAATATGTACATATGTGATAAAACAAATTATGAAAATGACATTTACCAAAGCTATTTGTATCTTAATCTTAAATTATTAAAATAGATAGCTTTATTTACAACTTACTTTTTTTATCGATGACAAAGTTTTATATCATGTTACAAAATAAATAAAAGAATTTAAATCACATCAAGAGTTTTATTACACTACATACCAGACAAATTATTAAAATTATGCATTTTGTTAATACGGAATATTTGTTATTGCAATGTTGTAATGGAAGAGAAATTTCAATAATCTTTAGTTGTTTACAAAAAGTTCCCACCCTATGCCTGCCCATAAATTTATAAACAAAATTACTGGCAGTATCACTAGAATAAGCAGTATATAATTAACGAATTCATCCATGGAAAACGGTAAACACTCTTTAGATTCTAGATGTGTTTATTTTATTTTCGTATTTAAAATTGTGACTTAATATTTAGTAAAGGCTTGCAAACTTTTTTTAACATGCAAGAACGAAGAAAAGGAACAATAACAATAAATGTAAGTCACACAGCACAGCAGCTGTTTATATATGTAGCAATATACTCTATGGCAGCTGACAAGTGTCAGTACACTGTCATAATCACAGACCAAGAACAACAAGAGTAATAATATCCATAGACTAAGTTACCCTAAGGCGTAGACAGATAATTCTAAGTCTACGCCCTAAGGTCACCATAGATGAATAACAAAAATTTAAAAAGTGACTATTTCCGTTACATAATATAAAATATCTAAGGCAACCGCGGGCAAATGTAGACAATCAGGGTTTTATTAGTAATCCACGAATATGAGTGCGGTGGTCTCTCGTAAAGTCCTCAGATTCAGGACCGTCCTTAGCCATCTGGGCGCCCCGGGCGAGTCGTGCCTTTGGCGCCCTTTTAGGCATACATATTTCATTACAATTAAAAAAAACGTGTATGTAGAATTATTTTGTGATTGATACGATAAAACGCTGAGTCTAGTTTTCCTTTAGATTGATTAAAATAAGTATTCAAATTAAATGGTTAAGCTGGTGCGCGCGGCGCGCTGTATAAACTGGCGTCCTGTCCCGTATTTTTGCCCGTGTTTTTTTTTAAATTAGCCTCATGATTCTCAAATAGACCCCATTCTACCGGTACATATTTAATAGTTCGGAATGCAATTAAAAGACATTCGTTTTATGAAAAGTTTAATTTCTAACAAAATTGGTCATTATTACATTAAAATTGTTTAATTTAATTATACATGCATCTTATTGTATAACATAAGTATTATATTATATTAATATTAAATAAACAAATTACGATTATAAATTATATGTATCAAAGAGGCAAATAATAGCTTGTTGAGGGTCCTCAAAATAACGAGGCTTATCGATTCTGGTGATACCATAATCCGTCTCTAGAGCTGGTAGTAAGTAACTGCTGCTGCTACAAATACTATGATTCATACTGACCCGTACGGACTGATTCATAGTATGAGAAACAAATTTGGAAGGCTGGGGCGTGTTAAATTTATTTCTCGCGTTACCTGCCATTCTCTTCATGCGCATAACATTTGCTTTAATTGTTAGCAGTATCTTGTGATTTTCTGGGATGTGCAAAAATTCCTTCAAGTCCTGCAAATAATACAAAACAATATTTTTATTATTTTACCTTAGCTCTATTGTTCAGGGCGAGTTACATATTTCTTTATATTTAACACTTACCTTTCTTGGCTCATCATATTTCGAGAACAGCCATAGATAAGTTGATAGTATACAGAAAAGTTGTGTCTCGCTGTTACTGAATCGCAACATGAACTTCAAAACTGGAGGAATTCTCTCTCTCTGAAAACATTACAAAAAGACGAACTACTAATTTATTATTATTTTTAACCATATGCCCTTACAAAACAGAAAATTTGGTTAGATAATGAATGTAAACCTTATATTATTACATCATTCTTAATTGCCGCGTCGTCTAAGTTGAGTGTTTGCTACTTATGCATTATATTGTTAAAATAGAGAAAAAAGTGACATTTTATCAAAAATTTATATTTATAAGGAAATAGATTCGAGTGCGATATAGCGACGAGACATAGGGTATAGATTTCCTTAGATTCATCAAAAAAACATGAAACTTCTTCATTATAATATTTAATTATAATTCTAGTGGTTTAAAAGCATTATAACTTACCGCGTATATTTTAGGTCCAGTTACTCTATACCTAGCTAAGTTCACGAGAACAGATGCCGCGGATTTTAACACTTCGACACTAGAAATGGACCTGTTGGTCACCGACATGTAGATGTAGACGCGGCGCACGATCGACGAAGCATTGGCGTCGTATATCATTGGCATCACTTCAGTAAGCAGTTCTGAAAGAAACAACCAAATACGTTTTTAAACCTTATTTTGGTCAAGATTGCGCTTGTACAGTTATTTTATTTCTTGGTCTCTTTAGTATATTTGTGATAAACATATTATTCTGCTCATTATATAGAAGCGCTTAAAATAATTCTAATAAAAATTAACTACTTATTACTTTATAATAGGGAATTTTTGCAATATAATAATATCCTGTTGGATAGTTGAGAGTGTAAAAATTTGACTACTTCATACATCATACATTTGACAATTCAAAAGCACAATAACATTCACCTCCAGTACAATATGTACACAACCTACCCAATGATCTAAACGCTCTGATAACCGTTTCTATATCGGCCATGTTGCGGAGCACGTCCATGGCCTCCTCATTGCGTTCTTTGAGAGACTCCTGCGTAGAGCGCAGGGCGCCATCACGCCACCGGCGACGGAGTTCTTTAGCACGCTTGTCACTTGCCAAACGAACTTTATGCCCACGGAAAAGTGCCTGGAATAATTAATAACTTAGTTTATTACTACAAAATTGGTCAAGTGCGTGTCACACTCTCATACACGGGTGTTCCGTACGTTACTTGTTATGTAGAGTTATGGAAGCAATTTTATTCACTATATTTTCGTCATTGGGTCGGCTGAATTTATAGATATGTGATACGTATTTTAACTTCTCCCATCTTACTATCTTACTATCTATACTTTATATATGTATAATATGCTATGACGAACAGACATGGGTGGTCCTATAAGAGTTCTTATAAAACATCAGATATGAAGGACCTTACAAATTAAGTAAAAGCTGACAAAAAAATATATATAAAAAAATATTACCTGAATTTTAGACGCAGCCCAGTCACGACGTTGTTCTTCCCTCAACCTCAATAGATTTTCTCTCTTATGTTCTACTTCTTTTCTTACTAAATATCCTCTAATAATAGCTTGTAATTTTAAAATTATTGTCCTCTTTTGTAAAAATTCGTCACGAATCAGTCTTGTTAAAAGTTTTTCCCTCCATAATGTCTGAATTAAAATTACTCGTTCAATGTATCGTTTGTACCACGATCTCACTAAATAACACCTAACATTCTTTTGGATGCTAACAGCCGCTTCCTCTCTTTTTTTGTTTAACAAAATCTTATGCATTTTTAATCTGTATATCGCTTGTATTACTAGAACTGCTGATCGCAGATGCAAATAACGTTTTCTTTCAATGAAACTTCGGACACAAGCTTGCAGTTTTATTAATGAAATTCTAAACGCCACATAGTTTTCCCGTTCTGATTTAGCCAGTTTGTAGAGGCGGTAAAATCTTTGTATGGAAGTAGCCGCTTTTCGCATCAAAACGTAGCGTGAACGACAACTATGCATACGAATAACCGATTGTAGAGTAATAATTTTTTGTTTTGTATATAAGTATTGGTAGCGGCATTCATCACGACGTTTGATACTTATATACCATGTTTGAATTTTACTAACTGCCATCTTACGAGCTTCCACACGCGCTATATTTCTAGTTCTAATGCGACGTTGAATTTGAATTACTGTATTCCGTAAACGGATATAATCGGATCTGATTTGTCTCGCTTTTAAAATTTCTCTGTAACGTCGCTGAATTAATGTTACAGCAGATTTTAATGTAACAAATTGTTGTCTTTGTTTCCTCCCCAAAGTGCACGCTCTATAAAATATCTGTATAGTAACACATGATGTTAATATTTTATTATATTTAGATTTTTCTACTAACATCATTTGTTGAGCTCTATATCTCCGTTGTATCGTTAACACGGCAGATCTCATTTTTATATAGCTATGTCTTTCTGTTCTCATTGACACTATTGCTCTATATTTCTGTTGTACTAAAATGGTGGATTCTCTCAGTTTTAAATAATATTTTCTTTGCAGTGAACCTATTTTATATGCTCTGTAAAACGTTTGTATTTTGTAACAAGCTTGTTTTATTCTTAAATAATTACTTCTGTCTTTTTTCATGATGCATTGTGCTCTAAATCTATTCTGTAAGCAAAGCGCTGCAGAACGTTGCTGTATGTAAGTTTGTCTTTGTTTCCGCATAGCCTGTAGAGCCCTGTATCTTGTTTGCACAACTATTGCAGAAAGTTTCATCCTTAAATATACAGCTCTATCACGTCTCATTGCTAAAATACTCCTATATTTTGTCTGTACAGTGATTATCGCAGATCTCAATTGGCAATATTCATGCCTTACTCTCTTTGTCATTAAATACAGTTTATAGTGATTTTTAATAACATTTGCGGCTTGTTTCATTTTTATATATAAAGCTCTTTGCTTCTTTGTTTCTAAATACGACCTGTAGAATCTTTGTATTATGACAGTAGAAGTTTTCATTTTTATAAATGCCGTCCTGATTGTTTTGGTTATTATATAACTTCTATAATATCTCTGTATGCTAATTGCGGCCGTTTTAATTTTTAGATACTTTTGCCTTTGAATTTTCCCTAATATATAAGCTCTATACACTTTCTGTATAGTAACACAAGCCTTTTTAGTTTCTTCATATTGTTTTCTAATTTTTTTTCCCTTTCTCAGCCCTCTATACCAACTTTGAATTTTGATAGCAGATTCTTTTTGTTTGAGATACATTTCCCGCTGACTTTTTCCTTGTAAATATGCTCTGTAAGCATTTTGGATCACAAGACATGATGACTTTAATTTTATATACTCAGATCTATCTTCGCGCATTTTTATTAAAGCTTTGTACCTCCTTTGTAGAACAATACATGCATTTCTAAGTTCTTGATATCTTTTTTTATCAAATCTCATCGATAATAACGCTCTGTACCTTCTCTGTACAACCACAGCAGATTTTTTAAGATTCAAATAATTTGAACGATCACGACGCATTAATAATAAACTACGGTAGTGCCTTTGAATTAAAACTGTAGTGTTTCTTAATGAAATATATTCCATTCTTTGAGATTTCATTTGTAAATATGATCGGAAAAACTTTTGTATCGTTATAACTGATTTTTTTAAAGCAACATAATCCCGTCGAGCCGATTTCATAGCTAAATAGGCCTTGATATGGGTTTGTAATATGATAATTGAATTTCGAAGCCTTAAAAATTTTTCTCTTTCTTGCTTCATCACCTGGTTAGCTCTCACTTTTCTTTGAAGATTGATAATTATGTTACGTTGGCGAACATAATCAGCACGCAATATTTTACATCTGAATGTGGACTGAATCTTTATAGCCGCAAATCGAAGCTTCAAATATTGAACCCTTTCTTTTCTCATCAAGAGAAGCGCTTTATACCGATTTTCTATGCAGCCAACTGACTTTTTCAATCCATTGTAATATTTTCGCTGTTTGTACATCCTATAATAACTTTGTATAATTATTACTTTTTCTCTTTTTACTTTAAACTTCTGCATTTCGTGTCTCATCAACAGTTTATTTCTATATCTTTCTTGAATGCAGAGCACTGCTTTCATCAAACTTGTGTACCATTTTCGTACTAAGTACTTTCGAATCATACTTTGAATCAAAATAATTTTCGTTCGAACGATATTGTATTGCTTCGTGCACAACCAACGCCTAACATTAGCTTGGATTAACGTAGCTGATTTGTGTCGCAATTCCTCTCTTTTCTTTCGTAACTTTGTTAATATTTCTTTCGCTTCCCTTATCATTTTTATACTTTTGTACCACTCCGCTATTTTTATGGCACTAGTTTTTAATTTTCTCAAACGACTGCGACAAATCCACATTCGACAATATTTCTGTATAATTGTAGTAGCTGTCGTGATTTGTAGCATTTTGTATTCAGCCATACGATTATATTGAATCCTTCGCCACCAATACTGTATAACACTAGCGGCTGTATCACGTTCTGCCAAAATTCTTTCTTCTTCTTTTCTTTTCTCAATAATAACTTCATACTTCTTTCGCCACCATATTTGTATGACGTTAGCTGCTTTCTCAAATAGCGGTGCTCGGAACACATGTATCAGTTGCCATAAAAGTGATAGAGTCTTCTCTCTATGACCGTCCGCAATATCCACTGCCGATATATCACCAACTATAACGAAATTGGCTTCTTTTAGGGCGTTTAGAGCAACTTGCACATTATGTATCTTTTGTAGACGAGAAATCGCAGGTGTTCTTAGTTGACTCAGCAAGCCGTTCTTCATCAGAATGATCTCCATGACTTTGGTAAGCCGCACTCCATCCCTGATATCAGTAGCTATATTGTGCACCGCGTACTTATACTCGTCCAAGTAAGACTGTTTATGGCTAACAACATAGCCGAGTGGACGTAAATGTTTTGTGATGTCTCCTATTCCAGCAATCAGCTCTCTTGTAAACCGTATAACTATTTCCCGGCTCTCTTTGCATACCGCGTTTCTACAGAATAAGCAAGGGTCGTGTGAAATTATTTTTCTCTGCTTCGCTTGGTCCAAGAAAAATACTAACATGAAAAACTTTTTCAACGTAAACTTTTTGATAGCCTCCATATAGGCCGGTAAAAGCATGTTCGGTGCTGTCGCTTTAGAATGTTTATTTTTTAAATGAGGATTTTTAAACATTCTCTGAATAATGAAGGTGGTCAGACCCTCGATGTCACTGTTAGACTTGAGAGGTAAGACGAGACCATAAATCGCTTCAAGGCCGATTCGAAGCCACAGTGGATTGTAAGACAACAATAACTCCATGATAATTTTTTGTAAACCCACGTCTAAATGAAGATTTCTATCTGTTCTTATGGTAATTAATTTTTTTTCTATTTGGACATTTAACTTCATGAAAACTTGAGAAATTTCTGGACTTAGCAGTAACGCTCTCGCGGATCGCCTCAAACTTTCTAGTCTCTGGCTGTTGTGGTAAATACTGCTGACCTGCTCTTTAGTAGGAGCTGCAGGCACTTCCTTATTTCGATTTTCAATCCAAGCTTTACCCACATCAATTTTTTGCTCCACATTACTGTCCAGATCTGCTGGTGGAGTAAGTATGTAGTTTAGCCATCTTTTGAACTCACTCTCAAATTTATCAACCGCTTCTTCGTCATAAAAATAGGTGGATGATAAAAATGGATCAACAGTGAAAGATTGAGAGTACACATTTTCAAAGTGATTAAACACTGTAGACTGACTTAAATTCCTGCTTTTATCAAATGTATGGTTTGCTTTTCCGATTAAAGATTCTTTGCTTTTGATGCTCATTTTTGGCTTTAGAGACTTCTTAGGTAAGGGTGTGGGGATTTTCCAAAGCTCTGGCTCAGCCCTCACTGCTCTTTTGGACCATGTCGTTTGTCGATTTATTGATGCGGACGATTTATCGCAGGGTTTCTCGAAAGTACGATCGATTGTAAATGTAGCCATTTGCTTATTCGTATTATCTAAGACCTGCATCTCTGAAAAATGTCCACTTTCTTCTGGAATCGATTGTAGTGGAGGTGTTAGTGACCGAGGTGGCGACCTTATATCAGCTCTTAAATCATTATGCCATAAAAAATTTTCAGAGCGCAGATAATTATTTCTTTCAGCTTCTTTTTGCTGATATTCCTTAAACAAAGCTTGTCGACATATTTTCGCAGGAGGTTCTTTTAAATGTGCAAACGGTCTTGACTCTGGATACATTTGATAGTCAAACGGTGTAAATGGGGACTCTTTTGTGTAAGTATCTGAACTTAATTTTAAGTTGATATTTGAGTCATCAATGATTTCATGGGTTTCATTATTTATTTTGGGCACAATCTTTCGTTCGGTTGAAAACCTTTGTGGGAAAAAGGATAAATCGCTTATTCGTGAAAATTCTGTATTGATAGAGAAATTTGGACTATTGAACTCTTTTGGTGAAGATGTGTTTGGAATTTTTTTATTTGGTAATGTTGGAGTTTCAGTACACGGGACATTATATTTTTCATATTTGTATTGTTGATCGACTGTTAACCACTTATTCGGCGGCTGAGACGATGTAATGCATATGATGGAATGAGTTTCATTTTCTTTATTTCCACTTTTCATATCTAAACTGTCATCAAAATCACTCTCAGAGTTAACACTCAAAATTATCTTAGGACCTTTGTCCAATTTTTCACTTTTAGATGGAACGCTTTTTAGAGGTGTAAATGTCAAGTTATCAAAAATATCTGACGCTGATGTATCACAAATTTGTTTATTAGACGGTTTGAGAATATTTTTTTGTTCACTACATTTTTCATTGCTAATTGTGCTGTAAGATTTATCATATGTTTGATGAAATGTATCTCCTTTTTGGCGTAACACATTAGAAAAAATTTCAGATGTATTAAAGCTTAAGTCTATGCTTGTTGGTGAGTCGAAGGGGCATTTTTTTATGTTAGAATCCTTTAAATAATTATTGTATGATGGTATATTCTCTTTGGTCATTTGGTTGATGACTTTGTAATGAGAAGACTTGACAACTTCAACAGTTTTTTGTACTTTCATGATAGCTTCTACCTTTTTCTTGTATATTGCAACTGGGGACCTTTTACCTACTTTTTTCTTTATTTTACCTGGAGATATTTTAAACTTAGGTTGATTATTCTTGTTTCTGGTACTCTGAAAAAAAATATCCATGTTAAAACTTAAGTTATAAAATTCATTAAAATTTCTTTTTCATGAAATTATCTTAAATATAGAGAAAAAAATAGTTAATAATTTTTTTATAAAATGTTTAAAAAAAGATAACTTAATATAATAACCCTCTGAGTTTCTTTCGCCAGTTCTACTTAGGTCTGAGGCTTCTTCTTTCCGAACTGGTAGTAGACTCATGACGTTCAGTAAAAATTGTAATAATTTATAGCTCAATAAAATATTTTAAATTTGAATTTGTTTTTATTTCAGAAATTAGATAAATCCCTTAGGTTCTCATTCATAAATGGTCTCTAAGCCAACATTATACAACATAGATGAATGTTTGAGTCTTAATTTGACAATTAAATATTTATATAAGAATGGTAATTTTATTATTTACTAGTGGCTCACCCTCACTTTGCTCGGGTTTATCACTAAGAAAACAAAAACAAACCTATCCCACAGGAACCATACATTTTTCCAGGATTAAATGTAGCCTATGTGTTATTCTAGATTATAATCTATCTCTGTACCAAATTTCATCTAGATCCAATAAGCCGTTCTGGTGTAAAAGAGTAACAAACAGCCATACAAACTTACACATTTATAATATTATAGATTTTACCATATTTTATTATTTTTGAAGTTAATCTGATTATAATGTAATATGTTATAATAAGTTTGGTTGTCTTGCCTCCTTGTCACACATACACAACAACAGCTCTCAAAAAATTTTGCAGAGAAAGACAAACAGTAACATTATAATATGTACTATTTTTTATAAATTGAAATTTTTTAGGCTAACTCCCTTCATCTCATTGTTTAATCTGTGATCATATGTTTAAACTACAATAGATAATAAAAGAAATACTAGACACACATTCTAGCAACTATTTTTCCTTTCTAGTATGGATATGTCACTCAAGTTATAATATTTAATATGTAACATATCAAATCATCAGTACCATTTATATTTTGTAAAATTGGTAATTTAAATGTTTTCATTACCATAACAGATTTAAGGACAACTATGACATCATATCTGCCTCTGTTTTCATTTGTAAAGCGAATAGTCTCCCTAAGTGCAGTCAGTTGAGTTGGTGTCCACAACAAAGACAAACAATAGCATGTCTCTGGCTCTACTTCCAAGAAATCTCCAGGCAGTTGAATGATAAGACCCGGTGGTAATGCTTTACCAAGTGTTATCTATAATATAAAAAAATGAATCATAAATATAATTATCAGCAATTCATTAAAAGGAAAAATTAAATAATTTCAACGATAAAAAGTCTAAACATTTGTTGACCTAAGATGTAAACTAAAAACAATGTTTTTGTTAACTGAAATACTTACAATTATTTTTTACGAAAATATGTCTATTAAGTAACATTACCTGTTGAGTGTTCTTTGTAGGATTTAAAACTTCTAAATATTTTTCACATGTAGTCCCGATTAGGACATTGTCAAAAACCACTTGAGGAGACTTTGAAAAAGGCGCAAGAATGAGTCTAGGGCATTCTTCTTTAACTAATTCATCTTGTTTAATTTCCTTCTTTCTAGCTCTCTTTATTCGTTCTGGTGTATTTTCAATCTAAAAAAGTAATATGCAAGTAAGTAACTTATTAATATTTACTAAAGTGGATAATACATCTCAGTATATACTTATAACTTAGCAACTTACTTGAAAATACATATTTTCACTAAATTTATTAACATTTACAAATTACTCTAATATTCAAAGTCACAAACGTATTTATTTTATTATATTTCGAAACAGGATATTTTTCAAATTTAAAGTGATACGGTAACCGTCAGAAATGTCAAAATTTAAATTTCTCTTGATAGACAATGAATGAAATTCACAACCATAGACATAGAATATAATTACAACCAGAGACTACACTCCATTAAACTGTTATTAGGCTGAACCTAGGATGGTGTTTGTGATACATCGTGCTAGGGCTGAACGCTACACAGTACACACTGGTCTGACCACAGAACACTTTTACTCAGGAGGGTCCGATATTCCAGGATGGAAGGACACTCTTTAACCTTTTTTAAATAATGAACTCTATGGTATCTAATCATGTCGTGAGTAGTTCACAACAGCACTATAATATATTTTGCGCTATATAAGTATCTAGCCGATAAGGCTGAAAACAGTCGGACAGAACATTCTTTAGTAAAAAAGAACATTCATTAATTAAAAAAATTAAGTTGATATTTACAAAATTTAGTCATAGTTTTGTTACAAAATCATAAAAAATGTCAAAAATGAAAAAAAATTGTTTAAAAAGAACTATGGTAGATCCTTTTAGAAATATGACTTCTATACTTATTATAAAAATAAGTCCCCCGGCCGCGTCTTTCTGTCCTCCTGTCTGTCCTCCTGTCTGTCCTCCTGTCTGTCTGAACGCGATAAACTCGAAAACTACTGAACGGATTTTTATACGGTTTTCAACAATAGAAAGAGTAATTCTTGAGGAAGGTTTAGGTATATAATTTATTATGCTTTTATGTAAATTAGCTGAAATACGGCGACAAATGTTGAAGAGGTCGCAAAAAATCTCGCCAAATGGGAACTTTCCACGCGAACGCCGCGTAAACTAGCAAAGATACAGTTAAGTAATGTACTAGAGAATTCAAAATCTATAAAAATGCTACAAAAAAGTCCGCGATAGCATATCTCTATCTCTTACGGTTGACTTACAATAACCACTTTTATGTTAACATTTTAAATTAAAAACATTACGTTATTTTCAAAGTTATTTTCTTTAGTTCGGTATTAATCCTTATCCAAATGAATATTTTAGTTAGCTTAGTCATTTAATGCAGATTAAAATTGCTCTTTACACTAAATCAATCAGATGAATAGTTTTTGAGATATCGTTGTTAGAAGTAATTAGTAGCGAAACATTTTTAATGCTTGGCGAGCATTGAGATGCCTACGGCGAGTCCATCCCCTCTGCCCCGCATCGCTCGACCGCCTGCTCAAGCTATATAAACCGGGCGATGTAGCGCGCGATCCTAGGATACTTTTTACCGCGGGAAAATATCTTATTTCTGAGGAAAAATACAAAAACTGCAATGTAAGAGTATACTAATATGTAACACCTAAGAATTTAGTTTTTGGTCATCTGAACGCGGGCAATGCTAGTAAATTTATAAAATAACCCTCTACTGTGCATCCATTAAATAAATAAAAAATAGAAGGATTCTTTTTTTATTGAAAGTCGAATATCTCAGGAAAAAATCAACATAAAGACTTTAGTAAAAAATGTTTTTTGTTCATTTTTTGCATTTTTTAACAAAACTATGACTAAATTTTGTAAACACCAACTTCATTTTTTTGAATATATTTTTAACTAATATATAAACACGATTAGAGTATGAATGAATTTCATTTCTTTCTGTAATTACCTTAAAATCAATATTTTCAGAAAAATCAAAAAATTAACTGCAAAATTGATCAAAACTAATAAAATATCAATAAATTTGAAAAAAATATATCATAATTAAATTCTATGGCAAAAAAATACAAAACCACTGGTGTATTTTACGTGAATTCTAACTTTTATTATTTTGTCACGACTCATCAAATTGAAAAGTTGGAATGTTTACGGCGACATTGTATAAATATGAGCGTCAAATTAAAAACTTAAGGACACTATTCTTTTGTTTTTTCCTGAAAAATACATTGGTGTAATGGGCGTATAAAAGTTTGGTCAATAAAGTGCATTTCTTCAATGATAATTGAAAAAAATGTTGTTTACACAGTAAAAATTTTAAGGGTGTTTTTGCAATATGACCATATAATGTTTTTATATTTTCAAAAAGTAGAGTTCAAAACGAAAAGAATGAGCCCTATCTGAAAATGGAACGACACAAAATTTAAATGTAAACGCCCACTTGAAGTTGGAGGTGATTTTCAGCCTCTCGAGACTATAAGGCATAAAACATACTTTTCTCGGAAATGGCTAAACATTTCAATTTCATTTTTTTTTATTTATTATATGTATTTCGAAGATTACATTCCCTTAGTTTTTTGGAAATCAAAAGATTATTCTAGAAATAAAAAATAAAAAACCAAGAAACAGTTAATAACCGAGTATTTCGCAAATATCTCAAAAATTTTGAGGTAATTGTAAAAAGTGTTATTTAAAAGTTGTAGATTTTTACTAGACCAACAACTTTTGAAGAAAACATTTTTCGATAGAACGTCACAGTAAGCCGGAAATTGAAAAAAAAACTATTTTTGAACGCTTTGCGTCCCCCCATTCCTCAGAGGTAGCTGGACATCGGGGGCATTTTACGAATTTCTATTCCTTATATACCTGCTTACATTTTAAAATCATAAAACTTCAGGTTTTCAATATTTTTTCCCAAACCGGATTCCGATTGGACTAATATTGTTTATGACTTCCTCAGATAAAACCATGCAGCTGGTACTGGTAGCCCCAAATCCCAATGTCAAAAAAGTCATCTGTCAATTCGTCGCCCGAGCTTTTTTCCAGGTTCGCCTTCGTCCGTTATTTCTTAACATCTGGGACCCAAGAAACTGTTTTGTGGTAGGTATTTGTCCATTAACATTGGTATTTGATAATATAAAAAGCTAAATAATAAAGAATATATATTATTATTTTAGCAAACTACAGTGAAAATCATGGCTGAATCTCAAATGAACGACAACACGACTTGCGTAGTGTGTTTTAAGAATGTCGTGTATTACTCAATTGGCGAATGTGACCATCCTGTGTGTTTTGAATGTTCAACCCGCATGCGAGTTTTGTGCCTGACAAACGAATGCCCTATATGTCGCCATGATCTTTCTAGGGTATGTACTTAATTATGATCAATACAATCTAATTAAGAATGAAGAACTACTTCATATAAAGTATCATTGATACAATGTAAATTCTGTTAAATAAAGTAATATTATAAATATTATTTTTCAAACACATACATTAAAGTTTTGTATTTTCAAATGGTAGTTATATAGTTTACCTTAATTTTTTGTTCACAAAATATAAACAATATCTACTATCATTAATTGTTATTATTATTAGTAATTAAATGTTCTTCAATAATCAAACTATTGTGTTTAAATTTGCAGGTTGTGTTTACTGAAACTGTCCAACCTTACAAAACATTGCACAATCGAGTATTTTCTGATCGAATGTTTGAAAGGCAGTTCAAAATAGGATTTTGTAGTGAAGAGATTAAAGAAGCCTATGAAAACTTACTTGAGAACCGTTGTAAATTATGTGATAAATTGCCTTTCCGTACATTCAACATGTTAAGTGATCATATAAGGAAGGTGCATGAACGTTACTTTTGTGACCTCTGCGTGAAACATTTAAGGGTATGTAAATATATACATAAGCCTTAAAAGAACAATATTTTCTTTGATTTATGTCAATGCGAAGTGGAAACAAAGTTGTGTTAGTTACACTATTTATAACTCAAGAATGTTTAGACCGATTTTCATTATTTTTGATTTGTTGGGTTTGTCTCTGCTTCGAATAGCAGAATAACTATTCAAACATAAAAGAAAATTAAAAAGTATGTGGCTTATGCGGCCTAATAACTATTAATACCTTGTTAAAACATACATTATTTTTCTTTTAATTTAGAATAATAAAATAAAGCTATCTTTTTAGATTTTTTTGCAGATTTATTTAAATTTTTGGTTCTTGATGTTTCAAATGGTTTACAGCAATCATAGTCATGGGAGAGACTAAGGTTTTAGACATTCAACGGTTCTATATTTGTCCCATGATCATGATTGCTATGAAACATTCAAAATGTTAGCAATGTAAAATCTGAAAAGATGAATTTATTTAAAATCCTGAAAAGAACATAATATTAATAATTCAAATGTGATATTCAATTTTAGCAATTTTAACTGAAAAAAATAGTCAAATGTTTCACCATAGTTATTTTGTTGTATAAATTATTATATTATGCAATGTAATATTGGAGGTAAACAATGTAAAACAAAAGTTCAAAATTGCAAATTATGTTTTATATCACACAGATTATTGATCTAAGAATTAATAGTAAATATTAAACTGACTATAGTAAATACACTTAATAAACCTTGTTGGCTCACCATCTATTATAAAATCAAGCTATGTTATTTGACACTATAATATCTAAATGTTTTTAGTATATTCACATATCATCTAAAATGATATTATCTAAATGCAAACAGTCAAAATTAATACTGCTAAGTAATGCTTTATAATGGTATTTTTGTAGTTTATTTGATTAGTACTTCAGTTAGATAGTGTATTTAACTATGTAAAATAAGAACTAGATGATATGTGTTGTGGTAAGGCCACACTCATTGCGATAATATTCCGGCGACAAAACTTCGTCTTCGACCTACGGAGAATGTGAGTGGCCACATTGCATCGTTGTAAAGTTAAAAACGCAAAACACAAAATAGACACCGCGGTCGCTCTTTATGACAGCTAACCCAAGCATCATATTATATGAGATTCTTTCTTTTGTGGCCGATTGCTTTCGGGTCCCATAATATCGGCACAGATTCGTAATTAGCAATAAATTCTAAAATCTTCTCGTTACCCCAATCCATGTCGAAAATCCATCGCAACCCATATTTTCCGCTGCGAAGTTTGTGGACCGAAAGAAGTGTGGCCGCGCAAGCGAAGTTCATCGCGTTATAAGTTAGTACCTGGGCGACCGAGGTTCGCTCGGAATTTTTGGGCAAAAAAACATTGAAAAAAACAAACTAAAAATTTGAATAAATACAAAAAAAAAGAAAATTAAAATCTTTGTATCCAACCGCGATACGAAGCCAGGCACCTGTGGTTGTTAAACTAGCGCCTTGGCCGCTTGACCACGATGCATATGTCCTAAAGTGCGAATTAGCGACAATATTTTGAATGGAATAATGCGAAACAAAACCACGTGAAAACCGTTTTACCAGAGATAAAACTAATCTAGATCGATTTATCGCCCCCAAAACCCCCTGTTTACTAAATTTCATGAAAATCGTTGGAGCCGAGATTCAGATTATATATATATTTATATATATACAAGAATTGCTCGTTTAAATATATTGGATTAGATATTAGATAACGCTTCGATGTTCGGGAGTTTACCGACAGTGGAGCGACATGCTTGCAACTTCGCCCGAAGTGCCGAAGTATTCATGAATATATGGCTACATAATATGAATGTACATCGCTATAACTCGAATATTTGCATTATCGCGTTGTGTGCGGCCTAGGCATGAACGTAATTATGCCTGACTATCATCACGAATAATAAAATCTAACAAAAATGAAACATACCAGTTTTATTCTTAGGAACACTTACTGTTCTTAAAAATAATTAAAAATCTAAATGTTATATATACATATGTATATGTTCTAATTGTTATTTATATTTAATTCATCACTCATAGATTGTTTAGATGACAACAAATTTTATTATTTTATATTCCCTTGGCAGAAAAATGTATGAATAATTGTCTGTGCTTATAATATTATGTATATAATTCTGTTTTGTAGATATTTACCAATGAAAGAAAGTGCTATACTCGTCAAGAGCTTGCTCACCATCGACGGAAAGGTGATCTAGATGACACTTCCCACAGGTAAGATACTTACAATAACTATCTAGTATATCTAGGAAATGATCGCAACAATATTATGATGATAATCCATACTAATATTATAAATGCAAGCAATACAATAAAATTAGGCTAAAAAATTACATCTACTATTTTCTTATTTTACCTATTACTAGTACTTAGAACTTACCTGAATTTTTCAAGTGCTTTTCAATATTTTATATACATATATGTAACTGTAATGCTTAAAACTTTACTACAGTGTACATTTCAAACCTTTGGATAACATAATACTTTCTTAGATTTACGCGAATATTTAACATTTTAAATAATCTCAGTCTCAGTGACCATGATTGCTTTAAAGCATTCGAAAGTCGAAACGTCGGGAAACAAAACCAAAATAAATCTGCGAAAATATCCGCAAAGATAGTTTTATTTAAAATAGTTTTGAAAGGCAGTCATAAAAAGAATAAAATATCAAATTAACAATACAAAATTTAAATAAGTGTCAGACGATTTTATCATAAGTTGGACTAGAGAATTAGAAATCCATTTGGCCTTTCTCAACATATACTTGCTTACAAAGATATTTTATTATTCAGCAATTTTTAACGTCCCACTGCTGGGCACGGGCCTCCCTTCAGTACGAGAGGAATCAGGCCATAGTCCACCACGCTGGCCAAGTGCGGGTTGGCGGACTTCACATGTCTTTTGAAAATTTGCTAGGTTCTCTCAAACAGGCAGGTTTCGTCACGATGTTTTCCTTCACCGTTAAGACAAATGGCAATCATATTGGAAATGATTCGCACATGAAAATATCAGGGTACGAGACCCGGGATTTGATCCCGCTCGGCTCGGTTTCCCAAGCGAGCGCATTACCACTGGGCTGCCACTGCCTTTACATACACAAAGACATTTACTTCAAGTCAAACAATATTATGTTATGTAATGAATGTAAGTTCTTACATTACATTTTCATTACAGGGGACATCCATTGTGCGAATTTTGTGAGGAGCGTTTTATGGATGCAGATGAACTTTACCGTCATTTGAGAAAGGAGCATCTATATTGTCACTTATGTGATGCGGATGGAAGGAACCTGTACTACGCGTCTCACTCCGCCCTCGCGCATCACTTCAGGACTGAGCACTATCTGTGTGAAGAGGGAGAGTGTGCGGGGCAACACTTGACAGCCGTGTTTAGGAGTGAAATTGACCTAAAAGGTTAGTTAATATTTTGAAGTTAAACTTTAAATAGAGTCATTTTAATTTGTAACTCGATGAAACGAAAGTGCGACACTAAAAAGAGACAAAAACATAAATATATAGGATTGAGCAGGCGGCAGAATGAGATAGAATACATTGCCATGTTGCCATGGTAACTGTTGTTATTTTCTGGCAAATATATAATATTATATTCTTTCCGTATACGATATTCTATAAATATACGATTGTGATATGTCTTGAGCTTAGTTGTTGTATTTTGTTGGGTCCGGTTTTGCACTGTTTTGGTTTTATTAATATTTTATTATAGGGTAAGCAAGTGATTAGCTATGGGCAGACTCGGTTTTATTTCGGGTCTCCTCCCTGCTACTTACTACTAGCTTGGCACCTTCCAGGAGTCATGTGTACAGTGTAGGATGTGTACGGGATGTCAACTACAGACGCGAGTAGTTTTAACCCACAAATATGTACTTAATTTTTTTTATAATTTGTATTTTTAATTTTATAATTTAATACATATAACAAATTATAAAATTTTAATGTTGTTTCTGTTTGGGTTATGTTTGATTATTCGTGTCGGCAGGCCACAAGGCGACGGTGCACGGGCGCGGCATGCCGCGGGGCGCCACCAGGCAGGCGCGCACCTTGGAGTTACAGTTCAATATCACCCCCCATCCCGTCGTGCAGAGAACGCCTAGGTGCGTATTATATTTGTAGTTAAACTATTGTAAAATTTAAGTCAAATGATATTGAAAATTATTGGAATTACGCGAATAATTGACATGTTAAATCTCTCCCTGGAGAAGAGAAGAGAATATGATGTGAAGCATTCGAAACGTCGGGAACCAGAAATCTAAATAAATTTTGAACTTCATTAATACGAATTGCTCCATTTCATATACATATCAAGTCTAATGATATTTTTTTTCTTTTACCCGTCGTACTAAATATAACGTACCTTCGCAAGTCTACGCGACATTTGCGAAGTAAAATGTTCCAATATGGCACTCCTAGAAGATACTAAACAAACAAGTTTAATTAAACTTTGTTAATGTAATAATAATTCAAAATCACAATATACGAGAAATAATCGAAGTGATACTTATAGCCGCAACAAAGAAATAATAATAATTAATTTGATATAACTCTCCCAGAGATAGAGACAGAGACAGGGAGTACCGCGAGCGCGCGGAGCCGCCGGCGGCCGCGCCCGCGCCCATCGACCCGCGCAGCGACGAGCAGTTCCCGCGCCTGTCGGCCGCGCCGCCCGCGCCCGCGCCGCTGCTGCCGCACCCGCCGCGCTCGCTCAGGGGTACTTCACGTCTATACATATATACTAGCTGTTATACGGATTTATTCGGCTTTTTCGACACTTAATTACTTGTATATTTTATTATACATACGCACAGGCGCAGACGGGCTGGCGCGCAACGACAAGAACTTCCCAGCGCTGGACGGCGCGGGGCAGGGCGCGGCGCCGGCGCGGCCGCCCGCGCGCGCCGCCGCGCCCGTCGCCGCCACGCTGCTGCGCAACTGTGAGCTATTCCCATATATGTCAGGGCTGCCAGATGACAGTCGTTGATTTACCCAACCAATTAACCTCAAAATACCCGGTTTATCCTGCCGGCGCCAACCACGCCATTCTTTTTAGTTATTTATTCATGTTTTATGTAGAAATCTGCTGAAATAGACCACAACAACCACGGGGTTGCTCCACAGTCCACTCTGCTATCAGAGAAGTACCAGGAGCAATACTGAACCACGACAAGGTGAACGCACGTTGGGAGGGGAAATCTATAATACCTGCTTTGACCCCGCTCAATGCAAATACCCGTCAAAATTACCCGCCATCAAAAATCGCCTAAAATTACCTGCTTTCGGGTAATTTACCCGCCAATGGGTGTAGTTGGTACATGTACTTACGATATACGCACTCTTTAGTTACTATCCATACTTCCATACTGATATAATAAACGTGAAAATGTGTTTGTTTGCCCTTCTTTCATGTCGAGACGGAATGACGGATTGCCGTGATTTTTTGTGTGGAGATAGTTGGAAAGCTCGAGAGTGACATAGGCATACTTTTTACCGCGTAAGGTTTATCTCATTTCCAGGGGGAAACACGTTATAATACAACCCAAAAAATATTTGTGATCAGAATTACGTGAAACTTGGTATTAATGATCTTCAATACAATTGAATAAATACGTGGTATAGCGTTATTCAAACTTCATCTCATAAGGGGGTAAAATAGGGCATGAAAGTTTGAAATTTAAAAAAATTATTAAAGGCACCTTTCAAACAAAAAGGACTAAATTAAAATTGGTTCATCCGTTTGGGCACAGGCAGACACGGATACACACGTTAAATTTATAACATCTTTCTTTTTGCGTCGGGGGTTAAAAATAGAACAGACCAATGGAGGTAACACCGCCGTTTTGTCAAATATGGGCATCTCTCACTGCTGGGCACGGGCCTCCCTTCAATACGAGGGGGAGAATCAGACCATAGACCATCACGCTCACCAACTACGGGTTGGTGGGATATCACATGTCTTTCGAAAACGTGTTACGTTCTCACTAGACAAGCAGGTGTCTTTACAATGTTTTACTTCACCATAAGATTTTTTTTAATATAGCTATTAACAATTTTTTTATTTTATTTTTTAATTCACAGCGTCATCAAAGCCGAGCGTGTCTATCCAATTGCACAGCCAGCCTAGCGCGAGCAACTTCCGTCTGACGCAGACCAGCGGCAACCGTATATCGATACCGGCGCAGAAGAAACCGCCCCTCTCTGATGATGATTTCCCCTCTCTTGGCATCGCTAGGGACGATCACCCCAGTATTGGCGCTGGAACTGTTCAACCATCAAAGGTATTTACATAGTTATATACATAATGTATGTATATATTTATATAGGTATGTATCAGTGGCGTAGGGTCCTTAAGATGTCTTACCTTAAAATTATTTTGCTATAATTTTACATAGATTTAATTTTTTAAATGTATAAACGTATTTTTGGAAATATATATGTGTGTGCATATATAATAATAATAATAATAATAGCTTTATTTCTTTCTGTAATAATATGTATATAAAAATTGTATATTTTTAGAACGGCTTACCTTTGCTCAAATTTCACCCTTCACCACTGGTATGTATGTACATATGTACGTATGTAAGGACTCGTATATTATATTTATCAAGTACACTGCCTAATACCAAATATGTCATATACAGATTCCTCCACTTAGGTTGGCTGGAATATTTTTTTATATATATATTTCTTATGTAGTGTGCAATTGTCTGTCTAGCAATATATTTTGTGTATACCTTCTAGGTGTAATAATTATTTACTTTGGCAGATAAAACTGACGGTACAATAAAAATTGAGTCTTTTTCTCCTATAAATTCATGTCTTCAAAACATTTTTTTTCACATTATAATTGGCTTAATAATTTGAAATTCTATGAATACTTTGCTGAGTTTTTTCTTTCTTTGTGGTGATCGATTGATTAATGTTTTCCTGACCGATTTCGGCCACGGCGGTCAATCTCACTGAGGCTAGTTATGCATATTATAGTACACAGTATAGATGAAATATATAGATACCATGCTCTATTCTTTTCACTCTCTAATTCTGATGGGACAATAATTTGATACGACCTGTGAGAGAGATCAGGCGTAGCATCTACGTCTTTAGTCCGATCCGAACTCAAACCCAGGACCTCAGAATGTGCAGCGGTACATGCCGGTCACTACACCACTGAGGCAGTTTTCGCAATAATAATGATATTGAAATGCTTTTGTTGATATTTTTTCTATATTATATAGTATACTAATCTTATTTAATATAATAACCTACCTAATAATATACATTTTGTTAAAAATTTTCGTCAGTTACTGTTGGCTTAAGATTGTGTATGTGGTTACTAATTCCTATTGTAAATGAATAATGAAATTTCCATGGCATATTTGTCAAAGGTCGCGATGATCAACAGTGAAGAACTTCGAGTGATTAAGAACAATCAAACTAATCACCAGCCAAAGAAGATGCAGCTGAGTTCAGAAGCATTTCCTGCGTTGTCGTCGACGTCTGTGCCGAGTGCGCCTCCTCAATGGATTACTGTGTCGAAATCTAAAGAGAAAGCCAAGCCGAGACCTGAGCCCGTACCAATTACCCGTGGACCGGCTTTCAACCCCGTGGCCGACTTCCCAACCTTGCCCGTTAACAAGTCGAAGCCTAAGAAGATGCAGATTCAACAACCGCAGTATCAATCGATCTCTTCTAACAATAATGTTCCCAATGAGACTAACAAAAACAAAAAGGACAAAAAGAAGCAGAACTCAAATACTAAAAAGGATATTTCCCCTGATTTTAATCTCGTCAACGGCATGAGCGATATGAAAATAAAAAATGAGTACATAAATGCAAGTGTAAATAATAACAACAGCAGTGTGGAGTCCGATAGGAAAATAAAGACGATAAGTGACACACCCACATCCACAACACCGAACGTGCAGAAGACTTCTGGTAATGGAGATTTTTCTTTAGCGCTGAAAGAGTATCCGCCTCTGAATCCGCGTGGAGAAACAGCCGCAATCCCGCAGCCGCCGCCCCCGCGCCTACACAACGGCAGCGCGCCGCCCGGCTTCAAGAAGCGCCCGCCCTGCGACGGCATGACATTCACCAACTCGGCCGGTCAGACCTTCCCAGCGCCCGTGCACACCTACATACCACCGCCAGACTTCGAGATGAGGAACCGAGCGCTGGTGAAGAAGTTCGCAGTAGCCCTCGGAGGCGCTGCGGCCGTCGAGGACTTCAAGGTCGCCTCGCGCGCCTTCCGCGACAGCATCATAGGAGCGGAGGAGTTCTATCAACATTGCAAGACGGCTCTGGGTCCTCAATTAGAGTCGGTGTTTCCGGACCTGGTGGCTTTACTGCCAGATATAGCGAAGCAGCAGGAGCTGGTGGTCGGGCGCGAGGTGGCGGCGCGGCTGGAGGTGTGCGGCACGTGCGGGCAGCTGCTGGCGCCGGCCGACCGCGGCGCGCACGACTCGGCGCACTGGCCGCCGCTCGCGTCTCGCTGACGAACACTCAGACCCGCCCCGTGTTCCCGTATGTAGATATATTCAGTGTTATCGCAGTCTGCTAATCCATACAGTAACTAGAGGGCAATCCCTCGAGGTGAGTATTACTAACTTTTATATGATAGTCTGGAAACGGCTTTAGGTTTCACGGGTATAACTGTAACTTGCCACGAGGCCCCAGTGCTTTATCTTGGGAACCGTTCACCAAGAGAATTAGTAACTTTTGACAAATCATAGATTTGGCAGTATTTGTATTAAAATAAATAGACAATCGCTGACTGTATGGATTCTTATACTGTGATCTAATCGGTCACCGTTTAGACATTTGACGTAATTTAAACATCACCTAATGGTGCTTCATATTTTTTTGCATAGTGCAGTAATTATTATTTGTATCTAATATACATATGTATCATTGCCACATTTTGAGATGCAAGTTTGAAATGTGTAGCTACGTATTGTAATATTCATATATGATTTATTTCATAGAAAATTACTTAAGCTTTACAAATGTATTTACTACAATATACGGACTTCATGTATCATTTCGATACTAGTTTGTAATCTGAACAGGGATTGATAATATTTTATATTTGCAGTTTATGTCTCGCTTGCGGTTGTATAATTTTGTATAAATAAAAAGTAGAATAAAAGTAATATTTATTTGATATAGTTGATTTATATATAATTACAAAATGGCTGGACTTAAATGCGGTCTGCCAACAGTTTTAACAATATTGCCATATAATATCTGTGAGACAATTTGACCTGACATGAATTGACAAAGTGAATAAATATCATGTTCTCAAAGAAGCTTTATACCGAAAAAGGTACGATTTCGAACACTTTACAAACTAAAACTTTTAATTCATGTTAAGTTGATAATGACTGCTCGCAGACTTGCTTGACCCTGATGTTATGTAAATTTTGATAAACAAAAGGGCAATTCCTAGCTTTTTATAGTTGTAGTGTATTCTGTCAATGTAAATGATAAACTAAATTATTTTCAACGTCGCGGTTAAAATGAATGTGATTATTTAAAATTTAGAATGTAACACAGTGTAAAATATATTGTTTCAAATGTTTATTATATTTTTGTACTTTCAAAACTGAACGAATTTCTTTAGTTTACGTTAAATATTCTTTTTGTTATAGAAAAACTTCATTGGTTTTATTATAAGACACCTACAAACCCTCAACATTCCTTTTAAAAATGTCATATAATTTAAAAAATATGTGCCAAATACGAAATGCTGTAACAATAACTAATAAAAATATCCGAGTTTAGATGATTTGAAGTTTATAGTTACACATAATATTTTAAAAAATTACATATAACTAGAATTGTTAATGAATATAAAATATGATTAAAAAACTCTTTTAAGACAATGCATATAATTATACCATTTCTATGAATATAAAAAAATTACTTGTCACTTTTCCCCCATCCCAGGAAACCCTTGACAAGTCCAGTGATGCCTGCGCCTTGCTTCTTGCTATTTGCTGCACCAGTTTTATCGTCCAAATTGGGAAACTCTATGAAGTTACACGCCAGGTCAAAGAACAACGGTTTGCACGGAACGGCTTCCATTGGTGGGGGCATTTTAAATATGTTAGGGTTCTTCGTTAAAACTTGACTTTCTTCACGATAATCATCCAGACGGTCGACAAGGGGTTTCTTGTCCTTATAAGACCTACCACTTGTATATTTAGTGTCTTCCTCATCGTCATCCTCTAGCACCGAGTCGGCATGAACTTCAAACTTACAACTTTCGATATCTTTTTGCAATGTCTTTAATTTATTTATCAATTGTTTGTCCGCCAATTTGCTGGCGAGTGATTCGCTCGTGTAAGTACTGCAGCGTTCTAACATAGCTAGAGCCTCTCTAAAACGTCGCAGGGTAGTCAACACTTGCGCTATGTAATAGCATCGGAAAGCTCTATAGGCTTTTAGTTCTATCTCGATTTCTTTCTGATAAGTGGCGTCAGTTTCAAACCCAGGCAGTTGTTGCAGTTCAGTATAATTCTGCAGGATGATTTCATACAGCCGGGTGAGGTCTTGGGGACGTACTTTCTTACCATCGATTGGTATGTTATTCTTGCGCGCCTCCTCCGCCTGCTGTACAAGCAAGTTGTTTCTCTCTATGGTACGCACGAGACGTAGATACATCAAGTACGACAGCAAATAATTAATTCCCGATGTCGGCTGAGTTTCCGATTGCAACTTTAATTTGGGATCGTTTTTAATTTCATCCTTTAGAGCGGATATGGCGTCTTTGCAGTCCATTAGAGTGTTTTCGAGGATGTCGATCTTAGCTTGCACGTTGGGTGCGCCTGCTACAGACTTCTCGAGGTCCTGAAGAGCTATGAGGAACAGACGCACTTTCTCAGGCCGCACGGTGACGCGGCGACCGCGCCATTCTACTTCGTGCATCACTCCTGAACGAGACTCTCTGCAAATAAATCATAAGGCCTGTAAATACGTTTATATTTACGCAAATTGTTTTTAAGACAGTTCTCAATAAATCCATAGAAATAAAAAAAAAACATTTGGTCTAAGCGTCCATCTCATAAGGTACACTCGCAATAACTATTTTGTATCTATTTAAAACGTACTCGTATCTAGCAACGCATCCGAGCGAAGCGAGGGTAGGTCAATAATCTATTTATTCCATATGGATAAATTAAATTGAAATCTGTTTGTGATGTCAAAATAACAGCTTTTTATTAAGTGCATATGATATTATATACGGTACTTATAAGAATATAATTTTTAAATCTCTGTCTGTTTGTTCCGGCTAATCTCCGTAACGGCTGGACTGATTTTGACGGGACTTTCACTGGTAGATAACTGATGTTATAAGGTTAAGTTTACGCTAGTTTTATTTTAGAAAAAGATTGGGGTTCTGCTCAAAAAAATTGAATATAATATGTATTAGTTTTTCAAAAAAAATATAAAATTCGATGTAAAGTTAACATACTTAGCTTGAGCCATGAGAGTGTCTAAATTCTCAATGAGACCCTGTCCGCGCATCGCTAGGAGGTCGCCCGCGGCGGACTCGTCGCCGATGTTGTAGGCGCAGTAACGCAGGCTAGGTTTTAATTCATCCACCTGAGAAAAAAATATCAGTTGAATTTAGATACGATCTACACTCTTATATTAAGCTGAAGAGTTTATTTTTATTTTTGGATTTTAATAATATTATCTATTTATCGAAGAAGTTTATAGGATGAGGAGCTAATAAGTGTTAGACATTGAATATTTTATAAAATGGAATAAAAGATAATTATAATCTATACTAATATTATAAAGACGCAAAGTTTGTTTGTTTGAACGCGCTAATCTCATCAATCCTTTTTAGAGGAAGTACCCCTCCAATCAAAAAGCCTCGAGAGCAAAATATTTTATAAAGTCTTAAAACTGTATACCAAGTTTTTTCCAGATCTGTTGTCAAACACAACCTGTAGGGGAGTACCAATAAACTGACAGAGGAAAGCAAATTTTGCCAGACTTGAAGCAGAGACACTTCAAGCACTCAGTCAATAATTTATAGATAGATATCAAAATTAAAACTTGCCTTCTGTTTATACACAACTCGCTCTTCCTCTGGTAAGGCAGCACTTAATTTCTCCAATACAATTTGAGCCCTTTGCAGGCTCTCTGCCGCGGGCCGCCATTGTTGCAGCTCTATCAACAGCACGCCGCTTAGCCACGCCGCGTACGCGCCGGCTTCTAACTGCGTGCGAGCGTTGCAAGCTCCACTTTGCTTTGTAAGGGAAAATAAATCATAATACATTATTATGATATATGATATAGTATATAGAACATTAAATAAGTCATCCATAATTAATATTAATTTATTAAATATTATAATATAAAAATAATTCAGCTCTTTTCAACGTCGTACTGCTGCACAGATCACCCCTGAATATGAGGGGAGATCAGAGCCATACTGTTGGCATGTGAAAATCATGTTGAAAATGATTGGCATATAGAAACTTAGAGGTGCAAGACTGGGGGTTTGCTGCTTCACTTGGTTTTTTAAGCATGCAAAGTAAAAGTATTTTGTAAGTTTATTACTGATTAAATAATTAAAACTTACCTCACAAAGTTGCAAAAGCAAATGCGCATGAGCGCATGCTTTTTTTAAACGAGAGACAAGGTGAAACTTCTTTCTGGGTTCAGTGTTGGCCTCTTGTCGCAGTTGCATGGCATGGGCCCAGGCTCGTTCAGCTTGTAGTAATGGCACACAAAGCAAACGGTTCTCCGCATTATTAGCCGTCAGATGCGACGAAGTCACATCGCGTCGGCGGTAATGACGTCTATCACCCTGAGTTTAGAAAGGAGAATATTATTGGAATATAAAGTAGATATTTGGAAAAAACTTATATATATTTATAAAACATATAAAACTTTCTACAAATAACCACTCTTCTATAATGACAGTTTTTCATGCAAAAAGTACTGAACGGATTTCACCTAAATATTGTGTAGTGATTACTTATTACTCGGGTCAATATCTAGGATATTTTTACTACAGGAAAATCCCTCATTCCCACGGATAAACAATAACTGGATCGGCCGATTTGTCTCTCATACAGAAATTTCAATGATTTATTAAACAAAAAATATTAGTAGCACCTTGTTAAAATTAACGTATTTAATAATTTAGTCAAAATCTTTTATTTTCATGTGAAAATGCAAAGTTTAGTTCAGGCGTATGTCACTCATCTATATCTATATCTTATTTACATAATAATGTAGTATGAAACAAAGTCACAGTCTGCCTGTCTGTTTCTTTGCTTAAGCACTTCTTCTAAACCACACAATGGATTTTAATATGAGCGAAGCTAGGGAGTCTATAGTATAACTAAGTAATGAAAATACGGTTAATAAGCAATAGCCTTCTATTTTAACTTGGAGAAAAATATTATATTTATGACATATGCATGCCACGTATTATAAATGCGCTGACGACTGAAAAACTAAATTTTACTATAAAAGAACATACCTGGGGAATTTTAAGGACTTTACGTAAACGGCGAATGCGGCGAGAGCAATAACCGCGGTATCTCTGGTAGTCTCCATGACGAAGTCCATGCTGCTGTTGAGCATCCTTGGTTATGCGGAAAACTATACTCATGTTTAGAAATATTATTTTTGTGTATAGTGCTTATTTAGTTATACAAACAAGTAACTATGTACGTAACCTACTTCTTATAAGAAATAATATAAGAGCAAGTTGTGTTATGAAAAATTTCAACAAAATTTTTGGACTGGAAAGCAATGAACCTGTAAAGTCAATATCTTTTTGGATATGAGTGATATTAGAACATAAGTATGTATCTCTGGTAATAGTGTTTCTGACAGTTCATCCTGATATTGGATTCTAATAAAACTCGAAACAAAACTTAGCAATATCAAAAGAATTTTTGTTACACTAAAATGTTATAGGTAATTTAGAAATATTTACAACACTACATCAATACAATAAATATTAATAATACCTACTTCACTCAAGATCAAAAGACCACAACTTCTTTTCTGTATCTTAAGTCACTTATCAGTACTATTGTCTATTATGTGCTATTTCCATAGTCTCATCAGAAAGTTATTACATATTAATAAAAAATTTAAATAAGAATAAATAATACTAAAAAGCAACTTAAACTTAACAATATTTTTGCCTTTTAGGGTTTAATTCAATCACAACTTATTTCCACTCCTAATAATATTAGTAACATAGAGAAATTTTCTGTACTATGTATTATTTTATAAAGGATACTTTCTAATGATAAAGGATTGGTTATTTTTCCATCTTGTATAGCTTCTATAGATACTGGCTGCGCATCTCCACTTTCTCCTTCCAAAAATACCATAATTCTATGTTTATACAAACTGCAAACTAATTTTTTACTTTTTAGCAATTTTAGCTAAATTATCGATAAATATTTGATAGCAAACAGCAGTACGGAGAACTTATGGAAGCACACGTCACGTAATTTTGTAAGATAGGTGTCAATTGTCAGTGTCAAATGTCAATTCGAGTGACACGATGTATAGATTAAATAAGTTAACTGGAGTTATTTCATAGATTAATGTGGGCAAAGAGTTATTTTAGATCAGAATTACTTGGAACTTTGTACTAGAATGCTCTTTAATATAATTAAATAAATAGGTGTTTTAGTATTTTTCTAAATTCAATCTCATAAGGGGGTAAAATGGGGATGAAAGTTTGTATGAAACTCTGTAATCAATATCTAAAAAACCACAAATATTAAAAAAGAATATTCACTTGTAGACGATTTAAGAGTTTTAAAATCACTTTCTTCAAAATGATGTCCACATAGCCATAAATATAAAGATTGTGATTTCGCCAATTTTGGTAGTCTTATTGCTTTAACCCACAATTTCTTTAGTTTTTGTCTTTTGGGAACAAATGATATCTATTTTCTTTGCATCCTGGTATTGCACAATTTGTCATTTTAATTAAATTTAAAATAAGATGAAAACAAGAACAATAATAGAATGAGTTTTAAAATATACTAAGGGCTATAAAGATCGCGACATCTGGAGGGAGAAGAGGGCAAAATTCTTCCCCATTGGAAACAGGGGGGTATATAAGCTCTATAAGCCCCTTTTACCCCTTTAAGGGATGAATTTCGAAAAAAATTAAATGAATATATTTCTTATTTTTATCTTATAGCTAAACACCATTTTTTATGTACATCACATTAAGAATGACAGAGTTTCACACAATCTTTAATCCCCTATTTTAATCACTTAGGGGATGAATTTTATATGAATACGCCCTCCAAATTTCACGTTTTTGCGACCAGCGGCGTACGCTGTGTGTTGATCCATCAGTCAGTCAAGACTCAGGACCACCGCTTAATAATAAAAATTGGTCTTACTTCCACCTACCCTACCCCAGCCTGCAAATTTATGATATTCGCAATGAAAAAAATACTAATCGATAGATTTTTAATAGCTCAATTCAACTACGTAGCCCTTCCAAATTGCTCACCATTAATTATAAAATTAAAAATCAATAAAGTCCTTGAAAAAAAAATCATTTATCCGTATATTCAAATTTCTATATCTTTTGATATATACAATATTTTAAATTGCTCAAAGTTCTAAAATACTGCTCAAGTTGCATTTGTAATTGCTCAAGTAGAGTTCTCACCAGCTCCACTTTCCTTAATTTGATTTTTGTATAAATTGAACATAATGAATAAGTCAATAAATAATAAAAATACCTGATAATAGATGATGTTGTGCTTGGAGTATTACAGTTTCATTTCACTATGATGAGGTTATGAAACACTTGATTTTTTTGCCTTGCGACTCGCGTTACTGTTTGCGCGCATGCGCAGCACTCACCTATCTATACGTTAAATTTATTCAAACTATTTATATTTATTTAATAATTAAGGAAAGTGGAGCTGGTGAGAACTCTACTTGAGCAATTAAAAATGCAACTTGAGCAGTATTTTAGAACTTTGAGCAATTTAAAATATTGTATATATCAAAAGATATAGAAATTTGAATATACGGATAAATGATTTTTTTTTCAAGGACTTTATTGATTTTTAATTTTATAATTAATGGTGAGCAATTTGGAAGGGCTACGTAGTTGAATTGAGCTATTAAAAATCTATCGATTAGTATTTTTTTCATTGCGAATATCATAAATTTGCAGGCTGGAGTAGGGTACCTCTTACTTCCCCCCCAACGTGCGTTCACCTTGTCGTGGTGGGGGGGCTCAGTAGTGTACTCGCGAAGCCAAGAAACGCACAGGGAGGTGGCCCGCTTCGGTGGGCGGTGGGAGGCGGCCTTCTTCGAAGGGCGGTGTACCATGCGGGTTGCTCCTGGTACTTCTCTGATAGCAGAGTGGACCGTGGAGCAACCCCATGGTTGTTGTGGTCTGCTTCGGCAGACCTGTCGTCGGGGCGTCGTAGTTGAATGCGTAAGCGATCCTGCGACGCCCCATTAAGACGGGGGAAGGTTTTGTTGGGTTTTAGTGGGTAGTACTGGCTTCGCCGGTGAGTCCCACATTTCGTGCGTAAATGCATTTCCCAACGTTAAAAAAAAAAAAAAAAAAGGGTACCTCTTACTTCCAGGTACAATACATTGCACAGGTAAGATGCGAACACAACAGAAGCAAAGAACCAGATACAAAAGAGATATCACAATCAATTGCATCTCATACTGAAAGTAAATAGGCAATACGTGTGGCGCCCTCCTTTCAAGAAATCTTCCTCATTGTAGTAAACTTTATTTGTCATCCATGGTAGTAAAATGTAGAAAATTCTAAACTTAATAGCAGCTGTCATTGTCATAAAAGTGACATTTTATTTCATTTTAGCCCCATCTGACATCTCTTTCTTTTTAGTTCTCTGTGCGTGTAGGTTAGAATCGTTTTATTATTATATATTTTAATTCCAAAAATATCATCATAATCCTGTCTTTTTTTATGTGTTGTATGGTGTTTTCTGTGATTCTTTATATACAGTTATCCGGTAACAAATAAATTTCTTTTTTCAGGACTATAAATCTAACAAAATGGCAAAGTCAAAAAACCATACAAATCATAACCAAAGTAAGTAAACAAACATTTATTTTTATACGATATCATGCCAATTCGCAATGGTATTAAACCTAAACAAATTTTGCAGACCGCAAAGCTCATCGTAATGGTATTAAGAAGCCTAAAAAGTTCAGACACGAATCTACACTTGGCGTAAGTTTTTTTTCTTGATTTAAACATAAAACAAATAAAACGTAATCACAATATCATAATATAAGCAATTACTTACATTTTCATTTTTTTTGTTACATTTTCAGACGAATGAATATAATTGAAACCCTTACATACTTTTTAGAATAATGGGGATACTTCGATAGATTTTTTATAAACTCAACCTTATATGTGTTTACTGTTTACTAGCTTATCTATCTCCTAGATTAGAGACAAATATATCAAACTTAGATTCTTATTCTATTTTAAATATAGATTGACACTTTGGACAGTTTAATAGATTGTGGATGAAACTTGGTTCACATATACAGCAGTTTTAGGACTAATATGCAGGATTTTTATTGTCTTGGCAATGCTTACCTGTGAGATGGTAATTACTTGTATTTTAAGAATATATCACCATTAACTAGATGGTGTGGTCTTCTTCTTTTTTGTTTACTTCATTACTGAAGGTCATGCGTGTCCTGGAATGCTTTTACCGATATGTCAACTAGCTTCCTCCACACCACTATCTTCGGCTTGTCTCAGGGCAGTAGGAATATTGAGTCCCGTTATATTTTGAATCTGGTTGGACCAGTGGGTAGGTCTAGAAATATTAAAAATAAATGTATACATATCATGCTCATTTTATTATTTATTTATTTACTTCTTTTTACACATTGTATCAATTCAATGATCACTTGTGTACGTCAATTAGAAGACTTAAACTAAAGCTACGAGGGTTCGTAATTGTGATCATTGTTTCACAAACATCCTTACTTCAGTATAAAGAGCAATTCATTCCCAAGCTTTTTTATCACTTAAATAATCCTTTACATTATAATAGGATTTATTTATTAATTGTCTTTTAATGTAAATTTTAAATTTATTTATTGACAGTTTTAAAGTATCATCTGGTAGTTTATTGTAAAAGCGAATACTATTACAAATATATTTAGAAGTAACGCGACTCCAGCATCGGCTGTTGAACAACCGCGAGTGAAGATTTCATGAACTATATATTATATTTTTGTTCTGTAGATGGATCCCAAATTCTTAAGAAACCAGAGGTTTTGCAAGAAGGGTAATCTAAAACCAGCGAAACAATTGGTACGAGCAGCAGAAAGGAAAGCTGTAAGAGAAGCAAAAGCCAAGAAATGAACTTAGTTTTAATGCAATAAAAATATAAAACAAAACCAACTTTTTTTTATTAAATGCTTATTAAAATATCTTCAATTTCATAATAGAATGTTCATGAGGCATTTACATTAATTATGCTCATGCCTAAAATAATAAGAGATATATGATGGTTACAAACATAAGAATCACTACATATTATAAAACAAAGTCCTCTGCCGCGTCTGCGATAAACTCTAAAACTACCACCGATTTTAATGTTTACACCAATGGATGGAGTAGTTCTTGAGGAAGGTTTTTGTATAGGTATGATTTGTTAAGTTTTTGTATATATTGGCTTAAATATAACGATATTTGTTGGAGGTGACCGAAAACTATATTATTAAATGTCAGTTTTTATTAAATAAATAGATAAGTTTGCTACAAACAGTGTAATGCCATTATATAAAGGACAATAGTATACTGTAAAAACGGAGTTAGTGTTATGCTTCTCAGGTACAGATATAAGATATACAATTCCACCATATATTATTTTGTTATATCTCTAAGGGTTTAGGTAGCGTTTTCGTTGAAAGCTCCCTGACTGCTAATTTTTTCCAAACCTCCAATAAATATCGTTATATTTTAGCTAATGTATACAAAAACTTAACAAATTATATACTAAAACCTTCCTCGAGAACCACTCTATCCATTGGTGAAAACAGCATGAAAATTGGTGCAGTAGTTTTTGAGCGTATCGCGAACAGACAGACGCGGCGGAGGACTTTGTTTTATAATATGTAGTGAATACTGAAGTAGTGAGTAATCATCTATAGTTTTACTGCAGTGCAGTCTTGTCTTTACTCTGTGCTGTGTGTGGAATGTGGATACCTCCGTTATGAGTATATAATATGTTCTGTGGTGGATACCGTTTTAATCTTCAAACCATGGATGACAATTGACAAATAAAGCTTCAAAGTTCAAACTTTAATCTTTATTATTCATCTATATCTCACATCTTTGTGTTTGTTGTTCCTGGTCTGTGATTAAATGTAAATAATAATCATTAAAATATCAGTTAATAAAAGAACCAAACCAACAATCAATAATACATTCAAGTTATGCTAAGAAAATTTCAATTAAATTGATGAATTACCAATTTATTTTATAAATGTGGAATAATTTTATTAAAATATTTGTACACAAAATAATAAGCATTTAGTTACAAAGTATAATGCTTGAAATTGGATCGAATTTATGCATTACTTATAATACTCGCAAAGAAAATCCTCACTTATTATTATTGCTTATAAATAAATATGTAAAAGTGTATCTCTTAAAGAACTTAACAATATGTGGATTTGTACATTCTATTGATCCTATTAACCACAGGTAAAGTGTATGATTATTTATAATATATAGTAATAGGAACTTAAGTTACTTGTGTTTATTAACTTTTCTTAATCTTATTTTAGCATTATTGTATTACAATCAAGGGGAGAAAGTTTTCAGACAACTATTATACCTGGCCATGCAATAATAAATGTAGAAGAAATAAATCCAGGACAAGACATAAAAATACCAGCGAGGAAAGTTTCAACAGTTCCTTCACTAAGATGTTATCTAGAAAGAAAAAAGAAGATAATGTCGTGGTTTAAAGAAAATTTATTAACAGTGTCAGAATCAGGTGATAATATAGTGTTTGGAAATGTTTTAATTTTACCTCCATATAATGTCACTGATATATGTACTGATAATCCAATAGTAGCAATGCAAGTTATTAATATAATGAACAAAATGCCTGATAATTATTAGTTTTTTCTAATATGTAACATGTTTCTGCCACATAATAAAAGCTTTATTATTAATTTTTTAAACTGTTTTTTCATGAATTTTACTTATTAGTGTTTGTTTGTTTTATTGATACAATTTATTTCTGTATTATAATATGATTCTTCAAATGTAGCCTTTATAAATTTCAAGTTTTCTTTCTATTTTCTTTCATAATTAATAATAATCAAAGAAATTTTTAATTTAAAGAAATGTTTCATTTTTTTAATTATTATATTACAAAATATTATTTTTATGTGTTTAAATTTTATTTTATATTAATGCAAGAATTAAGATATATATCATGCTTAGGTTATTATGATAGGTCATTATGCTTAGGAATATAATAAAATTATGTTGGGGTCAAATTGTATATTAGTTGTGAAGTATCAATCTACAGAAGGACACAATAAAGTAGAGGACATTATTTTTAATTTTATTACAAGAGAATAGCTAAAATATTGGTCTTTAAAATGTTAACAAAATTTTATAAACTTAATGTCAAAAAAATATTAATATTCATCAAAATTTTATAAACACTATCAACTTCCTGTAACTTGTATTTTTGTAGTTATCACTGATAACGATACACAAGCTATATAGCTACTACCAGAACCCTTGGCTTCGCTTTTGCCAAAATTACAAAAAAACTGGCTTCCGCTTTTAGTATTAATTGTAATTAATACTAATAGGAATTAGGAACATAAAGATGACTGTCTTTTTTAAATGTGTTTATTGGGGAAGACGAAGAATTTTGCCTTTTTCTCCCCCCAGATGTCGCGATCATTAGACCTCTATAATGTAAAGCTCAAAAGCGTGGATGGATTTTATTTCATTTTATTTAAAATTTAACTGGAATAATAAATAGTTTAGTGCCAGGATCCATCCATTACAATCTTTATATTTAAGGCTATGTGCACATCATTTTAAGGAAGGTGATTTTAAAACTGAAATCTGCTAAAGGTGATTTTTTTGTACTTTTTTACATATTAATTACAGTTTCATACAAACTTTCATCCCCCATTTTTCCCTTTAATTCCAAGTTTCAAGTAATTTTGATCATAAATAATTCTTTCTTTATAAACTTTATTACCCCCGTTTACTCCTTATGGGATGAATTCAGTTCGAAAAAAATCAAATAAATATACCTATTTCTTATTTTTTATCTTAAAGCTAAACACCACTTTATTTACAATATAAACACCCATGACTGAAGTACAAACATTCGTGCTCATCACACAATGCTCCCCGAGATTCGAATCAGCAATCGCTGGCACAGCGAGTAGGTAAAGTAACTACAAACTGAGCCAAACGTGTCGTCAAATTTCAATTCGGGTGAGACTGAGCGGGAGTTTAAACGCAGCGTAAGCCGTTTTACCACCTAATTTCTAAAGGTGCAGTAGCATTTCCAGATGAGGCTACAGCTAACACAATGCTCCGATTACTTTATATTACCGAATTTTATAGGTAGGTTTCATACAAATTCTCATCCCCTATATGGGATGAATTTCGAAAAATGATAAAACACGTTTTTATTGTATTGAAGGGCATTAATACCAAGTTTCAAGTAATTCTGAACACAGATATTTTTTGGGATGTATTATAATGTGCGTTCCCGTGGAAATGGAATAATCTCCTGCGATAAAAAGAAGGTTCACACTCCTACCCTCCACTCGTTTCGACGTGAAAGTAGGACAAAAAAACAAACAGTCAAACACGTACATTTGCATTAATATAATATTAGTATGGATGCTACGCACGCATGATATAATAAAAAGAGAAAACATCATTGCATACCTATTGATAGTTCATACATCACTGTTGATAATAATCGATAGTTACTAATATTTTGTAGTTGTTGTTATATACCTCCTGTACTGTAATTTTTTGAATTTAAATTTTTTGTACATTACGTACATTTCGATAAGGCCAGCACACACTAATCCGCTCAGCCACAAAATTACATCCGCTCCTCTTCGCCTATACGCTACATATATTTATTTATTATATTACATCATGACTTAAATATATATTTAACTTTTGTGACCTAAAGCCAAATTTGATTTGTCTGGCCACTTCCTTTATTATATTATATTATCTTTTTAAAACTAATAAAATTTATAATCAACTATGCCACAGATTAATTAGACATTTTGTATCACAGACATTTTTATTAGTCATACAGATCGAATATGTTTTTATAGTCCGTCCCACGAAAGAAGTCCCACTGCAAAAAGTGATAGGTCAGCCATGTTGTCTTTGCCAGGTGCTGCTGCCTACCTTATTCGGATGAAAAAAAGATGTGATTGTAGTATGTCTGGAATAAACTCAATCGATGACCATAATTATACAATTAAAGTTTAAAATGTTTTTTTTTTATTACATATACTCTATTACTAACAAATAAAAGACGAGTTGTTCGTTGTTTATTGCGTTTACCTGATTACCTGAGGCTCAGATCTTGAGCAAGCAAAATGTGTGAAATATGTGTACAATGTATTATTTTATTGTATATTTTAAGCTTTAACAACTTAATTTACAAAAACAATAAATTTCCAAATTACATGTTGAAATTTTAGGGGAGTCTAAAACCATAGCGGCTAGCAACATTCCGTCGCATGACATTTGACCGAAGCGACTAGCGCCGCGTCTGCGGGACTTCTTTCGTGAGACGGACTCTATTTTTCATATCCCACTTCCAGTTCCCAATGTCAGCTGGTCTCTCATTGGAGTATTGTTGGTTGTCTATAGAGCTCAAATATAATGGATAGGTAAATAATAGACAAGTTTATTATTCAGTGTTTGTATTCGAATTTCGGCGTAATATATTAGATAAAGTATTTTGTTTACTTGAGGTATGAGTTTGAAGTGTAAACTTTGCTGAAAGTCATAAAATAAATTATTTATTATTTGACTTTTTTATTAATTTAAATAATTTATGAAGTGAAAAAAGACATAAATGTCTAATTCAACTAATAGGAAAGTGCAATATTTGGCGGGAATATGTGGTAAGTTTGAAAAATACAAAAAAATGTATTCTTTTTCTATTCATTGCTTTCTATGTTTATAATTAGGCACAAAACCTAATACCCATTCACTTTTACCATTATTTGACAGTTTCATTTGCCTTTACTTTTACGGGAGCAGTGATCTCATGGCCCTCACCGGCTATTCCAAAATTTATTTATGGAAGAACTGACGTAATAATAACTGATGTGAGTATATTGCATACTTTAATTAAATGCTAAAAACAAATGTTGTTAAATAATTGTTTTTTAAATATAATTTTAAAAATGTTAGGGACAATGTACACATGTACATTTCTCTTGTTTTGTTATATCGAACGTACAAGGTTTTTATGTTAAGTAGATATAAGAAATATAAATAATTTATATAGTATTATAAATTATAATGGGGGATTTATCATTCCTAGCTAACCTGTTCTGGTAATTGATACGTAGTCCAGTAATTGTACGATATGATCGCTGATTCGATGCTTGTAGGTTGTGCCCGCAACTGCGGCGTAGCCAAAAAAAAATAAATAGGTTAGTGATAATTTGAATGTATTATAAAATAAACTTTATCAGAACTACTTTTTGCATTAGACTGGCAAGTACCGGTTATTTTTTATCTTAGACAAAAAAATAATGTTAGTGAATAGATTTTTGAAATTAATATAACAATTTAGTAATTATTAAAATATATTTTAAATATAAATAGTGATTTCGCGGATTAGACTTGAAATGAACTGAAAAGAACTGAAAATTTGAACAATTTTAAATCCGCTGAGAACGTTGGCTCAGGTCGGCCAATACAGGCGCAAATTCTAAGAAGCAAACAGAAACAAAACATAACGATTTAGCTCACAAAGCAACAACGAGAAAAAGTGCTTTGAGTTTTTTGATATAAGGTCGATTTTACAATAAAGATTATAAAAATTTCTATTATATTATATCTATACCTACATATTACATACATATACACCATTCAAGTTTTAAATAAGAAAATTATAGGGATACTGTCCAGTCGATAAATATTCAAAAAAAATATGTATACCTATACAAGGGATCGGGGAAAAAACTCAAATTCTCGATAATTTGAAGATTTTTGACTCGATAGATTTAAAATAACGAGTGTCAAATTATCGAGAGTCGACTGTACATATGTAATGTTCGGTGGTCAGAAGGGTAATTAGTTATCTCTATGAATAATAATTTAATTTCGAAAAACAACGTGTACTTACAAATACAATATAAAAATCTACTTGAAATATTATGAAATATTACACATACGAGTATGCGTACAATATATAAATATATATAGTCCTTAATAAATATTTTTTTAATTAAATACAGCTACGACGCAGCTTTTCTTATCGCTGTTCAATAAACGGTTACTAGCAAACGTTTGTTCATTTCTTGTTTGTTCAAGCAAATTACAACCTCTAATTGACAATGATAGAATGATAGATATCATGACCTGTCATGAATGAGTTTCGAGTTCATGTAGAATTTTTGACCGCCTTCAAAGAGAAGAACAACATTTATTTTTATTTTTAGTATCTACATAGAAATTTGTTCATGTAACATACCTACACGGTATGTTCGCCTATTGTGATAAGATTTTCATGTTAATTTTATTTTTTTAAATATACTAGATATCATATAAGTTATCTCAAATAAGGCGTATGTACACAATGTTTTTATGTTTTATAAACGCGCCGACGAAGTGCATATCAAGTAGATAAGTCGTCTGCGCATATTCTGCACTGATAAATTTTAAAAATGCATATTGCTTGAGCGCGTTTTGTCGCGCGTTAATGTATATGTTACTTGCCAAACTAGATTTCAGGCCAAACTGTTTTCTCCTAGGCCAAACCGGTTCATCCAAATTGTGTCAGGATATACTAGTTTAGCCCAGGACAATGGGCTCAGTAGTGTCTGGCAATCCAGCCGGGTGCGAAGCTATAGATGTTTCATATCAAAAATTACCCATCTCTAAAGATAGAAATACTTTTAAGTGATTTTGAACTCAGTCAGTTCACTTTTTTAATATAGGAACAAACGTCTTGGGTGGTATCGCTGGCTGCACTTGGCGCATTACCAGGATGTTACTTAGGAAAAGTATTAAGCGAGAGAGCTGGAAGACGACGCACTATCCTGAGTGCTTCTATACCGGGACTTTTGGGCGCGGTACGTTTTTAATAGCAATTACCAATTAAAATTTATCCATTTTAAAAATCTAAATTTTTTTATTACATTAAAATTATTTTCATTTGTTTTATAAAATATTAAATAATATATTATTACCATGTACAATTAAAATGTAAATGATCGATTTTTTGTTATTTTTATTGGTATCACTTATTACATTAATTAATAATTTTAATTATATTTATCAGGTAAATTTCTGCAGACTCATTAAAAAGTATATTTTGATTTTAGTTAATAATATTGTTCACAAAATCACCTTTGGTTATGTGCTTCGCCAGATTGCTAATGGGCATATCAAATGGAGTCACTGCTGTAGTGAGTATAAAATAATCCCATCAAAAACATAAATGTGAAAATGAAAGCCAAGTTCAATATTAAGAATAAGCGTGGTTGTCAACTTCACTGAAAAAAGAAATGAGATCTAAATGGGTGCCAAGTTCTGTAGATAATCCTGAATTTTAACATTGAAAATGTTTTTTTTGTCGCTTTAGTATAGGCCCGATTTTCAGCGAAAGTGCGACATCGCCCTGGTGTCGTGGATTTTGGGACTACGTGGTTGATTGGGATGTTAAAAGATGCGTTTAAATGAGGGCTACAAAATGCAAAAAAAAATTGAAAAAACTCAAAGTATTTTTTTAAATTGATTTTTTTTTAAAAATACGGTCGCTTTCTCCTCGGTTTCGGTCAGAAAAAAAATTATATTTCGAAATGAAATAAGATATCGAAAAAATAAAAAAAACCCCAAGAGATATGACTTCGGACTACATTTAAAAAAATATTGGAGGTTCATATCACTGATGGGTTATTCAGAAGTTGCACCTTTGTGACGCTGAGTTTACGCACTCTGCGTGAGCGCGTTAATGACGGTAAATAAATGTTTTGGAGCATGATATTGTTTTTGAACCGAAGTGATTCTTTGTGAATAAATAAATATGTATTCAAACTAATAACTAATATTTATACATATAATAGAACAGTAACTCAGCGAAATTTATACTTGAAATATTTTTTCAAAACAATGACTGTAACGTATTGTGTCCTATAGACCCCAAAATAATGATTATGAAAAATTTTGTCTGTTTGTCTGTATGTCTGTTTGGGTGTGCGAGTTTCACGAAAAAGGACTGAACCGATTTTAACTAAATTTTGTGTACTCATAACTTATTACTCGGGTTAGGATATTTAAGATATCTTTTACTGCAGGAAAATAAAAGAAAAGGGAGAGGAGAGGAGCGAGAAGAGAGGAGCTTGTTGTTGAGATTTTGCCTGTCTTTTGTAGTTCTTTTTCGCAAATCTTCTTCGCCTGTCTTCGCAAATCAGGATTATCTACAGAACTTGGCACCCATTTAGATCTCATTTCTTTTTTCGGTGAAGTTGACAACCACGCTTATTCTTAATATTGAACTTGGCTCTCATTTTCACATTTATGTTTTTGATGGGATATCATTACTTTTTGTAAAGAAACTATTATTATTTCAAAGTAACATGTAAATTCGACCTTTTTTTTCTTCATAATTTTGCGACTATTCGTTAGTGGATAAGGCGGAATAGGAAAATATTATCTATTCATCATGGAACCTTTGCTTTCTAGAAAGAAAAAGTTTTTGCTATTACTATGATTGCTATTGCTATTATATTTCAAAGGGCACTAGGTGTTAAGCTATTGCTATTATGTTTTGGAAGGCGCTGGGTCGGCACAATTTTTTTTTTCATTTAAAAAATTTACTGTTTTCGGATTTTTCCTTTGCATGCACACGATTACCCATCTGGACACCAAATTTCAACTTTTTATGTCATCTGGAAGTGGGTTTTACTACTATATTATGTCAGTCAGTCGTGATAAAAATGCTAATTTTTAGACGTTAATATCTTAATAACCGTTTGAGTTGTATTTATGAAATTTGGGATTCTAGTTAATCTAAGGTGGCTTAATAAATGTACCAAATTTCATGACTTTATGTTAAATAGATTTTGAGTTATTACGAGGTGAAAAGTGGCTCCAAATGGTTCGTGTAAATATACATTATATTACTAATATACACGGTGCTACGTCGCAAGTTCCTTTCGCTCGAACTTGGCTGGACACGCTACCGCGTGTCTTGATATAGTCCTTAAGGTTGAAAATGCGATCTTCAGTAACATTTTTTTTATTACACCACTACTATTTAAAAAGTAAATTACTGAGAACAATTGATGAAAGAAACTTTGCGACAATTTCTTTTCTGAATTAAAATTGATACGTTTTTATTTTCTCGATGTTATTTTTTTTTCATTTGCCGCGAATTTACCATTTTATCTTGACCTTTGAACATTATGATCTTGATTCCTTTATAGGTGACGATGATATATTTAACTGAGATAGCTGATAAGGAGATCCGCGGAGCTCTAGGCATGCTGGTCCAAGTGATGATGAATTTGGGCAGCCTGGCCATGTACAGTATAGGACCGTTCGTGTCATATAAAGTGTTAAATAGTATAGTTTTGTCGCTGTCTATCTGTTACGCTTTAATGTGTTTGTGGGTGCCGGAGTCGCCGTACTTCCACTTAACCCGAGGGAAGATACCTGCAGCGAAGAAGGATTTTATGTTCATCAAAAACACTAAAGATGAAGCGGTATGTGTAAAATTCTACTGTATTATGTGGGTATAGTAGGTTTAATTTTAGTTTTTAACAAAAATTAATGGCAGCCTTTACATATTTTAGGATGCGCCTCTTGGGTCTTATCAAATTTTTTTTCCTTACTTCTTTTAAAAAACATTCACATTTTGTTTTAAATACTTTGGTTTATGTTTCTTTCTTCCCCACTACAACGGATCAATAAATTTGAACGAAATTTAAAATTGAAATCTATAATAATATGCATTATACTCACTCGTAAATGTGAAAGTTTAGATGTTTGAATGGATTTATGTTTGTTACTCAATCACGCCAGAACGACTGAACGGATCTAGATAAAATTTGGCACAGAGATAGATTGTAGTCTGTAACAGCACATAGGCTTATTGCGGAAAAATCTACGGTTCCCGTGGGATTATATAGGTACTATTTATCATTATCAATGTTTTCGTATCTATCTAAAAATAGTTTGTAATATTTATTTATTATAATAGACAATTATTCCAGTGGGCAGACGAACAAATCCACACAATGCGTGTCCACGTGCAAGCGAACATGGAAAACGAGTCTAGTATGAAGGAGTTATTCACTAATAGGAAATACTGGAACGCTATTTACATTGTAACAGGTTAGTGTCGAATTCAAATTTAACTGTACTACGAGTAAATACTCTTTAAATTATATCCTTAGTATAAAATAAAATTATAGCGATTTTTTTCCTCAAAATAAGTACACTCTTAAGTAGAATCATGAAAATTGATTTACGGTTGGATAGTATATCGCGTAGGTAATGTATTCATCCGGCAATCCAGCCGGGCGTGATGCGCTAGGCGGCATATCCCGGTGGTCCTTCGATCAACAATAATAATAGATAACGTGTCACATACAAAATCAAAGCTAAATTCTGTCCGCGCGAATATGTACTTATACAGCTTCATTTGTATACTAACGAACTAAGACAATGTCTTATAATCGTTTTATTTTCAAGCGAATCAACACCATAGCACCTTGTAATAAAGTCACAAATCTTTGAATTATCATCATACACTTACGATCATTTCGTAAGTTTTATAATCTTTATTGTAAAATCAAGCTTATATCAAAAACATAAAGCACTTTTTTCGGCTGTTGCTTTGTGAGCTAAACCGCTATGTTTTGTTTCGGTTTGCTTCTTTGTATTGGCCGATCTGGGCCAACGTTCTTAGCGGATTTAAAATTGTTCAAAATTTCATTTTCATATTATTTCTTAGGTTAAATCTTAAAATTTTGTCTATCTGTCTGAAAAAATTCTTCTTTGCGCATTATTTTTGCAACTTTTAAATATATATTGCGGCATTGGGAACGTGTTTACGTTGACAGTGTTTCAATAGAACTAATCGAAATATACGCTCAATTTGCAAGTGACCTGATATAAATATCAGCAGCGGTATACCGCGACAGATTTCTTACGCCGACCCGATATCTAGTAGTATTGTTGATCGAAGCGATGGGCGATTGCTCCTGGTACTTTTATGATACTTGAGTAGACCGTTGGAGCAACCCCATGGTTGTTGTGGTCTACTGCGGCTGGCCTGCGACAGGGAGTGCACAAGAGGTCCTGTACCTCCCATTAAGGCGGGGAAGGTTCTGTTGGGTTTTAGTACTAGGTACTGGTTTTTCTAGCTGGTGAGTCCCACATAACTAACTACCTGCATGTATGTAGGTGGTATGCGTAAATGAATTTCCCAACGTCAAAAAATAAGTAGTATATTATAAGTACGATTTTATTACAGTTTATTTATTACGGTATAATATTTTTAATCTGTTAGTACGATGTATTTACTTGTTTTCTTTTCTTCTTTGAGTATATTTTCCATATATTTCAGGTCTTAAGATCCTGCAATACATGACGGGCAGTCTCGCCATACAGTCGTACGTGGAGATGATATTTCGCCATACAGCGAAGATATCTGGTCCCATGGTCAGTATCGTTTATGGGTTCGTCCAATTGGGAGCAGGTATGTATTATATAACATATCGGCAAATATTTAAAAACCTTTTCGTGGCGTGTTTGTATTACAAGGTTTTTCTTTACTGCCACATGGATTGTGAAAGAGTATGTGGACCTGATATGAATTTCAAATTATTTTTTGACCTGTGAATTTCGGATTTACACTAGGGGCACTCGGGGCTAGTGCCCAGGGGCCAGGGCGGCAAATTTTTAGGGGCGGCAAAATTCGGATGGTGGGAAAAAATTCTCTTCGCGTTATCGAAAACGCTTTCTTTATTTTCCAAAATTTTTTTTGCATTTTTCAAAAACTAATAATTAAAAATAATTAACTTTATCAAAACTTTACCCATTTTATGCAAAATTTCGATAATAGGGCGGAATTTTTTACTCTACCCAGGGGCGACGTTAAGGTTGAATCCGGTACTGCTACCGCGTGAGAGCGTGTTTAAAATGACAAAAATAGTTATTTGGAACTTTTCAAAAGATGCCATCCTAGAATCGTTCAAGGGTAGAAATTTTAAAAATGTATTGAAATGACTCAATTATTATGTAAGTATGTATGCGGGTTGGCAGACTTCACATGTCTTTTGAAAACTTGCTAGGTTCTGTCAAACATGCAGGTTTTCTTCACGATGTTTTCCTTCACCGTTATGAAAAGTCGCAATCATGTTGGAAATGATTTACACATGAAAATTAAGAGGTCCGAGACACGAGATTTGAAACCGCTTCACTTGGTTTACCAAGCGAGCGCGTTACCACTGGGCTACCACTGCTGGAAATAAAATATGAAATTCGCATATATTAGCTTAGATTTCTATTCTTTAACAATTAAATTTATAGAAATGACGTAGAACGAATTGCAGCTATAAAACAACGGACTGACGCTGCTACAGAAAGTACGCATTCACCAAACATCAGTGACCACCAGCTGTTTAGCTTGAAGTCTTTTTAGCTTTAGTTTATACAGATACTCTTCTTCTGCTACAAAAAAAGTTTTCTTATTATAAATATAATAGAATCCAAACTTTAGTGCTGAATTCGCGCCTAATAGAAACTTATAAAATGCCCCTGTCAATACCAAGATCGTTTGTGTGGAGTGCCTTATCATACATACAAGTGAATTCGTTAGGAGTGATGTCATGAGCTATATTTAAATAGATAACGTTTCAGATACTTATAGGTAATAGATACAATTTATTTACACTTGAATAATAATATTTTTGAACAGTTATTTTTAAACTTTTAATAAAACATATATTTTATATTATTGTTTTCATCGAGTACTCTAGGAATAAATGGTTTATATACTATTCTTTATTGCACTTATATGTGAAATACAGAGAGTAACAAACAATAAAATTAGTTAGCAAAGGTGGACTTATCTCTAGAAGAGATCTCTTCCAGTCAACCTAAGTGAGTTAGAGAGATAGTATTAAAATGCAGGCTTAAAGTGCAGTTACTCAAATGTAAATACTTAAATAAATATATATTATATATACATATAACAAAACATTATACATATTATATACCATAACATATGTAAATACTACTACATACACAAAAACATATCTATATAATATAATGCATAATAATAGTAGTTAATATAATTATTGTGGAATAACTTGGGTGAGAAAGTGCTGTTTTAGTGTTAAGTAACCGTAAAAGACAAACAAACAAATAAAAAATCCTTTTATTATATTATATTAGATAATTAGAAGGTTAAGGTCAAATAGGAAGTTATATGAGCTCGTCAATTTAACAACTAGCATTTACGTTGATCGTTCAGTGTCATCTACCTACTGTGATTGAACAAATATTATATTCTATAAACAATTTTAAAATTTTACGAAGATATTTTCCTAAATCACAGTAATCCATTGACAATAATAGAAAATCAACTAATTATGGCATTATCTCGTTCGTCAAAAACTCTTGAAGTCTAAAATAAATAAATTTATAATGCGCAATGACTCTTATCTTAGTATCTGTACAAATGTGACGACACGATATAATTTTATTGACTCGACATAATTTATTACTAGCGGCTCACCCTCGCTTCGTTCGGCTTCGCCTCGAAAAACAAATCTATCTCTCAGGAACCGTATATTTTTCCGGGATGAAAAGTAGCCTATGTGTTATTCCAGATTATAATTTACCTCTGTACGAAATTTCATCTAGATCCGTTCAGCCGTTCAGGTGTGAAAGAGTAACAAATATCCATATACTCACAAACTTTCACATTTATAATATTTATACAGATATTACCAACAATGCTTTCAAATATGAATATCTAATAGGTAAATATGACAAAGTATAACCTTTAATTATTATAGTTAAAATATATTATACATACACTACCTACATATCTTATATGTCTAATGTAATTAACCATATCGAAATAGCTTCGGTTTGGTTTGTATTGTATATATTGACACCCACTTTATCTAATTAGGTATCTATATGTAAATGACAACACCCGTTTAGTTATTTTTTACTTTTTAATGTTTTGTTACTGTTTTTGTTAAGTTTTAAAAACAGACGAACGAGCAAAGATGCATACTTAGTCAGTAAAGTATTTTTCACAGTAACCTTGAAGTCAAATGATCAGCCTAAATTATCAGTAAAACTAGCGGACCCGACAGACGTTGTCCTGTCTACACGTCTTTAATTTGAAAATTTCAAACTTTTTTTAATAATTTTTTTGATGACAATTATTATTTAAATTGTGAATCTAAACCATTCCCAGATCCCCTTGAACACACACAAAAAATTTCATCAAAATCGGTCCAGTCGTTTGAGAGAAGTTCAGTGACATACACACTCACAGAAGAATTATATATATAAAGATGTTCGTTAAACATACGAGTTTTGGGATGGTTACATGCTATAGATTATTTAATTCTATCAAGAAGCTTAGCCAAGATGTCATTTTACAATAATTTGTAACTTATCCTCTTGTCTAACATATTAAGCCAAATAAAAAAACAATATGTACTTATTAATTTTGATACAATATTTCTTTCAGGTATTGGAGCAACATTCTTGGCTAGATACTTTGGTAGAAGAATTCTAATACTAACTTCCTGCACCGGTGTTGCCTTATCCTTAACGACAATAGGTATATATTTTTATTTACAAGATTATCAGCATGTCAGTGCATCTGTTTTGTCAAGTATTTGGGTTCTACCTATTGCGGGAGTATTAGGATTCAATATATTATACGCTATGGGGCTTGGTAACATACCATATATATTACAGGCTGAACTGTTTCCTATAAACGTCAAAACGATTGCCTCAAGCACCGCCACGATGATGGCTTGCATATTAAATTTCGTTATAACAAAAACTTATCTAAATGTAAAAAATAATTTTGGTCTCTACACAGTGTTCTGGTCATTTGCCAGTATAGCTTATATGGGTATAGTTTTCATATATTTCTGTGTGCCAGAAACTAAGGGTAAGACCTTAGAGGAGGTTCAGGATATGCAACATGTAAAAGAAACATTGGGAATCGAAAAACTCAATGAAGTATATGAGTAATTTTTTCTTTGTTCTATTATGTAATGTAATGTGAGTTTCTTATATACCTCATGTCTGACTTAAGTATATATGAATATTAAAGATCAAATTTACAACTAAAGCGGGCACATTGTCACTTAAAAATAAATTACAAGATAACATTTTCTACTATCTTGCCAAGATATATACAATATTTATAACTACTCTTTACTCTTTTATGTATAACATAAAAATTACTTATACATATCATTAATGTATATAATACATATTTAAAGTATTATAGGGGTTTTCTTAGAAATTTTAAACCTAGTATTACATATTAATTATATTTAGAAAAATTTAAATTTCTATACTACAATATAATATTGTAAATTATATTTTTGATAAAACATTTATTATTTATAGTTAAGTGTTAACATTCAAATACAAAAACAAGTCTGAATTTAAACTAAAAAACTGTATATTAGTCTATACTAAAGTATATCTGTATAACCAAGAATGATACTTCCAGTTGTGTTGTATCTATTGTCGTTTTGACTTTTGTAATACTAATATTTATAAATACCTCGAAATTGTAACATTACTTAAAATGCTGATAATGAAATACTTTTATACTTTGTTCTAAATAACTTGTTTTGTTTTGAAGGAATCTGTTTCATAATTGTCAGAATAATTCAATTCAATTTTACGAATAATCACAATAACAAGCCGGCGCCATGATAGAATATTTTTGTCTTTGTCAATCTCCGCCATTTTTTATTTTCTAAAACTTGCAGTGCATCATAAATCTTGTATACCTACGTCTAAAGATATAAAACTCTTCAATAAACAAAAATCGTGATATATATAAAAAAAATTAAAATGGCGGCGGTAGCTAATGCCAGCTTCCATAGAAAATTGGAACCTTTGAACGAGAGATGTCTACTACATGTACTAATACAGATTTTCTGAAGTGCCATTATAATTTTTTTTATCATTTTTTGTGCCATTGGTTTAATTGGAAAAAAAATGACTCTTTAATGTATTATGTATATTTTTACTTAAAATATGTATGTAATCCTTAATTACTTGTACATATTAAAATTTATAGTTTAAATCTAAATGCGTTATAATTAATGTGTAAAATTAATATACAGGAGTACTTTTTGACTGACTTCAAAGAGGAGGAAGTACTCAATTTGGCTGTGCTTTTTATCATGTCATTTTAAAAATAATATAATTATTAATGTACACATATGCATAAGCCATTTAATTTATTTTAAATATAAAATGTTAAAGATGTTAAACTATGTAAAATGTTAAACTGTTAATTTTTATATATTTATTTTTATATAACACTTTTTCACTCCAAATGGATATTGAAAAATAAAACAAAAAATGTGACCAAAACATTGTATTTTACTGAATAAAAATATAAGATACATACTGATTGTTTAATTACAAGTTAACAAGAACTATATAATATGTAAAATAAGACTGGTATAGTATAAAGTGCAAAAGGCAAAAGATAAGTGGGAAGACAGAAGAAAAGATGGGGCCGATGATATAATAAACACAGCAGGAAAAAACTGGGTGCATAAGGCCAAAAACGGGGAAAGATGGAAAAGAATGGAGGAGGCTTTTACCCAGGGGGGCCACATAACGAAAAAACGGAAAGAAAATAATTATAATTGGATGTATATTAGACAATTGTTATGTGGAAAAATAAAGCTATAATAATAAGTATAAAGTGTTAAATCCGCTTAGGGTTGCCATAAGAGTATAGTGGCGCGAAGGGCGTGTCGGCGGGCTCGTCGCCGCTCTCCTCAGAGCCGTCCGACTCGAACGTATTATCCGGAATGTCGTAGAGACGGATCAGAGGCTTGTTGGGGTCCTTCATGATCAAGTACTTACCTGTAATTGGGATTTATTGTTATTGATATATATAAACACCAGATCATATAATACTATACTAGTACAGATGCCTCATCCTAATTCTAATACTTTAACCTTTTTATTTTATAAATATATGTAAACTAACATATGGTAAATATTGTAAGATTCATCCTACATTTGAATAAAAAAAATCTTTTTAACCGTGATATACATACAATTCAAAAAAGTAAAAGCGCCATCTGTGAATATACTTACACTACAAACTCATAATCTGATTGGTGTTATTTCAATAATTAGTAACATTACGCAAATTTGATTTACGAGCGCATTATTTTATTTCCTTTCACTTAGAATATTTTCTAAAACATACTCACAAAAACGCACTACGATTTCTAAAATCATTGTGGAATTTAAAATATCAATTCGGATAAATCAAAGTATTATTATGAAAAAAAAAGCCACAAACCATCCTTCTGCTTCATACAGATGTCGATGATACACCTGAGTATGCCCCACGCGTTGTCCATGGACAGGTTGATCTGTGCGGCGAACTCGTGCGGCTTGAACTGCTGCGTGCCGAGGATGACGTGGCGCGAGTTGTCCCGCACTTGCGCGCGCGACACGTAGCCGAACTTGATCTGGTCGGAGCCCGCGAGGAGGGCCTGGTGGGGGAGTATAGTCACAGATATACTTGTGCGTTATGATAATTTGTAGTTCTAATATACAAATTCGTAGAGTAGGCGATCGCCATTGATTTTGACGGTATGCTATTGTTTCTGGTGGCACCAGTTGGCGCTACTGGCGAGTAAGGTCCTATAAAAAGTATTTGTTAATGCGACAAGGCCATAAATTTAATCCCACTAATATTATAAATGTGAAAGTTTCTGAGGATGGATGGATGTTTGTTACTCTTTCATGCAAAAAATACTAAATGGATTTTAATGAAACTTTACAATAATGTAGCTCATATATCAGAATTGATAAAAGATAAAAAATATTTGTTTTTGTTTTATGCTAAGTATAATAATAATATTGTTAGCATTTAAACAATTATAAAAACAATTGGCACCAATTTATCAGGATTTTATTATAAATAATAATTAATTTATAATAACAAAATAAATAAAATATTGACTTTTTCTTAGCTTTTCTATTAAAACAATAACATTTCATGAGCTACCGCTCTTAGCGTGTCTGCCATAATAAATCAGGAATGTTTACAATATTAGTGAAGATCCGCGTTGAAAAGCTCGCAAACTGTAATCATTTAGTGTCATTTGACATTTCTAGAGACCTCACTCTGCACTAGCGCCTCTCGCGGCGAATTTAAGCGCGGTAGCCCTCATTGCTGTGACACACAAGAGGGTTGTGAAAACATACCAATTTTCGCAGAGAACGGTTTCTATGTTAATGCTTCTCTATTACATGGATTACTAAAGTAACTAGTAAAATAAGTAGAAAGTGTAGTTATTGTTGTTTATATATCATATAATAGTTTTTCAGCTTTCTTCCTATAAGAAAATTAGTAAATTAAAAAAAAAACTAAAGTGATTTCTAAAAATACCATATTGATACACAATAAAGAAGCCATTTGTAGATTTCTAAGAAGCAATACTTATTTAACACAGCAGAAATACAAAAAGCCATATTATCTCAAAATCTATAGTGTCACATAACATCTCAACAGTCAAAGCGAAGTGAACCCACCTGCACAGTCCACTTGGCGAGCTTGCAAGAGTTGTTACGCAGTTCATTGGCGAGAACCGCGCCGCGCTGCGTGTCCAGCTTCTGACGCCATTCGACACCGTTGGCGACCTTCGAGTCCCACTCGTTGAGAGCCTTGATGGAGAGGAACTGGGTCTCGTTCTGCGGACCCTGCATTACTGCGTCGTGCTCGCACCGAGCTACTAGCACCTGTATACATATATTCATTTTAGTAAAAGAAAATTTCGCTAAAAATATTCTTTAAACCACATTAATATGGCATAAATGTAAAAGTTAACAAGGACATTTAAATATTTTTGAAGATTAAGTGTGAAGCTAGACCATGGACTGTCATATAAGATAAATATCATCATTTATTAATTTATACAAAATGTCTGTCATTTAAAGATTTCTCTATATCACATGTAACTATGCATTAATCTGAATTTGTGAGAAAAAAATCATTTTTTCATCATTTGAGACGAAAAATACTGAATTTGTAAGAAAAAAGAAACAATTCACCTATTTCTTTTGTAATATCTAAATAGGTATCTGATGCAGTATAGTTCAAACTAGCAATTTCAAAATAATTAAACACTTACAACACCGTTATTAAGGTTCCATTTGCGGTACCGGTAACCGACAGAAGCCACTTCTCCATCTTCTTCTTCTGAGACGAAGGGGTTAGCTTCCGGGAACTTGAACTTGGGCTCGGTAGGGCCAGATTTCAGCACCTTATTATTGGATATAAATTACATCATGTATTAATTGTAACCAAATGTTCTGTACAATAAATATAAAATACAACGAGATGGTAAATGGAATACCAAAGTATAACTTACATAAAATTTTTACTAACTATTTACTTACTATTACTATAAGTAAAAAAAAAATGTTCTCGCTGGGATGTTAAATAAAGACAAACTAATACAATAATGCAGTTATAGCTGAGTGGAAATGCGCTCTCTTGGAAAAAGCGAGTTCAAACCTCAGATATCACACCTCTAATATTTCCATATAAAAATTACGATGGCCCCACACAGCAGTGAGGCGAGTGAGGATAAAAAGGCTTATTTATTAACAAATTTGTACTAAATAGCCGACATAGGTACAGATTTTTAAAAGTACCTGCTGGCTGAAGTTATGATTGATGAATGTGGCTTCCAGAGCCAAGTTGCGCGGAGAGTTGATGGAGTTGCCATCATCTGCGGGCGGTTCCACTGAAGTCTCGTTCACAGTTAGCAAGTCAAATTCCGTATTATCGCGCTTGTCCAAAAACAACTTATCGCCTGAAATATTAAGTATATTGTGTAATTGAATTGAAGTATTGAAATATTGCAAAGTATTTGGTGATCTTTGTAATTTGTTCCAATGGTATGTACATTTTTCTGTTTGATATATTTAAAAATCTGAATGCTCATTTTGTGAAGTTATTTTATTAAGTGTCAGTCTTAGTTGTAAAATCTTACATATGGAGTTACTACATTTTTTTAAAATATAATTTAAAGAAAGTATTAATGGATTGGCGTGATTTTTTGGGCGGAAATAGTTGGAGGGCTGGAGAGTGACATAGGCTACTCGTTACTGTGGGAGAATATCTAATTTCCACGAGAGAAAACACATTATATTACATAAAAAAAATTATGATCAGAATTACTTGAAACTTTGTATTGATGCTCTTCAATAAAATTAAATAAATACGTATTTTAGCATTTTTCGAAGTTCATTCTATGATGATGTTTTCCTGACCGATTCCGGCCACAGCAGCCAATCTCAATGAGACTAGCCAACTGCGCAGGAGATATTATAGTTCACAAGTGTACGCGCAGACACAACGTGCATTCTATTCCTGTCACTCTCATATTCCGGTGGGACGACACGAGACACGACCGGTGAGAGTGTCGGCGCAGGACCGACGGCTTTAGGTGCTCTCCGAGGCACGGGGGTGAAACACCGCCAACTTCCCAACTCCGAGCTGTTACTGAGGCTTACTATACAGAAAGACTCAACAACTAAACTTGGCCCGACCCGGGACTCGAACCCAGGACCTCCGGGTGTGTAGCTGTACATGCTAGCCACTACAACACCGAACCGAAATTCATTCTATAAGGAGGTAAAATAGGACATGAAAGTTTGTATGAAACCAATTTTTTAGAGATATTTTTGCAGTTTTAGCGCGCGCGAAGCCGCGGATTCTGTTAGCTAGTTAATATAAAATTGTGGCTAATTAATATAAAATTGTGTTTGTTCAAAACATTTTGCAAATATATACTTCATAAAACTGACTGCCAGACAATATCAGTACATCTAGAAACTTAAGATATAAATGTAATGAAATAAATGAAAAAGAATTAATTTTTTTAACTTTGCCCTCCAAAAGGGTTACCAACAAAAGGGACACTACACTCACTTGTTATACATAAAATGTTTTGCAGTATTGCATACTACACTCTTTTAAATAAGCAGGTAAGTGTGGTATGGCAGGGAATGGCATAGATTTTTTGTTATTTTTTTTGTAAAGTTTTAGTGTATACACTTTGAGAGCTTTCTACATCTTGAAAGCCTAGTATTCAGAGCGGGTTGGGGTGTAAACTCACAGATTTGTGAAGCTTCCATAAAACACAATTAAAATATATTGTAGCAGAGAAGAAAAAGACGACTTTAATGTACTTCTGTAAATATTTTAATTTAATTATATTTTTTGTAAATAAAACAATATGTACTTGCAAAAAGTAAAGTTCATGGAAATTAAAATATTAGAAGTTGAATATATTTTTAAGGTAAGCGTGAAATTGTAGTGTGTTTTTAAAGTGATTTTAAGTCAATAGACACAGGAATAATAATTTATAATTTTCATCCACTGTGTAGACAGCAGATAATAATAATTTCTTTATTTCCAAAAGGTAGTACAACCAGATATTTGCTTAAAACTTAATAAAGCTAATTTGGTACATATATTTGAAACATAGCATATCTGCAGCCGAAATAGGCTGCAGATACCCAGAAAAAATGTGAAAACAGATATTATGTCCTTGCTAATGAGTTTAACTGCCTAACTGAACTGTGTAGTGTAAATGTGAGTACATATGGCGTTTACCAGAGTTTTTATTTTGCAACACTCACCAATCTTCTCAATAACAATATCCCAAGAATAATTGGAGCGAGTGCAACACATGATGGTTGCCAGGATAGCGTCTGTGGCATACACTGTGCCAGTTGTCTTACTCAGGCGACGGATGACAGGATCGTCGGTGGTTGTCACCTATTTAGAAATAAAAAATTAAAAACATAGTGCCAAAATAATACAATTTCAAAAATTTATATTGATATACCAAAATGACTGAGTTGTGTTGCAATGTTGATGAGAAAATTGTTGAAATTATGGATATTAATTTACTGTTAAAAATTTTAAATGTAGTTTAGTTAAATATTTTTCATTAAAAATTTACCGTATGGAAAATGCGGTCAATACGCTGAAGTGGCTTCTCATGTTTCACATTCACACGATCATAAGCTTTGTCATAGTACTCCAATGTACCACAACATACAATATCCTCACCTAGAAAATTAATAATACAAGATGTTATTATACAATAAGTTTTCTACAATGAGCAAGAGTATTAAACTAATAATAATCTGTATATAAATATAATAAATGAAAGTTTGTGAGAATAGATGTTTGTTACTCTTTCACACCAAAATGGCCAAACGGATCTGGATGAAATTTGGCACAGAGATAGAATGTAGTCTGGAATATACTTTTTATCCCAGAAAAATGTATGGTTCCCGTCGGATAGGTTTGTTTTTGTTTTGGCAAGGGTGAGCCGCTAGGATGATTATATTTAATGTTAGTAAGAGTGCTGTATGCTACTAGTTAAAGTGACTTTGATAAAAAAAACAACAAATTTACCAAAGTAAGAAACAGATTATACAATATAAGTTAAGTCCAGAACCATATGACATTGTTATTTATAATGAAACACTAAATATTTTTCAACCATCCAATCTCCTTAGTGTCTTCTCCATTCTACATAATATTAGTGAAGTAATCTGTGCTCAACTGGCATACTTAGAAGCCATTGTAACATGTTCGAATAATATATACTTGTTTTAAAAGTTTTTTTTATGATATGAATGGACAGTAAGCGAATAACAATGGCTGACGGTATTTCCTAATATAGGTATTTTATTTAATAGTACATTATAATAACGCAACTCCATTAACAAGAAAATGAATTGAATTATTTTTTCAAGAAAAGGTAAGCTTATAAAATATTATTAATAATAACAATACCTTCTTTAATGCCAGGTAAAGACAACTTAGCTAAACGTGGGAAGTCCATATCTTCTATTGTGACCCAAGTAGGCCTGACGGTTACTGACGCATCACGGATCTTCATAGGAGCACCTCTCTGTCCCCACCTCTTGCCAAGTTTACGTTCACGTTGCTGTAAATAATATTAAACATTTACACATTGTATTACATTTTTAATTTATATTATAGTTTTATACAAAATTCACTACATTTTCAGGTTATTATGATTTCACAAGGATATAATTTATTAATCATCTTAATCTTTATAATTATTAAGTACCACAAAAGTATATAAAACAAAAATGTAAAACAATATAATCAACACAATTATCTAAAGAGAAGTGATCTGTCATAAGTAAGAGGTCTGGCTTGTAGAATGTACAATAGCCATCATATAAAGAGTATCTTTGAAACTACAAGTTTGATAGAAAATGTAGTTAAAATAAAAAAAAAGAAATAAATACAAAGTAGTCCATCAGTCGGCAAGTTTATTTAAATACATTTTTATTTAATACCTTGCTCAAAGTAGTCATGCCACCAGGAGTACGGGCTCCTCTAGCACCACGGCCACGTTGACCTCGAGCACGACCGCGCTGGTACGGGGGTTTCTGTTCGCGAGTCGAGTCCACCAGATGGAACGTACTTTCGTCCTCATCATGGAAGTAAGCATATGACGATCCAGCGCCAAATTGCGAAGCATACTTGTCTAAAATATATGATATCGATAAATTTGTGGATACAACTAGTTGCTTGTAATATAATATTCAGGTAAGCCTCAAATAGTGTGATAACCTCAAATTGTTTCATAAAATGTTTTGTCTTGATTACATTTTTGAATAAATTATCAGTGTTAGATACTTACTCTGATATTTCTTGTCTTGTACTACAGTCCAATCACTGATTTTGCCAAGTCGATCGCCTTTACTAAAAGGTTGGTAGGGCATGTCCCTAAATTGATCCGGCATCTCGCAGGGGCCCCATCCTGTAGGATTGTCTTGAATTACTGGGGCTACGAACCGTATCGGCTCTTCAGCCGGCAATACGTGTTCTGACATAACTAAGTCGAAGCACAATAAATAGTTTAATTCGTACTATTTAACACAAATTTTAAACATGCCACACGACACTTAACGTCGTGTCCACTCACTCATTCAAGTATCAAAAAGTTGTAATGTCAAATATGTCAACTCTCGAATATTCACAGATAATAAAATATTAAACAAAGCATAATTGAATAATATGTAAAAGCGCTTCTCAATACTTTTGAGCTAAGTTCAAGGTATTTAACAAGGTATTTAAGGTGGCCAGTGTTTGTAATTCTGGCTTAAAGCGCTTGCAAGCTGTTTATCTACGTAAATATCACTCAAAACAATACATATTTATATAGGTTCCATATTATATTAAAATAAACACGCACAGTTTGTTGGTTCGTTTATATTTACATACGTAACTTAACATTCGAAAATTAATTAAAATATTTATAGGCTTCAACTATCGTTTATATACGTACATGTTTCACAAAATTTATCGTAAAATATATATCCTTATCCTTCTCGTATTGAAGGGAGGCCCGTGCCCAGCAGTGGGAAAAAAGGCTGAACAGATTGATAGATAAATAGATAGATATACCCTGTACGAAAGAGACGACTTTAAAAAGAAAATGTGTAGGTAATATGCAATGTCAATGATGTACTCAAAGCTTAACATTGCGTCTAGACTCTAGGAGACCATAAAGTAACTTACACTAAATCTAGACAAAATGTAGACCTAAACAGAGACTAAGTAGAGGACAAAAGCATAGGTTATAATTATATTTAGGCAATAAAACAATAAATTACTCTAAAAATCTGAGTTCAGAGTCTGACAGTCTTTGCGCTGGTCGCCGAATATATGTTCGTCAATCTTCGACATGGTGATATCTTGTATATTAAACATACTTATATTTACTTAAGTAAGTATAGTAATTAGTTTATATATAAACCATTATTTTATTTGCTTTCGTTTTTTTAATTTTATTTCATGTTATAAACTTTTTTATAGTTATAAATTTATTATTGAAACATACTTATATTTACTTAAGTAAGTATAACCCGTTCGCTATAAGTTTGCCGGTGGCGATATGACGTCACTCGAAGCGTAGCGTCAGCAAAAAAAAAGAAACATTTTTTATTTATTTATTTATTTTTAAATTGTGTACATCGGTAAAATTAGATACATTAATTGCGTTTAATCACTAACGTCCATAGATTCTACACCAGATATTTCACTCTCACTGTCACTAAAAATTGAGTCCGTATCACTCTCTGAATCTGTCCCCAATGAAATTATGAGTTCTCTCTCGTTTAATTCTTGCAGTCGATCACTTTCCCAGTATTGTTGCCTTAATCTATCAACATGGTTGATTTCTCTCTTCCAATCATCTGCAGATATACTTTTTATAGCATCGCGTGTTAACTTTTCTATTTCTTTTTCAAATTGTGATACGTTTTTTTCGGCCACTCGCTGTTTCATAATATTCCAAATGTACTCAATCGGATTCAAATCGCATTGATACGGCGGTAGCCGCAATACCTCGTGACTATGACTTTTAATTATTTCGTCTATTTCATATTTTTTAGGTGGCGCGTTCCGTTTTATAAGACAGTACAGCTCAGGTTTCGTATAATTTTCTTCGAAGTCAATGTTCCTTTCGCGTAACCAATTTTTCATATTTTCCTTTAAAGAATTTGAGTTTGGCAGTCTGTCAATTTGCTTACAATGATACGGTGCATTGTCAAGAACAATAATCGAATTAGGCGGCAGATTTGGCAAGAGTTTCTCATTTAACCATTTGGTGAAATTTTTATTATCCATTTCATCGTGGTAATCTCCACTTTTACCTTTGCATTTATACAATAGCTCTGCGTTTTGGATAAAGCCATTGTCACCTCCAGCATGCACAATTATCCAGCGCTGCCCAGGATTATGGTTTTTTTTTAAACTTACATCAGTAGAATTTTGCCAACATTTAGCTACGGTATAGTGACTGTGTATCCAAGTTTCATCTAAGTAAAACACTGGTTTTTTTTCTGCTCCGAGTTCATCATTTTCCCGCAGTCGTCGTAAATACCTTGCCCTCCAGGCAGCAATTTCTGGTTTTTGTATCAAAAAATCGCGAACCTTTTTACATTTTTTAAACTTATAGCCCAGCTTCTCCTTTATTATTTTCCACAAGGTGGTTTTTTGGCCAGGAAAATTTAATTCCGCCTTTGCAGTGGCTAGAATTTTTCGCAGGGTAGGTATTTCTTTTTTCACCGTATAAAAGCTGTTTATAATATTTCTTATAGCGCAAATCATAAAATCATCAATTTCTAATGTTGTTTTCTTCTTTTTTTTACGTGGTGTCGAAAGTTTAATAGCTTCTGTACTCGTACTTGCACCAGCTTCTGACGATGCTGACGCTACTTTTTTTACCTCTTGTTTTATGTTTCGTAACGTGCGTTCAGATATACCAGTCGCCATTGCCGTGCGTTTCATAGCTTGATCGACAGGTATTATGTAAGAACGGTTTTTCTTCTCATTTTCGAAATAAGTCATAACCTTTAACACCACATTTCGTAAATCACTCCTTAAAGTTTTGCCTTTACCCATAGTTAAAAAACAGATTTAAACAAAGCGAAAAACAAAGAAATATCAATACAAAGAATTAATAATAACAACGCGCGTATTCGATGACTTTGCTAACGATACTGAAAGGGCGATGCAGGGGCGCGGTAGGCGGCTGGGGAGGGGACGCGCATTCCACGGACCGGCAAACTTATCGCGAACGGATTATATAGTAATTAGTTTATATATAAACCATTATTTTATTTGCTTTCGTTTTTTTATAGTTTTTTTAACTTCTTTATAGTTATAAATTTATTATTGATTATTGTAATGTTATAAAGATAAAGAGCAGTAAATGACTACTAAAAGTTTTCATTATTTATTTCTTCAAATTAAATCACTGAAACTAAATCATTTTCTAGAAGTCAAAGTCTTACCATAAATTAGTTTCTTTTCGACTTCATAAAAATTATTAAATGTGCGCTGTAGCACATTGCTTACGTTTTTAGAAGCATGTTACTCTGCAACTATTGGTTTGAGCAAAAAACAAAAAAATATATTTAGAAACATCTAAATTCAAACCCACACGTTTATGTGGACTTAAAAAATCACGCCTAAATTACATGTTTATATTAAAATCCATATTATTATTTTTTTGTAATTTGACTACAGAGCAGTCTAGCGGTTTACATGATACATAATATATATACGTATGAGATTTTTTGAATTAATATTTTTATAATTATTATTTTTTTGTTTTCGAGTAAAATGGCTGTGACATACGGACAGACGAAATTGAATTATTATTAAAATGTTTTATTGTAATTTATTCATATTACTAAATACATTTCTGGTTTCCTGTGCTTTGCGTTGGCTGGCGTTTGCTCTATACAATACCATTGTAAATGTAAAATACCATTCAGATATTTCTTACTTTTTAGTGCCCTGAAAACGGTTTTCTTTTTTTTAAGATTTTATATACCTGAAACTCCTTTGTGTTATGGGGTGTTTACTATAAATAAACAAAAAAAAATAAACGCACGGGAAGCTACTGATAGTAGCTACTAAGGTTAGGTACATATTAGGATAACTAAACCGCAACATGAATCGCTTGTGTGACATTATGCGTTAAATTTTATTTTAGTAAGAATTTAATTAGTAGAGATCAGTGTAGAGATCTGGACTTGTTAGATTTTTCTATAAGGTATGTATAGGTATGCAACGTATAAACTTACGATTAAGTATGTTAAATAAAGAGGTTTTGTTTATAATACTTTGTAGTTACTAGTTATTGTGCGATATTCTGAGAAGTGTTTATGGTAGATACTGGGTAGGATGTTTCCATTATAACAATTAGGTACTATATTGAATCGAATAAACGGTCCCGGTTTAGTATAGAATATCTTGAATTTTCTAATGACTAATAATGTTATTATGTACTTTTAAAAATTAACTCATTATAATTTCGTCACGTCCGTAATACACTTATTTAATGGAGCTTATATTTCTGAAAGTTAAGGTGTCTCATTTGAACGTTAGAATTAGTAGGTACTTCGTATATAGTAGAGTGAGAACGCTGTAGTCAAATGATAAAAAAATAGGAATTTCAATCTGTTACATTGATGATTTTTTTTATACGTATAAGCGTGTGGCGTAACTCTGAACAGTCTTTAAAATTGAGATAAATATTACCAAGAGGTTTTTGAAAAAAAATATACAAACTAGCGACTTAACCTATTATTTTATCTCTATTTATCTGTAAAGGTTTAGCCAGCGTTAGCCATGTTATCGTACGAAAACAGTTTTTTTTAACAAAACGCTGTTGAGTTATTTTTAAATATTTTGTACAAAATTGTTGTACAGTTGTAATTTTGTACAGAATATGTAGAAAATATACCCACAAACCTTCCTCGTTTATCGCTCTTCTATTCTTTCAAAATCCGTTGCGTGGTTGAAGAAGTATGGAGAAACCACAGAAATCTTAATAATAAGCTAACCTTATTATTAAGATTTCTGTGGGAGAAACAGACAAAGGACAGCGACTTTGTTTTATACTATGTACCTATAGATATTATACGCATAGATATTCCCTCCACGACCGCGGACACGTGGGCGTGTCAGTTAACAATAGATTTTTTGGAAATTTAATTAATATCTTAGCAATTTAACTGGATAGATAAACATAGATCAGCGATTTGCGCCCGAATTAAATTTTGTATTTTCCAATTAAAATAAGAGATTTTATCGCATTAAATTGTTAAATATGTACATTTATAATGTTACTATTCATAGTTTTTGTGTATCAATCGTTGACATTTTTGTATGAAGGACAACTGGGCCGAACCATTTTTTATAGTTCACCACTTGAGTAAATACCGTGATAAAAAATACTCCTTAAATCCTCCGCTTTGCAGTCTGATCGTTACCATACAAAAGGTCAGGATTAGTGGTGGTGTTAATGCTAAAATTAATAAATAGACTAACTAGCACATTCTATGTTCGTACGGATTTATCGCAAGCAGATAGTTAGAGAGGACGTGATAACATTATTTAAAGCACAATGTTATGTTATTATTTATCTTAATAGAAATACGATTAATACTAATTTTATCTCCAATGGTTAAATAGTTCATAAGTTTAAACGTGCCATAACTTCATAGGCAACAATGTTTTTAGTGTTAAATAACTTTCCAGAAGTTATCCCATTACCCGCGCGCATTGTACGTTTCACGACGCCGCTTCATATTGGATTTCTTATGCCTGACCAATAACCATAAATTATGAATCCATCCATATATAAATAAGCAAAGACAAAGCACTTCCGGTACCTTTTTCTCCTCTGTTTGTCAACCGATTAACTTTTATTTTGTTTAGTAGTAGAGTTTTAGTGCTATACCTACATAAAAAATATTAGGAACAGTAAGTTTTTTTTTAAATAATGGTTAAGATCGAATCAACTATATAGTTAATTAATACAACTGTGTACTATATTTTTATAACTTACACTTTTATACTTTCAATTAGCATTGCCCGCGGCTTCGCCCGCGTTCAGATGACCAAAAACCAAATTCTTAGGTTTTACATATTAGTATACTCTTACATTGTATTTTTTGTATTTTTCTCAGAAATGAGATATTTTCCCGCGGTAAAAGGTATCCTATATGTTGACCCGGTTAACCAGCTATCACCATAACAAATTTCATCAGAATCCCTCCAGTGGTTTTTCCGTGATGCGGTAACAGGCAGACAGACAGACAAAAATTCTAAAAACTATAGATTCGGCCTTTGTATCGATAATAATGACTATTTCAATAAGATTTTCCAAAAAATATTTAATGTACAGATTCGGCTTAGTTACAATTTTATTATATGTATAGAATAGTATTATAAGTATAATCACTATCACTATGTCTACTCTATCTATTGAAGTTTCATTAGATTATTATTTAGATATTTGCAAAGTAGTTTTCATAAAATTTGCGAAAATAATCTCATTTGGGGAGGTAAGCATTTGTTGACCGGCCCCTTTTTGATATATTTTACTATTCAGAATTCAAACAAACTAGGTACCATTTTTCCGGTAAAAATGAATTTTAAGGTTTCAAATTTTAATATTTCAAATGTTTCTTACCAATTAGTAGTTCTATGAAAATCGCTGATATAAGAGTTTAGAATGCTATTCACTTCACTCAGTCACTGCGACTCAGTAGGTACTCAGTAGTCAGTACATTATCATCGCCGTCACGTAGTGGTCGCGTAATGCACGGTATTGCATATATACATAATATATTGTTTAATGTAATTAGATCTTTACTATGACCATGGTCGTGATTATGGTCGTCTAAAACGCTCTTATGCATCAACGGAACTGTGATTTAAAAAGTTTTAATTAATTACTACTTCAATAATTCAATTTAATATTAGTATTTAAGTTCTTTAACCTAAGTTATTCCTCTAACTAAATAATAAAATAGTAAATTGTTTCAGAATATGGAGAACGGAAGAAGTGTGCAGTATTTCGTCACATTTGCATGTAAGCATTATGGAATTTTCTAGGATATTTTTTTATTATTTGATATCCAACTCTTTAAATTAAAAGAAGCTTTTCGACTTAGGATTTAGAACTTTGTAAGTTCCGGTCGGGATTCTATTAAAGTTATCTCTACGCAGCAGTACCTTCCGCATTGTTTTCATCTACAATGATATCAAATGCGAACAATCGTATTTTGATTATACAAACAGTAAACAGGTATAGAAATACAAACAATAATTCAAGTAAACAATGTTATTGAAGCAAAAGGTTAAAATTTTGAATATTTGCATTTTTTCTCATAGTTATTAACGGTTAGTGTTATTGAAAAATTAGATCGTAGAAAAATTCTAGATCATACAATTTTCTATAATTTTTTTTTAAAGGAATCACCTATTCCGACATCATGAAAAAGTATAACAGTATTATAGTTTAAACATTTAAAAAACGTATGTAGCGTATATATTAACAATTGATCGTTTTTTGAACTAAATTATAATACTGTAATTGACTTACAATTTTTCAGAATGTCAGAAAAGATGTGTCAAAAGTAACTTAAAAGTTATGATTATCGTTATTTAGTCGTATCGAGTGTTCTTGGTTATGAAAATTTGGGTTCCAATAATAATCTTTAAATGCTATTTTAATTTTAGAATGTATTTAACTTTGACTGGATATGTATAGATGTTATTTATTCATGTGAGCTTATAATTGTCTTTTCAGTGTCATTGGCAACTGTTACGTTGGGGGTGTCTTCAGCGTGGCCAACGCCAGTGCTACCGAAATTTAGAAATAACGAGACAGGAGTAAATGTAACGGAAGTAAGTTTTGTATTTCTTATCATTGATTAAAATTTGCCACTCGTATATCTATGTGTTCTTAATATTAGGGAAGAATCACACCACTGATACATAGTCTCATTTTATAATCTAATATATTGACTGTTTGTAAAAGGATACTATTTGGAAAAATGGCCCTTCAAGCAAATTGATGCAATGTTAAGTTTAAAAATATATAATACTAGCGGCTCACCCTCGCTTTACTCAGGTTCGCCTCTAGAAAAACAAATCTATCCCACGAGAACAGTACACTTTTTTGGGATAAAAAGTAGTCTTAGTGTTATTCTGATGTATGAGCTATATTATTGCAAAGTTTCATCAAAATCTATTCAGTAGTTCTTGCGTGAAAGAGTAACAATCATACATCCATACTCACAAACTTTCACATTTATAATATTAGTATAGATATAAGAAACTAGCTACTTGCACTCGCTTTGCTCGGACCTTTATTACATACTCGTATATGTATAACAGTAGCTTATGTTTTTATTAGGTTTTATTAATCTGTGTATTAAATTTCATTCAAATACCTTCAGCCGTTTCAACGTGAAGTAGAAAAAAATATTATTTTGTTTCAAATTTTAAAAGTTGAATGGTCCCTTGATTAAGTTCATTACTTTAGAATCGTATTTTGATACGTAAAATAGAGTTTCTGAATTTTTCATAGAATGAAATATCAACAATGTTGGGAATGTCTGCCCCTGGGTTCATGGTGGGAAGCCTGGTCGCGGGCTTTATCTCTGACATGTTCGGAAGGAAGATGACTGTGCTAGCGAGCGCCGCGCCTTTTGCTAGTGGAACGGTTTGTAATTTTCTTTTTTATATATGTACATACATATATACACTAAGCAACCTGCGCTAAATGCTACGCTCGGGATAACTCACGCCGTGCAATAATGGACTACTTAAAACACACGTATCGTAATGTGTTGTAAATAAATTCTTAATTAGTCTACAGAAAGTAATGTTATCATAATTTGATTATAAAATAATATAGATTTATGATTATACTGTTATAATTAAATAAGATTAGATTTCGAGTAAACTTTATATGACAAATATTTATTAAAAGATGTTCTTTATGTTACTTACATAATGTGTTTTAAGTTGCGGGTTCGACTCCCGCATACGCTTAATGTTTGTAATGCACTATCTTTGTTTAGTTTCATAGAATAGGTACATAATATATGTATTATCAATGTTTTTTTTTCTTCTCCATTATACTAGTATAGTATATAGTATGTTATATATTTTCATATCTTATAGGGCTTCATTATTGTGTTTCAGTTAATTACTGTAGTTATTTTTGAAGTTATAATTCTTTTGGGACGTTTGGAAAAAAAATTGAGAGTCAAATTTTTAAGATGCGCACACCGACAGTCAAAAAGCGACATGATGAAGTTAGCTGATAACTGTTTGTTGCCATGATAACCGTTGTTATTGTCTAACAAATGATAAATAATATTATTATATTCTTTCCTTAAATCATATTCTCTATATATACTACCAGTACCCGCGGCTTCGCCCGCGTCAAAACTTCCGATCGCTAACAAAACTCACAGGATCACCCGCTGGGCTAATCTGAAGATTATATGAAAATGTCATCAAAATCGCTCCAGCTGTTTTGGAGTCCATAGGAAACATACATACACACACCGATTTTTATTTTATTTAATCAACAATTTAATTTTATCTCGGAAAATGGAGTCTTTTATGAAAATTTAGTGACACACCGACTGCAGCACCACCTACTGGGTCCATTTGTATTTTCAAACCACCCAGGAACCCATTGAAATGTACACACAAAATTTCATCCAAATCGGTCCAGTTCTTTAGGAGGAGTAGGTTAACAGAAACACTTACAGAAGAATTATATATATATATATATATATATATATATATATATATATATATATATATATATATATATATGCACAACAATGCATAATATGCCTTATTTAATTATATTATTAATCTATCATTCCTTTTTAAACAGAGAGTTGTAACATTCGGGATGAAATCTTTAGCTATTTTTGTTCTGTTACGCCAAAGAAATATAACTTCTTACGTGCGTACATAAGTACACACACACGTTTTTTTTAAATTCATACAATTGCTTAGTATTAAATGAACAGTGAAAAAAAAAACAGTACCTAATAAAATTCTCTACAGTAGACTTCAAGTTGCCAAAATAAATGTAAGTTTTTAAATTCTCGCCTTTCAGTATTATAAAAAATATTGCGACAGGAATGAACGAAGACGGAAGAACATTGATAACTCGTAATTAATGGCAAAATGCCTTGTTCCAAACGTTTCGTGTGACCATTGCAGGGGTGGATTCTAAATGGTGTGGGTACAGACGTGGGTTTGGAAAGTTGTTTTTTTTTTTAATATAGTAATAGAATTATGATGTCTGTGGGATTTTAATTTTTAGTTTTTTTTTCCAGCTATTAGCGGCTACAGCGGCTCACGCGTGGATGCTGTATTTAATGAAGTTCCTATGGGGGTTTGGTACAGGCTTGGTCGCATCTGTAAGCATTCGTTTAATTGTTTTAAGCTTTTTTGAATCAGCCCTCACAATACCCCGCCCAAAAAAAGTTTTATCCCTTATCCCGCAGTAACATTTTCGTTTACGTGCGTCACCATCAGTGACATACCGTTGAAATCAATTGAGCTATTTTTCTTCTTAAAAAACAACTAAGTCTTTGAACTACGCCCTGCGTATTTTTGGAAATTAGCGAGTAGAAGGAGAATTTATTTTAATATTTGTTTTAGTATAAAACATACTTGTATTATATACTTATACTTATTTACTTTAATTGAACTCAGACCTTAAGTATATACATACATACATGCCGTGCGTCTTAAAATAACTTTTTAATACTTACGAGTTACGACTCGTCCTTGCTTCGCTCGGGTGCGTCTCTAGGTACGTTTTATTGAACGGAACCCTAATACTTTTTCTAGAATAAAAGAAGCATAAGTTATTCCTTATATTATCGGCTATCTGCCAGTAAAAGTTCCGTAAAAATCAGTTCAGCCGTTTCGATAATTAGCCGGAACAAAAAAAAAACAGACAAAAAATTTAAAAACTTTTTCTTATAAGTACCTGCTGCATATAATTTCATATGCATTTAGTAAAAAGCTGTTATTTCGACATTACAAACAGACGCTTCAATTTTATTTATCTGTAAAGACTAATTTGTACATAACATGAGTCTTGATCATCGAGATTTTTGATATTGTATAATAACATAATACCTGTACAAGTGAAAAATAACTTGTGCCTATAACACGTTTTATAATTTGGACTCTAAAGCGATCTCTACACTAGCGATGAATTTCCATCTGTCTGTTTGTATTTTTTTTAATTATATTAAAATACGTATATGGTATATATTTCAGGTGGTGACCATATACTTGGCGGAGGTGTCGGACAAAGAAATACGTGCTTCACTATCAATTTGTACTAGATTCATGTTTAACTTCGGAAGCTTAATTATAATTTCTATTGGAGCATTTTTATCGTATTCTACGTTAAATTATAGCATATTGTCTTTACCATTCATTTTCTTCGTGACATGTTTGGGGATACCCGAGTCCCCCCATTATTACTTGAAGGAAGGTAAAGTGGACCATGCAAAACGATCGCTGATGAAATTAAAAGGTGGAAAGGTGAGTACTTATCGTAAAGCAGAGTTGAGTGTCAATTTTCTCTTTATATTTTCATGTATTGTATATAGCCCGTTTTAACTTCCATCTTCTGTGCACGGGATTTCTCAATGCGAGAGGTACAGAACATAATCCACTTCCCTTGACATGTTCGGGTTGGCTGAATTCAAGACTAAACAAGTTACGATATCTGAGGCAAATAGGTTTTGTCATGATGTTTTCCTTAACTTAAGCCAAGTGATAAAATACTAGTGGCTTACCGTCGCTTCGCTCGGGTTCGCCTCTAGAAAAACAAAAACAAATCCATCCCACGGGAACCTTACATTTTCCGGGATAAAAAGTAGCCTATATGTTATTCCAGACTATAGTCTATCTCTGTGCCAAATTTCTAGATCCGTTCAGCCGTTCTGGCGTGAAAGAGTAACAAACATACATCCATATTCACAATCTTTCACATTTATAATATTAATACGGATAATAATATTAATAATAAAACGGATGTTGAAGATGATGTTATCATAGGTGTGGGTGGGTTTCGTATTGGAACCCACTTCACTTGGTTTTCAAGAGAGCGCGTTAAGCATGCAAGTTTTAGTTTTGAGCGACGCTTGTATACCCCATCCCTAATTATGTATTAAACTAAAATATAAACTATCACCATACTAAATTTAACCAAAAACCGTTCAGCCATTATATTGTAGCGTGAAAAGTAAGACACAAACCGCAGACATTCGTATTTATAAAATTAGTCTTATAGATATAGAAACTGGACCCTGAGTTAATAATTTAACCACTGCGAATTTGTAATCTATATAACGTGCCTTCATTCCTTTTGCTCACTCACTGACATATACCTTTATGTGGATTACTGGTCGTGGTCTCGCTCACACTTCACTCGGGTCCGTTTCTTTTCTATAAGAAAATGTTTATGATTTAAATTTTATAGAAACAAAAATAACACGTTTTTGATCTTTTATTTTCTTGATCTAGAGGTTTAAGAGATACAGATAAAATAAAAATTAAATAAAACAGTTCAATCTGTTTGTCCGTTTATTATAAAACAAATCCATTTAAATTTGATACGCGAGTCAAGCCACCCAGAATATAGAACTTGATAAAAATATAAACTTTAAGTATATTAAAGACAATAAGCAATTAGATCGCATTCCAGTTACCACACCATGGACTTACAAGAATCCGATAGTGCTGAAAGACAATGAATAATCAGGAAACATTATTTTTATGGACATTTAGCACATTCCAAAACATCGACGTGTGGAGCATCCCGTCGCGACCCCCCGCAGGAGCAGTATATAAACCGCGAGTTGGCGAGTAACAGTGTTCACATCACCCCAGTTTCTAGTAATAGATAGACTTAAGATATAAATTGTAAAAAGTGTTTAATTAAATATTTTTTAACAAAGTCTATCTTTTAAATATTTTGACTGGCGCCCAACTAAGGGGCCTAGCACGCAGAACTCGCCGTTATTCCGTCGCGATAAAACTCAAAGTTGAGTAACCGTTCCGGCCAAGTTACGCGCAGTCTCTCAAGACTTCAGCTAGTGACCCACTATATAAATACGTCAAATAAAAACAAACGGGAGAGGACCTGAAAATAAGGAGAAGGACATGCTGAAGGCGGTAATCTCTCTGCAATTTATGTGAGTACCTTTTTGCATAAATCCTTCAAAATTCCTTTCTACCTCAAACCCCCGAAATTTGTATTTAAATCTAAGTTATTGGGTGATGTGAATCACCCTCCTTCTAGTATCGAGGGTAGTAAAAGTTCGATAGGAAGCCTATCCAACGATAGTAGAGTCCCTAATTTGCAACAAGTCTCCATAGCACAGACTTTTAATAAAATCATGGACCCAAAAACTCTAATTAGTTTCGTCCCGTCATACAACGGTGATGCATTTACGTTATATAATTATATTAATTGTGCAAAACAATGGTTGTCTATTGCGGGAGGAGAAACTCCTCAAAATGTTATGTTGTTATTAAGTAAATTAGAAGGTAAAGCGGCAATTACAATTAGTATGGTTGATCATGATTTTCAATGGTTTAATATAGAAACGGTTTTAAAAAAAGAATGTGGCGATAATAGGGAATTTAATACATTATTAATAGAGTTAGCAAATGTTAAAAAGAAAACTACTTATAAAGATTTAATTTTCGAATTAAAACAGAAATTATTTTTTATTAAGAGTAAATTGTTAGACAAATATTCTGATAAAATGTTAGTTGAAGAAGTTATGGAACCTTATATAAATACCGCGCAGAATACTTTAAGGAATAGTTTACCTTATCACGATCAAATTTATGTTTCAAATTGTAATTTTAACGAAACAGCTACTAAAATATTACAATTAGAGGCCGAAGGTAGATTTGATAATATTAAACAGAAATTTTCAAATTTATTACCACCTCCGCGTGTAATAAATTCTTATCCTTAATATAATAAACAATTATATCCTCAAAATAATTTTAATCCTCAAAATACCTTTAATCCGCAAAATAAACACACTTATCCCACAACACAACGCTCTTTTAATCAAAGATTCCAAACGAGGCCTAATTTTAGTTATAATAAGCAATCGTGGCACCCTAATTATAATAATAATGTTTTTAATAAGTCACCACATCCCTTTTTTAAACAAAATCAATCGAAGCCTACGATAAATAAACACAATTCAAATGATGTTTCGATGAGAACCGCCCCTAATGTAAGGGAAGGCCAAATTAATTTAGGAAAGGGAATGGTTGCGGAAGAAGTTTTCCATCACGAAAATGAAAACTTTTATAATTATCCCCATGAATATAATCAATATTGTCATGATAGTTATTTTGAAAATAACAATTCAAAAAATATTGAGCCGAATTTTCACGAGCGTTCAGATCAAAACAAAGAGACATAGAATTTAATTATGTTAAATCTTATTTGCCTTATTTTGAGATAGATGAACCATATTTAAAAATATTAATTGACACTGGTAGTCAAAGATCTTTTATAACTACTAGAGCTTCTAAATATTTCTTAGATTATTATAAACCGGAACATTTTACGGTTAGAACCTCTCATGGTATTACTAGACATGTAGGTTTAATAGAAACACCTTATTGGAATAAATATTTCGGTGAAGGTGATAGTTCAATGAAATTTTATATATTTAATTTTAGTAATAAATATGATATTTTAATGGGAACGGACATGATCGAACAAATTGACGCGAAAATCGATTTAAAAGAAAGAAAATTAATCTTACCCCAAAAGGAAATTTTAATATATCATATGACCAACGAGGATTCTTTAAATATTAAAGATCTTTGTGAAACTTATAAAGATTTATTTACCGAAGACGTTACTAATAGTGCAACTACAAGTATAAAACATAGGATTAATTTAGTAAGCGAAGAACCTATTCATCAAAGACCATTTAGGTTACCCCAAATACAACAGGAAGAAGTAGATAAACAAATAAATAAATTATTAAATGAAAATATTATTCAACCCTCAGAATCCCCATGGTCATCCCCTGTGCATATTGTTCCAAAAAAATTAGATCAGTCAGGAATAAAGAAATGGCGTATGGTTATAGATTATAGGCGATTAAATGAAAAAACTAAGTCGGATAAATTTCCTTTACCAAATATAGAGGAATTATTTTCTAAATTACAAGGTAATAATTATTTTAGTACTCTTGATTTAACATCGGGATATCATCAAATATTAATGGATAGAGATTCGATAGAAAAAACGGCATTTAGTACCCCTAACGGTCATTATGAATTTCTTAGAATGCCATTTGGTTTAAAGAACGCACCCGCAACATTTCAACGTATGATGAATAACGTTTTAAAAACAGAGATTTCTCGAAATATATGCTTAGTATATTTAGATGATATAATAATATATTCAAAATTTAAACAAGATCATATTAATAAGTTACAACAAGTTTTCGAAGCACTTAGAAAAGCGAATTTAAAGTTAAATAAAAATAAATGTATTTTTATGTCCGAAGAAATAGAGTTTCTAGGGCACGTTTTAAATAAAGATGGTTTAAAACCAAACCAAAATAAAGTAGAAGCTATACAAAGATTTCCTATTCCGAAAACATTAAAGGAAATAAGAGGTTTTTTAGGATTAATAGGTTATTATAGAAAATTTATTCCTAATTTAAGTAAAATTATAAAGCCATTAACTGAAGCTACTAAGAAAAATGCGACTATAGATATAACGAATAAAAAGTATATAGAGGCGTTTGAGACATGTAAACACTTATTAACTAACGCACCGATCTTAGCATTTCCAGATTTTTATAAAACGTTCGTTATTACAACCGATGCTTCTGATATAGCATTAGGCGCGATTTTAAGCCAGGATAATCATCCTATAGCGTATGCATCTAGGACATTAAGTAGTTGTGAACAAAAATATAATACTACTGAAAAAGAATTATTAGGTATTTTATGGGCTGTAACTCAGTTTAGACCCTATATATATGGAAGAAAGTTTATTTTAAGAACTGATCATAAAGCATTAATATGGTTATCTAAATTAAAGGAACCGAATCAGCGATTAACACGTTGGAAATTAAAATTACAAGATTATGATTATACTATTGAACATGTAAAAGGTAAAGAAAATTATGTAGCAGATGCATTAAGTAGAATAAAATTGCATCATACTAGTGTAGAGTCATTACAAGCACAATGTGGTGAATAAATGTCACTTGATAGTACCCCACATAGTGATAACAATTCAACGCAATACGGTAGTGGTATAGCGCATTCTTCCCCCGAAAACAATGAATCGTTAAATACAGTGCATTCATGTCAACAAGACAGCGATGAAGGCATTCCTATTAGTAATACTTATCCACCTAAAAGGTTAAGACGTGTAGTGTTCGAAGTTGCACCTTATAAGGACGCGCAACATAAAAAGGGTATGTATTATTTTTATATTCCACCTGATAATGAAGAAGAAATAATTAAAGAATTTATGTTAGAATATTTAAGTAAAAAGAAATACGCATTTATTATCCCTAATGATGAATTATATTATAAAGTTTCGGAAGTTTATAGAAAGTATTTCGATCACAGTAAGTTTAAGCCAATTAGATATACGAAAAATTTAGTGGAAATAGATGATAAAGAAGAACAATTAAATTTAATTAAAGAGTATCATTTATTAGAAAATAGGCACGCTGGTGTAGAAAGTGTATATAAACAGCTTCGCGATAAATATTATTTTGAAAATATGAGAAAATTAATTAAAAAATATATTACAAATTGCGAAATATGTAAAAAGGAAAAATATAATAGACACCCTTATAAAACTTTATTTTTTGAAACGGAAACCCCTTATGAACCTATGGATGTATGGCACATCGATTTTATGTCTTTAGAACGACAATGGTACTTAACAATTATTGATAAATTTTCTAAATATGCTATTGTAAAACCCACAGAAAAAACTAAAGTTTATGATACTTTATCCGAAATATTTGCATTTATAGGAGCACCTAATAAAATTATTCATGATGGTGAACAATCGTTTTGTAGCGAGATTATTAAAGAATTATTTAAAACTTATAATATAAAGGATCATACTACTTCCCCACAACATCATAAATCTAATGCAGATGTAGAAAGACTTCATAATACGTTACAAGAATTATATCGTTTACAAAGAGAGTCGGAATTAGATAAAACTCAAAAAATATATTTTATTACTCATTCATATAATAATACTACACATAGTTCTATAAATTTAACTCCATTTGAAGTGCATTTCGGTAGAAAACCTAAGCTGCGTAGCTTTGATAATTTAAGAGTTGTAATTCAGCAGTATACGGCACAGCAACGCGATTTTGTAAAAGAACTAAATAAAAATATACATAATATACTTAAACAACAGAAAGAGCAAAGAAATGAACGAATTAATAAAAATATTAGGGCCCCGAAATTATTTAAAATAGGTGACACCGCGTATCTTAAAAATAGTATGGCGGAACGTCATAAAACAAAAAGTAGATTTTTAGGTCCATATAAAATAGTTAGTGTTGAACCTCATAACAAGTATAAATTAAGTAATGGTAAAACATATCACATAGAGGAACTTGTTGTTTCAGAGCACTCTGTATCTTCGGATACCAGTTCAGACAGTTAGAACCTGATGAAAATGTAATTATAATTGAATTAAGTCCTACCCGGATAATAGAAGGAGGATGGACTATTATACATGAATTAGATATAAAACCTATTAAATATAATTTAGATAGTTTGCAATATTCTGTTAATTTTGCATTAAGTAAATCTAATGTAGAAGATGTTAAGTATATTTATCAAAGAATTAATATTATTTTAGATCATGTTAAAGAAATATGTAAACATTTAAATATTCAATCAAATATTCGTACTAAACGTGGATTAATTAATGGATTAGGTTCAATTATTAAATTAATTACTGGAAATTTAGATGATAATGATTTAATTAATATTCAAAACAATTTAGAGACTTTAAGAATAGCTTATAATAAACAGATTTCTGTTACTGATAGTTCTTTGGAAGAATATAATAAACAAATTTTAAATATTACAAATATTCAGATACAAATAAATAATCAATTAAATAATGTATTAAATAATAATGCGCAGCAAAAGGTTGCGATCTCTTTATTGTTACAAGCTCAAACTTTGCAAGATATAGCTGAAAGATTAACAACTGCGATTACTTTTGCAGAACACAGTATGTATCATTATAGTATATTACAATCGCATTTACTATTAGAAACTTTAAATAATATCCCAAAAGATTTACTTATTTCTAATAATATAAATGATTTAGAGCCTTTGTTAACTGTAAAGAGTAAAATTATAAATGAAATTGTTTATTTTATGATTAATATTCCTTTAGTTAAGAGTAAGATTTATAAGAGTCGAAAAATTGTACCCATTATCCATAATTACCCATCCTGTTCCTATCCTATTATGCAAAAGGTAACTCTTGCGTTTGATAACGAAGAAACGTATGAAGTTTTTGATTGTATGGAATTAAATAATTTAATTTGTAAAGGAAATCTAATTAAAATAGATTCTTGTGAAACAGATTTTATATAAGAAAGAAAGTAATAAATGTCAAACAGTAAATGTTAAATGTCCTAATCAAGAGATTCTCCAAATTTCTCCTAAAGCAATTTATATGTATTTTAATAAAACTACGGAAGTTTATATTAAATGTAATAAGCACGAGGAAACGGTGTGGACTAAGCAATCTAATATTCTTTATGGTGAAAATTGTGAACTTAAAATATCTGGATTAAATATATTTCAAACAAAGGAATCAAATGATAAAATAATTATTGCGAATATTGATACTCAGAAAATTGAAACTTTTACTGAAATAGAATTAAATTATGATGCTTCAAATATTAACTCTAAATTAAAGCAATTAAAGCAAATAGAGAATTTTAATTTTGAAGAAGGAAATCATAATATTATACAATATAGTTGGATTGGTATCTTGACTTTAATAATAATTATAATTACCTTGATTAAAATTCTCCGATCCAAGGTCTGTTTTAAACCATGGACTTCGAATTTGGAGGGGGACAGTCAAGCCACCCAGAATATAGAACTTGATAAAAATATAAACTTTAAGTATATTAAAGACAATAAGCAATTAGATCGCATTCCAGTTACCACACCATGGACTTATAAGAATCCGATAGTGCTGAAAGACAATGAATAATCAGGAAACATTATTTTTATGGACATTTAGCACATTCCAAAACATCGACGTGTGGAGCATCCCGTCGCGACCCCCCGCAGGAGCAGTATATAAACCGCGAGTTGGCGAGTAACAGTGTTCACATCACCCCAGTTTCTAGTAATAGATAGACTTAAGATATAAATTGTAAAAAGTGTTTAATTAAATATTTTTTAACAAAGTCTATCTTTTAAATATTTTGACTCGCGGATCCGTAGGCTAACTACGTACTAGGCTAGACTAAGTAATTTTTAATGTATTGTTTACCTTTTTTTCCAGAATATTGAAGAAGAGTTAGAGTTGTTGAAACAGAACGTGAAGAAAGAAATGAAAAATTCAATCTCGCCGTTAGATTTATTTCGCGGAAAAACTTATGGGCGTCCGATTGTTATTGCAACGGGTAATTGTTTTAGTTAATTTTAACCGCCTTCCAAAAGGTAATATGTACCTATAATTTTTTGTGTACATATTATGTAAATCTAATTTTTTTTATACGATCCCACATTAATATTGTGATTATCAGATGATAAGATCGGAAGATAAGTGGCAACAAAATGGAATGATTAAAATTTATTTATTTATAGTCATCGACCAAAAAAGTAGCTACTAGATACACAATCCCGTGCAAAAGTTCACTTAAAACTGTCACCAATTGTGTTTAGGTAATTATTCTAGTTGAAATAAATATACAACAATGTAAATTGATCCTTAAATGCAAGCTTGAAGTTGTTTTCACAAAAAAAATTGAAAGCGCGCTCAAATGTTTCAATGAGCGCTCATTCGGTGAGGTCATTTTTTGTCACTGATTATGTATCTAGTACTTTTTTGAACGATGTTTATAGTAGATGTATTTTGTAAAATAAGACCTACTCTGGAGGAAAATGATGGAACGCTTTAATGTAAATATTTTTGATAGTTCGAACATGGCGAAGTAAATCTATACTAATATTATAAAGAGGAAAGATTTATTTTTTGTTTGTTTGTACTTACCGGATAGACTCCGAAACTGCTGAACCGATTTAGATGAAATTTGGTAAGAAGATAGTTTGAGAGGATAGTTTTTATATCTGAAATCATCCCTTAAGGGAGTGAAAATGGGGATGAAAGTTTGTATGGGAAAGCAACCTAAGGACGAACCCGAGCGAAGTGAGGGTGAGTCGCTAGTCAATTATAAATCGCTGTAAACGAATATTATTACAAAGTGTAGAATGATATATCAAAGTGATTTTTATGCCGACATACTTTATATAGTTTAAGATAAAAAGAAATTATTGAATGATTGTGTTAGGTCTGAAAGTAGCGCAGATAATGACTGGCGCTATCACGATACAGCAGTATTTGGGTCGCATCACGCAGGACATCGACACTGATATGAAGCTGTCGACTCACCTTATCATATTTGGTGTCGTTAAATTTGTTGTTGGTAAGTTTTATTATAATCTATCTAATTTCAAAAATGGCGAGCGTAGCCTTGTTCGTTTATAGTACTACCGAACTAACGCTCGCTTCGCTAGAGTGCGCGGGGACGCAAAAATTAAAACTTATTATATATTTCACCGATTAAGAAGTTTTCTGTTATTATTATTATCATATTTAACACAATGGAATTATAACTATAGATCAAAACTAATAAATCAGTAAAAAAATTAAAATCTATCAATAAATGACTGAGAGATTAATTTAAATTACGGTCGTTCAGGTCGTGTGACATCACGAAATTATTCTTACAAATGCAAATTTAAAGTTTCATAACTTTTTCATTTGTTGAGATATTTTAATAATTCTTTCGTATTTTTGGAATATGCTTAAATTTTTATGTCAATTCATACAAAAAAAGGGGAAACATTTCCATTCACATAAAAAATTTAAAACAATCCTCTACGGGCGGAAAAATTATACTTAAGTGATGTCAAAGTTGGTATAGCATTGTTAGTTAAAATATATATTTTTGTTTCAGGTATAATATCTTCGATATTCGCAGATCGTATCGGGAGGCGTCCCATATTGATATGTTCATTTCTAGGCACAGGAGTATGCTTAGTGTTGGCGGGTAGCTACTTCTTTTTGCAGGAAGTTATTCGTTTAGATCAAACTGACTTACGGACCTTCAGATACGTACCGTTCATATCAATAATATTATCTAATGTGATAGCCACTATGGGATTTAACGCCATCATAGGGGTTATTCAAGCTGAAATATTTCCATTAAATGTTAGAGCCGTTGCCATGACCTCTTTAAATATTTTAGGTGGTATCCTAGGGTTTATAGTCCCAAAATGCTATCAAGCGATCAAAAATAACTCCGGCCTTTGCGGTGTTTTCTGGATATTTTCCTGTGTAGCATTTTCGGGCGCCATTTTCTCTTACTTTATGGTACCGGAAACGAAAGGTAAAAGTTTACATGAAATTCAAGAAATACTCAAAATTGGTATCGACGATGTACCGACAATGGATGATGGAGTGAGTGATGTAAAAGTTGATGAAACCTTAGAGTTAATGGAGCAAAAAAAGGAGAATGACTTAAAATGATTATTCATTTTAATTTTGCAATTTTTTTTAATGAACATAGTTTTATATTTTTCCAAAGTCTGAAGCTGAAAATTTGAATGTTTAAGTTTAAGGTTATGAGTGCCGTGTGAATGTTGACTGTCGATGGCTACATTTTGCAAGGAGATACAAAATGTGTTTATACTCACGATTAACCTTTTTAAAAGGAATGTACCTACTTTTTCTTTATTATTAGATTATCATTAATATTATTAGGTATTACATATTAATTGTCAGTGAATCTCTGATACCTCATTATTAACATTTTTGCGTAAAACTTAACGCAACATAATACTAACTGCATTTCATTACGATATCATAAAAGGACGTAAACATCAACCATCTATTTATTTGTTTTACCAAAAATGTCCAAGATTTTTTTTTAAATTAATAAAGTGGTTTTATTTTCTTCCTGTAGAAGATCTCAGAAGTTTACGGAAGAAATAGTTTTTTTTAAGTAGTTTTAATATGTCGTGGTAAATCATATATGTAAAGTTAATTTGGTGCATAAAATATCTATTATGCCCAGAGAAATTATTAGTCTAACAATTATATTTTTAAGGTCTAAAAGTCCACCGATCGCGAATTATATGCGAATTAGATAAACCATATGTTTTTTTAAACTGTGAGCTATAATTTTTTATTTTATTATTAAAGCATTATTTTTTTTCTTTTTGAATATATTTATGTATATTGTGCATTTAAATTTATCAGTGCTTTTATATATGTGTGTTGTAATGAAGTAAGGTGTCACTATTTTCTCACTGACCGTATACAAGATAAAGAACATTGATCAAAAAAAGTACTAGATATACCATCAGTGAAAAATGTCCTCACCGAATGAGCGCTCATTTGAACATTTGAGCGCGCTTTTAATTTTTTTTGTAAAATAATTACCTAAACATAATTGGTGACAGAGGAGAACTTTTGCATGGAATTGTGTATCTAGTACTTTTTGGATCGATGGTAAAGAAGCTAAAAAAGTATACTCAAGGTGTTATAAACTTTTAATGTACATTTTACAAATGTTAGATTGGACTTTTATTCTATATATCTACATATATTAATTATGTAAGCCTAAGCAGTTTTCTAAATCTATTTAGAAAACTTTTTGAAGACTTAGTAATAAGTGAAACAATATATAAGAAATACGTACACTATTTTGCGTGCCATAAATTATAACTTTTAAATAAATGGATCATGTGCACTAGGTATCTGGAGGTAATCGGTTCGATTTTTGGAGAAATCGTTATAATGATCTATCAAAAAATTAAATGAATATAAAATTTTTGATATCAACAGACTTGTACAAGCTGGGTATCATTCTATGTCCATCAGAAAGCTATCGCCGGCTTGGAAGGCAGTTCTGTTGAGAAGAGACGTTACAATAGATATAATTTAAAAGGACAAATTCAAAATCGCTAGAAAATTGTTCTACAATATTCTTCCTTGCAAGGGATAAAGATGAAGTGATAAACATGTCGTTTCGGTTTAGTTAAGAAAAAGCTCGAGTCCCTTATTGAATTAACATGTAATTACAATGACTTATCGATTCTGGCAAAAATAAATGCTCGAGTGATGTTTTTTGTTTTCCCAACCAGAATATACTCGTAAAGTTAGAAATTTTAGAAATAATGGTGCTAAAGTGTTATTCCAATAAATATTAGGAATAATTTCAATGGCAATTTTGACAATTATTAAATGTGTAATGTAGTTCTATATAGCATTTCTATGACATTATGACGTGACAATAATTTTTTTTTACATAATTCGTTGGCTCACTATTACAAGGTTCTATGTTAATTTTAATGAAGTTTAGTAATTTTTACATAGAACTTTGTTATTTTGTTATAAACAACATAGAACTATGTAAAATTGAATATTTTGTAGTTAAAGTGCCGCTAGTGGTTTGTTTTTGCAAAACTGTAGCGAATGACACATAGAACCTTGTAATAGTGAGCCAACGAATTATTATATATATATATATATATATATATATATATTAGCTTGTACATACGTACATATTTTGTTGCAGTACTTATTTGTTAATGTTCTTTTTTATATTCTTTGTTAGTTTAAAAGTGTAAGCATAACTTTGGACTATTTGGGCCAAAGAAAATATTTAGTACATATTTATATTAATGATAAACGTAAATAAATCTTAATATAATAGAGCGGTGTAATACAGGTTATAGGTATATTTAAAAGGCTTAATTAGGGAGGGAAATGAAACGCAGGTTATCATTTCTTTAGTCATTGTTCTTACTCCTTAGGATCCCAAGGCAAACGAAATCTTTATAACATTTATGTTGGTTGTACATCTGTCAGAATCAATTTTTTTAACAATCTCCACTGGTGTTTTTTTTAAATTTGAATGAATTTTTCAGTAATGACGAAATCTCAACTGTAAATTTGAATTATTTTGTGTGTAATTATTAATAGTGTGTATGAACAATGAAAATGATCAAAAACGGATTCGCATGTACAGAATTCTCATAATGTATAGAATCCATCTTGGGTTCTGTATATTATGAGAGTTAAAAAAATAGATTTGATAATATCTTTGTTTATTTTATATTTTTAGTGTTTAAACAAAATTATATTTTTAATATTATATCTTCATATTGTCTTTATCCCACGCTAAGTGGGGTTGGCACAACAAAACTTTCACAACCATCATCTTGGTACACACAGCCTTCACTAAAAGTTCAGAGTGTGTACTTGTAATAAACATATCCTCTTTCACACAGTCCATCTGCCTAACTTTAATTATATGTCCATCCACAAACATACTCTTTTCCTTGCTCATGGTATACCACGATAACCTAGTATTACTCCTCAGCTTCACTGTCACTGGTGCTACTTTCAAATTTCCTGTAATATATTAATTCCTGATATATTTATAGAAATATAGACATATATAATTATATAAATGTGTATTCTAATATTATATATTAAGTTTCCCATTTTCTTCTCGCCACCTTACCTTTATTACCATCCATCGGTACCTACCTCACTTTCTGATTTCTCACCGATTGTGTCGTGTCGTGTTAATGATAATTCATCCCATCAGAATTTGGCTGGTTTTCTTCTCCGCTGACCATCGGCGCCTAGGTCGTCGGTGCTGATTGGCCATAGAGGCGCGTACGGACGTGTACAGCTTAACCCTGACGTAGGAAACGCTTCATAATAATACATACGAGTACATATTGACATATCAGCGCCGACCATCAGTGTGAGAAGAAAATCAGTCTTTAATAGTGAAAGAAATAGAGAATAAATTAACAAATAATTATTAGAGTTTATAAAATAATACCAAAAGTTTATTTAAAAATTATATTTTATTACTAAAATAGATATAATATTATAAATAAACAATACATTACTCGTTACTCGTACTATAAATGGTCATAAAACTACGCTTGTCAAACATTCGCAAGCCCAGTGGTGCTATTTTCGCATGCAAATTGTCGTTTTGGTAGTAATATTGACTACTCCACAACCGTTTGCACTTGCAGTGTATTACAGAGAGGCACAGTTAAAAATATACTTACTATGCACTATTATTACGGTATTGTAAGTTAGAATTTAATATTTGAATGTTGAGTCTGGTTTAAAACCATTAAGAAGAAAATTGTATCGTATTATGTTTGTTTTGTTAAACAATTTCGACGCAAAAAATTATATTTTGTAACTACATATTGAACAGAACTTGATCTCAATAATTCCATTTGTTGTTCTAAAATGGCTTCCCTAGATGTTAGAATTAAGAATTATTCAGTGTCGTCTATTTTTCTTCATCTTTATATCTTCGTCGTGGTCGAAGATAACAGACCTAAGTATTAAACAAATTATACTCAATGAGGCTTCTATTTTATACGTAACATTAAAATGCTATTACTATTAAGATCTTTTCTACTTTGATAAATTTAGTATATTTACTATTTGGAGATATATAATTTTGTTTTGTATTAATGATATTATACGATCAAAGGAAGGTAATTAAAAGTTATAATTAAAATATGTTTTCATTTTCCATATACTGATCCTTATGATATATGTAGATGATTTTATAATTTCATACCTATATTTTTATATCAGACTAGCGACTCACCGTCGCTTCGCTCGGGTTTGTCCCTAGCTTGATTCCCTATACAAAATTTCATCACCATTTGCAACCCCTAAGGGATGATTTTCGGAATAAAAAGTTCCAATCCTATCCTATGTCCTTCCCAGGGTCCCAAACTATCTTCTTACCAAATTTTATCTAAATCGGTTTAGTAGATACAGAGATTACCCCCCACAGCGTCACAAACTCACAATCTCACAAACTCCCAAACTTTACCTCTATAATAATTCGGATTGGCGTGATTTTTGGTGTGAAGATATTGGGAGAGCTGAAGAGTGACATAGTCTACTTTTTATTCCGGGATATCATCTCATTCCCACGGGAAAATACGTTATAATACAACAAAAAAAATATTTATGATCAGAATTACTTGAAACTTGGTATTGATAAATATTATTATTATAACACTTTATTGCACACGGAAATAGTACATTAACGCCTTATCACTAAAAGTGATCTAATGTTTTAAATACAATTAAATAAATACGTGTTTTAGCATTTTTCTAAACTCATCCTTTAACTAGGTAAAATAGGGGATGAAAGTTTGTAAGAAACCTACTATTTATACAGATTTTTTTGTAGTTTTAGCGCGACTGAAGCCGCAGGTCCTGCTAGTTTTAGTTTACTACTATAAATTTACATTACTGGACAGGAATATCGTTTCGTTTCCACAATAATATCTTACAATCCTGAGGTTCACATGTTACTAAGTTAGTACTTTAGCTGAATAGACAGTGTAACGTGTAAAAAGCAAGCTCTGGATTTTCTCTTTTGTCTTTTGTTACCCGACTACGGAGGGTCAAAATTTCAGAAAGCTATGTCTGGTATGTACATAAGTATGTAGGGCTATGTGATGTCACTTTAAATTCAATATGAAACCCTCTAGAAGACAGTTGTTTGTATTAAAGCAAAAACGTTTTTAGAGTGCGTTTTTATCCGTATTCAAGCCCAATTATTAGGTAGGTACTCCCAAGTGAATAATTTTTGATGTAATTTTTACGCAACAGGCTAATTAATTTTCTTGTAACTCGTATGTTTTTTGTTTGTAGTTGCGTTTCAAATAGAAATAAACGTTTTCATTTATTATATTAGTGACATCTGAAGTGTCGCTTTTTCATTTTTGTCTGTATTTATTTTGACGGCACGCCGGATATTGTCGCCAAGATTAATATTTTTCTTCCATAATCCACTTATCGCGACCTCAAGAACGTGCTCGCGCTCTCATCTAAGTTATACCCTATTCATATTTGCTTTTGTTCGTAATTAAACGAACTATGATAGAGAAAGTAGTAAGGTTTTATGTATTTTTTGCACAAATATGTACTTCAACGTTTAGTACTTTGCGCAAATATATTATTTTCAGCACAACAATTTTATTTTATAGTCTCATAATTCAAAGGATAACTTTAATTTGTAAATATAGCAATGTTTGTCCTCAAAAATAAATACAATATACAATTTATTAATAAGAAATTCTGTTATTATTTGATATTAAATATAATTTTTCAGTTATTTATTACAGCTTTTTTCAACTAAAAAGTATTTTATTGTTATCCAAAATCAAGTAGTTTTTACTTTAGAAACATATATTTTAGGTATATTAAAACGTAAAACAACGCGCCGGATGACTGCCGCTAAGCTTATTTATTAGCATCAAGACATGCAGTAATATCCTATTTGGAGCTATTAAGAAAACGAATGTCCGCACATTTATATTTATCAAATAATCGTAATTTTTTGAAGGCTGGGGCTTGTCACACCCCACTTTGTACAGAAAGGGTTAAATTAATTCAAAATGTAAGTTCAATAAAATAAAAAGTTAGTACTTTATCGGACTACTACTTACTCTTAGATTATTAATATAAATAATTAATCTAAGTACTTACTATTAAAAATAGGAATGTTTGCATCAGTATGGGCGTGAGTGAGTATGTTTGTGAGTGTTTGTGTTTTACTCCTTCCAATCACATCCCTCCAACCAGATATAGATAGACCTAGTTACCGAATGCAATTCACTAGTCTGTATATCTGTATAATAATATAATATATAATATAATAAATATTATAAATGTGAAAGTTTGTGAGTATGTATGGATGTTTGTTACTCTTTCACGCCAGAACGGCTAAGCGGATCTGGATGAAATTTGGCACAGAGATAGATTATAGTCTGGACACATATACTACTTTTTATCCCGGAAAATATACGGTTCCCGAGGGATAGATTTGTTTTTGTTTTTCTAGAGGCGAACCCGAGCGAAGCGAGTTTGAGCCGCTAGTATTATCATATTAGCATATCCAGTGACGTCATTCAAACTGAATAGACATGACATTGTGTTTAGTAAATCTACAACAGATAAATCTTTATACATGAAAGGAAGAAAGTTCCATCAATCCCAGCTTTAAGGATTTAGTAGAAGGTCTTTAAGTATTAAGAAAGCTATCGGTGGCGCAGCTAATGTGGCCTACACTCGCTTAATTCCGATCCCGGGATTCAGTAAACACTAATCTTCGCCCGCGCTGTTTGGGATCTCAGATTAGATATATTAGAAACAGATGTGATATATGTGATTAGTAATTATTTTGTGTAAATAATCGCATAGCTATTGTGAATGTAAAACGTGTGTGTATGTTTGGTAGTCTTTCACGCTGAAACTTAGGCTGAACATATTTTGATGAAATTTAGTGCACAGTAAAGTATGATGACCTTTTTTTAACGCTGGGAAATGCATTTAGGCACAAGGTGTGGGACTCACCGGCAAGGCCAGTAGTACCCACTAAAACCCAACGGAACTCCCCCCGTCTTAATGAGGCGTGGCAGGATCGCTTACGCACTCAACCACGCCACGACGGCAGGTCTGCCGAAGTAGACCACATCAGCTATGGGGTTGCTACAACGATCCACTCTGCTATCAGAGCATCTATCTTCCTGTGCGTTTCTTGGCTTCGCGCCCGGTAGGATTGCCGGACACTACTGAGCCCTCCTACCACGACAAGGTGAACGCACGTTAGAAAAGTATGACGGCCTGAAGTATCATATAGACTACTGTTATGAAGAAAATCTGCTCTAAGTTAGCGCTGCCTGTATAAAATAAAAAATAAAAAAGACGTTTAAGTAGGTAGTAAAGAATAATAAAATTGTATCTTCTATGTAGAAAAGTTTAATATGTTTACGTTGATAGTAATTATCTGTACTAACATTATAAAGTTGATGAGTTTGTAGGATACTTAGCCAAAAAAAAAACAATGACGAAATTATTATACTGTCACCCAAACAGTGGTGTATATGTAATATAGATGTGGGTACCAATTTTATCTACGAGTAAATAGTAATTTAAAAAGTATTTTAAAATAAGAAGCTGTAGTAAAAAATACAAAGAGCAGGCACATAAAACATAAGGGCTCTCACACACGGGACATATTTACGGCGCTTTTGACGCTGAATCCTCGCACTATAAAACATTAAACGCCCGCATTGATTTATGTTGTTGACTCGGAAAACAATGGGAAGTAGTCGATCTTTTTATAATATGATTTATTTTCTGAGTAATCAGATAAGTGAAGTCACTTGCAGAAGTGTTTCCTGCAAATTTAAATTATATTCAGATACTAGCATTGCCCGCGGCTCCGCCCGCGTTCACATGACTAAAAACCAAATTCTTAAGTTTTACATATTAGTATACTCTTACATTGCAGTTTTTGTATTTTTTCTCAAAAATGAGATATTTTCTCGCAGTATAAAGTATCCTTTATGTTGACCCGGATAACCAGCTACCCCCCCAAAGTGCGTTCACCTTGTCGTGGTGGGGGGACTCAGTAGTGCCCGGCTACCCAACCGGGCGCAAAGCTAAGAAACGCACAGGGAGGTTGCCCACT